TCAGACGAAACACGTTCATCTTTAGTGATGCACAAAAACTGATAAAAACATTGGCTTGGTGTTGTGATTGGCGTACGAAGCCACATTTTTCAAGCAGAAAAACGCGGCGACGCATCATTAAGACTATCGCAGTCGACGCTTCGAAAACGTCATCAGCGCATCAATAGCCACCGAATCGTGATTGTACCCGGAATGGATTAATGTAGTCAGCCATCGTAGTGAAATATGTCACAAAAAATGACACACAACACGCCGAAAGCAGCCGACAAAACGACGCTAACAGCAAACCGTACGCACTGTGGAAACACAACACGCGGCAAACCGATCGCACACGCCTCATCGCAACTACCACCCTCCTGACAAAACCACACTCGACACATAATGCCGCACTCCTCTACTCCCGCCAATTAACAACACACCGCACACATGAGGGCACGTGTATCCTCATTTCGCGTGTCTTTCAACGCGGCCGTGGTTTTTGTTTGCGCGCGGTTGTCAGCCGCTCACCGACTTGCATTTTGTCGCGAAGACCTGCACCGCATCGGTTGGTTGGTTGGTTGTTGGTTGCAAAGATGATATCCAATAACTGACTGGATAAATAACAGTACATCAAACTGAACATATCAGTTGTCTTTTCTAGTTTCACCGGCACTTTCAGTTGTTGTCAACTTTTGAAAAAAAGGACATTTTTAGAAAGACGCCGGCGCCACAAAATTTTAGGGCACCCTTCTTAATTTTAGGAGGCCCTTGTTTTTCTGGGCGGACCAAACGTACACAATTTTTATACGTGGAAATAGAGATGTTGGCGCGACAAACGTACACAATTTTTATACGTGGAAATAGAGATGTTGGCGCGACAAACGTACACAATTTTTATACGTGGAAATAGAGATGTTGGCGCGACAAACGTACACAATTTTTTTACGTGGAAATAGAGATGTTGGCGCGACAAACGTACACAATTTTTTTACGTGGAAATAGAGATGTTGGCGCGACAAACGTACACAATTTTTTACGCGGAAATAGAGATGTTGGCGCGACAAACGTACACAATTTTTTACGTGGAAATAGAGATGTTGGCGCGACAAACGTACACAATTTTTTACGCGGAAATAGAGATGTTGGCGCGGCAAACGTACACAATTTTTTACGCGGAAATAGAGATGTTGGCGCGACAAACGTACACAATTTTTTTTGCAAAATTAGCAAAACGAGATTTTGGGGTGGCGTAATCAAGTGAGTAATGCGACAAACAAATTGGTATTTTCCGAGTGGGCTTTCTGGGCGGTAATGCGTGTTTTGCTCATTTTTTGGCACCTGATATGATTTCGGTTTGATTTGTTCTCTTTTTGGATTTCCAGGGACGTAGACCGAAGCATTTTCAGGTGTTATATTGAACTTTTTGTTTTCAGGTTTCACGAAATAGAGCGGCTTCACTGTTAATTCTAGACGATGTTACTCAGCTGTTTGTAGAGATATCAAAAAGTGATCAATTGAGCATTTCAAGGAGCAATTAATTAGTTGACAACTTTTTGCTATCTCCACAGACAACTGAGATATTCGAGTTTTACCGACTACTTTTCACCACTTCATTTGTTTAAATTTGATCACTTATAGACCGAAAACAACAAAGTTAAGAATGTCTCGTAATATGTTTATTTGAGATTTAGGCTTTTGGATCAAGATCAAAGAAAATTCAATCAAAACTTCTCAACTTTGCACATCTTGACACTTCGAGACTTCTTCGAGCTCACCGAATGATACGAGTTTGTTTCTTCCACCAGAATAGTCTAAAATAACATGAAATTCAAACAATTCTACGGTAATTCATACTTTTCTTTCCATTTGGTTCTTGAAGAACAGTGAGCGGAAAGTGTCTCGATACTGTGATGACATCAAGAAACAGATGAACGAGTGTGACGTGGCATTCACAGTTCGTAAGATGTTCAGTGCGTACTGTGAGGTAGCGATGGAGTATCTGAAAGTGAAAAACTAAGCAATAAGAGTCTGGCCCATGACTCACGCAAAGTCCTCATTCCACAAGAGCAACGCCTCGTAATTATACATGAACATTCCCTGAAGACCCGCCAATCCCTCGGTCAACATGAAGGAGACGGTCATGAACAATATCAATTTGGTCGTGTTATCCGAGCCGTCGTCGTTTCTCTTCAAATTCTCTCTTCTCGTCTTGATTTTCCGCAACTGGAGCAGCAAAGAAACTGTGAGAATCGGGTAGCAGACGGTCGGAATGAACTTCATAATAACTTCGATGTAGCCGAGATTGGAGAGCAGATATATAAGGCTCATGGGCATCGCCAGGACGTATCGTTGTTTGTAAGCAGTCGAGGGACCGTTTTGACATCTGAATGCATTCGGTTGGTCGTGTCGGTTAACATTCAAAAACTCACTGTGTGTTCAAATTGTCGGGAAGCCAAAAGATGCGGAAAGTGGTATAATGCCACGTGGAATAGCAGAGCCAGAACACGAAAAGTATCCGCATGGCCCGGCCCGTGTTTCGCGGTCTGGACATGTTTTGAATGAATCGATTCATCGGAAACAAAACCGATAATGTTCTGATGAGAGCCATCAGAATGGCGAGCCAGACGGAGTATCTTTTCGTGATATCCATAGTGGCGTAGATGGCGTAATAGACGACGCTGACTTCCGCATAATCCCGTCGAAGGCACAGTTCTGCGTACAGGGGGAAATAGTCGGGAATCCAGTACAACTCGATCATTGTTTGGTAGACATCGAGAACGAAATTCACAATATCACAAACACAAATCGCGATCATGAGCTTATAAACGGAATTCGCTCGAAGCTCCTTTCGGCTCAGAATTGAAAGATGGAATAGGTTGATTAGAATGGAGATCATCTCCAAGTACAAGTTGAGACGAAAACAGAAACTGTAAATCCTCTTGTACACGTCCGGATCGTCGTCGTAGTATACATACTCGTCGTCCTGAGGCGCGGCGGGCTCGTCAGTCATGCGAAAAGCGGAAAGCAAGTGAGAAAGTTGAAGATTTTGGTGCAGATCATTGACAAATTACAGGGTGTATAGATGAGAATTCCGAGTAATTTCGAGAACTTTGTCACACGCCATAATTGTGGGCTTCCGGTCGATGGGGACTACTGTGGGAAGCGGTCCAGACTCCGTACACTGGAAGATCAGCTGGAAAGTCGATGACTAACGCTCCTTCCGCTCCGATGCAGTTCTATGCCGACAAACGGCGAAAAATGGTTTCACTGATAAGAAATGCTATAAAAGTGTTTGATAAAAAGTGAGGGATGACGTCGAGTTGCCCTCTTCCTTTTACAGTTTTCCGGCTGAAAGTGTTCTGATTTTGCAGCATGAGTTTCATTTTTTCCCTTCTGGTGAGTCATTCATCTGCTTTTCTTTCAATTCCAACGTTTCAGGCCACATTTCTGTTGATTTTCTCAACTTCTTGTGCTGGATTCGTTCTGAATGTGAAGCTGGCCGAACTCTCCGGAAAAGCGCTCTCGGAGTACGTGAATTCGGCACAAACACTGTTTGTTACGGAGCATTCGGAAGAGCTTTCGGACGCTGAAATGAGATTCAAAGTGATGGATGGAAAGTTTGCGGAGCCGAAGGGCGACGAGCCCGTGATGGACAGAGCGGAGATACTCCCCGAGCCGCTTCCCGACTACTTCGATGCCAGAGACAACTGGCCCGATTGCAAGTCGATCAAGTTGATCAGAAACCAAGCCACGTGCGGAGCATGCTGGGCATTCGGAGCCGCCGAGATCATATCCGATCGCGTGTGCATCCAATCGAACGGAACGCAGCAGCCGATCATCTCCGTCGACGACATCCTGTCATGTTGCGGCGATTCGTGTGGTTACGGATGCGAAGGTGGCTACAGTATTGAAGCGCTGAGGTGGTGGAACTCGAAGGGAGCGGTGACGGGCGGCGATTTCAAGGGATCCGGCTGCAAGCCGTACCCGTTCGCCCCGTGCACAAAGTCTCCGTGCGAAGAATCACAGACTCCCGCGTGTCTTAGCACTTGTCAGACCGGCTACTCTGCCAATTATACGAGTGACAAACATTTCGGTAAGGGGCCTGGTGAAGTCTAGTGAGAAAATATGCACCCATTGTCAAACAGCAAAGAGAGAATTGCAAAAATGTATCCATTTACGTCTGAAAAACGCAGTCAAAGTTTGAATGAGGTTTTTCTCGCGCGGTCGCGCGGTCGTGCGCACGCAAGGCTGGAAGAGAAAATGCGCGGTAGGCCAGCGAATTGTTTGTTTTTTTAAGCACTTTTTGAGTGATATTTCCTGCGAGAAAACCCTTAACCAAACTTTGAGTGCGTTTTTCAGACGTAAGTGCATACATTTTGCAATTCTCTTCTTGCTGTTTGACAACTGGGAACATAATTGATTTTTCAGAGAATAATTTGTTTTCACGACACTTCACCTTTGAAAAAACGCTCATTTTTGTTGCAGGAAGTTCCGCCTACGCGATCGAAAAGACAGTGGCCGCGATTCAAACGGAAATCTACCACAACGGTCCGGTGGAGGCTTCGTTCAAAGTGTACGCCGATTTCTATCAGTACAAGTCGGGAATCTATCATTATGTGGCGGGCAAGTACTTGGGCGGACACGCTGTGAAGATCATCGGCTGGGGCGTCGAGGACGAAGTCGCGTACTGGATCATCGCCAACTCGTGGGGCACCACGTTCGGCGAGACCGGCTTCTTCCGGATGAAACGAGGCTCGAACGAGTGCGGAATCGAATCGAATGTGGTGGCTGGAGTGGCCAAGTTGAGCACTGTGAGCGGCGATCTGAGACCGGCATCCGAGCATCATTCATCTCATTTTCAGCATCCGGAAGTGGAAGACGACGACGGTGCGGCCTCCTCGTGCAGTCTGCTCGTCGGGCTCGTGGCCGTGCTCGCCTTGTATTTGCTCTAGAAAGGTGTGGTCGGTCATCAGACGACGACGTTCACTGATAACGAAAAGTGTGAAACGACGGGAGAGTTATCGTGCTTTAAAAGAATAATGACCAAATTTGATGATTATGAACTTGTGGTTTGGTGTTTGAGAAAATACAGTAATCTTGTTAAAGATGTTAGATTTGCTTTGCCACGGCTTCTGGCGCAACCCTACAATTTGTCCGAATCCCCAGAAACCAACTCATGTTTATGTTTTACCCCCTCATTTCCAGTTATCACGCTCTGCTTTCTGATATATCCTTCTCGCCCTCTCGCCCTCTTTATTTCCCTTTTCCTCCACTATGAACTCTTCGGCGACGTGCTCGAACGGCTGGCTGCAAGTCACTTTTTTCGCCGAAGCAGTCGGATTCGCCGCGTCTTTCATTCTAAACACTGTTCTTTTGATATTGATCAGTAGAACGCCGAGAGCAACTTTCGGAAATTACAAGTTCTTGATGTTCGCCTTCTCCGCGTCTGGTATTGTTTATTCGAGCACCAACTTTTGGAGCAAACCGGTGAGTTCATATGAATTTATGTTACTGTAAAAACGGTATGTATCTCAGTTGCTTGTAGAGATATCAAAAAGTGACCAAGTGATAAAATGTACAAAACATTTAAAGCGACAATTTCTTTGTTGATACCTTTTTGATATTTCCACTGGCAGCTGAGTTGTACTGCCCAGAATGAGCGGTAACTGTTTGGTCTCTCGGGACTGGAAACCAGAGTTCAGAGAAATGTGATTCCAGAATGTCCACATCACAAAAACCTCGTTCATCGTGTTCACAGTGCTCAAATACTCCAAATTCTCCAAGTCCTTCGGATCCATCGCCGTCAGTAAGTGCTCCGATCTTTCACTCATCCATCCAGTTCTCTTCAGCCGGATACTGCTCCTGCTACGCCATGATGCTCTCGCTTCTCGTTATCCACTTTTATTATCGACTCACTTCCGTCACTGCTCCCATGAGACTCACCAAGTTCTCGAGGGAAAACGGAAAGTACTGGGCGTTGCTCGTCCTCTCCTATGCGTTCATTTGGGGTTTCTGCAGTTACTTTCTATGCGGACCGACCGAGCAAAAAGATCTAGAGCTGATGGTCGAGTTTCAGAACAGCTATTGTTTGTTTCCGCAAGAATACGCGTACGTCGGACCCCAATACTACTACGAAATCGGAAACGAAGGGATAGTTCCGAACTTTCCCTCCATCATCGGAATGTCGGTGTTGGCCTCGTTGATGGGCGGCACTTTTATTTTCGTCACTTACTTCGGAACTCGTACCTATAAAGCTCTAACTGAGCTCGGAGTCACTTGCTACGGAGCCAGAGAACTTCAGAAACAACTCTTCCGCACTTTGGTCATCCAGACTTTGATCCCATTCGTTTTCATGTATCTCCAGTCTCCTGCATGTTTTCGTTTCCGTTATTGGGCGTGAGACTCGATGCGATGGCCAACCTAATTCCCATTTCCGTCGCCATTTATCCGTGCCTCGAACCTCTCGTCGCCATGTTTTTCATCAAGAATTTCAGAGATCGAATCAAAGGTAACCGAAAAGTGTTCTTCTTACTTTCCCTATCAAATGGCTCTTTCAGATTTCCTGACGTGCTATCGGAAACATCGTATTTCTGACGTGCCGACAAGCCAAACTGAAAACGTGATTTCGTTGCAGAGTTTTACATAGACAATAAATTATAAAATTGATTATTATCAATGCACAACGGGAATGAATTTGATTTCAAAGTGAGGCGAGCGTTTCAAGAGTCCGAACGGAGTGCTCGTCTCGATTTTCGGCGTCTCCCCCACTGGCTCCATGTCGAAATCGAGTATCATGTTTCCCATCACCTGAAATTGTACACTAATCCCTCACGGCTTTCCGTTACTAAACAAACCAAATAGAGTTCGGCTCTGGCGAGAGACTCTCCGAGACACGCGCGTTTTCCGATTCCGAACGGGATCAGCTTCTTGTCGAGACCCTCCTGCTCGGTGAATCGTTCGGGCCGGAATTCGGTGTGATTTCGGAACAGCTCCTCGTCCACGTGGATCATTCCGATGTGCGCGGTGACGGCGGTTCCGGCCCGCAGCGGCTGACCGTCGATTTCGGTGTCTTCGTTGATTATCCGGAAGAGGTTGACATTCAGAATCGACGCGACTCTTTGTACTTCCTGCAACCGAGACTTTCGTTCACCACATTCGCCTCTATTCACAAGGATTTATCTCAGTTTTCTGTAGAGATATCAAAAGTTGTCAACTGGCACATTGTTCATTGAAACATGGTGTACATTTTATCAGTTGATCACTTTTTAATATCTCCAATGGCAGCTAAGATACATAGCCTTGAACGGACCACATTGGGATGCCATTCTATTGCAGTGCTTACGGTACATTTATAACAGCCGACAAGTAGGGAGTGTCCTTCTTGTCAGTCAACGAAAGGGACCGATTCCCGCCCGTCACATGGATCAGCTCTTCTCTCGTCTTCCGAATCACATCCGGATAGTTGAGAAGACAGGCGCACGCCCACGTCAGAGTCGTCGAAGTTGTCTCCTGACCGGCCAACCACAAGTCGTACAAGTCTACCGCAAGGTTTTCTAGTCTGAAAGTGGCAAGTGCGCATGGACAAAATTTGCTTTTTCGTGTTGAATTTACGTGAAACTCGACTCGAGACCCTCCCTCTCGTCCCTCTCCATCTTCATCAGATACGCATCCAAAAAGTCGTCCGGCTCGCCGTGAAGCACGTGGTCTCCGGACTCGATCCGAGCGACTCTCTCAGCAATGTTCCGCTTGCAAAGTGCGTAAATCCAGTCGAACGGCGCGAATATCTTGTCTTGTCTCCACTTGAGAAGGCGTGACATCAGAATCTCGACGGGACAGAAGATGTCCAAGAAGCCGGTGTTCTCGAATCCAGCCGACAGGTTGGTCTTCAGTTGATCGAATACGGCGTCGTCCTGAAAAACAGAATCTCGAAACGACGGCAGCGGAGGCGCTTGGCACCTTTTCAAAGCGCTCATTAATAAGCACTTTGTTGATGACACTGCCGGTCAGAAGATCGAAAAATGAGCGAGCATGCGTTTGGAAACTACCCGACCACTTGCTATTGTTGTTGTTCACGGGCGAATGAGAGTAGTCGGAGAATCTGGGCGCGCGGGGGGTTACTGTAGATCCAAAGCAGTCTGCACTCACCGATATCTGTACTCCTCCATGATCCTCGCTTCCATAATATTCCTGCCGAAGCCAAAGTTCCTCAACGTCGTCAACGCGAATCTCCGATGTTCCTGCCACAAATGCCCATTCGACGAGACGAGCCCGCGGTCCATTCGAATGTAGTTCATGAGTCCGGGAGCGTATCTCGTTCCGAACACGTTCGCCCGCTTGACGTGTGTCTCGTGTGCCACTTCATAGTCGGAAATGAATACGGTAGGCAACGGGCCGATCCACAGAGTGTACACTTTCCCGTACACTTTCTCAATTTCGGCGTATCCTCCGACAAGACCCCCTCGACGCCAGCAATGGTATAGAAGTTGAGGGAGATTTCCGAGAAATGGAAGTGGGTAAGGGCCTGAAAAGAATCTGAAACGCTTTTCATCGAAAAGTCTCTTCAAACCTTTCGGAAGTTGTTTTCTCGCCTTCCACTGATGAACTAGAGCCATCGCGAAAAGAGTGGTGAACAAAAGAATGAGGAACATGCTGGCCGGACAATGGAAATAACTTTGACGCCTTAAAAAGAAACTATCCTTATCACCTTCAGACCGAGAAATAATAGTAAAAAATCGAAAACACCCTATCAATTAATTACTCCGTCGTCTGGTGCGTCCGAAATGAAAATCAAAGTTTCCTTCCTTATTTTTGGCATTCCATTTTACGAGTAACGTTATTGGTTGGTGCCATAAAGTACGCAATATTGTTAGAAAACTGAAAGATCAGTTGGACGATGAAAAACAACACCCGTCAGCGGAAAATGGTCAAGTTTGGGTGTGAATAACAGATTTTCGAGTGCCTGGCAAAACACTGGTCCCATATATGCATTGTCCGTGTTTCTGATTCACGTGACAGCACAAATGTTCGCCGTTTCCTCTCCGCAACACTTCTTTCTCGAATCTCCTCGCATTCTCTCTCAAACTCGTGCTTATTTTCACCAAAATGATACAATTGGCAAAATCAATTCCTCTCTTATTCCGCGCTCCGAAAAAGAAAACGCCAGAGCCGGACTACGAAACGTTACTTCTGGTCAGTCAGTCTACAGTAATCCGCCGAGACTCGTCGAGCTCAATTCCAGGTGCCCGACACGAATGTCCGTCTGGAAATCGAGATAGAAGACGAGTTGTACTTTCACGGATTCATGAAAACCGACGAGGCCGAGGAGATTCTGCAGTTTGTTCAATGGCCCGTTTTCTTTGAAAATGAATTCAAATGTTCAGGGAGTGTGAGAGCGGGGTGTACTTGCTCAGAACCGTAATGACGTTCGATGGAGTCGGTTATGTGATCAGCGCGAAGGCGGAGAGCGGCAACGTCTTCCATATGATCATCAACAAAACCAAAGAAGTCTGTACTGCCGGCCCGCAATGGATCGAGTTCACATTTTTCTTTTTTTTCAGACAAAACTCTATTGGCTCGACGCTCACGCATTCGTGTCAATTCAACAACTCATGGGATTCTATGCGGAGTAAGAGTTCCAGCAATTCGAGCTGTGTACACTGTTGTTCTCAGAAGTCTAATCCCGGTCCGAGTGGACGAAGACGAGCAAGAACACGAAGTTGTGTTCCGAAAACCGTTGCCGAGGCTTCAATGGCAACTTGCCCACGAACAGGTGCGCACTCCTCTGGTCCCTCGAAGCTCATAAGTTCTATTGCAGCTCGAGATGAACGAGACACTCGGAGCAGGCACGTTCGGCGACGTTTTCAAAGGATTTCTGGAGGTTTCGTTCCGAAAAGGCCGCAAAATTGTGGCGATCAAGACTCTGAAGAACGTGGAACTCGCGTCGCAGAAGACGTTCGAATTGCTGCACGAGGCGCACCATATGAAACGTTTCGACCACGTCCGTAACTGGAAAGATCCCACCGGAAAGCTCTTTACTCTTTTCAGAAGCACGTTGTGAAGTTCCACGGGTTGGCCGCCTTCCGCGAGCCGTTCATGATCGCTATCGAGTTCTGCGCCGGCAACAATTTGGACGGAAGACTTCAGAAAACTGTGAGCATTGCTGTAGATATCAGAAGATTCAATTTATTTCAGTATATTCCGGTGTTTCAAAAGATCAAATACTTGTATCACGCTTCTCTCGGAATCAATTATCTCCACGATATCGGAATCTGTCACGGGTGACTTTTCCCTTCACCCAACTATAACGTCTCCCGTATTCCAGTGACGTAGCCACTCGAAACTGTCTGATTTCCGCCGACGACGTCATCAAAATCTCCGACTTTGGCTTGTCGGCCGACAAAAAGACAAAGCAGAAGAAATCGGATAACATGCCGTTGCGAACGATGGCTCCCGAGTGCCGCAACGCCGCCATTTTCTGCACGAAAGGCAGCGACGTGTGGGCGTTTTCGGGGCTCATCTTCGAAATGTTTCACCGGGCGATGGAGCCGTACGGCGAGTACGAGCCGAGGGGCAAAGTCGTCGAGGCGCTCAACAATGGAGACGTGAGCGAGAGGGAGATTCAGAGGGCACGTGGGAGAGTTTCAGATCCATTTGTATTTGTTCGAACGGCCGCAGACGGAAGAGCCTCCGTGGGGAATGACTTTGACGAAAAAGAAGGTTTGGGAGCAGACGCTCGAGAAGCCAAAGTATCCGGCGATCGTCAAGGAGATCGAGATTCTGTTCCGGCAGTGCAGGTTCCGAAACCTCAAGTTCCGGGCGGTTTTCCCTGAAGAAGACGATCCGCACAGACGTTCGATTTGCAAACACTTGGAGAACATGACCAAAAAGTACAATATTACTGTGTGAACATCTTTCCAGTGAAGTGTTCAAACATGCTCTACGGCGAATCCGAAAATCTAAAATCCCGAGACCCCGTTCGGTACCGACGGTCTTTGACATTTTCTTTCAGATCGAAACCGATAAAAAGTTTACAGTCATAAATTCGTCCTTTACTGCCAGACGTCGTCGCCCCCACCGTAGAATAGTCGAAAGTGGTTGCTACTTTTTCGTTTTCCAATCCAATCCACTTTCGCTTTTTTTCCAGGGGGGGCGCGAGCGAAACGAACGAAAACAGCCGGGCGGCAAGTGTTCAAGAGGGTACCCAGGCGTGCCCTTAACTGGTATTTCCCTGTTCCAATGCTGTTTCCCGCCGGAAATCGTGTTTTTATAGCAGAAACATCCGGAAAATAAACTGTTTGCTTAATTTGGGGTTACGGTGGCGGCTCAAAGTACGCCGGGGCTGCCATCACCAGCACGCACTTTTGCACACTCTTGTAATTTTTATTTCAAATTGTTAACTTTTTTCAGTCAAAATTGCCGTTTTTGCTCGTTCTTATTCATTTTTTTGTGAATTCCGTTTCGAATTGCACAAAAACAAACCATAATTGACTGCTGAGATGCAAAACCCCGCACAAACACTCAAAAAGACAAAAGGAAAAGGTCAAGAACACTTGCTAAACGCGAAAATCGTTCGATTGTGCTTTCTCGAACCGATTGTTGTGTTCTCTAGACAGCTTTCGAAAGTTTTTCATGTAGCAGAAAGAAAAAGTGCAGCGGCGTTCAATTTTGCAGTTTTTCTGATGATTCAACCAAACATAACGGACAATATGTTTCACGAGCGATTTCAGCGTCACTTTTGCGATACAAATGTTTAGATATTCACGAAAACTTTTCAGTGCATCGCTTTTCAATTTTCAATAAATCACTAACAAAATTATTCAGAAAATACCCGACTTCTCCTCGGTTTCCATCTGACAATTTTGAAAAATGTACCCTGCAACCCCTAATTCTTAACGTTTCGCACTAAAACTTCACTGCGTGCAAATATGCTGAATACGGGGTGTAGTCCCGGAGTCTTATCATTGTTGTCGGTTTCATACATCAGTCTACTTCAAACTTTGTACCGTTTTGCCGTCTTGTTGACCATCTGATCGACGCAATCGGTCACCACGTGCTCTTTTTTGTTGGTTTTGATAAGAAGGACGTGCAACAGTTTGAGATGTACATTTTTAGATGAGAGTATGGAATGTAGCTATTTTCAAATTTGGGATCACTTCTGCCATCCCTACGGTTATTTTCTATGAAATCTTGAGGCAGATTGACCCTCGGGTTGTTCTCAATCGCAACAAAAACGGTTCCTTCGTCCGCAGTTCCAGTCTCTTTCACAGTTTCAGTGTTTTGCTGTAACTAAATGAATGAGTGATCAAGAGAAAGAGAGAGAGAGAGAGAGACCCGTTTCGCCTTCATTATTCTCGAGGCGACCTTCTCGAAATGTCGACTTGTTTCGGGCGGTTTACACACTGCTGTCCTTCTTCGTACTCTCGGCTTCACCTTCTGAAACCCTCTTCTTCTCCCCTCTCAACCTCTTTTGAATTTGCCCGAAAGCCGCCAAGAATTACACACTCGATTGTTGTCAGAAGTAGATACAAAAAAGTGATGTTGTTCGAGAATCATACTTAGTCATCGTGTGACTTCTTTTGTGGTTCCGTGTCAGAATTGCATTTTTGTTTCCCAAAATATCCTTCTTTCGGATTCCAAAATGTTGCGTAGACTCCGTCTAGGTCAGATCAGAAAAGAGTATATTTTCTTCAGATTTGATTTTTCAGTCCCTAAATGTGATAAACCGGTTTGCTCTTGCCGTTTTTTCATTGAAAACCGCGAGTATATCCCCGCAATTCCACCGGTCAATCCTCATTGTAATGCCTCTCATTTTTCCTTGTAATCCTATCCTATCGTCGATCGGATCGAGATGACAGCAATAACAACAATGGCAAATCCAACTTTTTTCTCGCTTCCTTTCTCTTCTTCTTTACCGCTAAGTTTCTGTACTGCGAGTAGAGAATTGGAGGCACAGACGTAAAAAGTACACGAGAAATGCAGGTAGATGGGGAGGAGGGGCAGTTACGCCTAGTTGATTGAAAAGATTTGTGTGTTGGAAGGTAGAAAACCGAATCGAAGGTGATTTCTTTCTCTTTCCCTTTCCAAGTTACCCTATACTTGTTATCGAAGAAACAGCCGAGAAGTGTTCATTTCAACATTGTCGGAATTTTACTGCTCCCAGATGCAGATTTGTTCAACTCAGCTCACATTCTACTCGAATTTACGATTGCTTTCCAGTTTTCTCTTCCCCTAGATCAATTTGTTCCAATCTTCGTTATAGTAAATGAAAGTAAACACATGGTACTTTTTCGCTCTCTCTCTCTCTCTCTCTTCTCGATTCCGGTCCCCTTTTCACTTCATATATTTGTTGCGCACACTTTGCCCTATCCTAGACACCGGAAGAGCGTTGGAGACGCAGAGGCAGCAATCATTCTAGAAAGAGAAGACGGCAAAAAGCGTTGAGCACAAGAAAGAAATTGGCTTTGCCGCTCCGCTGCCTCATTTGACCTATCGGGGTTGCCAACCTTAATTTACGCATTTCTTGATGGATTCTCTTTTTTTCGCGCGAGAATGTATAGGCGGAGGCTCACGTGCGTCTGTCATGAAAGATTATACGGCTTTCGACGACAATCCCCAGCAGATTATTCGCATTTTGAAAAAGTGTTTGGAATGCGGTGACAAAAAGGTCAGAAACTTGAGCTTTTAGTTGAGAAATGCACCGAGCGATGCATAATTCATACGTTGAAGTGTTTACCCCGGCAACTTCTACTAAAGGCCAATTCTGTTTTCAGTTTAGTTTTATTATGCTTGTACAGCTTTCCGAACAACTGATTGTACAGGAAAGACGCATTGAGAACAGCGGCAAATGCTTTTTTTTATTCGTCTTGCCATTCCCCCCTGTTTCCCACCGCTTGTACTAGTATACTCCGCCGTACACCTCTCGTTCTGTTTCCTCTCCTTCCGTCTTCTCGTTCTTTTCTTTCTCAATCACTGAGTAAACAACAACAATGGGCCGGGCTCATTTGTAAGCTGCCAAAATGTATATGAATCAGCTGATCTTCGAACTCTGATGATTCAAGTGCGCATGCTTACTCATTGTGAGAGGAGCGGCTGTTAAGAGCACTCTACGTCAGTTCATGTGCTCCCAATTTTTTAGTCACCGAATTGCTATTTTGTTGAAAAACAGGCACTTGGGCTCCATCTTCCGAGTTAATGGAAGAGCTTCTTCTCAGTTCTCGAGTTCCTTTGCGTCGATGGAAACAAACTCGCCCTAACGAAGTTTCCTTCCATTTTCTATCTTTCCCCTGGGAAATTGAACTAATGTTCTGCTACGCGTCACTAATTCACTTCTTTCCTACTCTTGTCTTTTGTCGAGTTGAGTCACTTTTAGGTTCACCTAAGATTCACGGTAAATTTGAAGTGTCATGTTTCTGATTCGACCCTCTGTTCGATTTGCCCGTTTTTCGGCTGCCACTCTTGAATGACCTTCCTCAAATTGGCCCTTTCTCACAGTAGTAATGTCCTCCTCCGCTTCTTGCCACTGTACATTCGAATTCGTCAGATATATTCGAAAAAAGAAGACGTGTTAGCCTTCACCTTTTCGGGCGGCGCGTGATACAGTAACAATAGAGAATACTGCAGAAAGCGAAGCCCAAGGGTATCATCTGGTCACGCCCCCACCATTGCCATTGTTCTATCTCTCTGTCTCTTTCTCCGTCGACCCGAAGAGGACAGATATCTACAATTTCGATCTTTCCGTTTACTGTTAGGCGATCGGCATCTCCCAGTCACTTTCTCGATCTCTATCTGATGAGGGTCACGCTTTCACGTTCTCCAATGTCGAGAGTATCACCTTTTTCAAAAAACGTTCGAGATTTTCTAGTTTCCGTTCTCCGGTTGTTCTCTAGTTGGCTATTGATAGTTTGCTTATACTTTTGAAACATTTTCGTTATTTTATTGTTTTGTATCCCGATGATTTACACAGAGCACCCAAACGATATGTTCTTCTGGAAACTGTCTAGTGAGCTCGAACTTGCTCATCCTCTTTACTCTAATTTCAACAGAACCTTTCCTCATTCCCAACAGAAATTTCCTACGGACTCACAACGAGTATTGTGATGGAAACGCCGCGTTCGACTGATGCTCCGAATTCTCCGTTCTCGGCAACGCGGTCCGTTTCTGCCCATTTCCGCCCGTCCTCCCTCACTGTGTTCGCCCGTCTCGCCATCTGCACGCACACACGCACACACTCTCTCACTCGCTCCCTCCCTTTCCGTCTCTGGCTTCTTCTTGCTCTGACCAGAGTGTAGTCGGGTCCTCTTCGTTCATCACAACACCACTCGTTTTTCCGAGTGAAATATTGCTCTTTCCGCCATCTTTTACCGCCAATTTTGCATTTTTCATAGTTTTCGTCGGTTGCGCTCACTTGGCTTTCATGCAAAAGCAGTGGGAGCATTTCGAAGAATAGGTTTGGTAGTCGCTTTAACTACTATTCGCCTTCAGCTTATCAAAAACAATAGTTTTTAGGGCAGCACATTTCTGCCCACGTGCGAGACTCTGTTTGCCTTTAATATCTTTCCCATCTCGTAAAAAGCAAATATCACATCGTTTTCTCTTGATTTTCGATAGTTTTCGCAGTTTAAAATCTTGAAATCCTTGCAGAATCTTCAAAATGGCGACGTGGACAATTCATCTAGAAGGCGGACCTCGCCGAGTGAACCACGCAGCCGTGGCAATAGGATCCAAAGTGAGTTTCCTGAGCATTTCATGAAGCTCGTCGCTCTTCCGCCACATAAACAGCTGCTCCCTCGCCGTTTCCTATCAGAAAAAAGACGAAGAGTCAGCTGGCGGGAAAATTGACGTGATTCCACTCTGATAACCTTTTTGACATCGAAAGAACTTTTGAAAGGACAAAAACGCAATTTGTTGTCTAGACGTCTGCAAAAATCTCAAATTTTGATTTCCGATAATTCGATAAAGTAATTCCCTTCAGATCTATTCGTTCGGCGGATACTGCAGCGGCGACGTGATCGACGACAAAGATCCGCTCGATGTGCACGTGTTGGACACCGGTGAGTGCTTCGAAATGTGTATCTTCTAGTGCGAATCGGAATTTCCGAATTCAACAACTCAAAAATCTGCTGAAACGGCCTTGTTCGGCCTCACGATTCGCGAAAAAGGTCAGACAGATTTGACCGGGAGATTGGCAATGAACAGAGAACACGTTTCGCATTTTCGACCGATGATCTCTGAAATTTCTTATCAGTTGCCTCTCAAAACATTTTTTTTTTCAGAAAACTTGAGATGGATGAAATTGACGCCCGGAATCGTTCATCAAAACCGCGTTTACTCACAATCAGAGCTGTTCGAGACGGGCGACGTCACAAAGCTGAGCGGCGCGGTTCCGTTCCAACGATACGGCCATTCGGTGGTCGCGCACAACGGAAAAGCGTACGTTTGGGGCGGACGCAACGATGATTACGGTGCCTGCAATCTATTGCACGAGTACGATCCAGGTGATTTTCAGTTTTTAGTCAGTACTGACCTCTCATTGATTGAATGTTGCAGAGAACAATGTGTGGCGTAAATTGGAAATCTGCGGATTCAATCCGGCGTCTCGAGATGGCCATACGGCCGTTGTCTGGAATCAGAAGATGTACGTGTTCGGCGGATTCGAAGAGGACACGCAGCGGTTCAGTCAGGAGACGTACGTCTTCGATTTCACATGCAATCGGTGGAAGGAAATGGCGACGAAAGTGAGTGACCGAGCATTTGGAGCCGGTCAGAAACCACAAACAATTGCAGGGAAAGCTTCCGATGTGGCGCGACTTCCACACGGCGTCCATCATCGACGGCGTCATGTACATCTTCGGCGGAAGGAGTGATCATACCGGTCAGGTCGGTAATCAGCACTTGGTATGTGTGCAGTGATCGTTTCGTTGGATTCCGAGAATCCCGCCCGATTCTTTCGGTTTCGCTCGTTTCTAACGCTTATTTTTGAAGTTAATTGTGGTCGTGTTTGCATGTTCTAACAGTCATTTAAAACGCTAATTCCTGTTTTCTTCCTACTTCTTCCTACATCATAACCGTTTCAGTTTCACACAAGTCACGACGTCTACGATGACCGTCTTTCGTCGCTGAACCTGACGACGGGCGTTTGGACTGAACTCAATGTGGCCGGCATTCGGCCGGGAGGACGACGAAGCCATTCGACGTGGGTGCATGGAGGAAAGATGTACCTGTTCGGAGGATATCTCGGATCCCGCAACGTTCATTACAACGAGCTCTACAGTTTCGACCCGAGCACGATGGTGTGGTCCCTCGCAGCGGTTCGTTCTTGGCTTGCCACTTTTCCCGCGTAATCCGCTGATTCCAGGTGCGCGGCAAGTACCCACTACCTCGTCGGCGTCATTGTTCGGCGGTCGTCAACGGAAAAGTGTATTTGTTCGGCGGAACGATGCCAAATCCGTTAGCTTGCCATGCTCAAGTCAACGCTGGAACTCCTGGCGTCAACGCACTCGCTGACCTCTGTGATCTCCACGTTCTCGACTTTTGTTAGTTTTCACTCACTTCTTCCTAGCCTCAACTCTTTCTTTCTGTTTCCAGCGCCGTCACTCAAACAGCTGGCAATGGGAACTGTGATCAACGAGCTCAAAGTTCCTTCCAACAACATGTTCGACGCGCTCCAAAAGGAGATTCCCACGGACATCCGCTTCGAATTGTACTGCCAAGTTACTCCGAACTGCGTGGCGAATCCCGTGGCCGGCCGGCACGATCAATCCGGATAATTACTAACTGACTCACTGCATACGTAACTCTGCTAACCACCTTCTCTGTAGAATCATGTACTTAATGTCATTTTTGTACATACCATCGCGGGTGTCCTTGTTTCCTCTCTCTTCTCACCGATCTATGGTACGCCCTTTTCCAGAATCCCCGTTATAGATTTTAAATCTGTTTCTTTTATTTTAATTGTATCCACATTGTCTGTACATTGCCCTTTATCTCACAACTTCTGACTTATCGTCTGTGTCTGATCATATGTTTCTTCTGTTTTTCTTCGCAGCATCCCAACTTGTTTCTAACATTAAATCAATTCGAAGCAGTTTCATTGAAAAATAGTTATAGATGTGGAATGTCGTTGAATGTTCTCTATTCTTGTAGATACTTCTGAAATTTCTCCATTAGATTTTCCTCCCCGAAAGTGTCAACCTTAAAATGCGCCTCAATATCCTTCTCCACGTCCTCCTCCCGATTCGTGAAGAACCCTCGCAGCCAGTTCTCCGTCGTTCGGCTGCCCATCACCGGTCCCTCGATCATTATCAACGGCTTCTGACTCTCGGATTTCGAATATCTTTTGCGAAGAATCACTCGATATATTCTGAAATTTAAATTCTTTTCTAAAGTCTTGCCGAGCGCTCCAAACTTCTCAATAAACGGAATCGGCGGAGCTGGCAGCGGCAGCGTCTGCCACAAAAAGAGCATCTCCGGACGGTATTTGGCCACGTTGTTCACCATTTCCTCGGGATGGAAACTGAAGAGGCGGTGGAAGACGTGCACGTCCTCTTCGTTTCCTGAAATACGATTATGATTTTCGTAAAACCGATATATCTCAGCTGTCTGTTGAGATATCAAAAAGTGGTAAACTGATAAAATGTGCACAAGATTTCAATGAGCAATTTATTACTGACAACTTTGTTATCTTCACAAGCAGCTCAGATATATCGTTTTGAATAAAAGGTTTACCAGTCAACACAATCAGCTTCATCACATCTGCTGCGGCTTCCAAAAAGTAGGTTTCACAGTAGAACACGTACACTTTGTACTTCTGAAAAACCGGACACATTCTGAACTTTCGTTGATTGATTGCCTACCGTATCCGTGCACGCACTCAGCATCTCTCTCATATCGACCAGCGATTCCATTGCCATCTCCAGAACCGCACCGGAAACATTTGGGAATTTGAGCTCTTTGAGTTTTTCATCGAAAAATGAGTGGAGAAAATACGGAATAGCAGTTTTGGAACTCGGACGGTACGATCCGATGCTTGAATTGAATACACTTCCGGATACGATCGGACGATGTCTTCGAGGAGAATTCGACTGAAATATTCCAAGTTACCAAGATTTCCAGCTATCTCACCGCTTGTAAACTTTGAAATCCTTGGGATGCTCGCACCCACTCAAATCCTCGATATAACCCACAAATCGAGTATTGTCGACGTCTTGATCGCATGCCGAATTCAAGTCGATCACGTTGTTCTCATCCACGTACTTTATCAGATCCATCGACACGACCAGTGTCCTGAGCACGTAGAAAATGCACGGATAAATGTAGAAATGGTTCATTTTGGTCTTGTCACTCCGATGCCCGACCGCCTGCACCTTCACCAGCTCCCCGATCACTTCGGTGCCGATGTTCCGTCTCTCGATGATCCGTCCGATGTCCCTCGTTTGGAAGCACGCCGTCATATTGAGCTTCGTCTCGAATCTTCCTTTGCTCAACTTGTGACGCTCTTTGAAGTAGCCGATAAAGTCCGCGTACTTGGTGTAACTGAAAAATGAAGAGGAGTTACAGTAATCTGAGAGTGACTTACGTCCAAATGCCTTCATGATCACTTGGAAGACCTAAAGTCTGAACCAACTGAAGCCCGCTTCGAATCACTGAGATTTTGTGCTCATATTTGAGTTGCGCTTCTCGAGCTCTGAAAAAACAGTTTGATTATATTTAGAACTATTGGTTCCCTTGTACATTTGCTCCTTATCCCCCTTGATCATGATCCTCAAGTCCTCCGACTTCTTCACATCTCTACAAAAACGCTCAGCGACGAGAAGCTGCGCGAATTTATCATTTCCATACTCGGCCAACTCGACCAGCAGTCCCGGCAGCTTCTGCCCCGGTCCCACACGGATCAGCTGATAAAGATGATCAATGGCAGTGAGCGTCTCCAGTTCATCGATAATCATTCCTGAAAACTAGTCATAAAGGGCCTACAGTATCTACAGCCACCTACCGTATTCGTTGAAGCATTTCTGGTACTGGTCGTTCAGAAACTGTTCCACGGCGTCCAACTTCTTCACGGACGTCTCGATCCCGTCGAGATACTCGGCCCACGGGTGGAATGTGAGAAGAGTGAACACGGAGTAGTCCATCTGATGACGTGGATGCAGTTCTTCGATGTGAGCGTTCTTCGGATTGGTCTGTAGGATCAATGACTGCGCGTCGGCGCCACGGACAACCCGACGGTTTTGAAGGGAAACGGAACTTCGTTGAGCGAAGCGACCAGTTGAACGTCTTCAGAATCCACTGCGAAATGAAGACGTCCTCGGAAGAGCGTCTCTCTGTCACGATACCAAACGGTGCCTTCAAAAAAGAGAAATCTATCGAAGCAACTTCTTCGATAAAGTACCATCTTGGCAGACTTGCATGTGCATCAATTTCGGCACTCTTTTGCCACAAAAATAGAATATTATCCGTCCGTTCTTCCCAATTTCTTCACACTTCCACACAAAACTGCTCACTTCGACCTGTCAAAACCGATTTTTTGGGATCAATGTCCTACAAGACGATTAATCACGTACATTCACAGTGTTCCCATCGAATTGCACGTTGGCACTGAACTTTGGGTCTGTTGATCGTTGAGTTTCCTCGCGTAATCATCCAATTATTGTCCTCTTCCAATTCTCGCAACTCTTCGCAATCCTTCAGTCTCTGTCGCTCTTCCGAATTGCCGACGAACAGCGTCTTCTCGTTCGTGTAATTCACAAATTTCGTGTAGTTTTCACCAACTTCTATTATCGGTTTCTCCGTCTAAAGTTGTTCATTTTTCAATCCTTCTAAATATACGGTACCTTGAGGTTGATGTAGTCCAACTTTACGGGACTACTGTAGTATTCTGGAGTCACTAAAGGATCCACGAGAAAGTTGTCCGCCTTGCCACAAGCCCACAGTTCTCCGGTGAATTTCCGCCAGAATATTGTATGGTTTTTGCCATGGAATCCCAATTTGAACTGAACAGTTTGACAGTGAATAGCTTTGCACAGTGTGTTACATCAAAATCGAAAGGCGTCAGTTCGCGCACTCTCTCCTCGCACACTCCCAATTTCCCGAAAGAATTCTCTCCGAACACCATCGATGACGTCATCCGTTCTGAGTCCGCTGCAATCTTTCGAAACTTTTCAGATTTCCCAACTTACTCGACTTTTGGAAAACGGCAATTTCATTGAAAGAGACCGGGCAGGAGAGCAGGTAATCGACCGAGATGCCGGCAGAATTAAAGTCTGCGAAATGTTTCACAATGAACACTTTTTTGGGAAACGCAAGTTTTTGAAGCTGAAAACACTTTACAAATGGTTGGGAGAGAGAGAGAGAGAGAGCTTCGAAGAAAAGAACAATATTAGAAAAGAAGGGCACCGAAAACGCGTCAGTGTTCTTTTCAAGTGAAATGAGTCACTGAAACGCACCGTCTCGACCATCGCCCGCTGCTTCCACAAACTCGACTTTTTGATGTATTCGGCCAGCACTTGCGCGCAATCCTCCACTACCGTAATATCGTCGTTTTCTGAAATCCGACGACCACCACGTGCGCCTTTAACTCTTTGGATACCTCTACAGTAATCCACAATGCCTTTGTACCAGCTGACCGCTTGTGTCGGCCGATTCTCCAAACTTTTATGAAATCTAATTAGTGCTCGAATCATTTTCGGACTCAATCTGAAGCATTTTGAGAGTCGGTTCCCTTCAAATGTTATAAACTTACTGATGTCCGGATGACGTGTCATTCATTCTGTGAATCTTGGAAACAGTTCAATGGGAACGTCGAAAAGCGGGGAGGGAAAGGAAGAAAGAGAGAGAGAGAGAGAGAGAGAGAGAAAGAGCGGCGGCGCTCTCAAAATGGGATCGTTTTATAGATTCGTCGGAGCGCGGAAAGCGAGGCAAGACACATAAAATATCGCAGTGTTTTATGCAATTCTCTCTGTTGACAAGGTAACCCACAACATGAACAAGAAGAAGAAGAAGAAGAAGAAGGAGAAGAAGAAGGAGAAGGAGAAGAAGTCGTTACTTTTATGAGCCCATGACGTGGCAAACGAAGAACCAAATTGGCACCTTCCGCCTACCTTTTCAGACTCATTTTTATTATTTGACAGAAAAAAAGGATGTTGGTAAATGATGAATCAATGTCAAGAAAATGCAAAAAAAAAATACTTTGGGGGGCAACGGGACGATATTAATATTAGGGAAGTGCTCGTTGAGCCCAAGATGTGATGCTCCCTGAATGCGTGGACAAGATGCTTGAAAATAGTTGATAGGAAGAAGAATCATGATACAAAAGAGGCTAGCGATGATTGTTAGGAACGGGACCGTAGTGGACGTATCGGGGGTCCCTGTCCGACGAGCGTCTCCTCTTTCGGTGCAGTTTTCCCTCCCAGAGGTAGATCGATCTCTGCAAGACTCTATTATTATTATGAAGCCCTGGGCTATTGGCCGGCTCGGGCCTTTTCAAAGGCTTTTCGAAGGCCTAGACGTTTGGCCACCTCGCCCCAACTTTGCAGGCTTCTTGGACTTGTATTTCGGGTTCAAGTGTCAGACAGACAGGATTATCTGGCCCGCAGATGGTGTGGCTTCTGATCTAGCGCGATCGGGCTGATACTTGCACCCAAGAAACTTCAATCCAAGTCCAAGAAGCCTGCAAGGTTTGGGCCCGATCAGATTCTTGACTGCTGCAAATGGCGTTTTGCCCAGTCCCTGTGCGAACTCACCATCACGTCGAACATCACTTCCTTGCCGTCGCCGTCCTTCGTCAGAAACGAGGCCAACCACTTGGATCTGATATTCTCGTTGTCCACTTTCGTGTCGCCCATCGCAAAAAATGGCGCACAATCGCACGATCCCATCGTTTTGAAGCGATGGTATTTTATCGATTGGCAAACTCTGAAGATTTCAATTCCAAATGGCCACCTGTGAATGCTCTCACTTCTCAAGGACTTTCAGATAGTGTCCGGGAATGGGGAACTCTTTCCAGTACATGACCATGTCCGGGCGGAGCTCTCCGACCAGGGGCATCATCTGATCGCAGTCCATGTAGAAGAGCTCTCGAATGAACTTTGCATCTTTCTCCTCGGCTGAAACGGATGCGCTGGTTTCACAAAGGCATTCAAATGTTACCGGTCAAGACGATCATTCGAAGAAGGTCGGGAATGATCTGGGTGAAGAGGCAGAATCGACAGAGCGCCAGCACTTCTTCTTTCAAATTCATGTCGGCCGCGAAGAACGTTCGCACATCGATCAGAACCTTCATGGCCAACTCGATCGCCTCGGCGCTGAACTCCAACTTCAGTCTGTTCGGATCCTCCTTCGTCTGCTCGGCGTGTCGTCTCCGGCCCGCATCGAATCCGCGCGAGTACGTCTGGAACAGAATCGCCGGCACGCGAAGGCTCTTCTCGTCGCCCGTCGCGACCGTGTACACTTCTTCGGCCGGCAGATCTTTTCGCGATTTTTTCAATGTCAATCTCTCTGAAATCAGGAATTAATGAATGTCGGTACTTTTTGTTCTGAAACAAACTGCTTGAAGGCGATCAACGATTTGCGATCATCGGGAACGCGGAAGAATGCGTCGATGAGCTGTTGGAATCTCTCGGCGTCGGAGTTCAGGCACACCTGCAATGATTTCGGAGTGACATCCTTCTTTCAGATCGAATCGATTACCGCATTGAGGTTGAGTACGTCGTCCTCGGTGACGTGCTTCATCAAACCGGGATCGATGTTTCGGATGAAGAACGGCAGCGTCTCTAGGCTGTAGCACAAGTGTCGGAGTCCTCGAATCTGCGTTCCGGCCGCCTCCACCTGCATAAGCAATCTGCTGCTCGGATGGATGCTCTTCCAACTAGCTTACCCGAATCATACGGAACTTTGGATCGTCCGCCTCCGCATCGCCCTCGTTGATTCTCTGCCGAACGGCAAGTCCAACCTTCTCCGAGTGGACGATGCTATCTACTGAATCAAAAATGATCGGCTCCTCAATGATAACGGAGCGTTTTTTCAGCGGTTGGATGACAAGGTTGAGCTCGATCAGAATGTGCTTGATCCTGAACTTATTGTCTTTATGTTCAAGACGGTACTGAAATAAATAGTACCAAAGTCGGAAAGTGATGTCGATGCCATGAATGTGGTACTTCAACGGGAGCAGAACCATCGATTCGAGGGTCGATTTGCAGTCGCCCACGATTCCGGTAATGTACACGTTCGCGGCCTCGTTTCTGTAATCACACAATAACTTCTTCGTTTTCCTAAACAACCTCACATCTGTGCCTGTCGGTTCTCGTCCCTGAAGGCGGCCTTCACAACGACGGGCGGCACTTTCACGCACTCCTCCTTCATCTTCGTCCTCTCCTCGTGCAGATACTCTTCGAAATCGCACGGCGAACTCATCTCGACGCCTTCTCCAGAATCTCCGGGATTCCCTTCTCCCTGCCCGGCTTCAGAACGTACTTGAGCTTGAGCAAGGCCTGCACGAACTCGGTCCGCTCTCCGGTTATTCCCGATTCCAGGTACACAAAGTCGGTCCAATCATGCGGAAGGTCGGCGAAGATCTTGTTGAACTCCTCGACGAGAATCGTTGCGTGGCAAAAGTGCACCGGAATGTTATCGTCAAAGTTGGTAACCAGCATCGGAGAATGGGGACTGAACTTTGGCAGACTCTGGATTTGATCGATCGACGATCCTGGAGGTGTTGGCTGAAACGCAAGAGGACTCTAAAAGTGCTTCGAACGCAATTAAAATACTCACAATCAGAACCAGAGCAAAGTTCTCGCGGCACAACTCGAACTTTTCGATTGCGATCGGAAACGCGACCTCCTCGAGCACGGCCATCAGCACTTTGTTCGCGTCCTCGTGGTTGACCGCTTCTTCCTCGTCCGACGAGTCGTCCCTCCCGAACAATGACGTCTCTTTCTGGGGCGCCAGTTGGAACGTTCCTTTGTAGAAGGTCCGTCTGTGGCACGCGTATACAGTACCTGAACGCGATTGTTTGTATTCAAGTATTGTCCTGTTCCCGAAAAAGCCAAGATACCGTCTGCCGTCGCCTGCCATCTCATCCACATCCGCTCGGGGTCCACTCGCATTCCGCCCACGATGAACACGATCGGAAGCCACGTGCTGTACTTGTACGAACACTTCCAGACACTGTCGTTTCGAACCTCCACCTGAACCGCCCGAATTGTAAGAGCTCTAGACATTAGAAGGTGTCGTTGAAACTCACAAAAGTTTTAAACCTTTTCACAGTGTTCACTTCAACCGAATATATTTTGAATTTGGCGTTCGAACCCCACTCCGAGTCGATAATCTTCCAATTGTTTCCCGACGAGTGCATGGTCTCCTCGAACTTTGCGGCCAGTCTTCCGATCACCAGCGTACTGCCTTTTGTATTGAAATCCAGAAACTTGGTACTATGCTCATCGAGCACACATCTGATCGTTTTCTGAAAAACTCGAGAGGATTGAGAAGCACTCACAGTAGATTCTAAGCACCGCTTTGACATAGTCCAACTTGACCGGACTGGAGATGATTGTTCTCTCGTCGACGGGTCCTTCGAGAAAGTTCGCCGCTTTGCCGGCTCCGTAAAACTCGCCGGATTCAGTTTTGAAGATGGTGTGCGAGGGTCCGAAGTACACTTGCATGATCTGAATGGATGTTGCGACGGTTGTCAGGTCGTGTAAAGGCGGCTCTTACCGGTTCTTTGATGCGGATGTACTGCAGTTCCTGAATGTTCGGTTCCTCCGAACCAATCCCCAGTCGCCCGTTGGTATTGTCTCCCATGGCCATCGGGAACAGCATGTCTGAAATTGAATTCCAGAACTGTCGCGCCCAACTCTAAATCTGACCGCATTTCACAAATCTCAGTGTGTTGGTGATTCTGTGCGGTTGCAAAGTGGCCTCCATCGAGAAGCCGGCCGTGTTGAAGTCGAGGAACTGTCTGTGCAGAAGGACCTTCGCGTCGACCGGAACTTTGCACATGTGCTCCGCCATCTTCCGACGCTTGTACACCGAACACGCCTTCAGACAGTCGCCCATCATTCTCGCGGCCGTCTCCGCGAACCGCGGATCCAGATTCAAGCCTCAAATCGATAATCAGTTCGCCCGAAAAACGGATCCACTCACTTCTGCAAAAGTTTATGAGGTTTCCATACACTTCACATGTTGTCGGCGAATTGGTCGCAATGTGGTGTGCAAGATTTCCAGCGCCAGCTCGAAATCTTTCTGATATTTTGGTAACGATCTGAAATCAATAGTACATAAAACCTCGCCAGTCTTGAAAAAAACTAACTCTTCATCTGGCTTCTCGTACAAACTTTCTCCATTCATTGTTTATCTGAAAGTAGGGAAAAATTGTGTGGAATTGTCCGATTTGCATATGTTTCGGTGTGTTAAGGGACGTTATTTCGGAGTGTCGTTCGAGTGTGGGGTGATGACTTGGCTATCGATTGAAGGGGTGAAGGATGTTTTTGCGTGGAAAGATTATGGAAAAGGACACCCTAACAATTGCCAATTTGCTATATTCAGAATTCACAAAAATTGTTGGAAATTGTGATCTAAAAACGGAATAAAGACTCTCTGTTCGCAGTATTTGAACATCCGCGAATTTGACGGTCGACACACGAGCGGAGTTTTCTAGTCCACGGTCGCGTGTACTCCTCCCGGACAAGCTATTCATTTTCGATTTCTTTGATTTTTTCGTTCCCGCTCAATTTCGACCGTTTTTTTTTCTCAGGTTTTTCGACCCGAAACATGTTCGATGCGTACACTCCAAGTGAAGTAGCCCTCCGGTTGCCAGTAGAAGTCACTTGCCTCGCATTTCAAGGAAATCCAGGTAAACATTTGAAAATCCTCTAAAAGTTCATTGAAATCGTTTGCAGATGCGAAACACAGCGTGTTAGCAGGAGGAAGAGCCGGCCACTTGTACGTTTATTCATTTTCTTCAAGTAAGTAATCAAGAAATGACCGAAAACATTTGTTTTTTTGCAGATCGACGCGGGTTCGAACTAACCAATGTCTGCAAGACATTCCACAAAAAAGCAGTGCTTGAAATGAAAGTTTGTCAACCGGAAGACCTTCTTTTGTGCGTTTCCGACGGTCAATTAATGGCTCATCGCCTCAGCGACCCGGAATATAAAGTGGAAACGCTCATTCACAAAGTGAAACCGGTTAACACGTTTGCCAGATTTACTCCAAAGGTCTGAGACGCCACAGTATTCAATTATACCTAATATGAAGGAATTCAGACTTCTGGAGATCTTTACGTCATTCTGTCGTCACGGAAAAAGCTGTTTCTCTTCAAATGGGGCGAAAAGGACGGGCACAAAGAGTTCATCGAAGTGCAACTTGACTACAATCCCATCTTCGTGGACACACCGAATTGCATCAGGTTCGCACATGAAAAAAAGCAAACAGAAAAAAACGTATTTTTGTTGCAGATGCGTCGGCGAAACGGTTTTCTTCTCAGTTCGCAACGAGTACTTCTCAATGACGATGCGAAAAGACAAAACGGCGCCAAAGTCACCGAGCGACACGTCGTCGCCGTCGCCGCCAGAAGGGTGGGAGGGATTCGTGACTCGTCTGTTCAACTTCAATTGCCAACCTGGCATAGTTCCGATGATCGACAGACGGAGAGTCGCTTTCGTTCGCAATGAAACAGTCGTGACCACGGATATCTGGGGGAACCGGCCGACGGACGAGTACAAATTCAGCGAGGTGCCCATGCAGATCGGTCAGTTTTTCGCTGGAAAAGTCTGTAAAAAGGTTTCATCTTCAGTGTACGATTCCCCGTACTTGATCGGAATGCTCTCGAAAGGACGCGTCGAGGTCCGTTCGATCTTTGACGGCCAGCTCGTTCAGACGATGTCGCTCCCGAAGGCGATGGCCCTCTGCGACGGAATCCGCGGTCAAGTGTTCGTCTCGGCGCTCTCCGACATCTGGATACTCGACACGGCACAGAATTTGCGGAAGAACGTGTCCCATCTCATTCAGGAGCGACAATTCGAGCTGGCCATCCAACTGGCCGACAATTCGAATGTGTTCAGCGACGAAGCGAAAATCGAGATAAAAAAAAGGCGGCGTTGAATTTGTTCAATCAGAAAAAGTTCGATGAATCGTTTGCGCTTTTCTTGGATATCAAAACAGGTCGGTTCAAATCTAAGGCTTATTCAATAATCTATCTCCTTCCAGATGTGCTCACAATCCTGCGAATGTTCCCTGAACTTCTACCCGATCGAATCAGAAAGAACACGACGCTGACCGATGAAATGCCGGCCAACGACCGGATGCGGGCTCTTCTCGCACTGGGCAACTACCTCTCCGAGATCCGAACCGAACACGCCAAGCACATCGATCTGTACAACAGACTGAGAGCGTCCGGACAGGCGAAAAACGTGGACAACGAGGAGCTGCACAAATTGAATATCACGCTGCAAGTGGTCGACACTACACTCCTCAAGTGCTATATCAAGGTGATCCGACGATCGTAGTTTTCTAAAAAAAATAGATGAATTTCAGACGAAGCCAGCGCTCGTCGACTCGCTGATCCGTCTGCAGAGCAACGCGTGCACTTTCAACGACGCCGAGGAGATTCTGAAGTCGGAAGGCCGTCTCCGATCGCTTTTCATCCTCTACGAATCCCGCAAGAAGCACGAACTGGCTCTGGACCTGCTCATCGAGCAGTCGACTCGCGCGGACGCCGATCCGTTTTTTCACGACGCCGTCGAGCAGATTGTCGAGTATTTGCAGTCGCTCGGAAACAGTAATCTGCCGTTGATTCTCAAGTACGCAAAATGGGTTCTCGCCAAGAATCTGGACGCCGGAGTGCAGGTTTGTGATGAATTTCATCAGATGAAATCTTGCGAAAATGAACGTTCTCTTTGCAGATATTCACGAGTGACGAGACGGAAATGGCGCGAAATCTGAACCGTAAGACGGTGGTCGAATTTCTAAAATCCGAGTGTCCGATGGCTCTGATTCCCTACTTGGAGCACGTCATTTTCAAGTGGGACGAGCCGGCGCCCTACTTCCACGAGACACTTCTCGAGTACTACGTGGCGAGGGTTAACTCTCTGTTCAAGGACTACGTGCACGCATTCCCTGACGGTATTCAAGTCCCGAACGGATATCTCACACACCCTTCCAAGTATTTGCAGACGAGAACATCACTCGTGCGGGCGACGAAGACGGCGAACTCGGCATGTTCCGGAAACGTCTTCTGAGGTTTCTGGAAGTGTCGCACGCCTACAGTCCCCAAACAGTCTTGCTTCAGTTGGCGCCGCACGCATTCTTCGAAGAGCGCGCTCTCATTTTGGGTCGACTGAAACAGCACGATCAGGCACTTGCGCTCTATGTGAATACGCTAAAAAATGTGCCGGCTGCCGAGGATTACTGTAGACTGTACTATAATGCGAACGATGAGACCAATTCACAGGTGAGAGTGCGAAAAGAGTTGTGCTCTCCCACCGACTCTTCCTCTCTCGAGAGACCCTGAAAACTCTTTGAACTCTTCCTCAACTTACAGATCTACCTGCTGTTGTTCCGAACTCTGGTCCACCCGAATCATAACCCCCACCATTCGCCTCCCTACCCTTCCGACACGACTCCATTCGGCTCGTTCCGTGACGACATTTCGGACACGTCGACAGTCGTCAACTCGACGTCTTCATATCAACCGGACATCAACACGGCCATCAAGATTCTCGCGAAATATGCGGACAAACTGGACAAAGTGGGCGCACTGAACATGCTGCCGGCCACCACTCCGCTAAGAGTCGTCTACGCGGCCATCAATGCCGTCATTCAGACGACCGGCACGCAAGGAGCTACGGTTCGTTTGTGAGAAGATGACACAGCTATTTTGAGTACTTTTGCAGAGAATGCTCGAAAGGTCAGTGTCCGAATATGCGACGTCGAAGAAACGCGAACGAAAGAACCGAGTCGAGTCGACGAAAGTGGTGGTGAACTTCCAAAGCGAATGTGTTTCGTGCGAGAAGAAGATCGCCGGAAGCACGTTTGTCCGATATCCGGACGGCCGACTCGCCCATCTCTACTGTCACACCGACCACAAAGGAAGCATCCGACGGTAGACAACGCACCCCCTTATGTAGATAGTTTTCCCCCATTTTTCTATGTGCCTTTGAATCTGTATAACTGTAACTATACTCTCACTGATTCACCCCCTCACCACTAGTCAACACTCACTCACTTGTGCCTTCTGCTTCTGACCAATTCTGTGATTTTTATTTGCGTGTATTACATATGATAATCTGTTTATTATTCGTAAGTTATTATTTGTCACAGATTGGCACAGCAAGCCGCGAGTATGCCCTCCTCGGAGCACGGAGACGTGCAGCAGTCGGAGATCGGTTCTGAACGAGAAAGTTATCATTGCACTTTGTTTTTTAAACTCACGGATGCTCTGGACGATGTCTACGGAACGGCACGCGGCGGGAGCCACCGTCTGGCAGTACTTTCCGAGCATGAAGACGCACTTTTCGACGCGGCCTTCGGTGCTCGACGTGAAAACGAGCACGACGGCGAGGATCAGGAGGAGAGCGGCGAAGGAAGAGGAGGACGGCATTGGGGAGACTGAACAAGATACGGAAGATGAAACAGAAGGCAGCCACGATTTGTGAATCCGAAAACAAAGGGGCGGGGCTCCGGAGAAACGGCTCTGATTGCTCACGTGCTTGAGAGATTATGGGTCGGAGATCGGATACGGTAGAGAAGGGATGAATGCGTTTTGACAATTAATTAGGAAAAAATACACACAGTTTTCAGCACTGTTTATCATTTTGCGATTTAGAAACTTTTCACGGAAAAGTAACAGACGTCTTCTTTCGGTCATCTTCAGCTCACCGTGCTGCTCATATTTCCTGATTTCTGACGCGTGTTATTCACAGACATGTGCCCTTGTTTGGAGGTTTCGAATATCGCATTACTAATAATATGCCCTTGTTTTCGGATCATGAACCAAACTGATCACGCCGAAGGAAATATCCAATTTCCGTTTTACTATGCACTTGTGCATTCGCGTATCGGAAATAGGTAACAATAGGAATGAAATGGTGAAAAGTGACTAGAGAACGTTCTTCCAGAATTCGGAGAGCACAAACAGATTTCCTTCCCGTTCAAATGCTCGTTGTGCTTTTGATTCCGAGAACGTGGAAGGCTCGATCGAACTTAATCAAATTGCATTTCAATTGTGTCGATGTCACATTTCGCAAATGGATTCGGGTTATTCGGGAACGGAAACGAACGCGAGAAACTTCAAAACACTGTGTAATCCCTCTGTATTTTGGTCGAACCGATCCGAAGTGCATCCGGTGCAACTGCTGTGCTACGCCTGCTCTCCAAATGTTACATGCTAACTGGCGAACTTGTTTTCCGAATACTCAATTCATTCGCAATAATCTTGTAGCACGAAAAGTTCGACAAACACAGAACGCGCGATTCCCTTATCGGGAGCTTACGTGGATTTTCACATGAACCGCACCGGGATTGTTTTGATAAACAGTCGCGTGTCGGAAGGCAGCTCACTGTAAACATCATTTGTGATCCGAATCATGGTGCATCTACCGTCATCGGCTTGTGGTTTCTGCCATATGAATGGATGGAGATTGATCTGAAAACAACATCAAAGAGAAGGAGAAAGAGAGGAATTCTGGAGGGTCTGGACGTTTTGCAACTCATTTGACACTGTATGATACATTGAATTCATTTCAGATTCGAGTGCACTTTTCCATTCTCCTGCAATTTTCGCTGTCAACAAGCGCCCTCGATTGTATCCGGTGTTTCTTGTTGATAATCGGTCGCAAAAGTGTAATAGTAAGGTCGGGGAGAGGGGTAAAAAAGTTCAAAACAATGGAACAAAGTGGCACCGAGACGAGCGGCGATGTGTTTTGTTTTTGAGGAGAAGAAGCGAAAACGTGTGCACTTTGAAACGGAGCAGCCGAAGTTTTAAGTTTTTGATGCAAATTAATATGTGTGCGGGGTTGGAAATGAACGTGCAAAAGTACTGAAGGCCAGAAGATTGGATTTGTAGATTCCTAATATCAAATCACTTATTTTCAGGTACTTCCGACTTCCGACTTCCAATAAAGAGCATGAACTCAATTCGCTCGTTTTCTCAATTGTTCATATTGAAAATATGGGAAACTAATGTGAAAATTGCCGTCATTTCCTATTTTCCTCGAACTTTTACGATAGAAAATCAAGAATTCCAATCGCAAAAGTTCGCCAAACTCTTCTTTTTTTCATTCCCTGCCACGTCACACAAAATGAGTTTCGATTCCCCTTTTAGGCGAGAGAGAGAGAGAGAGAGAGAGAGAGAGAGCCGTCACAAAAGAGTGAAATGGTCCCATTCATCTTGCTCGTCTTTCCGTCAAACCGCAGTGTTTTGTTCTCTCTTTTTTTGAGGAGGAGCCGTCCGTTCGTCAAAAGGCGACACTGCTCTCCCGAATGGATTCCACGAGTGTTTTCCTTCTCGCAGTCAAATGTCTTCTCGTACTCATTCCCTTTCTGATCCTCGTCCATTACGGCATCGCCAACTACGAGAACTGGGCCAATCGGTGCGTCGACGAAGCCACGCGGCACCACATCGAAGTGTGCACTCTCGTGAGTCTTATCAGGCTGGAAGTATTTCTGTCCCAGTGCGCCCTAATTTGACTTTTTCCAGGACCTCATAAACTTCGACTTGGACTACCGTAAGTGGGAAGAGTCCAACTTTCCGTCTCAAGACCAAAAGCTCATCGAGAACCTCAAAAGACAGTGTGAAGATGTTCAGGTACCGTTGCAAATGCTCCTGGTATTCAGAACCGTTCATTATTTAGAAATGTTTCAAAAGCATACGAGGAAAATGCGAGGACACGAAGCAAATCGTCGAAAACTTTCCCACGTGGCTACGGCGAATCGAATTCTTCAGCGGACACTTTGCAAAGTGCGCCGGAAAAGTGAATCTCAAAGACACAAAGTCGAATGAATTGTAATGGCAAGTTTCAGATAAACCAGATATCCGGAAGGGCTCCGTGCGCACAACAGTACTTCCGAATCGAGTTCATCGAGAAGAAACGGCGAGAAAAGTGCGAGATAATGCGAGAAAACGAAGAGTGTATTCTGGAGAAAGTGGCAAAGACGTGCGCCCTCCAGATGGCCGCAATCATGAAGAATGTGAGTGGTAGCCGCATAGAACACTCAACGTTTTCCGTCATTTCCAGCACTTGGCCACCGAGGCAGCCTTGATCGGATGCTGACCGATCTTTGGTGATTTTCTGGCCTATTAACCCCCTGAAAACTGGCTAAATTTCTCAGATTGTATCGCTTTTTTGTGTGTCCCTTCCTGCATTTCGCTGAACAATCCGATACGAATTCGCATTTGTTGCTTCAAAAATGAACACGTACTGCTTACTCATTGTTCTCTTCATTATTCGCCGATTCGAAACGGCCCCGTTGACTCTGAAAAGCTCTGAAAACTCGACAGAATGTCCAATTGAGAAAATTGAGAAAATCGGCGATTGTGTACAGGTTTATTCATCGACCGTTTGACTCGAAAACGAAAAATTGTCCCATCAGAACTTGATGTCAACTGTGGAGAGTATCACGAAATGGGTGGACCAGGAGTACAAGTTCGACACGGGCGAAAAGAAGGAATTCCAGACAAAGTGTGAAGAAGCGCAGGTGAGCTGCCCGCTTTTCAGTCTTCTTTTCAGTCTTTCCCCTTTCAGAAGTGCTTCGCTTCAGTCAAATCGAGTTGTCCGGACTTTCCAGACTCTGTGAACCAGGAAGTGAGCGTCATGTGCTCCAGATTCACATTTATCATTGACAAGTTCACGGATTGCGTTCCGAAACTGGATAAGCTCACCGAAATCGCTTGTGTCAACGAGGTGTTTGGTCCCGATTCCATGAAGGTGAGCAGCTGCCGGAGCTGGGTAGAAGAGTCAAAGTCTTCAGAAAAGCGGAAAGGAAAAGTGTCAATATATCAAGAAGAATCGAGAGTGCGCGAGGCTGGAAGTTGAGAAGAATTGTGGACAGAAGATGGCTGCAGTGTTGGATGAGGTACCGTCACCCCAATATCATTCATTCATGACAATATATCTCAGCTGTCGGTAGAGATATGAAAAAGTAGTCAACTGATAGAATGCTAAGAAAGACATTGTGCATATTTCATCAGTTGAGTACTTTTTGATATCTCTTTAGACAACTGAGATACATTGTCCTGAATCAGGAGATAGTTCTGGTACTCGCACCAACAGAACAATGATCCTCATTTGCTTTTTGTCTTTGTCCACCAATGAGCGCTACCTGAACTAACTCAAAAATCAACGACACTTCCCGAACCTTCTCTAGATGATTACTTTCTTACAACTATTGTGAACTCACTTTCCATATCAAATTGCTTACTGTTCCAGAACTTTGACGAGGAGCTGAAACTGTACACGTGTTAAATTGGTCGCCAACTGATCGGACACTGATGTTTTCGCTGTCAAACAACCCACGAATTCAGTAAATATTTGCTCTTCTCTTCTTATTTTAGCCGCCCCTTAAACCAATTAAATAACTTTGCCTTATCACCACACATAAATGATTGCGAACTTACTTTTCCTGCTGGGACTGCTCATTGTGCACTCCCATAGTTATTCTCTTCACTGCGCATCTTCTTCCATACGAAGTCAAATCAGAAAATGCACGGCAACCGTACACGATTTCCAAAACCATCAAGCTCAAGTCGACGGAGATCACTGGCTCGAGCCACAAGTCTCCAAGGTGCTCAACAAGAAGTGCGATGAAGCAAAGGTGCGTCACTCGGACTTCCACAATATCCAATCCTTTGCAGAAATGTCTCCGGATGCTCGAAGACTGCTCCGTTTTCGAAGACGACGATATTCTGTGGCTCGAAGATTTCTGCGATTCCTACGGGTTTTTGACAGGCGCTTTTCACTCGTGCGCCGTCAAAATCGACAAGAACTTTAAGGATCCGTGTGTGCAGCACTATCTCGTCAATTCACCCTACTTTATGGTTCGTTGAGCCTGAAGCTTCTACTCAAAACAACCGTTTTTTCAGTTGGACGAATCGGATCGGTGTGACATGCTGAAAAACGACGGCCGATGTTTGAAGAGGATCATAAACTCCACGTGTTCGCCCGATTTCGCAGCCGATTTCCAAGAGTTACTCGGCCGACAAATGACGCGATTAGACTGTTGATTCTCTATTTCTTCGCTCTTGCCATAAATATTTTTTACACCGCCGTGAACTTGACCTGCCCTGCCCGTTAACATTCGAATCGATTCCAGTCAAATCAGTTTCTCCTGTGGAAACGCCCCGGCGAAATGCGTTCGTTCTTCAACGACCTTCTCGATAAAATTTACGATTTTTTCGACCGTGATTCTGATGTGATCTTGCGATGACGATAAGTTCACCTCTCATCCTCACGCCACTCTTTTTCAGTTGATCACCCTCAATCTTGCCGTTCTTTACTTCGTTCTTTACCTTTTTCAATGTGTCCTTTACCTGGTCGACGCGTAAGCTTACTGAAATGAAAACGTTGGAAAGTTTCTTCAGCGTCTGCTTTTTCTACGATGAACAAAGGATAGCCGAGATTTCAACATTGGCTACACCTTACTGATGCTCTTTTATCCGATGATCTGGTTCGCCGCGTTCATTTGCAGCGATGTGAACAACAAGCGTTGTCTGAGTGTTTGTGGCATTTTGACGGTGAGTCATTATTATTCAAACCCCCTTCATTCTTCATCCTTCAGACGGCTAAACTGATCGTCTCCATCGGACTCTTCGGTTATTTCCACTTTTCGTGCGATCACAGCCAGAGCAGCAACTACATCTTCTATTGTGAGCTGGGTGCTCCTTCGTGAGCACACGCCCGAACTTCCAGACTCGCATATGATGGCTCCGGTGTTTCTGATTCTTCTGAGCGTGCTCCTCGGCATCTCGGCGTACGTTATGTGCAAAATGAGTTTCTTCCGTTCGGCGAAAAAGGTTTTGACCGATTTGTACGCGGTCGAAGAGAATGGCGGAGAGAAGAAGTCCGCTTGAAAGTGCTCTCATAAACTTGTTTTTCTCTGTCTTTGCCTCAAATAGTTATCAATAAACGGATTCAATTTTCGGAGAAAGTAGCTAAAAGCATACTAGAAACGTGCCTGACAGAGCTAGATGAGAGCTCATAATCAGGGGAGGGTGCAATTTGAAGTGTACACAAACTACGGAAACCTGAACACGAGTGAGAGTCTATAGCCCTTTGAATTGACATGTTTTCTGTTTTCTTCAACCGGACAGAATATTTATCAACTTTTGGTCGATTGTGACTCATTTGCATGAAAATTGAATTGAATGTACAGGAGAATATAGCGTTAAGATGTTGATCAGATTGTGATTATGCTGTAGTGTAATGCAGTATAACTACTATGAACAGTACATAATTTTTGACGACCTGCATAATCGGATGTAAAAAGTCATAAAGTTAGAAAAGAGATTTACTTAAATCGGCAGAACTTTATGAATCATAAATGACGATGTATCGGCGTTTTGTTGATTCTGACGAGAAACGGCTTCAGAAAAGAGTAGAAAACGTGAAAATTTGAGAAATGACGTCAATGTCTGTCATGAATCACGTTCGGATTTCAGTTCCCTTTCGTCATAGACACTGGTCATCTTCTGACGGGTAAACATGCGGATTATCCATTTCCTGACACAGAGGGAAACCAAATTACGGGACTATTGAACAACGGTCAAAAGATTATGAGGTAGTCGGCGAAAACACTATAAAACAGGCGAAAGGCAGAGCATGTTCAGTTGAAAACCTCAAAATCCCCTGCAGTTTCCAATTACAGTACTCTTTTTTTTCGCTGAAAATGTTGTTGAGGCTGAAGATTGTCACGGTTCTCTCGGTTTTCCTCGTCGAACTCAGTTTGGCTCAGCTCTCCGGAGCTATTGGAGGATCTGGAAATGCTTCCACTTCCACCAACTCTACAGGAATCGGAGCGACGGCCGTTCTCTCTGCAAATGTGACTATTCCAACTATTCCTTCACCAATCGGCAATTTGACAATAGTCCCTATCAACGGATCTCTGCCCAGTCCCATGACGAACTCCACGGCACCTATGCAAAGCGGTCCAATTATTCCGAGCAACTCCACTGGTAACTCCTCTATTCCGCCACTGCCTGCACTCCTTGCCAACGTCTCCTCAGTCCCACTTTTGCCGACAATGACTATTCCGGGAACCAATATAAGCGTGCACGCCTCGAATATCACAATGCCACCTTTTGGAAATGGAGCTCCGATGAACGGAACCTCACCTCAAAATGGAACCTTTCCACCTGGTAATGGACCTATGATCCCTCCAATTGGAAATTTGACTGTCCCTCCTGCCAACGGAAACCTTCCATCTTTTAATGGAACCATGCTCCCTCCAGTTTCCAACGGATCTCTTCCAACTTTCAATGGAACCTTTCCACCTGGTAATGGACCTATGATCCCTCCAATTGGAAACATGACCATTTTTCCTGCCAACGGAACCCTTCCATCTTTCAATGGAACTATGCTCCCTCCTATTGCGAACGGATCTCTTCCAGCTCTAAATGGAACTATGCCACCCGTCAACGGAACGTTTCCACCTGGTAATGGACCTATGCTCCCTCCAATTGGAAACCTAACTATTCCACTTCTCAATGGAACTATGCTCCCTCCTATTGCGAATGGATCTCTTCCAATTCTCAACGGAACCCTCCCACCTCTAAATGGAACTATGCTGCCACCACTGGGCAACTCTACCGTACTCAACTTCACCGCCATCCCTCCCGTCATGATCACCGGTCCGATTTCGGTGACGTTACCTCTCGGCTCCACTCGTCCAGTCCCTGTGAACGGTTCCCTACCGGCCAACTCCACCCTTCTCCCTCCACTTGCACCCAACTCCACAGCGACCATTCCAACGAGAACTTCTGTTCTAACCACGAAAACGGCGCCTTTGGCCAACTCAACCACTGGAGACTGTACTTCTGAGTACGCATTGGCTAAAGCGGATGAATGTGTCCAGGCGGCAGAAGGACTCGGCTCAAAGATGAGTGCAGTAACCGATGGAAACATGCTGGCTGCTAGCACAATTGAGGACATCAATGACTTTTGTTCAGTTTTCAAGGCGAGACATTTGCACTCTAGATCCAATTAAATCGAGTTCGTTCCAGGGATGCCAGTCATTTATCACTCAGTGCGGTTCCGCAAACAGCACGCAGGTGGTCTCCACAATCCACGACTTTTGTCTCTTCTTCAAATTTTTCACAAGTCCGCTTTTCATAAAGTGCACCAGCAAGTTGGAGGCGTCCCAGAACACGCCCTGCTTGGATAAGGCGTCAGAGGCTATTTTGAATTTCAACGTGAGTGGAAGAGCACATCCTAATAACGCATTTCTCATTTCCAGAGCACCGCCACCGACAGATGTACCGCATTGAAATCGATGAACAACTGTGCCGTGTCGGAAGTCGAGAACACGTGCTCCATTTTGGCCACGCAAAGTTATCAAACGTTCATTAGTCGTCACTTGTCCCAGATGAATTGCTAGGGGTTCTTTATCGGGAACGCGTTTTGCTAAACAGTTTTGTCTCATGATCTCTTTGTTGTAAATACAGTGCAATTTCTCTGAAAGTTCTTTGTCGTCTGAGCATTCGAGTTCCGTTCACGGCGGAGTCTTCTCGGTGCAACTGTCCTCTGATCCGTAGTAGATCAATTCGTACAAATCATCACCGTCGTACTCTTTGATCACTTTGATACAGCAAAGTCTCATTCGTTTGCACAAGAAAATGGCACATAAAACATTGGCAAGAAAGTAAAACGGTAGGGTGACAAAGAAGAATATATAATCGTCTAGAACATTTTGAATTGAAGAAATGCGTTCATTTCTTACATTCGTGTTTATTGTACGTCTTCTCACGAATTGGTCCGGAAACATAGTCATAGTAAGGATTAAGCAGTTATGATGAAGAATGGAGGGATCTGAAACTCGAAAACTGAAAATGTCACGGAGAAAATGAACGTTTATTGTTTCCTTTCAGGATGAAAACGAAAAGGTCTGAGTTCACTGCGGAGTCTTCCTGGTGGAACTGCCCTCTGATCCGTAGATCACTTCGTACAAATCATCACCGTCGTACTCTTTGATCACTTTAATGCGGCTGAAATTTAAGCGTAACAATCACTTAAAAGTAGAAGTCTACCTAGCTTTGCACTGGAAAGCGACACAATAGACATTGACGAGAATGCAAATCAAGCAGGTGACGTTGATAAGTGTGTCGATGTCCAAATTTCAAAGTAAAAGTGGTTCGAAGTATATCACTTACATTTGAATTTAATGTGCTCCTTCTCATGAATTGGTCCGGAAATGTAGTAAAAGTAAGGATTGAAAAAGTAGAAAGGGAGGATAAACATCTGAGGGATCTGGAATGCAGAAGACACCTGACGATTGCTCTTAACACAACATTACCGTCAGTAATGCGCAGAAACAGAACATTTTGGAAGTGCTGCAAAACAGGAAGAGGCTAGCGCAAAAGAAAATGAACTGAATTAAGTTATAGATTCTATTTAAAAAAAGAACAAAAACTGACCGAGTATGCCATCAAAACAAGGATTTTGACATAATTCTCCTTGTCGGCTTCTGGTTGAAGACTGTAAACTGAGAAAAACTTCTGATTTCAGGACTCGTACGAACTCAGTAAGACAAAGAGGAAATAATAGCAATATATAGACGATGCCATAGAAAATAAAGAAGAAAATAATAGTGCTCTGTATTCAGATTTTTTAGGAACTCAGTCTAGTCACTCGAACTTACCTTGATTGTTCGGCCGTAGACTTTCTTCGCAAGAAATGTTAGGTTTTCATCCGAACCCGGTTTCACGAACATTTCGGTGAGAAATGAGTCCCCGTCATACTTGTCGTCTTTTTCGGCTTTAAAACAGCTGAAAGATAACATTTTTATCAACTTGTTCTTTCACATCTTTTTCCGTGCCTCATTCTGCACAAAGCAACAGCGCAATAGGCCGAACAGAGCACAAGCAGTGGGACGAAAACGGATTGAGCAATGTACGAAACTGAAAGGAAAAACGTGAAGAGTGAATGCGACTGTTTGAGTTTTGAATACATCTGAAAGCCATCTTAAACTTTTCACTGATATTCATGGGATACATTTCGTAGGGAGAATGGAAGATGTAGATGACGAGTAGGACGAGCTGCACGCCCTGAAAAGTGAACGTTTTGGGCTGAAAGTGTAAGATGAGAAAATGGAACAGACGGCCAGAAAAGCGAAACATCGGAAGAATCTTTGAGTACACAGTAGGATGAAAGTGAGTAGTAAAGCGAGAATAAAATATCCGCCTAGGTAGAACAGCAAATAAACGAATTCATGGTAGACTTGCTCCGGTATTTCCTTCGGTGGACTCAAGTAAATGTTGTACAATCTGAAAAAAAAGCGTATAGGGTTTTCCGGTGGGTTTCATCTTTTACACATCTGCGCAAACAGTGGATAAGAAGATTTCGGCGACGAGAAAGTGAATGAATGCGATGAGTTCGAGAGTCGCCTGTTGGGTCACTGTTTTGTCTCTGGTTTTTCGGATCAAACTAACACTGGGACTTAAACAGAAGAACTTCTGCGGAGGAGCCTCTGGGGCTTTTGATTCTGAATTCGTGCTCATTCGATAGATAAGTAATGAAAAAGTTGATGGGCGCACGTAGCCGGGATACTATGCCACGTGGAAAAGAACGGATCACAGTGGGAAGAACAATGTCTTCTTGTTTTCAGTGGAAAAAGGTTAAGTTTGATTATATATATATAAAGTTAGAAGGTGTTTGTGATAAATGTTGGAGGTTACTGTAGTCCTCGGAAGTTAGAACACTGAATCATCTATGAGCTACAGTAGTCCTGGTAGTGATCGCACAAAAACGTTGTTGTGACGTCGTCTAACTACGCAAAGAGTGTTTTCCCCTTCCAGTACCAATCAACACGACATTGTAAGTCCCAACTATGTTTTGTTTGAGTGTGATTTGTTTCCGTGATGCGGACGATTCCCCGTGGGCGTTCTTCCAAATCCTTTCTGTCATTCAGTCGGTTTACATCGAATTATTAGTGTTGGCGCGGTTTAACGGTGTTTTGGTGGTCGGCCGATCACTGATCGCACGAAATATAACAAGGTAAGCAGGACTGGAAACGACTATTATCGTTTTCGTTTTCCGGCTATAATTGCAGTTTTTGGTGAACGGGCATTTTGGAAATGTTCCTCATCCCTATAATCACAGGACCTTTTGGAATAGAAATGATATCATCAGCTAACAATTGGAGACAAAGATCAGCTTCTTCCCTTTTCTGAATCATTTCACAAATTTATCACAAAAGTTTTTAGGAACACGTGTGCCAAACATGAGTACAAATCCGTCCACTCTATCGTATTATCCCCCCGAAACTGGTTCTCGGGCGTTGTTCCGATGGTCGGCGCACGAAAGATAACGGAAAATAATGAGATTAGTGATTACGTAGCTGTTTTTTTCTTTTGCTAGTCCCTACGTGGTTCAGAGAGCAAAACACACGGGCCTCGCACGTAACCAGTGTGATCAGACAGCGGAGTTCGGAAGTTTGACAAGAACCGCGTGACTCTACACTAACGACATGCTTCTGTCGTGTAACCCAGGCCGAAAATGTTCGTGATCAACTGAAATTGCTCAAGAGTCCACATGACTTTTGAGCGGGTTCGACGAGTTCACCTCCAATCGTATTAGTATCCTTTTTTGCCAATTTGTTCTGCCCTGGGCGGGATCTGAATGGATGGAAAGGTGGCTTGAAAGAGAAAGGGGCGGGCTGTTTTTGTTCGCTCCCTTTCGTTCCCCTATATAAGGTACTCGGCTGACGCTTCTGGGAATCGGACAGCACCCGAAATACTCTATTGTTTTCTACGAATATGATCATGGCAGAGAAAGCGCTTCTTCTCGAAGAACTGCCAGTTGAGATGGTCCGGAGAATCATGGAAGAAGTGGATTTTCTGACTAGGTGAGGAACAAATCTTTCCCAATCTTTTCTGATATTGCTGTATTCTAGAACGTCACTTCGAAAATGCAATCATCAGTTTCAAGAAATCGTAGACGGAACCGTTCTTTGGTTGGAGAAAATCGAAGTGAAACTGGAGAAGAATCGAGTGAGACTGACTGTGAAGACGTCGTCGGACACCTCTTTCCACGCGGTCTTCTCCATGAACGGACCCAACGTTTGCCTCGTCGAAACCAGTTCGGAAAACGGTCAAATTCCGCTATTCCAAAAGAAGAGAACGATTGAGGGAAACTTCATCGAGTGCGCGTTCAGAGATCTGCGAACAGTCCTCATCAATCCGAAACTGACCATCAAAGATCTTTGCTTTAATGCGACGAGTGAGGAGAACCGGGGGGATTTCGTGTACAGAATGAGAAGGACTCTCGCTTCTTTGCCGCACCAGTTGAACGTGGAGTCGATCAGACTGGCGTCCAACTACGAGGATGACCTTCTCAAGATTATGACGTTCCTCGATGCGACCCGACTCAAGAAGATCAATCTTTCGCCGCTCTCCCGCTCGAATTCGTCGTTCCACGACGAACCGGAACGAATCTTCAAGCTGCGGAAGATCGCGCAACAGGAATATTTCCAAACGGCCGATGCTCTGTGCACCGGGGACTTTGTTCTGGACTTCAACTTCGAGCAACTCGCTCACTTCTCCACTCTTAATGTGACATTGAATCAATTGTCGTTATCCGATGTGCAGAAACTGATTCAGGTGATTGGAAATTAGTGTATTACAACGTATTGAATGATTTCAGACGGCAGCAGAATCAGAGAAAGAAGTCAAGTGGACGGTGAAAAGCAGAAATGGGTTGGACTCGAAAGGAATCGAGGATATGCTCGGCCATGACGCGTTCGGATTGGAGAGGGAGCGAGTGTTCAAGTGCGCGAACGGATACGTCAAGTTCAAGTTCCTGATGTACGCGATCCTCAAGATGGGACACGTCGCCCCGAGCAACGGATTCGTCATCGAGACGTTCTCCACTCCGAGGTTCGATCAGAAGATTCCAGTTCACGAGTTGCCTTTCTAATTGTACATTTTCTGAAGAAATAAATGAATCTTTGATGTTCAAAAGATCTCACAAAACGGTTCAAAAGATTGCGAGTGTGTTCAACAATCGCATTACCTCGTATTAGTTCTGGTTTGGCGTTGTTTCGTTGGACTCGCCGCGCGCACGAAACGAAATGTGTTTCGGGCGATCAAACAAGAGAGACATCACTCACATGTTATCCGTTTATCTGCGATAGACCAGCAGCGGCGCGCGAGTGAGCGCCGGTTCAGTTTTTGAAGCGAAATTTTATTGGAAAGGGGTTTGAATATCAACGATGAATAGCACGTAAGTTTTAGGGGATATGCGGCATCGGAAATGTTCAAAATCAGAAACTATATTCATACTTTTGACCCATTTGCAATAATCCGATTGGATCCAAACTATGGAAACTTCTTGGACTTGAATTGAAGTATCTTGGGGCCAAGTTTCAGAGTTTGTATAATTGGACTGGATGGTGGAAGCATCAAAAGGCCGGCCCGGGCTTTTCGTCAATCACTCATCCAATCGGTCTGTAACTTTCAAGATGAATACTTCAATCCAAGACTCAGATAACTGCGAGTGTTGCAAAAGTTCAAAACTCATATTGCAACTTGGCGGCTGGCCTTTTCACAGATTTAAAGAACGACCAAGTTCCACTCAAGTTTTCACTTGAAAATTCTCGCAATTCACATGATCAAACAACATTCATTGCCTTTTGCGGTTTCTCAGACATCATTATGGAAAGCAACACTTTGGCAGTAACATTTATTGTTTGGGCAGTAGAAAAGTGAAAATTGACAAGACGACAGTGAACAAAATGAGCAGTTTATTGTCTGGCCTTCTTCTGGAATCGACGGATCGGCTGGAGCGGACGACGTTGGTAGAGACGGTTGTGGACGGTCGGAGCACGAGCACGGGCACGGGCACGGGCACGGGCCTTGGCGCGACGGCGGTCTGGAAAAGAAAACCAATGTTTGGTAGGGTACGCCCAGTGCAGACTCGAACTCACAAGCTGGCGCGGTGGTTGGCGATTCCGAGATGTAGTTCAAAGCGGATCCTCCAGCGATTTCCGGCGAAGAAACGGAGCCTCCGTAGGTGGGGGGAGCCGGAGCGAGTCCGATCGAAGAGTCAGTCGGTGGCGCCGGCGGAGCTGCGACGGGCTCTTCGTTGTCCGAGGAGTATGCGCTGGGAAGAGTGGCCACTTGGGCTCCGGCTCCTTCGGGAGCCGAGTTGAACCGGCGACCGTATTGCGGTTTGGTGGCGTAAGCGGCTGGCGGCACCGCATAAGACTGTTTGGGGATCACGTAGGAATCCGAGGGCGGCGGAGTCGGGTAGCTTCCCGGTGCAACCGGGTAATTGCAGTGGACAAGTACCAGGAGGAGAGAGGAGGAGATGAGGAAGAACCGCATTTTGGAGGAATGCATGAAATTGATGGACGAACTGTGCATTTTATAGGAGATTCGGTCAGAGGAGGAGTTAGTTTGTCGTCAAAGAAGGGGAGGTGCCATTTCAATGAGGGTTTTGGAACGAAACTTTCTCGAAACGACCTCCACTCACAATAGCAGTAATTCCTGGTTTGCAGCCGAGAAACCCATTCATTCGCAAGTGAAACCTGATGGGTTCCAGTTAACGGGTGTCAAAATCGAATTGCAAAAGGGTTTCAGACAGTCTGACTTGAAAAAAAGAGAAGGGGGCACTTGAGAACCTTTGAAAAAGCGTGAACTGCAAAGTTTTCAAGAGGCAACAGAAGAATGCAAAAAGTTGATGTGAAACATTGGTCGGGCAAGTGTATGTAGTTTCAACTGGAACTATAAATATGGTTGGCGGTCCGGAGCTTGCACTGAGGAGCTGAAAAGCTCATAACTTTAAGATCCTCAAAGGATCAGAACATCATCCTGATCTAAGGATTTGAACGTTTTCTTCAACTGGATGGCAAGACAATATCTAATTGTCCAAAGACAACGTTTCCCTTTTCCAGCATATCTTCATATTCTCTGTGCAAAAGAATTCCAAATCGTTCAAAAATCATTCAAACATTTTGGTGATTCTTGAATTACGAGCTGTCCACTTCAACTCATTCTCCTCGTTGGCACTCAAGGAACTTCCGGCGTGATCATCGGCCATTCACGGCGACCTTCGGGGTTCAGAACCTTTGACACGTGTAACCTCTTCACCCACACACTCGTTTGTATTTTGGTTTGTTTGTTTGTTTGCTTGTTGGCAGAAACGGAAAAAGGACCTTGAAAAGTTTCATTCTATACAAAAACGATTGTTGATGAGTGACCAGCAACAAAAGAAAAATGAAATGAAATGGAGGAACTATGACTCAATTATGAGAGGAAAAGATGTACAGACATTCTAGGCGAGGCTCTTCGTTTAGGCCTTAGAGAGGTGCTTGCGGTATCCGCTGGCGACTGGGGCCGAGGTCTCGATGACCTGCTCGGTGGCCTGAGCTCCGTAGCTCTCCTGCAAATGAAATCATGCAATCACAGCTTGATTACCCACTATTACCTGTGGTTGAACTGGAGCCGACTCGAAAGTCTGCTGCTGGACGACCTGGGTCTCGACAACGGCTGGAGCCTGCTCTCCGTAGGAAGCCACTGGCGCTGGCTGAGCCGGAGCGACGACGGCCACTGGAGCAGAGACGATGGCCGTCTGCTGCTGCTGGTATCCGGCCTGTCCTCCCGAGATCACGGCGGCTGGTCCCTGTTGGTATCCTCCCTGTCCCCCTCCGACGGCGATGGATTGGGCAACGGCGCCTCCGTATCCGACGGCAGGTGCTTGCTGAACAGCGGCTCCGGCGTATCCTCCCTGAGAGGCTCCTCCGAATCCTCCTTGAGAAGCTCCTCCGAAGCCTCCCTGTCCGGCTCCAGCGTATCCTCCCTGGGAGGCTCCTCCGAATCCTCCTTGTCCGGCGCCGGCGTAAGATCCTCCGGCTGGTCCAGCACCTCCAAATCCTCCCTGTCCGGCTCCAGCGTATCCTCCCTGGGAGGCTCCTCCGAATCCCCCTTGACCGGCTCCGGCGTATCCTCCTTGAGAAGCTCCTCCGAAGCCTCCCTGTCCGGCTCCAGCGTATCCTCCTTGGGAGGCTCCTCCGAATCCTCCTTGAGAAGCTCCTCCGAAGCCTCCCTGTCCGGCTCCAGCGTATCCTCCCTGGGAGGCTCCTCCGAATCCTCCTTGTCCGGCTCCAGCGTAAGATCCTCCGGCTGGTCCAGCACCTCCAAATCCGCCCTGTCCGGCTCCGGCGTATCCTCCTTGAGAAGCTCCTCCGAAGCCTCCTTGTCCGGCTCCAGCGTATCCTCCCTGCCCGGCTCCTCCGAATGCACCTCCTCCGATGGCTGGGGCGGCCTGATAGCCTCCTCCGGCTCCTCCGAATCCTCCGTATCCGATTGGCGCCGGTGGTGGCGGCGGTGGCGGTGGCGGAAGTGCGGCCGGAGCAACAGCATATCCTCCGGCGGCTGGGGCCGGAGCGCCTCCTCCGCATCCTCCTCCGCACGCCGGTGGTGGTGGAGCACAGCATCCGCTGCCTCCGCCGCCGCCTCCGAGAAGCGAGAAGAGGAAAGCGTTGGAGCAGCCGAAGAGGGCGAGAAGGACCACAGACTTCATCATGGTATTACTGAAAGACACAGAAACTATTGAAAGTCTCCAAAAAAAGGAAAGAGAAGAAGCTGCTGTTGCGGCTAAAACAAATGTCTATTCGGAATGCCTCCCACTCGGCCTTATATACCCGCCAACTTTTTTGCACCTCTTTATGATATGTGTAAAACTGTCTGCCTCCCCCCTCGCTAGCTTCTTCTTCTTCTTCTTCTTCTTCTTCTTCCTCCTCCTATCCACTCCGATTTGTGGACACGATAAAGAGTCTCTGTCGCCAATGATCATTAACCTGTGTTGTTGTTGCGTAAGCTGCAGAGACAAAAACAGGAATGTGTCATTGGATCGGATCAACCCGTAAAATTCTGTTCTGCCTCAGAAGAAGCTGTTACTTTGTGCTTCCGCCTTGCTTCTGTCTTCTGGCAGGCGCCTATTGCAAAAATCGTTCGATGTAACATGTTTTATTGTTTGGCCAATGTAATAATGTACACGAAAAGCAGCGGAGGTGTAATCTGGAAATGGGTGTAACCGCGACGGTGAGCGCGATGATATTGTGAAAACGCGGTGTTGATCACGGGTTTATAAGGTCCGGAAGTGGAGAAGAACTCCACTATAAAACGAAGAAATGAGAAGCTGGCGGAAAGGATCATTTTGTTCTCCGACTCTTTGATGTCTCTGTATTTTCCTCTTTCTGATTTCCATGATCATCAAGAGTCAATGAGAAGTTTTGCTTTTCGTTTTCATCATTAGAGTACCTCTACTCTTCATTTTTTAGGCTATTCTATCAACATTTTGCCACAAAAACATGTTCAATTAAAACAAGCTTCATTAGATTCAAACAGTTATTTCACATTTCCGGCTTGCGCCAACCTCCGCTCCTCAGACTGCAATTGAACAAAATCCGTTTGCAGTTGTCATGACGATGATGGACGTAGTAGATTCAAAGTGTCAACGCTAAAGAGTCAAGAAACATTTATATGTATGTGAAAACGTATTCAGTGCTAGTTATCATCGTTTAGCCGGCACCGAAATAGCGTTCACGTGTCTTCCCTGCACCACGTAGACGACATTCTGACCGGGCAGAAGCGGTTGTTGTTGGAAGCGTTCGAGCCGATTTTTCAGCTCTATTTTCCGCGCTTGCTCTTGTTTTTTGTAAGCGAACCAGAAGGCCAAAGTGATTGCGGTGAAACATAACACAACGATTCTGGAAAAAGCGTAGATGAAGGTGTGAAAATCACTGAGACGCACCCAATGACACTCCAGAACAGATAATTGGGCGGTGAGCATTGAAGACCTTCGCACGAGTTGGCAAACGAGCAGCCGTAGAAGAGCACGGACGGATGGGTGCCGTTTTTGAAGACCGTCTGAAGTTTAGCTACTCTAAAGCCAAGGTCGGGGCCCTTGTTCGTACCTGTTTGAGAAAGTTCAAATCGCGTTCGGTAATGCGATACTCGCAAATGATGCTCGACTCCTGAAGGTCGCCGTTCCGCCCGTCCCAATAGTACTTGTGCTTCTTCGTCGCCAGTCTGAATCACCTTTTCGGATCGGCAGATGCAAGCGGGCACACTCACATCATCGGCTCTGACTCATTCACAATCACGTACTTCTCCTTGCTGAAAACGTTGGCCGTCCGCATGACGTCCAGGCTCATCAGCGCGTTGGTTTTAGTGTCAAAGTACGGGCATTGGGAGGTGTAGAAGGTCTCCATCATGTAGTAGTAATGTTTTATGGAAAGGGGTCTGCAAAGTAGCAATACCTATGTATTCTAGGTACATCATAAGATGTTACTTACGACCACTCGACGTGGCTCACTTCTGGTTTTCCTTTCGCCGTGCATTGTCGGATAACGAACAGACAAAGAAAGAGAAGAAGAAGGAGACGCATGTTTTTCGAGAGCAACGGGACTGAATGAGTGTGTTCCTCAACCGATCTGAATTGGTAATTACAGCCGGCTCGCCGCCACCTCAAGCCCGTTGTTATGGCGACTCGCAAACATCAGGCGCGAGGAAAAATTGAGAAAAAGAGAGTAGTTGATTTAGATTTGGTGGTGTACTCGGGAGGTGGAACATGATTTATGGACATCTGATACTGATTCTGATTCGGTCCCTTCACTATGTACATCACTTTTTGTACTGGAATGGGCACTTTGAACTCTTTGATCTTGAAGATTTTTCTCACGACAAACAAACAAGTAGAGTTCTGAAAAAGGAAGATACTAAACATTCAACAGCTCAAATGTACACCGGAAGAACATCGACGTAATCGTTCTTTTTGTCTTTTGCGCATGCCAGGGCGTCTGAAGTAGATAGATTCTAGCGGCCTTCCGGTTTCCTCGAATGTTGTCTGAAAACTGAAAAGCCATAATGAGAGTTGAGAAACCGCTCTTTTTGTGATCTCCGGGACCTCATTTTCCAGCCGCAAAACGAGTTTCAGTTGGTTTTCCATAGAGTTCTGGCAGAATTGGGCTGGAGATCACAATTGAAACAGAGCGCATTCACTTCGAAATGCCCCGATAGAAAATGAATAGGTTCTATCAGTTTATAAAGTTTTCGCTCACGAATATCTTCTCAATGTAATATTGACGGACTCCAATCCGGGGAAAACGAGTGGAAGGAATAGGACGGCGAGCATTTCGGAAAGATTTCGTAGAGTTTGATCTACCCTTTCCAGTTCCCCAGTTTTTGTTAGTTGTTTGTTGTTACTACAATTTCGACCGATCAAACAATGAGAACAGAAAAAGATGAAGAGAATCCTACAGTTTATTTCTCACCCGGCAAATACAAGGAATAGTCAAGAACCTGCCCCTCTGCTCGAAGGGCCAACTGTAAATGGATCGCCTGTTTCTTTTCAGTTTCAAAACAAAAAAATGTCCAAGAGTTCATTGAAAGACCAGAAAGAGACTCATCGACGAGAAATGTACAGAAAACAGAGAAAGAGAGAGAAAGAGAGAGAAAGTGGGCATCACTTAAGCCTTGGCGGCCTTTCTCAGATGGAACTTGTTGCGGTATCCGGAAGCGGCGACCTGCGGGGCGGACGTCTCGACGACCTGCTCGGCGACCTGCTGGGATTGATACTCGGCGGCTGGCTGAGCTGGCGCCGGGGCGGCCTCGAACGTCTGCTGGACTTCGGTGACCTGGGCGACTGGCGCCTGCTCTCCGTAAGAGGCGACTGGCGCTGGCTGAGCAACTGGAGCCTGCTCTCCGTAGGAAGCGAGTGGCGCTGGCTGGGCGACGGCGGCCGGGGCCGGGGCTTGCTCTCCGTACGAGGCGACTGGAGCCGGGGCTGGCTGCTGCTGCTGGTATCCTCCCTGGGCGACGGCGACTGGCGCTGGTCCCTGGTATCCTCCTCCGACAGCTGGCGCCGGTCCTTGTTGGTATCCTCCCTGAGCGGCTCCTCCTCCGATTGGTCCGGCGTATCCGGATCCTCCTCCGATAGCTGGTGCTGGTCCTTGCTGGTATCCTCCCTGAGCGGCTCCTCCTCCGATTGGTCCGGCGTATCCGGATCCTCCTCCGATAGCTGGGGCTGGTCCTTGCTGGTATCCTCCCTGAGCGGCTCCTCCTCCGATTGGTCCGGCTCCGGCATATCCTCCCTGTCCTCCTCCAATGGCTGGGGCAGCCTGGTATCCAGCTCCTCCTCCGATCGGTCCGGCTCCGGCGTACGAGCCTCCTCCTCCAATAGCTGGACCGGCGTATCCTCCGGCTCCACCGAATCCTCCGGCTTGAGCGTATCCTCCTCCGATCGGGGCTGGTGGTGGTGGTGGAGCGGCATATCCGGCTGGGGCGACGGCGTATCCTGCGGACGGTGGTGGCGGTGGTGGTGGCGCGGCTCCGCATCCTCCTCCGCAAGCCGGTGGCGGTGGTGGGGCACAGCAGCCACCTCCGCCGCCGCCGCCTCCGAGACCGAGCAGGTTGAAGAGGAAGGCGTTGGAGCAGCCGAAGAGGGCGAGAAGGACGATGCACTTCATTCTGAAACGAGCGAGAAATGGGAAAAGAATCGATCGAAAAGGATCAAGAAGAGAGAAGAATTGTATGAAAAAGCTGAGAAGAGAAGGTGTATGGTAAACCTGAGCGAATAGAGTGCCTTTATATATGGTGCCATCGGATCATCAAACCTTGCGTAACGCTTTACCCACTGGAGACAATCGAAAAACGAGAGACGGAGAGCGTATTTTGCGAAGGCGCCACGCCCAGACCTCAGCTTCTCCCCTCACCTCACAGAGAAGGGCGGGCACTTCCTTTTTTGGATTAGAAGCAAGCAAAAGGGGGATGGAGGTGAGAGATAACTTCTTACCGGTTTTTGGCGGCCGATATTAATTGTTCTTCTGAATAAGTAGTAACGGCTGAATAAATTTTTGCGTCGAGAGCGGAAATCAAGTGTAACCGTCGAGAAGTATTTGATTGTCTCAAGAGGAAGCTGCAGGTTTACAACTTATTGCAAACCACTTGTACGCAAGACTTTCACAGAGTGTACGGAAGATACAAAAAAAAGTTGGAACCAAAAAAAAACATGTACTCGTTCAGGATCTCAAGGGCTTCTTTGACAATTGGTTTATTGCAGGCGAGGTCTAGAGGCCTTCATTTGGCCGGCCCAGACTTTTCGAAGGGCTATCGAGTATGTCGGCTTGTTAGACTTGGATTGAAGTATGTTGGGCTCAAGTTTCAGGCCTATCGGATTACCGGATCCAGAGATACGTGGATCTAGGGCTGAAAAGAACGGGCTTTTCGCAGAAACGAGGGCTTTTTGTCTTTCTCCTGAGTAAATGATCCTATTGGTTTAAGATTTAGACACAGTATACATCAATCCAAGTCCAAGAGGTCTGTAAAGTCTAAAAAGCCCAGCTCCGGGCAAACCCCTGATTTTCAGAGGTACACTCTGAGTTTCTAAGTTTGAGCTGAAGGAAAGCTTATTGTTCTAAAAATGCTCAAAAGAGCTAGCCGTCCGTTTCTAATTCTAACACATTTTCCATGTCCAGATCAAGCGGACTATTCTGAACCTTTTCTATACATTCTTGTCACTATCACTTTGCCCTGCGTTCCTCCGTTCCTTTCACTCGAACACAAATTGAATCGAAAGTAAATTTCTGTCTCTCTCTCTTTCTCTCTCTTTACTTTTTCCTCTTCTTTTCCTTTTTCTGCCTCACTCGCTTTCGATTTACGCAGTTTTTGTGATCCGAATTGCGCAACCGCCGCAACACGGCTGATCAAACCAGCCCGTTATCCGTCTGACGCAATCGTTCACCTTCTGTCGCCCCCCTCGACCACCAAAATATGTATTTCCGTGTCCTTCTGTGTATATTGAAGAATGAATCGAAAAAAATCCTGTTCCTTTCATTCGTCTTTCCGAGGAATCGCCCCGCGTTTCAAGGCGAGATCATAATCGCGGCTTTATGGTTCTTTTTCTTGCCACTGACCGCCTGCCGCTTTTTCATAAAAACGAATCACATTTTTCGCACTTTTTTTCAGAGGGAATCTTTTGTAATATTGACTGCTTCGGTGAATTGCGACTGACTGCGAACGAACAGGAAAACGTCATTTTTAGTCGATGCTTCTCTGGTGATTGGCACTTGTTCTAGACAATGGTGAAGTGACGCGACAATATTCATTCGATTCAACCTTGGCAGTTTTGGCGAATGAATCGTTTCTCAAGTTCAAATTACCTAAACGCTGTAATAGAGAGATTCATTCAAGACTGTGCATCTCGGCGGTCCGTAGAGATATCAAAAAGTAGTCAACGGACAATTTATACACAATTTATTACTAAAAAACGTATCAATTGGCAACTTTTTGATAACTCTACGGACCGCCGAGATATATCATTGTGAATGAACAGTATTTGAGTGTCCTTTAGGTCAGCGGTTGAACAAGTGCCCGCAAAACAAGAACTTACTGGAATCTCTGAACCTTTTAAGAGTGAAATCGTTGTTTTCCCATGCCAACGCCTTGTAACAACAAAAGTGCCATACATCATTCGCAAATTGTCTCCACTTTCTCTGCGCCTCCCCGCGCCCCTCTTTTCCATGTTCTCATGCTGACAAAAAAGGTGAGAGAAAGAGTATGACCGAAAACTTGCTAAGCCAACGATTGTAAAGGCCGGAGGGCACTGGGTTTGTCTGCCAATACACATATTTACATTCTGAGGCAACAAAGAACACGGTTTACGAAGGAGAGGTAGGTGAAACTGATTGGGTTGCGAAGAAGGAATGAGATTCAAGAGGACGGGCGGCAAGACGGAGCAGAATGGAACAGTTGCCACGTGTTGACCAACGGGAACATGATGGCCGATCCGGTGAACGAGCCGATCTGAAAGCCACTTACAGATGATCTTTTCAGTGTGTCCCACCTGAATAAAGGCTCCGCACCAGAAAAGTCTCGACTCTTTGTGGTTGCCTTCTCTCAACAAAGCGGCGAACATGACTCGAAGATACGAGTGTAATCCGGCTGCGATCAGACAACTTGCTATCTAAAACTTTATTTCTTTTGCTCTAAAATTGCCTTAAGAACCGACCGAAATGGCGCTTCCAACAGACTCTGAGCCGAATATCCAGTTGGGCGAGAGAGCCGCCAGGTATACAATGAGTGCGGTGGCCAGAGAAGAGCACACAGTCAGGGCCGCCAGTATTGGAATCTTCCGTATTTTGACAAAAAACTGAAGATAGGAAGCCAACGGAGAAACCACGTTGGACAGGGTCACCGCGTAGTGATAGGTACTCTGAAAGACTCCGATAAACTCCTTCGGATGTGCACTACCAACCTGAGAATAGGGAAGAGTCGCGTAGCTCTGCACACTCGTAATGATTCCGTTCATTTGTGCATTCACGAGAGCAGTTGCGACGAGAAAAAAGGCCAACTGGGCACCGGAAGTACTCGGTTGAGGAGGGGAAACATCCTGAAAACTACTGAAATTTTACAGTCAGACTTAACTTTGTGATCCGCTTGCCTGCTCTCTTTTTCCGATTCCGCTGGCTCTGTGATCGAATCAGCTTTTGAGGAGTGCGTGTGTGCTCCTGTCTTGTAAAGAATCGCAAAAGAAACGACGGCGGCGCAGGTGAAGAAGAAGGTGATGAGAAAAAAGACGGAGACCGAGAATCGAGGTGGATAATAGTGGGGTTCGTTATCATTGTCGCACCAGTAGTTGGAAGTTCCTAAATCGTCGATTTGTCTGATCCATTTCAAAAAATGATTTACCTTGTACAAGTGACAACAGACTAGGAATAAGGGCGCTCAATCCCATTCCCACAAAGTAGGCATTCAGGAAGGCGGGATGGAATTGAGCCATGAAGGGAAGGAAGAGCACGCTAGAGATGGCGTCGACGATGGCCAAACCGAAGAGAAGGAGATAGAGCGGCCAGGAACGGACCGATCCGAACAGGTTCCCCGTGTCGGACCAGAAGAAGCACAGGCCTAGAAACAAAGAGAAGGGGGCGGTTTGAGAGATGAAGAAAAAGTTACCGAGTTGGCAGACACACGCAAGGAGCATAAAGACGAATATCAGAGGGATCTGCGGGATATTCACTTTTGTTCCCTTGTGGATGATAGAGTAGATCAAGGGACCAAGACATGCCACCTGCAATTAAAATCTGATTGGAATAATAAGTTTTGAAAACTTCTGGTAAAGAAGCGGCGCACAATTTTGGGGTTGTTTCCGTTTCTTCAAACGAATAGCAGTTTTTTCGAAGCACCTTCCCGATGAATTATAAAAAAAGTTCTCCAAGGGCTGTTTTTGTTATGAAATGTTGTTCTCGATAATTTTCAAGCAAAAATAGGCCATGCCGCTTTTTCCGAACCTGTACAATTGCGGACAAGTAGCTGGGAAGGTTCCATCCTTCCGGAAGTCTGGCCGTCAAAAGCGACAATTCCATCCAAACACTGTTCGTTCCAATCCACGAACTCGAGCCGAATATTGCCACGAGACAAAATGTGATTATTGAGATTTCCATTCTGAAGATATGTAAAGGAGAAGCAGAAGAAACGAGACTTAGACAGGAAAGAAGGAAAAGCAAAGAACTGATGATAACTGCAATTGGACGTGTGATAAGGGAGGGAAAAAAGCAGAAAACTGGAGGGTATGTGATGCAAAAAGTGACGATTACGGGGGGTGAAGTGGAGAGAATACACAGATTATTCTAGTTTATTGTAACCGAGTTTGGTTCTCTGTTACTCTACTATATTACAACTAACAAACGGATTTCAATATAATACAACAATTGATCACAAAAAACGGATGAGTTTAAGGCACATTTCGGTGGTGGAGACATGGTGAGTGATGAGAGAAATAAATTAGGCCTAAAAACGATTCGTTGGGTAAAATGCAAAAGTTCAGGCGGAAGGTCTGCATTGAGGCGCCGAAGTGAACAAATGGGCGATGTTGACCAACGGGAACATGACCGCCGAGCCGATGAATGAGCCAATCTGATAGAAATCCCGAGTGTTTGTGATGTGCAAGTGAGTTTTGTTTCACTTTCCACGTGAAAGTAAACGCATTTTGCCGAAAAAAGTTGTTTTTAGCCCATTTCCTTCCACAAACCTGTATAAAGACACCACACCAGAACAGCCTCGATTCGCTCTGATGGCCTTCTCTCAAAAGCGACGCGAACACAACACGAAGGTACGAATGAAGACCAGCGGCGACGAGCGAGCCTCCGATCGAGAGGGCGCTTCCGACGGGCTGCGAATCGAAGATCAAGTTGGGCGAGAGCGACGCGAGGTAGACGATGAAGGCGGTCATGACTGTGGAGCAGGCGGTGAGCACGCCGAGCAACGGGATCCCCCGAACGCTGATAAAGAACGGAAGAAACGAGGAGAGCGGCGAGACGACGTTCGAAAGAGTCACTGCGAAGTGGTACGTCGACTGAAAGAATAGGTTGTTATTCTAGGGGGAGGTAGTCAACCTGAGAATAGGGAAGAGTCGCGTAGCTCTGCACACTCGTAATGATTCCGTTCATTTGGGCGTTCACGAGAGCAGTTGTGAAGAGAAGAAACGCGAACTTGACGCCTGTGATGTAGTCGACTGGGTGCGGCTCCGAATCGAGGCAGATTGAAGAGCGCTGCAACTGGACAAGGTTGGAATTTTAATTCAAATTCGAAAGTCCCCATTAGATTCTTTTCCCACTTGACTCTTCATTTCCGTGTCTTGTTTCGTCTCCTCACTTGACCAATGCTCTTTTCTGTCTAGACATGCTCGCAAAGGGCCACAAACCTCTCTGAATGTCTCATCCAATTCGGACACAATTCCGTCGATGGCCGGGGCGCCCGTTTCGTGCAAATCGATGCTCGCCGGTTCGTCGATCTCGTCGTCGTGTGTCGATGAGGAGGAAAGTCCCTTTTTGAGAGGAGTGCCTTCGTGCGGAGCCGCTTTCTTGCGCTGCTCACGGACTCTGATGTTCAATATGAGTCTATGTTTGAAAGCAGATTCAATAACTTACGAGCCAGATGAGTTATGAGTGTGAGCGCCTGACCGATAGAGGACTACGAAGGCAATTAGAGCGACGCAAGTGAACAAAAAGATGATGAAGAAGAAGATGGAAACGGAGAAATTGGGAGGGAATCTCTCCGCCAAACCATCTTCGTCGCATTTGTAGTTCGACGTTCCCTGGGCCAGAGAAAGAAGGCTCGGCACCAGAGAGCTCAGGCCCATTCCGACAAAGTATGCGTTCAGATAGGCGGGATGAAACTGGGCCATAAATGGCATGAACAGCACATTGGACATGGCATTGACGATGGCGAGGCCGAAGAGCAATGTGTAGAGGGGCCAGGAACGGTTGGCGCCAAGCACTTCCGAAAACTGGCTCCAGAAGAAACAAAGACCGAGTTGACAGCAACAGGCGAGCGAAAGGAAGCCGATGATCAGTGGAGCGGTCGGGATTGTGAACGACTTGACGCCTTTGTGCAGAATCGTGTAGATTAAAGGCACAATGCAGGCTATCTGCAAAAATTATATTTTTTTTTTAATTAGCAGAAAAAACAAACCTGCACAACTCCAGCGAGATAACTGGGCAAGCTCCAACCTTCCGGGAGTTTAGAAGTGAGCAGAGGCAACTGCATCCACACACTGTTCGTTCCCATCCATGAGCTCGATCCGAATAGCGCCACTAACACAAATGTTGTCGCCGAACATGTCATGTTTCTCTGAAAAAAAACTATTCATTTCGCTGTCATTTGTGGTGGTTTTGGTGTCAAAAGATAGAGCAAAAATTGAGTAACACAGTGACCGTAAAATACTTGCACAGATTTTAGTGATTCGATGCAGAAATTTATCGGAACTGAGCTCACCAACCAAAAATGAAGGAGAAAATGATGCAAGCGCGCTCCACTGCACACCTGTTTCTGCGCGCGTGTTCAAATAAAATAGGCATAGGATGAGCTGTAATTCAATGTTTCTGTGCAGATATGCACTTTTTTCAGATAAGAAACTTTTTTAAACTGGACAAAAACATTATTTATAAGTGTGACGTGTATTTTGCAGACAGCTCAGCGAACCTCGAGACTGATAAGCACACATTGCGTTATCAGCTCGCAAAATTGATTGGTTCCCGGTCAAGATCCCTTTTCCTGCTGAAACCTGTAATACTGAATGCAAAATTGCACAATTGAGTAGGTTGTTTATTACGAAATCGAATCGAAAGCATGCATAGCATTAATGCGATCACATAGCACGCAACCCCGAGCAAAGAAAAACAGAAAAGATCGTAGACGGGCAAATTGAGAAAGAGAAATTAAATCATAATATCGGGCTACCCGTAGTTACATGACATGTCTTGATAGATATTATACAATTTGTTGTTGATTGAAAAGCGAGTATTTTCACTTTTTCGGCGGGCGAAACACTCCGTAAATGATTGGGTTCACCACGGTATTCACACAAATCGCCGCGTTCAAAAAGCTGAGAAAGTGTCGGAGCTCTTCCATAATCGGAACTCCGAACAGATTGAGCACTGTGAAGAAATTATACGGGCTCCAGATGCACAAGTAAGCGACGATGATGAGGGCGGCCTGCCGTTTCGCGTGCTGCTTCGCCCGGTGGATCGTCGTGACTGCCATCGCGCCGAACTTTGTTCCGCCGTTCGAAACTTTGCTCTTGATCGATCCCTGCCGCGTGTGATGCGATTCGAACTCGTAGTGCGCAATGTTCTCCTTACTGTTGCTGCTTCGAAGTGCGAACGACTCCTCTTGCGTGAGCAAGTACGTGGATCGGGTGGGCGACCTCGTCGCAGTGGATTGTGACTCATTGAGCGCAGAGTCCGACGTATTCACTCGAAACTTGAAACACATCTGCGGACTTCTCTCTGTAATAGAAAAACAGATAATTGTGCTAATTTGGCTCGTCTCTCGCCGACGCTACCTTGCCTGAGATGGCCCTGAAGAATGAGCAAAACGACGGCGTAGCTGAACACAATGACGATGCACGGAATCCAGAAGACGAAGAGGAAGTGGTTGATGGCGTACATCTTCTCCCATCTCTGCATCATTGTCGCCTCCTCGTCAATCTCCATTCGCCGCGCGTCCGTCGTCGCCGGATCCTGATACTCCATCCGCTTCTCGTGCAAGAAGATCATGAAGATGGTGGCGCATTGTCTGCAAAAAGTGTCAATTAGTATTTGAAAATCGACGTTTTCTCACTTGAAATCAATGTTCTCATAGGGGCTTGTGGTGGTGAACACGACGGCTTGAGGCAGAGAAAGAATGAAGGCGGCGACCCATCCGATGCCGAGAAGGTTCCGACATCTGATGTACGCTTTGCGGTGAGCATTCAGCGAACTGATATTGTAGGCTCCGAAGACTCGATCGATTGCGATGCAAGCGATCACAAAAGAGTTGAGATAGAACGAGAAAGTGGAGAAGAATGCGCACGCGCGGCAAAGAAACTCTCCGCCGTACCATTGATACGTGATCAGCCAGATGACTTGTTTGGGAACGTAGAGGAAGAGGGTCATGAGATCGGCGAGGTTGAGGGTTATCCGCAGTAGAAGGATCTGGCTCTTTGCTTTGTGCGCTCGACTGAACGACTGCAGCGAGCGGTAGAGAGTCATCACGTTCAAAGGACCGCCGATCAGAAAGACGAGGATGTAGATGCACACTTCGATCTGAAAGTGGGAAAAGTAAAGTGATAGTTAGTGATGACATGAGTTCTTTTCGCGTTTCCGATGCAAACTCACCACAGTCGAAACGGTGAGCTCGTTCTCGCCAACAGAAATCATATTGTCGTTTTGTGCGCGCGAGAAAGCAAGAAGAGCGAAAATGAAAGGCGGTTGCTGTCGCTGTCGCCCAAAAAACGACGAGGAAACGAACGGGCGGGCTGGATGGAAACGAAGCCCTCTTATGTATGTATGTGAGTGTGCGCGAGCAGAGAAAGAGTAATAATTGACGGGGCGGTCCCTCTCAGCGTCTTTTTTTTTCAAGACCTAATCAAGCCAATTTCCGGTGGTGACGAATGCTTCAAAACGACCAGAATGGGGGAACCGGAGAGGGAGAGACGCTACCTTTCTTGTTATTTGTTCCTGGAACCAGAAATCGAGTTCCGATTCTTCGGATTCCAGATGCTCAATAACTGCCGATTCGGAGAACGTCATGGCGAGAAATGGTGGAGTGAAGGGAAAGGAGTCGTGCTTCTGCACTTTATATTCCTCCCCTCACCCTCCATCTCTCTCTCTCTATTCTCCCCGCCGCCCATTCTTTTTTGCTCGGCGGTTGGAGCTCGTCATTTCGCGGGAATTCAAATATTTCTGACTTTTTTGTGCTGTTTTTCCCATTTCAAACATCTCACCTTGATCCTGAGTATCTCTGCCAGCTCCTCGGCCTCTTTGAGTGCATTGTCGTCTTCGAGCTGCTCGAGAGTCAGATTCTCATTGCTTGAGGCCACCAGCATTCGAAGAGAGGCTGCAAACGAGAAGAGGTGTGGGGGAGGTAATCTACTTAACGAAAGAGAGAGAGAATACGTCACGCCATTGTCGTTTGCACGAGAAAAAAAAGGACGGGGAAGGAGAAGGAAGTTCAGGCGCTTCTGATGATGTTGTTGGTGGTGGTGGCGGGTCGAATGCAAATCAAGAGCGGCGAATTAGAGAGAGAGAGAGAGAGAGAGAGAGAAAAGGGGGCGGCCCAAAATTTTTGGGAATGAGAAAACGGGCAGAGCTAAGAAGTATCTGAAATCACGGTATCGTCAAGGTTACTGTAGTTCTGGGTCTAATTCGGCACACATTCAATGATTCTTGATGGCGGTACGTCTTCCCGCCATGAAATATTGAAAAGAATGAGAGTGAACTTTAGCTCTTCCTCTTATTCTCCGCCTAATTAGTAGGAGTAGAAGGGTCCGAAGGCGGTTTATTTCTCGGTACACCATTTTCAGTTTCCATTTCAATTTTGTACCCTTCTTCGGCAAGAGAAGTGACCACTAACACCACGAGCGAACGGGCGCTTTCCTCGTATTTCTTGCCGAAAATGGAGAAGCACGGGGAGAGGGATGCAAGGGTTGACATGGCGAAAAAAGCAGAAAAAGGATGGGGGGACACGTGTGTTTTCTTACGAGAACGATGGGTGATGTGATATGAGAATCAGGAGGGCAGCTGTTTTTTTCTCGACTCGGTATGCCTCTTTTTACAAAACACGAAAGAAAACAACACATCGGGAATCGGACTTTTGTCGATTTACGGAATAAGAACCTACAGTCTCTGCAAAGTCTTCGAATGCACCAGTGAAACCCCTTTATAATCTCACCGTGCACTATTCGGCATGACGTTTTCTTCGAGCCGAAACAACACCTCGATTTCTTGCCTTCCCTCATTGACTCATCCATTGTTGAACTCACCGCTCTTCATTAGTCACAGCGTCAACGGCCGCACTCAACACGATTACCCTAGCGCGCAAAGTTATGTGAATTCTAAGACAGCTGAAAATGGATTCTCGTGAGTTCCCGATTGATGATCAATGAAGTGATGTCGTGTCGGAAAACACGAATGAGCAATTGAATCCATTGTTAACACGTCGGAATGCATAATTAGGAAGCCTTCCAAATAGAAATTGACGGGGGTGTGTGTGAAAATGAAAACTATTCTCGAAACGGGCAACTATTTTCTGCTACAATCCGCTCTGTCGGTGACACTTTGTCTGCCAAGTGCACCCCCATCAAGTATTCTCTGTTTTTCTGCGTATATACCGACGGAAATCCGATATTGTTTCCGTTCATTAGCTTCTCGCGCAGATTGACCATGATGTTGATGACTAGTCAATGTTGACAAAATGGGTAATACTACGAACACCTATACGAGGCATTCAGCAATTGTAGCGGCAAAACGTCATTGTCTGGGTGTGACGTGTCAAAAAGAGCTCGGAATGGGAACATCTTGAACGAGTTTGAGGTCGAAGAATGCCGTGGCTCTCCGCTTGATTTCTGCTCATCTCTCACTATCCTTTTCATTATTGTCAAATCTCGGACGGACAACAAGAGAATAAAATGAAAACACGACGCCTCGCGCGTATAAATATCACGTGAAAACATTTCAGACTTTTAATTTCATGGATTTTCGATGGAAAAGGCTTGAGAATGTGCCGACATTTCGAAACCGCGACGTTTCGCAACTAACGTGAACTACTTACTAGTTAGCGATAAATTGCATTGCTTAAATTCACGTGGGTATCGAGACGCCGCGGTTTCAAAACGTCGAGCTGCGAAACGTCGGGGTCCCGAATTTGGGCGCGAAAACGGATCGGGCACACGAATTTGAATTGATGGAAGAGAAACTCGCACTAGTCCTCCGGCCATGTCGATTTACGGGCATTTTTTCGATGATTTTCGCAATTTTTCAATAAAATATGGAGTTACTTGCTTTTTTAGGGAAAAACGTCCACTTTTTTGCAGGGGGACTAGTGCGTGTTTCTCTTCCATCTAATAAATGCGCAAATTCTCACATCAAAACAGCCCAGAGAACAGGAAAAAGAAAAAACAATGAAAAGTTTGCTCTCAAGACGTACCGAGTCCAAGGTTTGATTTGCGGCTGAGAAAATGAGCATGACAAGCTCATATTACAAACATGAGATATTTTGAATAGACGGGTTCCCACTGACTTTATGCATTCGCCAAAAAAACATTTGACGTGAGACTTGATCCGAAAATGAAAAAGGGAAAAGAAAAGGAAAAGGTCGTCGAGGGGTGCAGTTTGTTGCAAAAGTTAGGAGAAACTTTTGTGCTCAATGGGGTGAGCGCCAATTGGAACTTCAAAAATGAACTTCCGAGTCGATTCGGGGACGGCGGACACCTCCTCCGCACCCTAATCGCATGATCGTTGATCTGCTACTCAATTAAAATTATTTAGGGATCGACCCGTTGAGCCGAGTTGGATGACGTTCCGGGTGCATCACAGATGAGAGCAATTTGTGGGGGCCGCCCTTCTCGACACAAGAAGAAGCCCGTCGCGTTTTCTCAAGAAGTACATTCAAATTAAAATTGAAGATGAATGAAGGATTCGCTGGGAAACTAACACAGAAAAGAACCAGGGAAAGTGTGACAACTTGTTTTGCTCTAAAATGTTCTCAACATTCAAAGTCTGTCTGGATCGACCTAAAAGTCTCTCTTTCTGATCAAAGTACACCAAACACTTTCATAACTTGGCACAAAAAAGATGCGAAAATGTGTTTGTACCACCCAAAACTTTTACAGAATTGAATTTCCGCCCGCCCACTTTTCATGCGAAATGGACAAATTTGATCAAGAAAGTTCGAACTTCAATAGGAATAAAGTACGATAATTGAAATTTTGAAATTTGAAAAAAAGGAGAGGTTCAACGAGACGGACACAATCGGCTCTTCTCAATCTCATTCTCAAAAGAGCAAACAAATGTGCCAGTTCCTAATGGCCTTCGAATTGGATGGATGGATGGCCAGCGGTCAAGGGTCGACCGCGAGAGACTTTCAAGAAGTTTTTTGCTCTTTGAAAACGTTTCCGAAGAAGATGACGTTAAAGAAGGAGACAACTAGTTCGCACATTAATATGGAAATGTAGGTGTCAACTTTTTGCAACTTTTTCCTAAACTTGGCAGCTCTCGTGATTTTCAGAGCGACTCGCCAACAATTTGAACCATTTTTCGAAAAAAAACTCACTTATGGAGTGGAACATCCATCGGAAACTTTGAACATGAGCAAAATTTTATTCGATTTACTGACTATGACCAAGGATTGATATTAGTGGCCTTTTGAGATGTAGATCGGATTAGTGATCGCAAGACTTTTGATATGGAACTTTACGAGAACGTGGTCCCAAAGGGTCTCAATATCGACAAGAGCAAAAGAATATACTTGCAGTAGGGTCGGGCCGAATGGGGCTAAAAGGAAAATTTTCACGAGCCCAGTCCAACCGGTCAGGTCGAAGATCTGGAAAAATAAGGAAATGTTAGCTGAAAATCTTGAAGTGTTTTTCTTATTCATCTTTTGACTTTTGCTTACGGGCTGACGAACCGGGCTGAGATCTTGCAGAAACTCGAGAATCGAACTTCGGTCTCTCGTTTGGAAAACAAAAACGATAGCCACTTGACTACGTGTGCACTTGCGGAGTCATGAGCCAGTGCGTACACATATCTGCTGTATGATCGGCTTTCTTCGAAATTTTTTGCTCACGTCGGCGCGTAGACCACCGAAAACATGCTCAGACTGTTGGTGATTAGAGAGCATCGAACGAATGAGTCACTAAATTTGGAGATGTGGCGCTCAAAACCGGAAGCTCGATCTAATTTTCAGATTTCCCTCTGCATACCAAATCCATGCAGCTTCTCGGAATAGTTGGGAGCAATTGGGGGCAACCGGAACAACAATGATCCGGCCGATGTGGGCCGCGAGGGTCCCCGAGATTAGTAGGGGTCTTGCAAAAGTGGATTGATGATATCGGGAAGTGGGAGAAGAGAAACTTGGAACTCGCCTCGGCCAAGTTTATGATGAATCACAGAATGCGTTCGACGTCAAGACTCAAGTTGAAATTCGGATTAGACAAAAACAAGGCAAACCTTTCCTTTCTTCTTCTTAATCCGAAAAAAGGCATTGAGGCGGGAAATTGTCTCGGACGGGGCAAAATGAAGAAAAAAGGATGCGGATTGTTTTTGGTTTACACCCTTCTTTGTTACTTGAATTAGAAATTGGAAAACGGAAAGAAGAAGGAGACGGATGAGGAATAAACAGAGATTCCCGCTCAAAGCACGGTAGAACGCACTTGAAAGTGTGTCTCTTTTTGATTTTCGCCCTAGGTGTCACACGGAAGAGATGAGTGTTGAATATTCAATTAGAACTCATGTGTGTGTGTGTGTGTGTGTTCACAAAGAATGGATATACACGCATGAGTGAGGAAGCCCATCGAGAGCGGAAAAAATTATGGGTCAAGGGAAGAGGAAGACGAGTTTTTAGTGGTTTTTGTCTTGTTTGGAGCCTGCTCGCAAATTGGGCCAAGAAGTCTTCATTATTTTCAGTGGGAGTTGCGGGCAGAAAGGAGCAGAAGAAGCGAGAAGAGGCGGACAAACAACCACATCCTAATTCATCTTCTCTCTTTGAATATAACAATTTCAAATTTGTTCAACTGAAAAATCACTTTTCTTCAAAACTTGTCGATAGCTTATTAAATCCACAGGTTAAAATGTCTAAAAAAAGGCGCAAAATGGAGTGGATTCGTCCACAACTGACCGACTCTTCAGGTTTTTACGAAAATACACTGAAAAATGAGAATTTTCCGTTTCAAAGGAATAGACGATTAAAAACATGATTTCAGCACAATTTCTATCAATTTTCTTGAGTCTTGAGCTGTTTGCAGAATACTGATTCATTTTTTCTAATTTCTTGCGAATGAGTTCATTGTGATTGAAGCTCGCAAGCAGCAACGAGAAACTCGCAGAAATGTCTAGGGATCACTGCCAAAATAGCTTTTTTCGAAGTATCCAAGCCTTTCTCCGTGCGCCAAAACTTCAGATGCGTGCCGTCGGACGAATACTGATTCATTTCACTTGATTTTTTCGGAACAATTTCATTGTGATGCAAAGTAACAGAGAGACACAAAAAGCACGCACGAGCAGCCATTTTTCGAAAAAAGCAGTTTTCGTGCTGAATCTCGGAAATTCTTGCGAGTTTTTTGTTGCTCTTTGCTAGTTTCGATCACAAAAAACACATTCACGAAGAGAACGAGTAAGATAAATCAGTATTTGTCTAAAAAATTTTGGAATTTTCCTCGTCGCCATCGCAAAGAATCACCGTGCCAGGAAATGTGGACAATATGCTGAAAAGACGAAAAAATGAAATATACATTTTTGCAACGACACTCCGAAATGTCGCGTTGAATCCTTGTTTAGTGTACGACTTTTTGATTGGAAGGATGGGGTTTCGTAGGAACAAGGCTGTATTCTCTTTATTCAAGTACACTGCGCGGCACAGACGTCGTTCACTTGATCCGGCCGGGAAGTGTGCTGTCCGATGCCTCCGCCCACGATTGTTCCGGCTTGAACGAACTGAAACGGACCGGTAGCACTCGGATCACTTGCTCACTCGTCACTCACATTCCACGTTTGACAGCTCTGCAGGTCGACTCCGTTGAAAGTGAGGGGAACAGTGATGAGCGCGTTGAGGGTGCGGCCGGACAGATTTGCCGTTTGCAAAGAGGCGACGGACTGAGCATCCAGGGCCGGAGGGGAGTAACCGGTGGTTCTTCCGGTGCGGATCGACACCTGATTGTTCTCGACGAGCAGGAGGATCACCGAGAGGCTCGACTGAAAACTAAATGATTGCGGAAGAACTCTTCACTACTGTACCATTTCAGACCCAAAAGCCACGCCAGTCCACTGCTCATTTGAAATTCCAATGTTCTCAAAATTGATCTGCAGTGCACCATTGACCACTTTCCAGTTGGATTTGACATTATCCTTTGAAAAAGAGCAAGTGGCAGAGCTCACAGAGCAGACACAAGACAGCAGAAGAAGAAGGAAGAGGAAGAAAGAAGATCCCATGATGGAGGTGATGGAATCGAAGAGAAAATGAAGGCTTTATATGAGATGGAGGTATGGGAAAGAGAGGGAAAGCTGCGGCTCGAAGTATGGGAACGATGAAAGTCCTGAGAATAAAATTGGGAAAAACGATCAGAAATGTACTCTTTTTTTGCTACATTTCAGAAACTGCAACCGATTGAAGTTTTCGAGAACTTTTCATTATGTCCGATTCATAAAGCTGCACCATTGCCCACATTCGACCTTGATTGCACAGAACTCGGCGCTTTTTCATTTAGGTTCAGCCAGGCGTCAAGTCTATCGAGCGCCTACTTCAGAACTCCTGAAACAATTCCATATTTCAGGTGACTTCCATTTGTGTTCTACTTTTAGGAGCATCCGATAGTCCGTCACAATATACATGACAATCATAGCGTCTTTCGCTGAATGCAATGTGAATGAGCACAGGAAAACGCCGGTCGGAACGCTGACTTCGAGGTCCAAAAGAGGCAGATAGATTATGAAAATGACGGGGGAGAATGGGGCAAAGAGTGGGAGCGAATATTTGCAGAATGAGAGTCTTGAAAAAGTGGTTACGACGGTGGGAAAGATTGTCAGAAGGTATTTGTAACTCCCGCAACTTCTTTTCACGCCGAAAAGTGTCAGTAGCAGAGAAACGGCGAGGAGAAGAAGCCTGGGCGACGAGATGAGCCAGTTTGACCCAATGAAGAAACGATTTGGGCTCATCGCGTGGCATGCGTATAGTGGCAATTGAGAAGCTTTGAAGAAGAAGAGGTAAGTGAGAATGCAACAGGAAAAGTGTTTGAATGCTCATAGATTAAGACATAGACATGGACATTATTAAGAAAACACGTCAAAGTTTAGTGGTCTGACTCTTGGTGTGTGAGTTCGATGTCTTTGGAGTTGGAGTCTTCGCTGCCGCATACTTTTCCCTTGTTTTCATAAAGATTCCTTTAAAAAAACACAGTTTTGCCTTTCCACAAAGGACCGCCTACTCTTGAAAGCCCTTCCGTACTCGGAAACGCAGCTCATCATGATTATTGAATCGATTGCCGGGTACACTGTGAAGCCGCTCTGAATAATGCACGAAGGGAAGCTCATTTCGAGATCCGCAAACGGTGCGTAGATCATGAAGAACACAGGACAGAAGAGGATGATAGTCGGCGCAGTGATCTGGAAAAATGCTAGTCATAGGGGTTTTCTTTCCGTGAACTCAAGCATGCCTGAATCACGAGAGCTCTGAAGAATTGTCGATGAAGGCGGCGAACCATGGGCGAAAGGACGGAGAGCTTGGTGCGCATTCCGATGTACATTTGTGACCGCAAATGATGATGGAGCAGTATTGAATGGCGGAGATCGTCGTCATTATGGACAGCCCGAACACGTTCTTCCAGCGGATCGAGTCCTTCTCATAGGCAATCAGGCCGAGCACAGGAAGATCCGTTATGTTCCGCTCGTAGCGCAACAGAATCTCATCGGCCAAATACTCTCGGCCGAAATCGTCGAGGGCGAAGAAGTGTCCGACTGCGTAGGCCCAGAGAAAGCCGAAGAATGTGTAGTAGAAGATCCAGATCAAATATTTGCATCCGTTGAAATACAACAGTTTCGGAGTGTCGAAGATCGCCCAGTAGCGGTAGAGAAACTGAATTGCCAGCTGGCAAATGGTCGCCGAATAGAGGCCCGTGTAAATGGCCATTCCATACTCCATCGTTAGATTCGAGACGCCCAACGGGCGGGAAAGACTGAAGTAGATCAAACTGGAATTGTAGGTGTGCAGAAACTGAAAACAAAAACGGTGTGAATAGATGAGAGTTCTCGATTACCGTATGGAAAAGGAATTCGAACGAGGCAAAAACGAATCCCAATATTTGGAAGTTGATGAGCAAGTACTTGTAAGATCCGAACTGCCGTTTGATGAAAAAGAGAGTTGTGTAAACGAGAATGAATCCGAAGAAGGCGTTGGAGAAGAATCCGAGGTTGCCCATGAAGATGCAGAAGTTGATGTACGTCAAGTAGGCAGCGCCCATTTCGAAAGGTGTCAACTTTTCGGCGGAAAGAGGATAGTGAAGGGATGAGGGGACGGCTTCTGGTGTGCTTTATCAACGTGGTGTTTCCGGTAGAATTGCTCTGGCACGTGGCCTCTCTTTGACTCTTTTTTTTTCTAACTTGAGATGTTTCAGTAAAATGCAATGACTGAGAAATGAAGGGGGGGACTTTACAGTAAAGTTCTGCTATTACTGACGGGGCTGATATTTTTTGTTGAGAATTTTCTCGGAAAGACACGCCTTGTTCAGTTTCCGTCAAAGAACTATACAATTCGACCTCATTATACACATGCACATATTTTTGATGTTTTTAAGCGCCGGAACTTTATTTCATTTTCTCGGTAAAGTTCACAGTTCGGTTGTCTGAATCGAGGGGTGTAGAGCGATAGAATTGCTTCTGCCTCCGCGTGGCACTACGAACGGTTCATGGTGGAAATAGTGAGGAGCGGCAGAGTTTATCCGGCTCCGCACAGACAGTAACAGCCTTCTCAGTGCTGAGCGGTAATCGGAGACTATGTAGAGAATGATGATAGTGTCGATGGTCGGATAAAGAGCAAATGCACTGAAGATCACGCCGGTTGGGAAGCTGAACTGAACATCGAGCAGAGGAAGATAGACGATGATGATGACTGGAAGGAAGAGAACCACCGATGGGACCACAATCTGCAAACGAAATACTTCATTTTAAGTTCTAGTTAAGTTTACTATGGACCTGCAACACCAACGACTTGAAGAACTGAGTGTGCAGACGTCTTCTCGTTTGCGACAACATCGAAATCTTCTCCTTCATTCCAACACTCATTCGCTGCCCACAAAAGCAAATGATCGAGTATTGTGAGCCAAGAATAATAGTCATTTCGACAGTACACATTAGATTCCACCATCGGATTCGCCGGTCTTCGGTGTAAATGACAGATGTGAAACTTGGAATCGAGGTGAGATTGAGGCCGTAGTGATAGGAAAGCTCCTTGTAGAAATAGAGTGTCGAGAATTGATCGATTTCGAGAAAATGGTAAATGCCGATGGCCCAGAGCGCACCGATGGAAAAGCTGTAAAAGAACCAGAGGGATAAGGTCCAGCCTTCGAAGTACTTGAGCTTTTCGACACTGAAAAGGTTACGGTAGATGGGAAATGTGAGTTTACTTTGAAACATACTCGAAAAGTGCCCAATATCGATACAAAAACTGAACAGCTATAAAGCAAATAGTTGATCCGTAAAGGCCACAAAACGTCACTAAACTGATTCTCATTAATTCGTTCGAGACATCCGGAGTTTTTGGATTTGTGAAAAAGACAAATCCAGTATTATAACTGTGAATCATCTGAAAAACACAAATCCGTTCGACAGATTGCTACGCCTCACTTACAGGATGAACAACGTACTCTGACAATGAAAATAAAAAGCCGAGGAGTGAGAAGGAGATCAAAAGGTTACGATAAGTTCCGAAATCTCGATTCACAAAGAAAATGGTCAGAAAATTGAACAAAAGTACGGAAATCGAAGAGGTGAAGAATCCGATTTGGGCGATCAGACAGGTCAAGTCGTCGAGTTGGGTGAATCGCATTCGGTCAGTGAGTCAGTGAGTAAGAAAAGGCTTTCAGGGTATTCGAGACATATTCGTGATTTTCACGATAAACAGCTTTTTTTCAATTTCCGTTTGCGTACTTTTTGTTGAGACCTGTTTCTGTAGACATTCGAAGAGACGATTTGATAAGTCGGCTAACCACTTGGACACAATTTGTCTACACGGCCGCAAAAACAACTCGAGTTGTCCGTGTCGCCGCCAGATTCTCCGAAATTCGCACTGCGCCGAGCCATGTGATCGCGGCATTGCCAATGACTCCTGGAATGCACTTGATAATTGATCACGCCCAACTCTACAAACGAACTTTTTATGAAATTCTTGTAGTCGGACAAAATGAACATGACTATGATCGCATCCATGGCCGGGAAGAAAGAGAACGCGTTGAGAAGGACACCGGACGGAAAACGGATTTTCAGATCGAGCAGAGGGGTGTACATGAGGATGAAGACGGGCATGAACAGGGTCAGTGTGGGAACGAGGATCTGGAGAAGAAGCACTCGGAAGAACTGGGTGTGCAGCTTCCAAAGAACGGGCGACAAGTTGAAGACAACCTTTCTCATTTCGACGTTCATTCGCCAGCCGAAGAAGATTATGGCGGCATATTGAATGATCTGAGAAAAGTGACTAATGCAAAATCCAGAGCGGTGGATACCATAATGAAGGTCATGTTGAGAATGCACATTATATTCCTCCATCGTAACTTGTTATCGGCATAGGCTACAACCGCACACTTTGCAATTTGCTCAATATCTTTCCCGTAATAAACTTGTACTTCTTCCCTCATGTACTCTGTTGCAAAACTATCCATTTTTCCGAAATAAGCCATTCCGACAGCCCACTCTACACCGAAAAAAGCGGCGTAACAAATCCAAATGATGATCCGCCAGGCACCGAAAAGTTTGGGAACCAGGCCGGGACTGAAAAGTGAGACGACGGTATCTGCAGCCGGGGATTGTTACTTACTGTAGAATTGCAATGTATCGGTAGAAGAATTGAACGGTGAGAAAGGAAATGGTTGCAGAGTAGAAGCCCGCGTGGATTACTGGAAATTTCAGATGTAATTGTCTCGAACAGGCCACACTCACACAACAAATCGAACGTCACATTGATGGAAGCTCCAAGTGGATGCACCAAACTGAACATGACGATGCCGCAGTTGTAATGGTGAAAGATCGGATTCACGGCGAACTCCACCGATGCCAATCCGAATCCTAATAGGGAAAATACGATCATGTACCGTTTGTAGCTCTCATAGCTCGTCCGAACGTAATACACAGAGAGAACTATGAAGATGAACGCGGATAGAGAAGTCGAGAAGAAGCCGACCGACGCGATGCTACTCGACAGTTGTGTCCATTTTGAAAAATTGGTGAAGTTGTTGGGCATGAATGTAAAAAAGACGATACGAATACGAAAAAGACGAGGAAATACGCACGGATATGCCCTCTGTTCGGGGTCTTCATTAACACTTTCATTTTTGTCTCTTCTGTGAATATCTTTCATTCAGCCATTTCTGTTTTTCCGTCCACTCAATCTGATTAGTAACAGGAAGTCTCACTGATTTGTTTTCCATCGTCAGACCCTAGTTACTCTCATCCCCATCCATCGCCTGCCGCCATCAAAATGGGCTTCGATACATCTGATGTTGCGGACAACATCTCCCGAATCTGCTACATGCTCACCGTCTTCTTCAACTCTTCGCTCATTTATCTGACCGTTTACTGTACCAAACAGATTGTTGGCACTTACCGAAACATGATCGTCACCTTCGCGACATTCGGAATCTCTTTCTCCTCTCTCGACATCCTGGTCAGACCGTTATTTCACTCTTTCAATGGTTGTTTCTTGTTTTTCACGCTGGGCAGCAGCTTCAGAAGTTCCAAGGTAGCAGCTGAGTATGCTTTGTGTACGATTATATCGAGGTACATAGAAACAAAGAAGTTTATTTAGTGGCATACGCGTCCGCCTACGCTGTAGTTTTGGCATTCTTGACGGTTCAGTTCATGTACCGGGCATGCGTTTTGGCCAGGTAAGCACAGATATCCAATGCTCAACGTACCCCAAAAACGGTTACAGACCCCAATGGACAAAGCACTTTGACGGCTGGAAACTGATATTGTGGATCGGCTACGCACTCCTATTCGGTCTTCTCTGGTTCTCCGCTTCTATTATCGTGTATCCGGACGAGATATCGTACAACTACGTCAGAAACGAAATGATGAGGTCTTATAGAGTGGAGATCAAGAATGTTCCGTGCTTCTTGGTACTCGCTTTTGTGAGTTCTTCCCTATTGTCTTTCGTAATCTCTGTTCGAAAACGTTTAGAATGAGGAAAACAATCGAAAAGAGATTCGTTGGAACAGTGTTTTCACGATTGGCACGGTGACTGGAATCATCAGCGTTCAATACGCTATCATGTTATTCTGTGGCATCATTATGTACCGGAGAACTAAAGGGAAATTAACGAATGCGTCGACTTGCTACGAGCGATTGCAGAAACAAATGTTCGTTGCTCTGATCTACCAGGTACCTGTCATCCATAGAAACTCGATCTGGTCTTAGTCCGTTTCAGGTCAGCGCCCCTTCACTCATTTTCCATCTGCCCGGAATGTTCGTTCTTCTCGCTCCTTTCTTCGACTTCAAGTTCAGTTTTCACTCGAGAATCGTCGTCTACGGCCTGAGCGCCTATCCCCTTGTCGACTCTCTCATTCTTCTCCGAGTCATTTCAGAGTACAAGATCGCCTACAACAGTAAGCTTTCAGAAGTTTCCATTCACATGCATTGCTTACAGGACTTTTCGCTTGGATCATTAAAGATGTTATAAAATGTCTTGGAGGAACTCCTCCGAGTGACCGGCAACAGTCTCAAACGTCAATTTCTTTAACAGCATGATTTTACGATTCATAAATACTCATTCATTAAAAGAAACAGAACTTGTAGCGTTTTATGGTTATCGGCAGGATCAGAGGACAATTATTGTAAGTTTGTCTGATTCTTCACCGATCGCAAGAAATGTTGCCGATGTCTGCAATTCAAATCACAAGACGTTCTCTTTTGTCTCCTCCTTCCACAAGACTCTGCAACCTCTGGATAATCTGCTTGCGTAATTTCAGTCTCTTTTCAGCGTTCTTTTCTCCTTTCCTTTTCAGATCCTTTCAAAGAGCAAGCTCGTGAGGTTATAAAGGTTTGCAGAGGGTTGGTTCTCTGGAGCCGTTCTTCCCGATTTCTCACTTGCTCCAAATATAACCGCGTGCACGAAATCATGAGTGTTCCGTCCTGCACCCGTGCCATTCTCACACTTTGCCCTTACGCAGCAGAGAAAGTATTTAGGTGGCGCAGAAACGGAAAAAATGCACCGGAGAGATCTGTGTTGTTGAGTACTTTTGTTTATTCAATAATATCCCTAAGGCTACATACGAAAAACACCGGGCGTGTAGGCCGCAAAACTGCCAATTATGTGTTTTTTCATGTGAGCATGTATAACTGCTTCTCCATATTTGAATCGGAGGAGGAACTAAAAGTACTCTTCTAACTTCTAGACTTACAGTATCTGAGGTAAACTGAGGTAAACGTGCTTTTGAGTATTGTTTGTTTCTCTTCTGAAACCACTGGGACTAAAGTTGCGCGCCAATCGCCGTCGCGACAATCAACTCAATCCAATTCAACTCAAATCAGCCTCTGATCGCTCTTTACTCACTTCCTTCTCACTTTTCGCAACATTTTCGCCCGTTTTAGAGCAGGAAATAATGGCTCTGGAAGACTCGATCCACGGACTGAAGGAGTACAAAGCCTTCAACTACTACTTCACGTTCTCCACGCTCATCGCCATGTGCCCGTTCTTCTACATGATTCCCACTATCACTGTGATGTTGCGGATCTGCAAAACGTACATGACGGCCAAGAATCAGCCCATGGACAGGCACATATTCATGTGTCTGGCACTCAACTTTTTGTTCGTAAGTACACCCCCGGATCATCGAAATTTCAATAGTCCTTGCAGAGCATTTCGTTCTTCCTCTTTGATTATATCCGTCTCTCGCTGCCATCCACCGGCCTCTTCACTTCCTGGTGTGCCGGCATCGAGCCCAATCACCACTTCAAAATCATCTTCCTCATCACGTTCTTCTCCAACTATTGTGTCCTTCTCCTTCCGTTCTTTCTATGCGTTATCAGACTTACAATACTACTCCGTCCGCGGGACAATTCATTTGTAATACTTCAAACTATCATCAAAAAGAAAACAACCCAGATTCAGATTTGCCCGAAGATCATGATGGTAGCTATTCCACTTCTCATTATAATTCCATTCGGATGCACTGCTTTCATGATTCCCGCCGTGGGATATTGTCGGAAAATGGGGCCGCCGCTCGAGTTCGGTGCCATTTACATCTACTATTCGGGAGGATGGTCAGGGGTAATCAAGGAATTCCAGATCCGGAAGTAGTTTGGTGATTTTCAGTGGCGCAACTCGTACATTCACCTTTTCATGTCCGTCATTATGTGCTCCTTAACTATTGCCGGCTCCGTGGTAATGTTATTAAAGCTCAAAAAAGTTACCTCCGCTGCGAATACTACGTAAGTCGTCTGATCTGTGTTTTGATGAAGTTGCACTTGATTCTTGACTTTAGATCCGTCAAAACCAAAAAAGCGTCTTCTCGGGCGGAAAATTCTCTAACGATCACTATGATCGCTTCGATGATACCTTTCATCAACAACACTGTGCTCACGGTACTATAGTTGCTCATCTGGAAGAAAACGACGACTTTGAATGGTTTCAGATAGTCTACCTAACATTCCCTGACTATGTCTACTACCTGATGATCTTCCGTCCGTTCGGAAACGACATCGAAACTGTCATGATGCCCTGGATCCTCTACCTGACACATCCGATGTTCCAGACATCGGAACGGAGGATCAGCAGTGTCTCCACCGTCTCCATAATCATACCGAAAAGCTCTGCCATGTAAATTTGTTTGTGCGAACTCTGAAAACTTCGATTACCAAGTATTTGATTCATAAACCCTGTTTCTATGTTCGTAGCTCGTTTCTTTGCATTTCAGAATGGAGTGAGTGGCTGATTCAGGTTTAATCAATGTTTACATGATCTAAGATCATTAAGTTAGAGACTTCGTGCCCACCAGAAACCCATTCATATCACATTTTTCGCTCGTTTTCAACTAACACATAACAATTGGAGAGCTGATTGCATTCAATTTCTACTCCTCTTCTTGACTCTTTCTCTTCCCATCTGTCTATGATTTATGGACATTCGAATGGAAGAATCGATTAATGGAGATGTGGAATATCAGACCTTCCACTACTACTTCACCTTCTCCACAGTCTTGGCGGTGATTCCGTTCGTCTACATGACGCCCACGCTCGTGGTCATGTTGCGAATATTCAACTCTTATCGGTCTCCGAGCAATTGGAGCAATGCACAAACCATGAATCATCACATTTTCGTGATTTTCATGCTATACTTCCTTTTCGTAAGTGCATTCATTTCTGATGACTCTCCCGAATCATTTCCAGAACACACTCTTCTTCTTCGCCGATTTCCTCCGTCTCTCACTTCCAGCGACGGGCATCCTGACGTCCTGGTGTGCTCGAATTCAACCGAATCACTTTCTCAAACTCATATTCTATTTCACCTTCTACTTCAACTACTGTATCCTCATTCTTCCGTTCCTCTTGTGCCTAGTCAGACTCGTCATTCTTCTCTATCCCACTGATCATCCAAAGGTTAGCATCTGATCACTTGAAACATCATTCATGAAAAAACGTGTTTTACAGATTTGTCCCAAAATCATGAAAGTCGCTCTCCCTGCTCTCTTTATAATTCCATTCTTCTGCACAGCTTTCATGATTCCTTCCATGGGTTACTGTAGGAAAATGGGAGCTCCGTTGATGTACGGAGCCGTGTACGTTTACTATTCAGAAGGGTGGTTTGGGGTGAGCGGCCAACGACCTCGTGAGGATGACGGGCGGTTCTTTTCAGTGGCGCAACTCGTACATCCATCTCGTGATGTCTGTCGTCATGTGCTCTCTAACGATAATCTGCTCAGTCTTGATGCTGTTGAAGCTGCGGAGCTCGGCGTTCGGCAACTCGTGAGTGCTGGCCATCCGGTCCCAAGCAGTCAGTTTGATCTTTGCAGGTCAACCCGGACAAAGCAACAATCGCACCGAGCAGAGACTTCTTTGTCAATCACAATGATTTCTTCAATCATTCCATTCATCAACAACACAATTCTAACGGTAACTATCTAAGCATCAAGTGACAGTCAACATCTTTTTCCAGATTGTCTACCTGACATGCCCTGACCATGTCTACTACCTAATGATCTTCCGACCCTTTGGAAACGACTGCGAGACTATCATGATGCCCTGGATCCTCTACCTGACACATCCGATGTTCCGCCAGAAGCGACTCTCTTCCGCCACAATCTCCACGATCCCTCTGCGAGCAAAGAGCTCAGCGGTGCTCTGATTCGATCTCTCCGGCTTCTTCCAGGTTTTTAATAGTTTTTCTGCTTTGCTCTTTTGCTCGAACTCCACCCTCACTCGGCTCCGTTTAATATGCGATTTACGCAGGGCTCACACGTACACACACTCACATCCACATCCAGAAAAAGTCATTCAGGGAAGTGGCCGGGGCGCCGAAAGGAAATTACGCGTAGTACTCGATGTCAGCATAATTCCGCGCGCATGGCCGCTCTCACCGAGCTCTTCTCCTTCTTTGTTCTCTGCAAAAAAAAACTAGTTTCTTTTTCGTTCATTAAATTCTCAGTTTCAGACAAGATGTCCAACACGACGATCACTCTGAATTCTTCGGCCTTTCCCCAGTCGGTTTACGGTAATCAGAGTTACGCGGAGTATCATCCCGCTTGGGATTCGTGGCCGATTCTCGTGGCACTCATCCCGCTCATCTACATGATTCCGACCGCATTTGTGATCGGACGAATCATTCATGTCTACTGTCAGTCTTTGATTTCCACCAAGAACGTTCCGATCAATCAACACGTCTTCTTGGTGCTCTCGTTGGCGCAAGTTTTGGTGGGCATTCGAGGGATAAACATAAAGCACGATATCCATAAATCCTTTCTGCTGGACATACTTCGTAGGGCACTGAACTTTTTGATGACACGATAGTTAGTTTTGGTATGGAGCATTTGGCCGTTACAGTTCAAAAACTAACGCTTCTGATATGTATATATCTCCAGAAGAAAAGATTTCGCCGGCAAACAGAATTCCGAATCTCCTCTAGCCGTTTTTTTTCTGTGAAGTTGCAAAATCAGAGTGACAATCTTTTTCATAGATTTAATATGCAAACCCAAAAATATTTTCCGTTCTTGTCCCAATCATCACATTATGATTTCTCATTTTTTGTTTTCCTCTGCTTCGGAAATCGTGGCCGTGGAACTCTTGATATCAGACAAGTGTTCCCCAGAACTCGTTAGCACTAGTCTGTCCATCGCAACAAAAGAACACTACTTTCCAGAGTTTTGTGTACTTCGTGGCCGACTACATGATGCTGCGCCTGCCGGCGACCGGCTTCTTCACATCGCTGTGCGCCACCACTCTGCCCAATCACTACCTCAAACTCATCTTCTTTTTCACCTTCTACTTCAACTACTCCGCCATGATTTTTCCGTTCCTTCTCAGCCTCCTCCGACTGATTCTCATGATGTTCCCGAATACGCACACAAAGGTAGACTCGGCTAATACTTTGGTCGCGGTGCTCTTGCCGTAACGTGATTAGATTTTGTGCGGCGCTGTTTATTTATTCAATGGAAACACGATTTTGCGCATTTAATTCCGCAATTGGCTAGAGTGAGCTCAAAAGATCCGGACTAAATGGAAACAATTTCAGATCAACGGACCGATCCTTGCATTTACCGTACCTCTCGCGCTGATCTATCCTATGTGCTTCACATTTTTCCTCATCCCGGCCGTGGGTTACTGTAGACAACTGGGCGGTCCGTACCCGTTCGGCTCCGTCTCCATCTACTACTCGGGCGGTGCTTTCGGCGTGAGTTTCGGACTTTGCTCTTTGCTGATTCAATCGTTCAAGCTTGATTGATCGCGTGTCAAAACGAATTGCTCAGAAAAACAAACGGGGTTTGTTTTCAGATGCGTAACTCGGTGTTCCACCTGATTAACACCGTGTTCTGGATGGCCGCCTGTCTGCTTGTCAACGTCGTTCTCTTCATTCAACTGAGGACGGCCATCTCGATGGCATTTCAAGGACAGCAGGGTCAGACGAAGAGCTCGAGGAGTCGGAAGGCCGAGATCTCTTTGACGGCCACCACTGTTTCCATGATTATGCCCTACTTGACTTATTGCATTTTCACGGTGAGTCGCGCGACAGTTAATTTCGAAACGGTTGCGAAACGTCCAGTTGATGAAGACGTGAGACTTTAAATAAAGTTTTCGTTTTGAGATTATGTACCTGCAAATTCCCGCCTACACCTACTACATGATGATAATCCGTCCGTTCGGAAACGACTGCGAGACGGTCATCGTGCCGTGGATCTTCTATTTGACGCATCCAGTGTTCAAGAATCGCGACGGTTCCGTCATCAACATCACCGTCATTCACTCATCGCAACAACGAAAAACTTCCGAGCGAGGCAGTGTGCTCCCAGTGAGCAAAGTGAACGTGTAACCGAAAAATCGGGTCATAAATTTATTAGAAGCGTTATTCCAAATTAATACTGATAAGAGACGGTTAGATGAATGAGAATGTAACATAAAATTAGCGCATATTCTGATTTTGGAACCAGTTTGGCGGATAAACTGCCGGGTTCTGCGGCTGGTTCGCCGCCGTCCCTGCATTCTGACCGCCCGGATTGTACTGCTGCTGGTAGGCCATGAATTGTTGCTGATACGCCGTTTGATTCATTTGTGGATGCATGGTGGGTTGGTAGTACGGGTTGAACGAGTAGACGCTCGGGTCCCACATCGGATAGGCGGTTCCGTACGGCGCGGGATAGGGATAGTACGGAAAGCCGGGCATCGGAGCCATTGGGAACGCATTTTGTTGCATTGGCGGGATTGTGTTTGGGGCCGGCACCGGCGGCTGAGCTCTCGGTGCTCTTTTCCGCGAGCCATCAGAGCGACGACGTCCAGGTTCTGGCGCGGAAGTTGGTACGATCGGAGCGGGAGGATTGTTGAAGCCGTGCTGCTGCATCATTAGCTGGTTCTGCTGTTCGATTTGAGCAGTGCTGTTCATCACGCCGTTGGTTGGGGCCATCTGAAATTGGACATTATTTCCCAACCACTTCTCTTTTTCACCTGTGCTATCACGGGTCCTCCCATATCGAACTGCTGCGGTTGCTGTTGAAGTGATGCCGGTCTTGCGGCCATTTCGATGGAATTGTTGTGCACAGAATGGACAGATGACACAGAAGTAGGCATTCCGGCGATCGGACTCATAAACTGCTCGACAGCTCGTCCGCATGAGGGAATTCCCCCCGAACCCGGTGTGGTTTGGGGCTGGTGGGAGCTTGGGCCGTGATGAGAGTACATCTGATTGGAATGAGTCATGTGCATCGAGGAGGAAGATCCCAAGGGGTCGTGGTACTGCATTCCTTTGCTGCTTTCGACTGTATTATCGTCCACCGGTACTTCCTCCACAGGCACATGATCCTCCTGCTTTCCGTACTGCGGGGACAGTCTCGGCGGAGCATCGTCGTCCTCCGAAGTGTAGTCCTCGACGAGCGGGGGCGATGCTTCTTCGACCGCCGTCACCTCTTCCGGCTGTGAGACGTGGAGATTTGCGACTTCGGAGACGAGCAGCGGCGGCGCGGCGTCGTTCTCTTCGACGTGCTCTTGGCTTCCAAAGTGTTGAGCTGGCGGCGGAGAGAGCTCTTCAGTCTCCGAATGGTAGGATGCCGGCGTTCCGATCATGTAATTCTGAAAATTTTCTGTTTGATTGTCATTTTTTCTCTTCTGAACTCACTCTAACCAGTTCTTCTTCCTCGACGTCCAAATCTATCTCCGGCCCTTCCTCCCCATCACTCTTTTCTTGCTCCTCATCCGGTTTGGGCTCTACCACTTCAGCAGTTGCTTCAGAAGTCTCCGGCTCTTTCTCATCCTTTTTCGCTGGAATCTCTTCGTTCGTCGCCTGAAGCTTCTTTGCCGCCGCCGCTTCGGCCGCCGCCTTCATTCTATTGTGTATTCCGAATCTCTTCTTCATCTTCACTGGCCTTCCTTTCTTCCGCTTCGGTTTTTCCTGCACTTTCTTCTGCACAATCGGAGCAGTATCCTCCTCCGACTTCTTTTCCAGATCTTCCTCTTTCTCTGTTCGATTCTTTCCTTTCCCCGATGAAGATGACGGCTTCTTTTCTGCAGTTGGCTGCTTCTTGTCCGGGGCTATGTGGCCCCGACGGGAAGAGGGTCCGGGGGCATCGTCGTCCTCATCTGGAGAATCGGGACGTCGTTCCCCTTTCTTCGGAGCGGAATCTGAAAATTACATGTTTTACACTCTGCGAATTCCCAATTTCAAGTACCTGCACATCGTTTCCTCTTCTGGCTCGTTTTCCTGCTCTTCGGCGATTCCTCGTCACCAGAAGAATCGGAAATCTCATCCGAAACCGTCACCCGCTTCGTCAGCTCCTTCTTCAGATCTCTTCTCACACTTCGGCTTTGTGTCTGTCGTCTTCCTCCCTTAAATCATGTCAATTGTTTGCAATTCGAACCGTGAAGAGCGTGCAAAGAACATGCAAATAGACAGAAAACAGTTTATAAAATATAGATTGCTGTCTTAGACATTTAAAGGAGCCAATTGAATAGTACATCGAGAGGGTAAAACGGAGAATGTTGAATCCTTGAACCGAGAAAAAGCACATAAAAAGAGAACATGCATTCATCGCCGAATCCGTCTCACTCTGGGACGCCACGGCAATTTCTTACGCACTTTTTTCACAGATCCAATGGGAAGGCTCGACGCAGTGGCCGGCGTCGACTGCTCCAGATTCTGCTGCTGATGCGGGGGCGTCTGCTGCTCCTGTCGCAGCCGCTTCTTCTCCTCGTCCTCCTCCACATCAGCTCGGGTGAGCTCGAAGAAGCCGTCCATGGCGGGTGTGTACTTTCGAGGCTTCCACTGAAAACATTCACGATTTGGTAAAGAAAAAGTTGCGCTGAAAAAACCAACGTCAAGCAGTTTCTCATCGAAGTAAGACGGGTTGTTGTGGCACTTTTCCACCAAATCCCAGTCGACATCCCAGTACATAGAGCTGTAAAAATAGCAATATAACTCACGACACCCAGAAGAATGAAGCTTACTATGTTCCCGTAGCGTCCGGTCCTTTCTTTTCGTTCACTTGGAGCCATCCAAGGAGTTCGAGCATCTGGAGACAGTCTTGTGCGTGAATGCCCGTCTCATCGCTGACGTCTGCAACAAACCAGCTTTGAAAACGATGAAAAAGAAGATACTGACCTTGCACACTCCACGCGTAATCATGTTCGATGGCCACGAATACGCGTTCGAGGCTAAACAGCTTGAAAATGGCGGCTCTCCAGTACTTTCCGTAGGCGGCGAGTCCGTGCTCGGAGAGCGGCTGCTCCGGACCGCCGAACCATTCTTCCCGTCGCGAGAGGGCGTAGCTGAGGTCGATGAGAACGCGGCCGAGACCCATCGACTGGAACGGCGGCAGGATCATGATGCAACTCAGATTGTTTAGATCCGGCTCGTACTTCTCCTTGCTGAAGTAGCCGGCGAGGCGCCATCCTTCCGCGTCGTTAACCGTCACGACGTAGAACAGAAATGGCTCCGTATCGTAAAAGACTGTCTTGCTCGAGAGGAAGAGGCGCGCGATAAGACACAAGCGCTGGCAGTAGTATCTGAAATTATTGTTTTTTTTCAGTTTCTATCGTCATTTTCCGACTTACTTTTGAATGCATCCATCCACTTCAAACACCGAAATGTTTCTTTCCACGTCTCGATAGATTTCTTTTCCGGGCGGACCCCTGGTTTTGCATCGATCAACGTGTCGCTTCATTACGAGATCGGAGCCGGTGTAAGCTAGACAATATTCGCATGCGATCACCTTCTTCATGTAAATGTATTCTATCGGGAACGGAGATCCGTACCACGACGAAATGAGGTACCGACCAATTTGGATTTTGGACGGCAGTCTCAATTCTCCGTCTTCCTCATTACTGTGGAACTTTGCGATTTCGGGCGGTGCCAACTTGAGCAGCTGCTCCACATTCGCGAGTGCCCTTCGGTAGTAACCGGAATGTTCTTCAGTGATCTGGAAGCAATTTTATAGTTTTTTTTCGTAATCGAAACTGTGTTCGTACTCACCCAAAACGTCAGATCGTCACTGATCGGCATGTCTCCGATTCCGTAGTCGTCGTCGTCCGAGTCCAGCTCGTATGTTCTTCTTAGAGGCGTCTTCGTCTTCCTCTTTCGACTTTCTTCTTTCGGACAAGTTTTCCCTTCGACAATCGGCGACTGAAAAATAAAATATTTTATTCTTTACAAAATCGGTAGAAACAGACGGACCATTGGCATCGAAGCATTGCTCGGACCAGGCTCCGTTCCGTCCGCATTCAAGTGCTGGAAGCGATTCATCGATCGTGGTCGTCTTTGTGATTCGGGGGTGAAACGGGACGCAGACGTCTTCGAACGGCGGCCGAGTTCTGCTTGACGGCCGGTCATCTGCAAATTATCGATTTTCGCAGCCGGCGGGGATGTATGACGCGTGAAAGGGTTGCAAGAGGACAGAGTCTGGTAACGATCGTAAATTTCTTACTTAATGGGAAATTCAAGATAAAATATTTTCGAATTGTGCGTTTCTTGAATTTTTAAAAATTTTTAATGAAAAACGGCGTAAAGCCAATTTCATTAATTTTTAAATTTGGAAATATGTAAAATTGAGTGTTCAATTAAAAACAACTGAATTTCGGATTTTGAATTGAGATTCGATTACTCGGAGTGACCGTACTTTAAAGGCGCACAACACCATTTTTCAATAGGTCTCGCAGCGAGTCGGAAAGTCAATGCGATTTTTATCGAGTCACTCATTGTCTGAAAAAAATGATGCGCTTGGTTTAAAAATTGGAAGAGTAAATAAAATTAACTTGAATTCGTAGATCAGAAATGGAAGACACTACAACGGAATAGAACTCGCACAGAATAGAACTGTTACTATTCGGAACTCGCACTCGTTCCAAATCGTAACAGTTCTATTCCGTGCGAGTTCTATTCTGTTGTAGCGCCGAAACGGAGACGTTTCTCAGCAGAGCGCATTTACTTTGAAATTATACGTGTCATTAACTAATAAATCCGAGGGATGGAGGTGTGATTTGAAAAACGACAAACAAAGATGTGCAGTAACATCGTTCTTTTCCTGTTTTTTGAATAGATAATTGTGGCAGGAAACACATGGTTAGTTTTTCAATTCTTGCTGGTTATTCTGGAACAATTTATTCACATTTTACAAAAAAAAACAATAAAAATTCAATCCGAATCAATTTAACTCACACCTTCGGACGACGAGTCTCGGCCGTGATTCTTTCTTCCTGAAAAATACCTATTTTGTTGCAGCCGAACGATAAAAACCGTTTTTTTCTCGACTAAACACGAGGAAAAATGTTTCGGTGAACAAAGAAAAGAAAGGTATTTATTTCCTTTCTTTTTTGCAAAGACAAGGCAGAATTGGAAAAAGAAACGCGCGGTGCGAGAGAAGAGACGACAGACGCCCATTCGTCATTGTCCGGGGTGGCGTCGCGTCTCGGCGCTCTCTATTCTCATCTACGTGTCTGGCCAGTGGCCACCCATTTCTTCGCGGTTATTTAATGAAAAATTCTACCTCTTCCACTTCTCCTCGGCTTCTTTTTCGGGCGTTCGACTTGCACAACGACTGGCTCCTTCTCACCTTTCATATGCTTCCCCGAGCGCGTCTTGCGACACCCGTAGTCCATCTCCATCTGATCCGTCTTCGCGAACATCCGTCCGGACTCGTTCAGTTCCACCAATTTCTGGAGCTGGGCACCTGTCGGCCTGAAAAAAATTGCTATAATGCTCTAATTCCTACGTGTGCCACTCACTCTCTGTTTTTGGGTTCTGCGCGGGCGACAACCGGCTCCATCTTCTGGACCGGGGTCTGGAGCCTCGCCGATCTCGCTTCTGAACTCCTTCCGTCACTTTTCGACGGGATCCATGACGGGTCGATACCAATTATGATCCGGTGGATCGTCTCTTCCGAGCACGGCAGACTCTCGACCGCGACATCAAACTTTTTCAAAGCGGATTTCTGGCAGCTGGTAACATCGTCTGGAGGCTCGGAAAATACATATGATCCGTAGATCGGGTTGAGGTGATACGCTCTGAAAGCGATGCTCGCCGAAGTTTCCTTCTCTGCAGGCACGTATCCAATAAGGAGACTTCTTTTAATGTCCGCAATTGCCTTTAATCTCTGATCGTCCTGCTGATTCGGGGGTGGGCTCAGAGGATGTTGATCCAGTTGATCTGCTGCGAGCTCTCTTTCTTCATTGAACTCTTCCTCCTCAACCGTTTTAAGCTCTTTGGCAATATGTCCTTCTCCTGGGTCTTCTGGGACCTCCTCCCGATCCGTCGGTTCTGGTTTTTGCACGAGCTCTTCGACGATCTCTCCATTTTCTTGGAACTCCTCTCGATCCACCGGTTCTGGATTCTCCTCAAGATCTTCGATGAGCTGTCCTTCTTCTGGGATTTCCTCCCGATCCGTCGGTTCTGGATTCTGCTCGAGCTCTTCGACGATCTCTCCGTCTTCAGGGACCTCCTCCTGATCCTCTGGTCCTGGGCTCTTCTCGAGCCCTTCGACGATCTCTCCTTTTTCTAGGACCTCCTGATCAGCCGGTTCTGGATTCTGCTCGAGCTCTTCGAAGATCTCTCCATTTTCTTGGAAGTCCTCTCGATCCACCGGTTCTGGACTGTTCGTAAGATCTTTGACGAGCTCTCCTTCTTCTTGGACCTCCAGATCCGCCGGTTCTGAATTCTGCTCGAGCCCTTCGACAATCTCTCCTTCTTCTGGGACCTCCTCCTGCTCCACCGCTTCTTGATAAGAATCGACCTCTTCAACGAGCTCTCCCTCCTCCAATTCCTGACTGTCCTCCGAACTCTCCTCATCTCCTGATCTGTCCACCTTCATGATCTTCACCGGCCGTTCCTCCGTTTTTTCGTCTTCCGAAGAACCGCGCTTTCGGGTAGTGAAGGTATCTTCTGGCATCTCCAAACTTTCATCTTCGACCGCTGCTTCTTCGATTTGCCCATTTTCATCGAAATCCGCTTCAGGCTCCTCCGGTTTGTCGTCTTCCGGCTCTTCTATTTCATCTGAATCCGAGTCCTCGGTCTCATCATCGATGTCAGAACTCGATTCATTTGAAAAGTCGGGGAAGTCGTTGTAGCTGACTTCTTCCACTTGATCGTCTCCGTTGAAGTGCATCAATATTATTTCTTTCACTTCTACTTCCTTGTCCTCTTCGACTTTCTCGGATGGTCTCTGCTCGTCGTCTTCGTCTTCAGACTCTTCGTAGGGAACCAGACGGTTAGAAGACGTGGGAGCATCTGTGGTTGGCCCATCTGATTCCATTTCCTGTGCCACGGCTTCAAGGCAGGGCGACGCTGAAATCGCTGAAGATATTTCTTCGCGATCGTCCGAGGCGTCTCCATCATCAGCGTGCTCTTTCTGCTCTCCTTCCGCCATGTCCTTGACAGCTTCTTGCACGTTTCCTGAATTCTCCCAAGCTTCTCGCTCGTTGATTTGACCTTCTGATTCCCCCGCTTGCTTCACTGAGCTCTCCTTGGGTGTCGCGTTGCTCTTCGAATCTGATCGTTCCTCCTCGACGTCTTCTTGCACAGCCATTCCATCAGAAGCACACCGATCATCTGACTGCTCATGAACTGATTGGACACACTCGGGAACTATCGGATTCTGAGGCTCCGGATCTTCTGAAAGGAATGAGGTAAGATCTATCACTAGCCCGCGTTCAATCTCACCTTCTGAAGGATTTCCTGTGTCTATTGAGTGGTCTTCTGGCTCTTTATCGTCGAGTTTTTCTAGTTCATCGGGTGGATTTTGCTTTGATGGATCGATTACGGGGATGAATTCTTGTTCGACACTATCTTCCAATTCAATTTCATTCTCCATTAAAGATGCAAGAGAAGTATCATCCACAGACTGATTGTCTTCTTCCCTTTCATTTCTTCACCTCCATCTCGCCCTCCCAAAGTGCCATTGTGATCGCTGCGGTCTCCGTATTCGTTCTCGTCTTCAGCCACTTTTCCAATAGGGCCCCATTGTGGTAGAGTAGGCACATCATCTTCCACTGGTTCAGAAGCCTCCTTGTGTGATGGAGTCTCATAAGTTTTTCCAGATTTACAGCCAGCATTCCAGAGAAAAGCCGTTTCCGGATGGTCGACTTGGAGCTCTTTCACTGGACTCTTCCACGGGAATCGGGCCGACGTCTCCTCTCGTTTCTGTTCCCCGTCCACAACATCGCTCTTGGACACCGACTGCACCAGTTGAAGTTCAACCGAAGCAGAGTGATCCGTATAAACCGCCTCGTCTCGCTTTGCTTTCACAATTGAGAATTCTTGAGAGGGCTGCGACAAAATGTGACCATAGTTGACTTCTCGTTTCTTTCGGCGCTCCAATTCTGGCTGCTCCTCTTGAATCGACGGAGAGTGGTTGAGATCCAACTGACTGTCCTCTTCGACTGGACTGCTTTCCAACTCCTTGAGTTCTCCAGCGACTATTTTGATTTCCGGCTGTTCGACACGGATGTCTCCCACTGGATCAGATGCTCCGTTGACCTCCGTTGCCTTCTTCATCATTCCTTTTTCATCGCCAGTTGTTTCCTCATCGGCCAAGGCGGCCGCATTCCAGAAAAACGGCACTCGTTGACCCTCCAAGACAACAGGAACAGAGAGTTCCGGGAATCATGTGGAAGAACGGCCAACTCTTCTGATTCTGCGTCGACCGTTTCGACGAAGTCAGCTGCTTCATTCCACAAGAACTGCACCGGTTGGAGAGTAATGTAAACTGGAGGAGAGTGTTCTCGATAGTCCTGCTTTATCGGTTCTTCAACGACCGTTTCTGGCTCCATTTCCACTGACCCCAGAATCGCCGACTGGACCATCCTCGTCGTTTCTTCGCATTCCGGTCGCTCAGACGTAGATGGGACATCACCTACGCTTCCATACATATCGAGACGAGGCATGCTGGACTCTCGAGAATCTTCATCAGTCTCCGGCCGGTCTTCACTTCTTCTGATCTTATTTCTACTGTCTTTTTGACGTTGACTGCGCCGCTTTCGGGTTGTAGCAGCACTGGAAGTCGCAATCGGTTGCTCCATCTCGAGTTCCGGAGGCAGTTCCTGGTCCTCTTCTTCCAAGTGCTCAGCCGTTCCTTCTTCCGGATCCTTGATTTCAATTTCGACTTCATAATTCGGAGCGGGTTCACGCTCAGAGCTTGAATCTCGAACCGCAGAAGTTCCATTTCTGACTGGAGAGCTATCATCACAGAATGAAGAGTTTCTCGAAGACTGAAAACGGTCAATAATGATTTTGAGCAATCCTGATATTTCTCATACCTCATTGGAACTTATTTCTTGTGAGTGTTCTCTACTAGGAGAATGTTCCGAAGAAGACTCTTCCACGATTGGAGAACTCGAGCGCATCTCTGGCACATATTCTAACGGTCCCGATCTCTCATGAGGTATGCGGGCGAGTAGTTCCCGATAAAGTGAGTAAGGCAGTGGCTGAAAAATAATATTACGGAATTCCGGATTCTTTTATTGACAGACCTGAGCCACATTGTCCGAAAGAGGAGAAGGAGAAGGAGAAGGCGACTGTTGACGGGCTCTCGGAGGCTGATCATCGCCTTTCTCATGCACATTGAGTGAATTCGGTTCCGGAGACGAATCTGTCTCGACTTTTTTCTTTGGAACCGTCTGGAAAACACTGGATTAATCAATCCGTCTTCAGAATTGGACTCGAGCCTTTTTCTTAGCCTTTGCTTTTGTCTGCTGTGGAACGGCCTGTTGAGATGTCGAAGAAGACGGAGCGTTTTTCATTTTTCTCGCCTGAAAACAAAAGCTAAAAAATCTGAAACGAGAAAATTTTGAATATACCTGATTTGTCGTGATCGCCTCTTGTGAAGTGGTATGCGAGTTGGCTGACGGCTGATGCACCATCTGAAACATTCGATTTCTTGGGAGTTTATGGGTGTACTTTATCAAATACCTGTTTGATTGATGATCCGGGACTGTTATCCTCCGATCTGTTTGGATCCTGAGATCCTTGTGACAAAGCTGTCTCATTGCCATTCGGCATCTGAATCGGAGCACTAGAAGATTGTCCATTACTCGAGTTGGATGGAGCATTGGAAACTGATTGCTTTGGAACTGCCTGAAACAGAGTACATTACCACCAATCAGTCTTCGAATCGTGCCTTTTTCTTAGAATTTTCTTTTATGGGCTGTGGGGCGGCCGGATGAGATGTCGAAGAAGAAGAAGGAGCGCTTCTAGAATCCGTTTCGGAAGATGAGCTTCTCTGTCTGCGAGCAGCGGTTCTTCTGAATCCGGCATGAGCCCGGGTAGTTCTGGGGTTCTGAAAATGATCAATTCCTAAAATTGCAATTATGACCCTCACTCACCGGATTCGGAGCTCTCTGGTTTGCTGGTCGTGGATCCGATCTTGTTGTAACCATCTGGCTGGGGCGCTAAATGAAACAGTTTGATGAATTATATAATGGGAAGCAACAAGAAACTGACCGGTCGGGGAGGAGGAGGAGCAGGAGTCGAAGTGTTCGAAGGGTTTGAAGCGTCGAGGCGTTCCCTAGCTTGGAATTCCTGAATCTGGTGTGAGATAGACTTATTTTGAGAAGATACGAGGACAATTTTAAAACATTTTAATACGACCCATTCTTGGACTTACTTGCTGCCTGCGATAGTCTTCGAACTGGCTCTGTCTCGATCTAGTCGCGTAAATTCTATCTCGATTTGTCGGCGCACAACGTCTTGACTTGGCGGACATTTCCGCTGAAAACTGATTTAGTTTGATCGAAAATGATAGCTCTCCGAAAGTCAAAAATGTAAATGGGCGGGGTGGTCGAATGGGAGCCGGGCGCCGAGGTGCGACGTAAGCGAGCGTGGCTTTCGCCGATTGGTCGGATCGTGTCGCTCACGACGCTCACAAACACTCACGCCGCCTTCCGCGAAAACTGATAGAGGGGGGAGCTGTGAGCGGAGGGATGGCTAATCGATAAATGTGATCGGAGCGGGAAGAGCGCTGGCGCTGGCCGCCGTGCTAGGCGCGCATTCGGACGGTTTGTTGGGAGTCAAACTACAGGAAGAGAGAGAGAGAGAGAGAGAGGAGGAGGCGAGGGAATGTTTTGGCAGGTGCCCATTTCAATAATGTGCTAATATGTAGAACAATGTTATGTTTCCGAAACTACATTGATATATTTTGAAGCAAACAAACGTTTTTTTTTTGAGGGGAAATGAATGGTGTGGCTGAGAGATGCGTCAGATGGTTTGCTACCCGATCCGCCACGTCATCATCATTGTTTAATGTCGTTCAACTACTGAGGAGCCGAAGAATGCGTAAAGGACGTCTCTTTTGACGAAGAATGTATCAGGGACTGAATTGGAGGTACCGTAACTACCACAGTTGAGCGGAAATGGAATTTTGAAATCCGGAAGACGGAAGAAAATTTTTTTTACGGAACACGGAAAACGGAAGACGGAAAAAAAAAATCGTCACTGTAGAACCTTTTTCTCCGGTTTTTTTTTTTTGAAAAAAATAACTAAACAACAAAAATTTTGGATCTGGGTCTGCCCATGGAAATTGGCTTCTGAAAAGCTATTACTCTTTTACGGTAAGAAGAAAAAATCCCGGAAGAAGGAAGAAGGAAGACAGCAGACGGAATTCCGCTCAACACTGGTAACTACTGTATTGGAAGGATGTACCTTTCTTTTTTCCAATGTACTCAAAGCAATTTGCTGGGTGCCCTTCTAATACAGTATTGGTTTGGACAAAACGAACTACTAAGCAGCATCAGATTTCAGAGAAGCTTTTCGAAACCTTTCAAACCGTACATTACATTTAACAAAAGTCCAGCTTAGAAAATCTCTGTGACAAACAGAAACAGATGCATTCAATTCGGAAGCTCATTAATCAGAAGGCTGTAAAAGTGCTCAACGCCGTCGTCGCTGTCAGTCGGAGAGCGCGAAGAAGAGCCGAATGTGTGCCGCTCCTGTTTTGTTTATACTTCTTCACGCACCCGCTTCACCGCCGGTCGAAAACGTCACCGGATAGTTTTACGCTCTCCCTCTCCCTCTCTTTCTTTCTTTTTCGCTGTCGAAAAAGTCACTGCTCCGCGGAAATTTATGACAAGAGAAGAGGGGATACTGCTGGGAAATCATGTGATACAGAGGAGAGAGATCGTAAAAGAAATGAGAATTTGGGGCGAGGGGGCGACTCCGAGTGTTAGTTCTATTTCAGACCACCTACACGTTCGTAAACATCGCAAGGAAGTCGCTGAAGGGCACTACCGACAATGTAAAAAAGGAAAACTTGAAATTGGAACCAATCTTGACAGTATATCGGGGGGAATTTCAAAGTAACCTCTTTTTGTGATCTCAGAAGCCTAGTTTTTTCAGAAACCGAATGAATTTCAACAGAGTTCATCTACTTTGAAATGTCCCGATAGTAATTTTGAAACATTTCAAACCCCAACCTGTGATATTAGAAGTAACAGAAGTCGTTGGAAACAGTTCAGGAAAGAGTCAACGTGCCCATACCCGTGCTTCCACTTTTTCAATTAACTACCGTATCGATGCGTCACCCGCTGCTCGTTGTCTTTCCGTACGAATGAGTGAAAGTGTGAGTGTATGAGTGATGACAGTATACAAAGTGCTAGAGATGCACACACACGCACACACAGACAAGCGGGCGTCGTCCCCCGAAGAAGAAAAAGAAGAGGAGAGGGCTCGCTGCGGCCACCATGTTGCTCGCTTGTTCTCTTTTTAGTAGTACTCGTTCGCTGCAGACGCAGTCAATGCGAACACGGCAGAAAAGGACGGCGGGGGAGACGAAAGGGCGGCGGCTTTTCGAATTTTAAAAGGTGATCAAGGACGCATGTATGTTGCATATGTTTTGATTCGCAAGGTCCCGCTAATTAGGCGACTCGCATGGAACTTACTCGAAATGATGACGATGATGACCTTCGTAGTACCTTGAGAGGGCAGTGTTTTAGCGTTGAATTAGATTTGAAGATTGGTGGTACCAAGTTTTCGAGTGTATCTGAAAAAGAAAAGTAGGCAAACGGAGAGGAGTGACAGAGATCAAATTGGCTCCACGGTTGAGAAGGAGAGCGGAAGAAGCAGCCCTCAGCAGGCAATGAATAAAAATCTGGGTGTCAGAGAAGAAGAAGAACACTAGAGGGCTTGCAAAAGGAAGAGCGCACTCTTTTTTGACAGGGAAATGGAACACGAACAGGCGGAAAGAAGGGGGCGGAGGCGGATGGAGGGACTGCGGGCAGACACCGAGCAGTTTTGTAGTTGTAATCGGTGAGCACTCTGGTTAGCACTCGATTGCCTTCATTGAAGACAGGAGAATCGCAAAAAAATGTTTTAGATTTCTTGTTTCTAGTCAGAGATCATTAGGCTGGCGCAATTTCAGAGATTACTGTAACTTTGCAGAAAAACACACAGTTTTCTAGGTGTACATTCGGAGAAGTGGAAAAGGTAAAATAATGAGAAGGGAAGGAGAGAAACGATTCCCAGCATGATAAGATGGAATGTTGAACCCCGAGTGTAATCAGTTCGTTTCCACTTCTGTCTGCCTGGCCTGACCGATCGCAAGAAGGGCGAAGGGCGCCGCCGCGAGGAAGGAGGCGGAGTCTCGCCACCCACGAAGAAAATGGCGAAGCGAGAGGTGGTAATCACTTGCTCGAACATCATCTTTCCTTCAAATCACGTACAGTTTGCTTGTCTCTTCTCAGGTACGCCTGAACTCAATGCTCCGTCCTCCTGATCGGCCACGATGATACGATGACGATGACGACGATGAAACAAAACATCAAAGATATGAAAATGGGGAAGCAGCCCGTGTCCCCCCGTCTCTCTCTCTCTCTCTCTCTCTCTCTTCTTCCACAACATAGAGACGAGCGCCTCGGCCGCGACACAGGCAGGGCGAAAAAGGGGACGAAAAGGTGTCTGCGTCTCGCGGGTCGGTCCCGCCGCTGCCCCGACGCACTCTTCCAGCCACGGCCTGCCGTTGGGTGACACCGGGCCGAGAGCAGATCGAGAAAGTGTGCCTTACGCCGGCCGTCCGATTATTCTTGCCCGTTGCAGTGCAGGGGTTGGCGCCCGCGCCGGCGAGGAGGATAATGAAGAGGAAGGGGATGAAGAAGAAGAAGAGGAGGAAGAAGAAGACGAAGAATGAGCCGGGGGAGGAGCGAAATCTCAAGTTAAATTAGGGGTTGAAGTGTGCAGCGACCAGCGATGAAAAAGGCGTCGGGCTCAAAAAGAGCGCACCGGCGATGGAGACACAGCACAGACACAATAATTCGATTCATGACACGAAGCGTGGGAACTATTATGAAAGACTGTATTTGAGGGAAAAGAGAAGAGAAAGGAGAGAAAGCGAGGAGAAAAGGGACGAGGAGAAGGAAGGGACGAAGCTAATTTGAGAGGGCATCTGAACAAAATTGTGTGCAATCTCGGTCAGAATGCGCCGGCGCGGTAGAGTTTTCGAGAAATGAGAAAAGTACAAAGTACAACACTTTCGTTGATTTATTGGAAACGTTTATTAACATGTATGTATTTGTGCAATGTACCAAAACAAAAAGGAAAAGTTGAAGATGATCTACATGGCTGGAAAGATCTTTTAGGCAATTTGGTTCCTAAAGTTCTCGATGTAAAGGTGATGAGAAGTTTTCAAATGACCCGCCAACTTTTCGCCGACTCGATTCCGAACCTGCAATGAGATATAATTAATCCCTTGAGTCGGAGCGAAACGCCAATTACCTTTGTCATAGACCTGCACATTATGGCAACCGTGAAAATTGAGTATAATGGGAAGGAGCCATTCACTGGAAAACTGGCATTTCAGTCTGATGTCTATCGTCGAGGTGTGGAAAGATCAGTAGCAAATTATCATGCAATCTGCTTTTTGAAGTTGTCGAAGTAAGTGTGATGAGAAGTTCTCAAGTGATCCACAAGTCTTGCGCCCACTTTTTTACGAATCTAAAGCTTAAACATTTCTTTGGATTCAATGCAACAACTACATTTTCTGCGGACCGGAACATGACTGTGATTGAGAGAATTGCGTAGACTGGGAAGCTGTTATTAACTGAAAATACTTTCTTTCCAAACCTCGAGCGTACACAAGCGGGGGGCGAAAAAACTTACACTCAACAAACGCAAAGTATTGGAATGGCTGGAGGCCCGAAGCGAAGATCATAATGAGAATGTAGCACGCATTTTGGAAGATGACATATGCCGATGATAAGTTCGCGAACGTCTTCAGGCAGGTGATCGAACTGAAACACTCGGTTTTCCGCCATTTTTATTCGCGACACCTTATATTCTGCTCCAACTGGTAGCGATTGGAGAGTGTCGAGTGGAACGCCGATTGACGGAGATGCTGAAGTGGGACGGGTTTTTCATCAGAGTAAGCGTCGGCAATCCGTACTTTGTTCAAGTGGAACAAGAAATGGAAAGAGACTCGGGCGGTCACTTGGAAACAGATGCTCAGCGCGGCACTCACAATCGAAGCCACCGGATTGACTGCTTGAGCCGTCTGCAAGATCGGAATGATCAGGGAACATGATAGAGTGGAACTCACGACGCAGTAGTACATAGTGGTACCATGAAATGTGCTGTTCGAGTAGAGCAATCCGAGTGGGATCACGGTTACGACGAACTGAAAGTCTCCCCTCGGGAACCCCCCGCATTTCGTCATTGTTTACCTGCATTAGCACCAAAAATACACCGAACAACACTGAATCCTGCTCGTATGTCACACTTCGTTTCGTAGCCAACCAACGTTCGACGATCAGTGCGATGGCGGTGGAGTGAGTGATCCAGAGGCCCGTGTTGTACATCAGACGGAGGATGAAACATCTGCAGACAGAAAAGGATGTGAGTCACGGAAGTTTGAAGAGTTTCAGCTAAGAGATAATCTGATTTTGGTCTGTGGCGCAATTATTCAGTTTTGAACAGTAAACTAAGAATGAGAATCCCACGAACAGATATTTTTGGGTTTCTGTCAGGTTACCTGTAAAACTTGGGGACCATGTCGCAAAAGTCGTCTTTGTTGTGTAGTTTATCAAATCCATTGAGTGCAATGAAATTCTCAACAAACACGCTCGAAAGCCGTTGTCATTGTGACACTCACCTGCCGGTACAGTGAAGCATGAACCCGAACATATGAAGCTGCAGAATGATTTTGAAGTTGACATGGAAAAGTTTCGAATACTTCATCGACCACATCTTCCACGTCGCCCAAAAGAGAACGGGAAGGGCAAAAATGGCGACGACCAGGTTGGCTGCTAAAGAAGTTCGGAGAAAAACGGAAGTGGAGAGGTCGACCATGTGGCTGCAGTCGATTCCGTCACTCATCGCGAAGTCTGCTTTTGGGGGCAACTTTTGAAGAACAGAATGATGTTTACGGGGAGAGGGCGGCAGAGAATCTAATTGAGACGTAGGACTTTGGTATTTTGGTCTATTAGTGCACTTGACTGAGCAATTTTTGGAAACATTGGTGATACAATGAAAAAAATGAGAGCAAACTTCGCTTTGTTAGATGAGCAACGTGTGAGCACGACAGTGTAGACAGGCGAAATGTGACGCCGTGATGTGGGATCACATTTTTTTTGTGTCTGTCTCATGCATATGTATATATGTATAACGTGGCAGAGAAAATGTCTACAGAATTTCACAGATTAATGAAGTCGGGCTGACTATTTATCATCTAAAAACTGGTCTTCTTCAACGCAACTTGGTGAAGAATGTCGTGAGCATTTTGAAGCAGACACGTATAGAAATGACCAAGATGCGCATGTACGAATGCGTCAGAGATTCCCACCCCTTTTGTGGTCAGTCATAGACGAAAGAGAACGAGATGAGCGGAACGAGGACGGTCCGCGTGTGTTTACTGAAAAATCGCAGCATTGGGAAACCTATTTGATCTCCAACGGACTCAAATGAAAAGTATCAAAAGTTCATCGGTTCTGGAATAGTCTGGAAACGGAAAGAACTCGTACTCTCGGACATAATCTTAGGTTTTCTGCTCTTTAATTGTCCGTTATTCGGAGAAGAGATTATGAAAGACAAAGTATAGGGTGGAATGGCATTTCGGGGAGGTTTGTGGAGAGCATTGAGCTTCAAATCTAGAAGGTTTCCGTTCCGGTGATTTGCAATAGTTCCTGTTTCTCATCGTTCCATTTCCTTGGCGAATGACGCATTTCTGATGCAAATTGTACGAAATGAAGTAGGTATAAGATCTGCTTGAAAAGACAAAGCAAAATGCATAAACTACAGTAGGACGTATTCGGAAACCGTTTTTGTTCAGATAACATTACGGTAAAGTAAATTCAAGGACGTCACGTGGATACACCCCAGAGGATCCAAGTTTCATTCGGATCACTTCGGTAGGAGGTGATCAAAGTTGCTTTAAAAGTCAGATCAGACAGATCTACGAGATGCTTTCACTGACTTCAAACATCCCAAAACGTGCCGATTGGACACTGGCAAAAGAATGTAAAAATTAGTTGAAAATCACAAAACGACGGACATCTTGCGACTCAATATCTTGCTTCGTTTCTTCTTTCTCTCTCTCTCTCTCTCTCTCTCTCTCTATCATTTGTTTAATTTCAGACTGAACCTTTTCGAGCTGTGTCCGTTCGGCTCTAAGTTCAGGTCTAAATGAGTGTGTGAGAACGTTGAAAGTTCAAATTTCAGAGCGAAAAAGCAGAAACCACAATGTTTATAATCTGTTTAACACCTCATCCCGAAAACGACGAGCAAAAACAACTTCCGAGTGATCGGTATGCGCCTTTAAAGTACGGTATTCCTTGCGGTTCGAATACTACTCTAGCCCCAATCGTTTGAGAAACATACAATTTGAGCTCATTTCGGATCAGTGCGCCTACCGCTAACTTCTGTTTCTCACGTTCCACACGCATCTCGGAGTCTGACTTCTGCTTCTGAATTCTGATTTTTGAAAGCAAACAAGACTTTTTTTTCATATAAACATTAGTTAGCCTAAAAACGAGTCGTCTTGCTTTTCGGCTCGTCCATTTGTTTCTGGAAGTGCTCGTGGTACAGCTTGCTCTCCAGTTGCACGTGGCTCGTGAGCGACGAGCTGATTTGGTTGCGTAACTGAAAAATAGCAGTTCAAGGTCGAATATTTTACCAGTATTTGACAAACTTTTTGCATTCTTTGAGTGACGAGAACCACGCTAATGATGCCGTAGAGTGGAAAAGCGCAATTGACTGAAATCATCATTCTTCTTAAACGTTTTGCAATTTCTCGCTTCGACTCACACTCCATAAGAGCCAAGTAGTGCTCGTGACGCAAATACTTTGACTCTCTGAGCAGCCAAATGAACGAAAAAGTCTGAAAGAAGAGGAAGCCGGTGCTGAGGTTCGCGTAGATTTTGAGACATTGCATAGAGCTGGAAGAAAAGAAAAACAAGTTACTCTCCATATAATAATGACTAAACTCACTTTTTGTTTTCCTCCAGCTGAAATCTGGTGGAAAGTGAAGACTCGAGCATCGACTGCCGCAACTCCTAAACGAGATCTTTCTTTCTCTCTCTCTCTCTCTCCTTCTCCTGGGGTGTCTCGATGCCTTCTGACTCACTTTGTTAACCCGGAAGAGGTAGCCGAAGAGGAGCCGAGCTGTCGCCTGGGCTCCGATCGACGCGAATGCGTTCGCCTGGGCAACATCCGGGAAACCGGGCTTGTAAACGGAGCAGTAGGGCATGAAGACGCCGTCGAAAGCGGTGTTCGAGTAGGCGAACGAGAGGGGCACGGCGGCGATGAGACACTGGAGAATGGAGAGCGAGATGCCGAAGCAAACGCTGCTTTTCTCGTATTTCTCCTTCCGATACGTGGCAACACTTCTCTCGAGTATCAGCGGAACTGCAGTGCACGTCGTGATCCACAGTCCAGTATTGTACATGAGGCGAAACACGAAACATCTGAAAACGTGACCGTGAAGAGGAACAATATGAAAAGAAAACAGCAACTCGCCTGTAAACATTGGGGATCATGCTACACGGCTCCAAAAACAGATAATTATGGAGGTCGAGCGTGTGCAGAACCACTCGGCCGTAACAGTGGAGAATGAAGCCGAAGAGGTGCATTTGCACGACGGCCCGCATGTTTTTGTGGAAAGTTTGAGTGTTGGCGCCGGTCCACAGTTTCACAGAAGCCCAGACGAAGAGTGGGAGGCCCGCAAGCGATAATGTCAAGTTGAAGAGCAAGGAGAAGTTGAGCAGTCTGGAAAGGGGGGCGGGAATCTGTTAAAGGCACGGGGAAAATGAAAATGACTCACGTGGAGGAGGAAATCTGAAGCATCACGGAGCAGTTGGCATTCATCGCGAATCGACTGAAAGCGGCGATTTGTCTGAGTGGAAGTGGAGAGAGATGAAATGAGTGGAGGAGTACGTGAGTAATCAATCCCTTGGGACGATGACCATAATAACACTCTTAATGAGGCGGGTTGACCGCCGAATTGGACTTTTTGATTTTAGCTATTCACTCTTTGATTACTTAATTTTGTTAGTTCGCCTCGGCTTCTCGACAAAGCGGAAGAGGTGATGGAGCGAGGAATTCTGAAAATAAGTTGAAAGAGAGGCGGAAGTGGAAATTGGAAGAATATCTGATGAGATCGTCAAGGGAATCGATTATTCAGCCTTCTGTCTACACAACTTTTGGACTCAACAATGCGAGAATGTTGACGCTTTTGAAGTGAGAATCATGGCATAAACATCAAAAGAACGACTACAGAAAGCAAAATTTTCAGAGCTAGAAAAAAGGTGTAAGACGTCAGATGGATGAGATCTCCATAATTTTCTAGCTTTTTCATGAGAACCCTGCCTTTTAATTATGTGTTGATATACCTGCTATTCTGTCCAATTTTTGTTATGTATAGTTTGATGCTTTTCTAAAGATCACTGAATGTGTTTATTGCGCAGAAATGGATGGGAAAATCACAAGAATGCATCAGTAGGCTACCCGTTTCGCATACATAAATGACTAGAAAGTGATAACTAGCAAAATTTCAATAAATATTGTACAAATCTCGAAACATCCTTCTTCGTTTCACAGGCCTCTCTTTCGACGGACTTCGGGATGTGATGAGCTGGAACGATCAGAAGACGGAATAGGTGAGATGAAGGGGATTGGAAGCGTCGACAGCAGGATAGTGTTGGGATTTCGGAGCGGAGATCGACGCTTCGTAGGACATTTGGGGGAGGAGGTACTTGTGACGGTGGACGAGGGTCTGGAAACGCGAGCGAACAGAGGGAGAATGGGAGGGAAAAGGGAAATGGACTCACTCGGAGACTGTTGCACACTTTGTACTGGGCAGAGTCGTCGATGGTTGAGAGCACAATGAGCAGTTGTCGCGAGAGCGGAGGTATGACGTCGTCTACTTTCAGAAGCCCTCGCGAGGATTGGATGTTCATGGATTCAGTGCAGTCAACTCTAGAAACAGAAAGTCAGAAGAGCACTCAAGAGCTGCTTCCTTCCTGCTCACTCACCCAACATGCAGGTACTTGTTCTCCATCCGGTTATCCGCCATGATGATCATTCCGCGAAAGTTGCGAGTCAGTGTCCGAATGATCACTCCGCTGTCCGTACTCTCGACGACGTCTCCCTCTTTGATCACAACCTGCTGCAGCGAATTCATTGCCGCTCGCGTCGACAACGGAACAATCTCGGCGTAGATTCGGTGTTGTGTATGGACGACAATGTTGATTTTGCCTCTCCGATTCGTCGTGTATGTTTTCAGACTTTGACAGATGACCATGTACTGGCCGGGTGACAAGAAGAACTCGTCGATTGTGAAATGATTGTCGGCGATTCGCGAGGACATGGCTACGAGTTGGCCAACGAGCCCGTCCGATGAGATTTCGTGCACACAAAGCATCAGGTCTTTCTGAAAATGAAACATCGGATAAATACGTGCAGGTGGTGGAAAACAGGTCTAACACCGAACAATCTTAAGCGTTCAAGCTGGAAGACCTCATCTCGAACACGATAACTAAATGCAAAAACAAGTTTCGAGTGAATACTAAAGTAGCCGCAATCCTTTGAGAAATTCCAAATTTGAGCTCATTTCGGATCAGTGCGTCTACCACTAACTTCAGTTGCACAATCTTTCCGTTGTGCTTACTTATACTCACCAAATCGTCACTGTTCTTCGATTTCCCCGTCTGGAAGGCCATGAAACTGGCCTCACAAGTCTCGGTGATGAAGATCTGCAGAGCCTGTGCGTGCTCATTTTGCCGTCCTCCGACCACTTGCGTCAGTCGCATCTCACTCCACTCCGGACGGAGTTTGCACACCGTAACCGATGCGAACCGCGCCACAAAGTCGTCCAGTTCCATCCAGAACGCGCCCGTCTCATCTCTCCGTTGACTCAAAAGTTTCTGCTTCATTGCGGGCGGCCATCCGGGCCATCGATCCGACCATTTCCCGTTCCATACGAATTGTCCCCACGGGTTTCGGACTCGCAAGAGACGGTGACCACTCTCGTGTCTCACGTCGAGGATCGAGTAGGCGTGATTTGTCAGAAGACCCATGTTGCGGAATTCGGTCTCTGCCACGACGTCTTCGAACGCTCCGCAGTGACAGCACATCAGAAATCCGCACTCTCTATAAAAGGATAAAGCTGAACAATTCTGCAAACTCAAACTCACTTGGAGCTCATCAACTGTGCCCAGAAAGTGTTTATCTCGTCGATAGGGCCTGGGACGGACGGACAGTTGTAGTTGACGCACAGGGCGCCGGTGAGCATGGACAGTCCCTGCGTCAACGAGGCTCCGTGGAGCTTCGAATAGCTGCCCAGAGCTTTGGCGAGCGCCTTCTCGATCAGAGGCACCCACAGTTGGTTGCGTCGTCCGATCGCCATCGCCATGTAGTTGGTGTTACGGTAGCAAGGGAAGAAGTCGTCGACTATTATCACTTTGCGCTCGCCTTCTACGCACAATCTGAACAATGACAAGTTTCGAGAACCTCCTCAGTGACCCACTAACTTAATCTGATAGACTCCGTAATGCGAGTACTCTTTGCGCGGCACAACTTCATCGAGAATATCCGGTCGTTCTGCGATCAACGCCATCGCCGACATGAGCCAACAGTCGCCGACCAGTGTGCCCTGTTCGATGTCGGACGGTCTCGGATTGTTGAGAACAGTCCACGGAAAGGCCCGTCCGTCTTTTGTGAACATTTGGGACGGCCGGAGCCAGTGCAAGAAATCGGGCTCTTCGACGCGTTTGACGCCATTTTTGGTGAAGTGAAGAGTGCCGATCGATGTTTTGTTGTGCAGGAATTGATCGTCGATGAACGGCTCGTTGGAGGACCTTTAAAAATGTGTTTATTGTTAAGTGATAGTACCTCGTACAAGAGCGTATGTAGTACCGATAAGCAGTTTACATGCGCCTAGTGATAAGGTGTACAACTTCAACAGAAACCCACCGGCTTTGGCCCCTTTTTTTGCTAACCTTAGCGCTAACATTTTCAGTTAAAAACTATACTGATAAGAAACCTTTCTGAAAAGAAGAAAGTTCAACTAACGTGCAATGTTTGACGATGTTATTGTAGATGACGTCGCTCCGCTCCTGCGCTTCCTTCTTCACTTTCGACGTGATTTGCGAACACATCGACGCGGGACGGATCTCCGATGAATCAACAGGAACCGGGTAGTCCGCGACGTTCTCGTAACGGTTCTGCAAGCGAATGTTTTGTAAAGGGTTGACGGAAGAAAAGTATTTGGACCGACTCAAATCATTTCTTATCTTGGCCCAGTGAACGTAAAGTTTGTCTGTATACACACTATACACATGTAGTGAATACAAAAAACATAACGACTGGCCCGGAATACGGGAAAAACCTTGTATGCTCGCGTTTCTATGGACGACTCGTGTAAATAATGACGGCTTCCGGAGGGATTTCGAAATCGGACCAGACTTGCTCACAAAGAGAGAGAGAGAGAGAGAGAGAGGGAGAACAATTTATGCGCACTTTATGAATGAATGGTCAAAAGCGGAGCACTTATCGTCCTTTTCTTTCGTCGGTCATTTTTCCGAGCGAAAAGTGCAAGAAATGGGGTGAAAAGGAGATAAGGGAGCAAAAGTGACCAGCGAATTCGCAGTCTGCCAGATTGGTATTGCTACATTCAACTTGATAAGTAACTAATCTCATGCTGATTCATTTCACAAATAATGATTGAACTTTTGAAAGCTTTCATTTGTTATTTCCATAGACTACGGTAGAAAGGATTCTTAATCGTCTCAAACTTTTTTGATCTTCTCACCTAGTCCATTGACTGATAAAAGTTTAATCCAATTAGAACCTACCGCTTGAGGAGTGTCCACAAAGAACGTTGACGCGGAAGGAGGCAGAGCTGTAAAAAGGGAAAAGTGCGGAAATGAAATCATAATTGGCAATGAAATGATCTCGAGGGGGGAAACCTTTGGGCACCGACAGACACAGGAGTATTTGTTTTAGAGTGACACCGTGATTCATTTTCCGACTGATTTTATAGTTTCTGTCTTGGCCTTCTGATATGCGGAGGCGGAAGTGTAAAACATTCATGCACGGTTTGTTCTTTCCTACCTCTTGGATCGTTGCTCTGACCGTCCACGTAGGGACCGTTTGGAAGGGGAGTTCTGAAAAAACGGGTAGAGTTGGTTTGGCGAAAGGAGAGAAACGTTGAGTTACCGGTAGTCATAAACACGGACTATGTTGTGGGATGGTGCTCGTTCTCGCACTGTGATCAGATCTTGGAAGGCGTTCGACACTTCGCGGACTGGAAAGTTACAAAGTTACGTACATTCATTCGACCCTAAAGGATACAGCCCCAATAGTTCGCATTGGGTCGATATACTCTGCCCAGGGCCATTTTTTATCCGAGTTTTGTTTCACCTGTGTCACTGATGATTTTCGGCACAAAACTGCCGCCCGATTTGGTCGTATTCTTTTTGGGAATCGGTCTCTGTGACCCACAGCCTTGGCACAGATGAATGTGAGGTTCGTTGATGAGAGTACAGTACATACAGTTCCATGTTGACATCTAATCTCCTGCAAATAATGGAAATGATCCGTTTAAAACTTTGGCGGCGTTTTTCCAGTGCGAAAAGTTCGCGCGAAAATCAATTGGTGCGCGGGCTCGTTCACGAGAAGCAAGGAAGAGGATTTTCTCGGCCATTTCAGTGAAATCAACCCGTTTCGATGACGGAAAACAAGAGAAAAGTGTACAGTTGGAATGAGGTAAAGTGAAAAATGAGAAGAAGAAGAAGAAGAAGAAGCATGAGAGAGAGAAAGGGGAATAGGAAGAGATGTTATGCAAACAGAGGCAATTTCATAACGCGTGTTCGTTTTGTTCGCCGTCGAGGCAAAAGAGTGAGAGGAACAGAGAGAAAAGGGAGAAATGAGGGATAGAGAGAGAGAGAGAGAGAGAGAGAGAGAGAGAGAGAGAGAGAAAGAGAGAAAGAGAGAGAGAGAGAGCGCGCGAATCGAAGGACTTCTGTTTCATGAATCGACAAAAAACGACTGGGTGACAAGTGTGTGCTGGGCGTGAGTCATCGCAGAGCGCAAACACGGATGATGTTGCGAAATATAAAACAGATTGAAGAAGATCATGACGAATGGAAGTGCACGGGCAAATGCAAAAATGTTATCAAGCTGTAAAGTCTACGAGGGAAATTGTGAAGCTGTAACTTTCCATAGAAACCCAACATTTATGTACTTCTGACCTGTTTCGTTTTGATGAACAGAATACAATTGAACTTTTATCAAAAAATCAGAGCTCTCTATGTTGGATTTCTGGAGATACACTGAGAAAACGGTTAGACGCTCGTATGAAAAGTCGGGCCGTGGTGTCTTCTTGATTGTAAGATACGGAACAAGTTCTGCGATGTTAATTAGGTGTTTGGTCTCCAGAAAGCTGAGAATCGGCCTAGGCGTTAATTAAAGTATATCCAATGAACAGCTCAAGTGAATAATTTGCATTATAGATGCATATTTCGAATCAAAGAAGCGACAGAGCCGCTTCCGAGCGTTAGCTCCGGGCCCAATTTCAACCAAAGGCAAAGGCCTCGCGGACAGTCAGATATCGACTATATATATATTTCGTCGAATCGCTGCGAGACCCGTCACCCGGATTTGACCTACCACAACGCGTAACAATTGATTTTCAGAAGGTTCGTCTTGCTGTTTTGTCTTCTTTTCACTGAAAAACGGTATGAAAGAAAGTGTGCAATGACCTTTAGCCGACCGTTCATTTTCGTGTCAAAAGTTCAATTCGATCCGTTCCCATCTCCTCCCCATTTCCTTCTCTTCTAACCTTCCACAACTCGTTTGCCTGTTCAAATAAATGGTCTGAAAACGAAACGTCTCTTCGTTTTTCTTCTTCTTCTTTCCAAAACGCACCTAAAGTTCTATTTATAGAGACGACGTGATATCAATGGAAAAGAAGGGCGAGAAAATGTGGGCTGGACGACGAGAATATGCGAGATGCCAACTTTCTCCGGGAAAAAAAGGAAAGTGTCGTGGCACTTGACGTATTTGCAACAAGAGTAGAAAACTGTTCGCCCCGTCTCTCGCCCCAATAACCAGCATAATTGAGTGCGTTCTCACTCTCCCTTCTTCTTTCCTTCTCTTCGAACATTGGTCTCATTTTGAACCCATTGTTGTTATTGTCAATCTCATTTTTATGGAGTTGAACACATGTAAGGTCCCGAACAATAACATCTTTGTTATGTTCCTAATCTTTTGTTCGAACTATCCGAAACATTTCTAAATCTGTACTTTGGAAAGAGGGGATATGTTTCCCGTGCTCAGAATGTTAGCATTCCCTCAAAAACCCTTGTAGAACTTGTCCAATCATTGAGCCATTTACATTACCGTACTCTTTCTCTCTCTCCTCCCTTTTCTCTCCCTTCAAAATTCAAAATTAGCATCAACTGGCGTGTGCTTATCTTTGATCGGTCATTTTCATCACTTTCAGACCGTAGATCTATATTTAGGTGCAAGTTTTTCCCAAAATAGCCGTTGTTTCGTAACCTTGACAGTTTGAGTTTTGGTTTCCGGGAAGAAGAAGAGGAAGAGAGACTGATAACGGGCGGCTCATTCGAGTTGTTCTCCGATTTACGTCTCGGTACAATTGAACTCGCAGCTTACGAGAAATGTTCCAAATCTATATTCTTTAGCAAATTCCAACTTGTGACGTGGTCCGTGCCACCGCCCCACAATAACAAAATGACTACAGTCAAGTGCATAGTGATGACGTCATCTCAATTCTTTCCAAGTCCAGTTTCTGTTCATAATTGGCGTGGTCATTGTGGACGCGAAATTGAGAACGATGCCATTGGTAGTCTCAGCGAAACTGATCCTTTCTCGATTAGGTTTTGTGTCTCCTACTCTTCAAAAAGAGCTAGAGGATTACTGTAGATTGTCAGTCATCCCTTTTCTCGTTGACTCATTACATCACATGACTCTACTTCTCCATTAATCGACTTATTGTGACCTTTCTTGCAGTATCAAATCAACAACAATACAACATATTCCGGTGATTTTTGAGTCTTTCAGCCGTCCCTTCCTCCTCCTCCTCCTCCTTCTTCTTCTTCTTCTGCTGCTCCGGCTCATTTTCCGCTCCTTATCAGTCGATGATCGAATGTAGTCGCGAGAGTGGCTGCTCAAATGACATGCTCAACAACATATCGATCGATTCTTCTCTCCCTTCTCGCCCTTCTCGCTCTTCTGGAGCCGTCGAGATGTCAGAATGCGCTGAATCTTGCCGAGACGAAGCACTCGTGTATGGCGCTGAAAAACGAGCTGGGCGACGGGTGCATTTGCAAGCAAACCAAGCGACACGGACAGCCGGAGTGCTGCTGCATGGGACTGGAAGTGACTCAGTTGCCGAGCAATCTCACTGCCGACATGGGCTATCTGTAAGTTTTTCGGAGCAGTTCATAATCATAGGCAACGTTTAGATATCTGCACAACACAAGCATCTCCGAAATCACCCAAAACTACTTCGATGGCTATCCGGCCATTCGAGAACTGTCAGTTTCACTCATCATCACACCTCCCTTTGTACGTACCTTTCAGTGAAATCGGCGACTCTTCAAGTCTAGAACACTTTGACGGCTCCTCCCTTACAGTCCTCGCAAAACTCCGCAAACTCTCTGTTGTAAAATGTCCGAATCTGCGCGAAATATCCGGAAAACTTTTGGTGAACAACACACGGATCCAGACAGTGATCCTCAAAAACAACGGACTAAGGACGATGCCGTCGCTCCGAATGACCGAGGCGCATCATGTTCTCGTGGATCGAATTGATCTTTCTGGAAACAAAGTTGGTATTTGGTTAACTAGATGCTCGAAATGAATGTGTTCAGATAAAGTTCATCGGCGATTCAAAAGTGAGAAATGTTCGGGCGAGGACTGTGGTGTTGAGTGAGAACAACCTCCATGAAATATCGGGATACGCGTTCACAGAGAGCCAGTTTCTGAAGCTGTTAGTCTTATTCTAGCATTTAACAAACTATCTATAAACTTTCAGAAAACTAAACAATAACAAGAATCTGCGGAGCATTTCTGCCGACGCTTTCAAGAATATGGTCGGACTTCAGACTTTGTAAGCCTTTTCCTCCCTATCATTTTCGAGTACCACGTAATTTCAGAGATCTGTCGCACACTTCCATCAGCACTTTACCCATAAATGGTCTCAAAAACTTGAAAACCTTGGTGCTGACCAATGTTCCGACCCTGAAACGCCTTCCTAGCGTGCTCGCTTTCACGGATTTGGAGACGGCCCATTTCACGTATCCGCATCATTGTTGTCTGTTCAAAGTCTGTTGTTCTGCTCGAAAACTTCAAAAAAAGAAACAAACACTAAACATTTACAGTACGTCGACGACGTCACTTTGAACGACAACGGAAAGTATCAGCGGAATGCGAAGGAGATTCACAAACGGATCTGCGAGAAGCGAGAGCAACAGAAGGCGGCGAGACGGAAGAAGCGGGAGAGCACTTTCCTGGAGATGTTGCTCAGAGAGTGGACGGATAATAGTACGTACACAGGGCCCGACGAGCAGGATGATGACGAGTTGCCACGTGAGTCAAACGCACATGAGGCTGAGAAGGCATTGTGCTTTTCTTTCAGCGTTCACAGAAATCGGCGCAGAGCCATGCCAGTCAGTCGGCGAAGAAGTGCAGAGATACTACTCGAACATCACGTGCTACCCGAAGCCCGACGCGCTGAATCCCTGCGAGAACATCGTCGGATACCCGTTCCTCCGCATCGCCATCTGGATCGTCTGCTTCGCCGCCATCTTCGGCAACATCATCGTCTGGGTACTGTTGGGCATTGTGTACGAGAAACGGATGCGAATGCACTACCTCTACATGATAAACATGTCTGTGGCTGATATGATCACAGGTACAGCATCCTCACAAGTGACGATAAAATGAAATGTTTAGGAGTGTACCTAGCAGTTCTTGCGATCGCCGATGCTAAAATGTCGGATGAATATTATCGGCACGCAGTTTGGTGGCAGACCGGTTGGGGGTGCAGAGCCGCGGGCTTCCTGGCCGTGTTCGCGTCAGAGTTGGGAATCATTTCCATGTTTCTCATTGCTTTCGAAATGTCCTACAATACCAGGTATGGTTGTTTGTAGCAGAATCATCAATCCATGAAACTCTCCAGACAATCTTTCCGTGGTCGTCGTCTGAACCCGCGGGTCGGAGTGCTTCTGATGGTCGGCGGATGGCTTTTCGCCATCGTCATGGCCATTCTTCCGTGGTTCGGAATCTCGTCCTACTCGGAGAGCAGCGTCTGTTTGCCACTTAAAGCAACGACAATGTTTGACAAGAGCTACTTGATCTTCGGATTGAGCTTCAACTTCTTGGCGTTCGTGGCGATGGCGCTGTCCTACGGATTCATTGTGAAGATGCTGAAAGAGAATGAGACTCGCGAAGAGGACCGAGCACTCATCACTAAAATGACGGTCCTCGTCGTCACCGATCTCATCTGCTGGTTCCCGACGCTTTTCTTCGGCTTCACCGCCACCATCGGCTTCCCTCTGCTCTCGCTCTCCTCCGCCAAGTTCGTGCTCGTCTTCTTCTTCCCGATCAACGCATTCGCCAACCCGTTTCTCTACGTGTTCTTCACCGAAGTCATCCAACACCGTGTCCGAAGCAAGACTCTTCCGGTCATCCGACGGATCACGACCGGCCCTCTGAATGCGGCCAGTTCCCTCTCAAACTTCTATCACTCACAACCGCCGGGAGCGCATCGAAGGAGCCGGGATGATCAAGCGAGCCCATCGTCCGGAATGCATTTGGCAGTTACACAGGTACGACAGGTATACCGAAACATTTCTGGAGGAGTCCAGAGGAACTAACACATTAACGTGATTCAGACGACTTCCCTGAACAGCACTCCAAGAGGATCGAACGTTTCGTCGCGAGCTTCCGACGCAATGCTCTTCGACTACGGAGAACGGAGTGGAAGTGCGTCGCCACGTGTCTCTTTCGACATTCCGATCTCGCCGACGACTCCGAGGTCCGACCGCAAGAATCGGATCTCTCTTCTCCGGCGGTTTGTCTCCGCTATTCCGGAGGTCTCTGATCTCTCGGAGCATTCGAGTGAGAGCCATCACGAACACGTTCCGCATCCGAGAAGGAAGCTCCGAACGTCACTGAATAGAATTCTGGCGATGGGAAGGAGGCAAGACGGGTCCACGGATTCGGGAAGAGGCTCGTTGGCCAGTTCGGCCGGATCGGTACGTTCTTCTTTACTCTTTCCCGGTTCCAATTCTCAATCGGAGCATTTCAGCGTGACCAGAACGAACGCGTGTCGCTCACGAGCAACACCTCCTCTCTGCTGAGCCCGTTGCTCTCGATCGGCTTGCCATCTCTCTCCACCTCCAATCCCAATAAGCTCATTTTGCCGCCCGACTCCTCGAAGAACCGTCGAAAGAGCACACCGGCCATCCCGCTGCTCGTCGTCTCTGATTGCTCCTAGACACACTTGTTCATTTGTATCAAATATTTATTTGCTTCCTCCTTTATCTGCTGAATTGCGGGTTAACGACTACGAGCCTCCACCTCCTGCCCCCGTGAAAACTTCTCTCAACTGAATAAACTAATAATAGTTTCAGGATTAGCCGCGACAAGGATTTCTTTTTGAACTCGCTGGTTTGTTTATACCCAGCGCATTAAGAAGAGACAAAACACAGAGAGGATATTGTCTTTTGAGACTACAATATATAAGGATTTCGAAATGATCAGAAAATGAAGCATCGTTTGCAAATCGTGCCCGTTTCCGGCCCTCAGACTAATTTCCCTTTGTCTCCTCTTGTTTTTTTTTCTGCATCTTTTGCCTAATTCGCATTCCTCGTCGCACATGGCCTATCAGACGGCACGTCGTCAGTCCCGGCGCATCCATTTCCTCCAAAACTCATCCTCTTTTCTTTTTTCCTATCGTCCGCCATTATTGCTCACTTTGAGTTCAAGGCCAATCAACGATGGAGAGCACGAGAGGCTGTCGACAATTAGTTTTAGCTAGTCTTCGACGGAAGTGACTCAGGGACTCTTCTCGAGCAAATTGTGCACTAACTAGGTGATGAGCACGATTCGCTGCACTACGAAAGCACAATAGATGACCAGCCATTTACCGTGTACCCTAGTGATCACCGGCCACTCCGCTTCCTCGTACTTCATTGATATTCTTCGAAAAAACACTTACCTGTTTTTCTCAATTCTTGTTCTTGTGTTTTCTCATCTGCACAGCCCTCAATTTGTCTCCATTTCATTGAAAATATCAAGTGGGCGGTCGGTTCTCGCGTGGCCGAAGAATCACTTGAATGCCCCCTTTTTAATCCGCTTCCTCCTTTGATTTTTTGAGAGAAATATACGTGTGTTGGCCTAAAAAAAGAGTCCATCCGACTGTTGCACGTTTGTTGACTGTTCGACCAGATTCCCCCATCCATATTTTATCCCTGTTTTCCTTCCGTTTGTGCTCCGCTCATGTGATATGCCACTGACAGCCCACTGTGAAATTCAGAGTTCTCCAGCTTCCCTCCCACTCACTCTTTTGACGAATTTCAGCCTGAAAGCACTCGAGAGTGTTGGCTAACAGGTGATTTCGAGGCAGGTGGAACACGAAGGACTTTGGTTTTTGTTTCGATTCCGATTTACACATGTCATCCAGACACCTCCTCTCACGTTACACTGTTTCAAACATTTCGCTCAGAACCTTGTGCGCTTTTCTCGAAACTTTTAACCGAACTTTCATCGACCAAATAGGCTGTCATGATTTGCACACATTCTCAAGTACACTTCTTCACAAACTAACTTTTCGCGTTTTCGTCTCAAGTTTCTTCGCTTTCTGTGCTCGAACCGGCAGAACTTGTGCACACTTTCCAGTGAATAACAACGTCATTTTCGTTTTTTGAACAGCTCGTCTCCTAAGAACTTTTTGATATTCCTCAGCCGGTCAAAGTGCTGAAGCATGCGCTCACAGAGCATTCAAAGTATACTGTACACCTAGACCTTTCACAATGCTTCAGTAGGTTTCCTAATCGAAAAGTTTTTGCGTAGAACACTAGGCCGTCGTTCAAAGACACCAATCATGTTGATCTATACGGTATTTTTCGGCAATTGGCGCTTTCCAAATGCATGCTTGAACTGTGACGTCTTCTGGGAAAAGAGGTCAAACGGCCGTCGCCCTCTGAAAACGACTTTGTTGTTGTTCACTTGTGGGCGCCTGAAAGCCGTCCGATTATTACGCAGTCATTGAGTCTTCTTCACACGGTCCTGCCAGCAGAACTCTGATGAGCTCCCAGCTCGACTTCCGGCCTCCCGAACGAATTCTGTGGATCATCCTGGCTTATCTGGCTCAGTTCGTCTTGGTATTTTCAACTTCGAATGTCTGAAAACAAGACCCTTTTTCACATTTTGCCAATCAGAGTCTTGTACGAGTCAGAAAAGGCGACTAATCCGAGTAACCAGTGATAAGCTCGCAGACTCGTTCGTTCTCTGGATTTCAGATTTTGGGTGTCACTTTCAGATTTTTCGGAAGCCTTGGTAGACACACAAAAACTTCCTCTTCTTCCCTTTTTCGTCATTCTTTTATTGAATGTAGCAAGTGCACCGAGATGAATTTGATTTCCGCTCCGAGTCTCAGTCTCTCTTCTCTCTTCTCTTTTCTCATTCATACTCATATCCATCCTTTTCTTTACTCTTCTTCAGATGTACCCGTTCAACAGAACCACATCGATCCATGCTGAAAACGCGAGTCCGAGTCTGGAATTGCTGGATGAAGATGGAACGAATAGTAAAATGTACTCGAATCTGCACGTTCAGGTCAGCCGGATAAATCACTTTTCTCCTACTTTTCCGAGTAATAAATCTGGAAAACGAATGAATGGGTCATGGGAGTAGATTGCTTTTCCGTTCTTTTTTCACGGTGGTGTTAAAAGTTATCGTTTCAGTTTTTCCATAAAGCTACAGTAGTTGGTTGACCTCTGATCATTGAAGTTCGATTCCGAGTTCAAATGACTTAGAATCTTTGATTAAATTGAACTTAGCTCCCTGCGGAATGTTTAGTGCAAATGGTAATGAGCATGACGTGTCTAGGAAGGACGTTTTCGGTCATCCGTGGGACCCAAATGTACCCAAATGCTTCTTGATCCTTGCTTTGCCACCAGAAATAGAACAAGCCCGATTCTGTGGAAAACACGCGATCGTAATGGCTCAACTGTGCTCGCAACTCGCGTGTATTCACCCATAATTCCCTCGCCCTACCTCCTTCTTCATCCCATTTTACCCGATTCCAGATGGAAAATCAACTGCAAGAAGTTCAGCAAGCGCCACCCGCATCGCCCGTCGAAAAAACGATTCTGGCGTCGATTCTGGAGATGTCTAATATCAACGACAAGTGGGTCAAGACGCTCGAAACGCCGTCCGGCAAGAAAGAGAAGAAGCAGCGGAGCGCCTCGCTTTTCGAGTGCTCCTGGAGGTAATTTCAATATTTTTTGCTAGGATAGGACAAAGATCTGCAACCACTAGCGGCTTTTTCAATGTATCTCCAGAAATCGAACATAGAGATCTCTGCTTTTTTGGTAATAGTTCACTTGTATTCTGTTCTACAAAATGAGCCAGGCTAAAAATGTGTGGTTTCTTTGGGAACAATTTCCTATCCCCCGAAGACATTGCCGGCCTGCGGATCACCTCACAAAGACTACTGTAGTCGCGGGAACACATCATCATGGTCCCAGTTGCTCATGTTTTCATGTGACTCAACCCTTCCCTCTAATCTTTTTTTCATTATCCCACCGGGCTCCCCGAGCAAATCTCGTCAAATTAGGAAATCATTCAGACTAACGTGATGCTTCCGGAATGTTTAATGTTAGAAGAGATCTTGTCAATTCGCAGGAGCTTTTCCAGAGCAAATTTCTCGAAAAGGTCGTGTAGTGTCTCTACGAAGAATCAGAATCAGAGCTGTTTCGAATTGCAATAATACCGGAACCAAAAAATACGTTTTTTTTTTGTCAACGGGATTCCGACGGATTTGGACATGTGTCTGTTTTCTTTTGTGTGTGTTTCCGCTCCTTCCCATCTTCCAATTAATTGTTTATTTTGCTCTGCCGTTCCGTTCGCCTCAACATTTCATTTCACACATTTTCAGCTGTTTTCTCGATCTCAGAATTGTAGCCATCAAATTTGTGGTTGTGGGGGAGAAGAATTACCGCACAAATCATTCTCGCATTCGTGGCCCCACTTCTGACAAACAATGTGCCGGAGGCGTGATTAACCGAGAGAGAGAGAGAGAGAGAGAGAAAGAGTGAGAGAGTGAGAGAGAGAGAGAGAGAAGGAATTTGCATTCTCGAGTTCGAGTTGCGTTTTTGTTGATTTTTAGCCTTTCGTTCTGTGTTTTATAAACAAACGGTTGCCTGAAATCTTTGAAAAACTAATGTTGGTTTATATAACCCGGAACTGAATTCATTGTTTGAGTTTTGTGCACGGCTGGACAAAAGGCCGGTCCATGATTTTTGAGGCTGTCACTAAAAAATCAATGATCAAGCTGACAGATGTTTGGCGGTCTGTCCAATGGCATTAGTACCTTGAGCACTTTTTTAGACAGTCACGGGCCTCCTCTAAGCTTCTTGGATTTTCAGACGGGTGGCAGTAGAGTACTCTTTCTTACCGAACTCAATTGAAATCCTCTAATGATGAGTCATGCCTTCTTATGCAATATTCCAATCTCCCCGTCTATCATCGTGATCTCTTTTTCGCTTTGGGTGCATAGTTCATCTATCCATCATCTTTTCTCACAAGGGATCCAACTTTGTGACCTGCTTGATTCACGGAACCGATAAGTCCGCCTGAAATGGAGAGCAAGAGGGGCGGAAATGTGAGACACTTTGTCGCAAATCTTCCTTATGAGTGGCTGGCACAAGTGAAGAGGACTTCGTTAGGACAAGACATTGAATGGATCGGGATTGCATTTCATTCCCCCCCTTCTTCTTCCTTTTCGTCTGCAAATCTCCTTTCTGGAATCCGCAGGTCCCCGGGGAGCCCAAAGACACCTTTCGGAAGACATGAGGGCATTTTATGTCGTTTTGCGTTGTTTTTTGCCGGCCGTTTTATCGCCCAGTGAAACATTTGACATAAGGCGGCGGGGAAAGAAGATAGAACCTTTTGAACTTTTCCCTAAAAATTTGTCCTGCTGAACTCCACTTTGATATTCATAGGCTTACATGAATTGCGAATGTCAAATTGTCTTCAAAAAGCCCCTGGAATAGCACTTGCTCCCCTTCGAAATTTGCCCTTTTTAATGAATTCTTCATTTCATTAAACTTTACGACGCAAGTATCAAACCGGAATATCTGCGAAACAGAAGCTCCTTTCCCTCTCTTTTCTCTCTTTTTTGCCTTTTTAATTTGTGCCTCCCGCCTGCTCTCTTCTCATTTCATTTGAGCTCCAGCCGGGCGACCGCGAGCCTCCCGGATATGTTTGCTCATCTTCCGGTACTCGGAATTGGTTTCCCTGAATTCAGAGACCAAAAGGCGTCGGCGACACTTTCCTTCAACGACGTGTTATGATGATGTGACAGCGTAGTCTTGGAGTTCTTTTGTTTTTTAGTTGATCATTCTCAAAAGTCAGGTATAAATACGGGCTACGTACTTGATTCTGATCATCACCATTCTTATCGTACTCAACCGATTTCTGACCGCTCTCTTCATTTCTCATCTCAGAAGGAATGCACTCGTTCTCGAACGGTAGTCCCATCCACCTCGACCTTCAACATCATCCTCCCGATCACCCGTCTCACTTCCACAAGTCGTTGGATGATTCGGAAGAGACGAGCGACGTCGAGAACACTCTGATACTCGACGTCGTCGGCAATAATCCGAACGATCATCATCATCATCCTCATCCTCATCATCTTCAATTATCTCCTTCCGGAAGGAGGTAATGAACGGGAATTCCAATTATAATTCCACTTTAGTTAAGAGTCTAGGAAAATAATAATAATAATAATAATAATAATAATAATAAGAATAGTGGAAAAGAGTTCTAGACCTAGAGATCCAATCGATTGCAGGGGTGTTCACTGCGTCTCCAACTCGCTCCGCTCCATTCTCTTCCTTTTTCGCCTTTTGGCCATTTTCCCAACTTCGACCGACAAGAGGAACAGAAGGAAACGAAATCACAAAGCGATTATTGTAAACCCGAAAAACGTCGACACAAAACCGTTCAACATTTTTCAGAAATGGATCCTGTACGTCAATTACATTGTGCTCGCTGTGCTCCTGAACTCATTCCTGATCAAAATGAACTTCCGTGTGTTGATGCTCTACAAGGTACGTCTAAACACTTTCGGTGCCCGCAGAATATTATTTGATTCCCAGCACAAATTCGGTCTGATGCACACCGGAACCGTTTCCTCAATGATAACCGCCACTAAACCAGTGATCAACGTGTTTGTCATCGTGCTCTCCGCAGTCAAGTTCAGATCTCATCAGAGACTTCTCAAGGTTGGTTGCAGGCTTTATATACAGAATACAGATCAAAGAACCCGGTATTGCTGGAAGGTTCGAATCCAGCGTGTCTGTTTCCGTAATAGGCACCGAGTGTCAAAAAGAGAACTGTTATGAGCGAATCGAGGAGCAAACTCATCTATTTTCAGACCATCGACATGGTGGACGTGTGCTTCCGAAGTGCGTTCGGCGTGACTCCGCCCCTCCGCATCTACAAGTTCATCTTCTTCTTCGTGCTTTCCATCGTATTCTTCGCGGCGCTCATCCTCAAAATCGTCGAGTTCGTCGGCACGGAACAAGTGTTCGGTGACCACATCCTCACCGACTCTAGCTTCCTCCTGGTCCCGGTCCTCAGTCTCTGGAACATAATTCCGCTTCTCTACTACCATCTGTACAACGTTCTCGTTCGTTTCTACTGCCGCACACTCATCAAATCGATGAATCGGGAGCACAAGAAGCGGCATTTTAGTTTGAAATTCTATTACGAACAGTTCACAAGGATCACGAATGTGCAGGAGGCCGTCGGCGACGTCTTCAATCCGCTTCTCTTGTTCTCGTTGGCGTGGAGTCTTCTCGTTCTCTGTCTAACTATTTACTTCATGTCAGAGCCCACGTCTACGTAAGTTTTAGTCAGTTCAGAATCCAGACTTCAAGTGAAACGTTTGCAGTCTGCTCGTCCCGATCACTCCAGAACAGGTGACCAATCAGAAGATTCGCGAGAAGCTCAACATCACCGTGCACGTCTCCATCTGCTGGGCCGCCTATCAGGTCGTCATGGCCATTTTGCACATTCTGATCATTTGCTCAACCGGCATGATGACCAACGAGACGACCCGTCAAATAGTGAACGCGGTTCTCCGAATCGTGCCCGACGCCAACGCGGACCTCGATCGATTCCAAATCTCTTGCTTCGTGCACAAAATGACCACTCAGTTCATGTGGGGAATGACTGTTTGGAGGGCTTTTCCGCTGGAGAGAACCACCTTCTTCACGGTGAGTTCCTGCTCCGCTGCTCCAGAATCTAAGCCAGGCTCCCTGACTTTCAGCTCATCTCAGTCATTGTAACCTACTCGCTTCTCCTGTTCCGCTTCAAAGACGACATGGTGCACAATCCGCCGTACATGGCCGCGTTGGCAGTCTTCAACACAAGCACCGTATCTCCTGCCTAGCAACTGCCGTAACCCTTCCCACACCTCGTTTTCCCGGTCCCTCCACTCCCGTTCCAACACTCAACTGGTCCTTTTTGATCTCGATATAAATGAGTTGCCTACAAGTTTTACAAAATTTATAAATGGCAAAATATATGAAAAGCTAGAAAAGAGCATCCAAATATGTTGGGAATTACACGTATAAGTGATAGAAAAGCAAAATTGGGTTGGCAGTTGGTTGTATCTAGGCCTATACTTTTGAAAAATAGATTGTGATCGCACTACCGTAACCTCTAAGCAGCTAAACAACTCTCAATATAAAAAGAAAAGCGAAAATCAAAGTGATCGCGGAATGGTCCGCGGAGTTGGCGGCCTCCAACGCCTTTTTCGCCTCCAACTCTATTTCTTCGGCTTTCTTCTTTTCCAGCTCCTCTTCGTAAGCCGTCCGTTGCTGTTCTTCCTCCTCTGCCGCCTTCACCTCTGCCTCCTTCTTCTCCCGCTCTTCACGCTCTCGTTTTCGAGTCGCTGGGTCTAGAAAAAGACGTTTCGGATCGTAAAGCAAAGCACCAGATCCTACCTTTGTAGGGCTCATCGGCCACCTGCGTCGCCTTGCTCTTTTTGTTCTTGCCGGGCTTCTTCTCCGCCGACGCTCCGCCCTTCTCCCCGGACGCTTCTGCTCCAGACGCCGTTCCATTTCCACCCTTCAACCCGGTCCCACTGGCTCCCCCAATGCCGCCGCCGGTCTCCTTCAGCCGCTGTCTCATCTGTGCAATCCATTCTTCTTTCCCACTCGAAATCTGCTCCACATTCTTTCCGAACTTCTCTTCTGGCGGCGTGTTTCCGATGGCTGAAATCGGATTTGTTTTGCCTGGTAATATGCAGGAAGGAATCACTCACAAACATCACAGTTTTTTCCACCGAATCCGGAGGCACACTCGCAAAAATAGGTGCTGTACCCTTTGGTCGTTCGGCACGTTCCGTTATTCAGGCACGGATTGGTCTCACAGGGTCCTGAAATCGAAGCACTTTTACTTTTTTCAAACTCTTTTTGTAGTATTACTCTGATCACAGTTCGGTCCTCCGAATCCAGCGGCGCAGAAGCACTCGAAAGTCGGCTTTTCGTCCATGTCATCGTCGTTGTACTTGATCTGACACGTGGCACCATTCTGACAAGGCTTCGACGAACAGGGATCAAAGTCTGAACAATGCATTCGAGGGATTGATCCTCATTTGAACTGATCTTACCGACAACCTTCTCACAATTGTTACCGTGGAATCCGGGCGGACATTTACAATAGTGCGTGTCTTTTTTCCAAACGAAAATGCAAGTTCCGTTGTTCTTGCACGGATTCTTCGAAAGACACGTGTCAGTGACATTTGGCTCTGAAAAAAAAACGAGATTTGGGGGAAAAATATAAGGACATTAAGGAGAAAAACGTACTATATATGTCCCCGATGATCTCTTTCATCTTGAACTTGTCGTTGTTGTGCCAGGGCTTTTTGGCTGACAATGGAATGAAATACAGTTGTCAATTATGGAATGACTCACGATCTTTCTTAGCCGGATTCTCGCAAGTGTGCAAACAACTCAACTCGTCCTGGAAGATGTTCTCGTTCTCGCCTTTGCATCCGTCGTACCAGAACGGAAAGCACTTCTGGAAACATTGCACCTACAGTAATACTCTCTTTTCTACCTTACCTTCGCATTCTTATCGAAATACCACTGCTGCCGCCAGCGACCTCCGTTGCACTCTTTCTTGAGTCCTTCGTCAAAGTCTTCGAGACACGATCCTAAAGAGGAAGTGCCAGTTCATCACTCAGAGTGTCGTGTTCGGGGAGCGACAAGAGCGTGCGTGCTTTTTTGTTGTTTTGTGGCGGCCTTTTTTTTTGGAAAAAGAGGAAGGGGACGGGCAAGATTTGTTTGTTTGGCAAAAAGTTTGAAAGTGAGGGTGGAGGCAAAACAAAACAACGCTAAACCTTTTTAATGTTATCCGTTTTGGACCATCGTCTGATCTTAATACAAAACTCACTAGACTTGTACATTGGTTGCGACTCGCACAACCACTGACACGTCAACTCGTCGTCAAAAATGTTTCTGGAATCGGAGCGACACCCGTCAAACCAAAACTGCCGGCACGTCAACGAGGCATGATCGAAGTAGTAGCGTTGTTCCCATTGACCTGTATGAGCAGTTCTCAATTATGTCTTCAAGAGGGATCTCACCGTTCAAACACTGATTCCGGTAGTTCATATCGAACTTGTCCCAGCAGACTTCTGAACGGGAATCAATGAAAGGGAGGAGCTGGGCGAGAATGATCAGTGATATCCTAAAGTCCAGGGGCCGTCTTCTGTTGCTGAGCCGTCGTCGTTGCCGTGGAAAAGTGGGGGAGTGGGAGGAGGATGGGGCATGACGTGGACTCATCGCATTTTGAGAATGGTCCGACTAGATGCACCACTCGGAGCGCTTCTGCAGAACACTATTGAACTATTGAAGAGAAGCGGACAGGAACGGAAAAGAGAGAAACAGCAAAGATTGCAAAAGCCTCCGCTCCATATCAAAATCATCTGGGCCACCCGAAAATAAACGCAAGCGAGTCGCGCATCAAACGAGAGCTGAACGTCAAAAAATTGATCAAAACCGCCGCCTCGCTTCCATTTTTTTTTGGCGGGCGGCAAAAGGATTTTGGCGTATGTGGTTGTGCATGTGTTTGGTGGTTCGTCGGAAGGAAAAAGAGAGAGAGAAAGAGAGAGAGAGAGTTGACACGAAATATGCTCCCTTCTCCCTCTCTCTCTCTCTCTCTCTCTCTCTCTTCTGACGACGTCTTCCGTCTTCTCATCCGAGGCCCGTCCGGAGGGACCAAAAACTCGGAGAGCTGTGCCCGGCTCTTGCCGCTTATAAGCTCTGCGCGACGACGACGACCCCCACTATCTTGACATAAAATCAAAAATCGAATTATATCTGTTTGAGTGAGTACGTATGTACACCACCCTCTCCACAATCATTGAGAATTTGATTTGTCGAGGAAGGAGCAGAAGAAGTAGAAGAAGAAGTTGACTAATCTTTGAGTCGGATCATCGACTATTTTTGACAATCGGCAAGATTCGGTTAGAGGGTTGGGTGGCAAAACATTGAAGAACGCGTGTTTTTGGGAGAGGAGAGGTTCAGTTAATCGGACGTTCGCGGAAGGAAGTTTGCAGAGTTGACATTGTCAGTCAGCTGACTTCTTTGGAGATTGGAGTCAGGCTTGAAGAAGTCACTAGTAGGGTAGTGACTCACTACTCTAGGAGCTTAGCAGTGGTGAACTAACGATCACAGATTCGAACTTGTTGAAAAGTCTTCCGACTCAGACCTCCAAGATCAAGGCTTAACCCCACTCAATCCCAGAAATAAACAAGTGAACAAAACAGCAAAAGTCCTTGACCAACCAGCATATGTTGCCTAACAAAGCACTACTCACTGCCGGAAATGATCGTCTATAGAAGTACGTCAATGTGGAGGTTACGCACTGCGCGCAAAAGGGAATGGCAATTATAAGGAGTCAGGCGGAGCAAGTCCGGAAGAGCGCCGCCGGTTCCCAGCGAGAACGGGCGCCTCAAAAGTGACGCTAATCCAGCCGCCACTTTACTTTTCAATGCTGAAAGAGTGAAGCGGAACAAATGCAATGGGAAACTTTACGATTGGAGCTGGTTGCGCCCCGCAAAAAAGGCTCGACGACGGCTCAACGAGGGCTCATCTGGAAAAGGAGAAGTGGGAACGGACCTGCTCGCGTAAGCACATTTGTCTCTTCGCACATGGAAGTGCAAGTATCGTACTCGGAGAAGACGTTACGGGATCGGCCACGGCACCCGTCGTACCAAAACTGCTCACACCTGAAGAGCAGAATGGTTTATAGAGCTTCTAGAGCTACAAACTACAAACATTCTGGTCTGATGATTGAAGAAGAAGTGCGGTCTCCAGTTCTCGTTTCCACATGTGTCTTTGTAGTCGTGATCGAACTTATCCAGACAGGAATCTGGACGCACAATAGGGAGTTTATGTGGATGGTCTGGGATGAAGCTCACTTTTCGATACGGTACAGTTGTAGCCGTTTCCAGCGTATCCAGCCAGACATGTACATATGAAACTGCCCTCTCGGTTGATGCACTCGGCGTTTTTGTCGCAGATTTCTGGCTGTCTCAAGCACTCATTCACATCTGAACAAGTCACTGAGAAGAGAGAGACCGGAAGATGTTGGAGTACCTGTACAGTTGAATCCGTCGCCCTCGTACCCTTCTTTGCACTGACACACTCCGTTATTGCACGTGGAATAGATGGAGCAGTCCTTGCAGTCAATTGAAGATCTCCCTAAACTGTCACAGCTACAGTAAGCCACGCTCAAACGAAAGTACCTAGTCCGACGTAAGTGCAATGTCTTCCGTCTCCTCTATAGGATGCCATGCAATCGCATCGATACGATCCGATCTCATTGACGCACCACGCATTTCGATCGCAAACCGCTTTGTACCCACGACACTCGTCAATGTCTTAATCTTGCTCTTCCGTTTCCTTCTCATATTTTCGACCTACCTATGCATTCTCCGTACTGATTCTTCTCGAATCCACTCCGACATTCGCAGGTGTAGTTGAACTTTGAATGGGATTTGCAAAAAGAAGTGCGAAGATCGCATTGGTCACAGGCTAAAGTTGCCAATTGCTTGTGAAGACCGCTGGACGCTTACCAATCTGAGGCGAAAGTCGTTCGGCACAAACTTTTCTGCACATGTGCATACTGTAGAACTTGTTGTCATTGCCGCCGCATCCGTAATAGAAAAACTTCTCGCACTCTCCGGATTCTTGATTGAAAAAGTACCACCAATGGCCGTTCCGTTCGTCTCCGCAGTGTCCTTGGTCAGCGTCGAGGAGACACAGATCTGAAATGAAGTAGTTTTGCTCTCCTAATAGTTCTAGTTCTCTCTTTTAACCTGACAACCACACGCGGCGGCCCTCTCTCTCTCCTACCTGGCACAGCGACCGGATTGAACATCTTGTACTTGCACTGCTTCACGCACTGTTGCTTCGAGGAGAACCGGTTCTTCGTGCCCATGCACCCGCCATAATGGAATTCCTTGCACTCCTCGTCCTGCTGATCCCAGAACCATTGTACCTGGTAGTACTGGCAAGGCCCCGGATCCACGTCCTCCAGACAAATGTCTTCGTTATCTGATGTATGAAGTCGTTAGAGAAATTCTCCGCAAAATTGACTCACTCTTCACAAATACCGGTTCATCTTTCGAGTGAATCCGAGCAAGATTCAGGAGAAGAAGAAAAAGTGCGTACCGAAAAAGAGGCAACATTTTGGTGAAAATGATGGTAAAGACTGTGAGTGGGGAAGAAAGAAGGGAGGAGGATGCTCAGAAATGCATGGAATCGGAACGAAAACGAGGGCACATCACATATGCATTCATACGGTTTTTTGGTGTTGATCGGTCACGACCAAAGGGAATTCTTTAGCTTTTCTCGAAGTTTTTGGAAAGCGTGGGCGTATTTGGAAAAATCGGGGGCAGAGTAACCAGACTGATAAGAATTCTAGAAAAATGGTTCGACGGGGAGCAATTGATGAGTATTTGAACTTATTAAGTAAGCATATGATATCACTAAAACGATACTAATCATATCAATTTGTCACGTCATGCCCACTAGAATCTACGTACCTCCGTGCACACAGGGAAAATCGAATTGCAACCGTTAGTCGAACTGATAATTGGATAGTTCGAGGTCTTTCTTCTATAAATAGTAACTTCCAGGTCAACTCCCTTTTTCTTTCATACCGGAGACGCACGTTACTCGTACGTCATTCGGCCGTTCCCGACGCACTGATAACAGTTATTTATGATAGTGAGATGCCTGAAATTGCATTGAGCTCCTCCTTCTCCTCCTCCTTAACACTAATTTCCTTCTCCGAAACTTTCTCTCTCTCTCCCCCTTTCTTCCATCGATAAATGAGGTTAACTGGCTGATAAGAGTTGGAGGGAATCAATTTATTTTAGGCTTCACTTCCTACACTGTCGCTTATCAAGAAGAAAGAGACGGCGGGGGCGGAGCCCCGAGCCGCCTCCCTTTCTGTTTCATTTTCACCGATTTCGGTTCAGCCAACTGGTGATTTTCTTTTCTTTTCCTATTTTCTTAAAGTTCTTCATTGAGCCTTTGAGAATGTGAACAGCAAGATATGAAATGGAAAACTTGGGAGTGTTAGACCGTTTGCCCAGTGATTTCAGGCCAGAAATCTTGAGAATATCTAAAATTATGCCTTTGTGATATCCATCGTAATAATCCTGACAAGAAAAACGGGGTTTGGCTAAGATCTTTTGAAATTCCGTGTTGCACACAGACTTTACATACTTTTTAAAGAGGTTTTTAGAAAAAAGTCCGAGCTTTCTAAAGTTCTTGTCCTTTTCCCGCAATAACTGTGTGCATTGCTCCGCCCGTGCTCTCTGTTTGATCGGATTACCCACAAAGTTCCGTCTTTTCCAGATGACCGCCCGAACCGAGATCGAACACAGAAACCTCTACTACAAGCGGAGGTCCTCGTGCAGCGGACTCTACAAATCGGAGCCGATCAAAGTGAGTTTCGCCGAATGACGACACTTTGCGAGCGATTCCAGAAACCTTTGAGTCTCTTGTTATCAGTTGATCAAAAATTGATAACTTCACTGGGTGAACGTGATCATCACGATCTTTTCAGGCGAGATGTGCCACTTCGGCCACTATGGAAGGGGAAACGAGTGCGGCCCGCGAGGAAGAGATGATCCGATCGAGACCGCCCGGCAGGAGGATCAAGTCGACGAGTGTGTGTGTCGGGTCCCTCCAGTTGGAGGGCGAACGACGACTGACCAGTCAGCCGCCGCGGACCCTCAATGACTTCCAGTTTCTCAATCCGGAATTGCTCACCATTCAGAACTACGAGTTACAGACGATCAGGTAATTCTTCGAAAACGGTCCCTCCAAGTCTTGATTTGATTGATTCCAGACCGCCCGCACTTTCCACGTCAGAAATATTCTGTGAGCCTCCGCCGGTCTACATTTACCGAGTGATTCCGCCTCATGAAAGTGAGCCGATCTTTGAGAACTTTCCAATAAAACATTACTGCAGGAAATGCTGTTTCTAAAAAGCCGCCGAACAAAGTGCTCGAGTACATGAAGCGACGGAAGCACACTCTCATCGCCTGGTCGTTTGGAATATTCGCCATTTGCCTCTGCACAGTTGTCATTGTTCTTCAGTGCCGATCGGATTTCAAATGAGATCTTTTCCCGTTTTTGTACATATTGTACTTACGAACGATCTGCCAGTCAGAAAATCAAATTGGTGAATACATAATAAAGTTGTTTTGCAAATTCGATGTCGAGTTCGAGTCCAAATTTCAGTTTAATTCGCTTCCTACATGAAAACCATCGAAAACCCATTAGACAACATACGAAGAGTATTCAGTAAACATCGATTTGTTCGCACAGAGTCCTAATCGACCTAATCACGGGACACGACGAGGAACCGGCGAAGAATTCGACCTGCAAAACGGAGATATTAGTGGTGGAAGCATGAAAAACGGTAAATATCAGCTACTTTCAAAGTTTTCGAAGTGCACAATTCGTAAATGTCAACGCCACTGGCTCATTTTTTCAGACTCACGTGTCACTGGGGTTCTGCGATCGGAGAGAAGGGGGAGGAAATAAAAGAATAAAAGAGTTGGTCGTAAAGATAAGGGAAGAAAGTGAGCACAACAGTCCGGGTTTATGAGGGAAGGGGTAAAAAGTTTATTGTCTTGATGACCAGAAGCGTTGCGGGTCGGAAGATCGGAAGTACAATCATGGGTTAAGCCTAGATACAAACTCGCAACTCACGAACCTCAAACAGCAAATCGAGCCGGTTTAACTGCTCTTTCAGCGCCTCCAACCTCCGTTTTCCGTCCATTCGCTTCTCCAAATCAGGCGACTGCCGTACCGTCTAAAACCGCGTTTTCTACTGAACTTCATCCAATTTTCAACTCACTATCGCTTCTTCGCAAGTGTATCCCACGAGATTGGCGAGTGTCTGATTGTCAATGTACGCGAGCACTTTGTCCGAATCGTCCATCAGGTTCACCTTCATCGTCCACAGATTGTCGACCACTCTCAGCGGTTCTATGATCGATTCGATGATTGCGAGCAGATTGAATCGCTTTGAGCCTATCGAATACTTCATTTTCCTCTTGCTCTCCATCAGAGAAGTCAGTTTCAGTTTGGAGAAAGCTTTTAAAGCGGCTTGCTCTTCTGGAGACACGATTTCTTTCTCTTTCTCTTCCTCTTTCAGCTCCTCTTCGATTTTCTTGCAATTCTCCTTCTCCTTTTCCACGTTCTTTCTCTTTTCTCGTTCTTTTGCTTCCGCTTCTTCATCTTGTTTCCGTTTTCTTTCTTTCACAAAGTCATTTATTGTACTTTTCGAAGACGTGGACGACGTCTTGACAACTTCAATAATCTGAATATCGTCGTCGCTGTCCTCTTCCACTTTGATCATTTTTCTCGGCGGCGGTTCTTGTTTTTTGAACGGATTATTCTTTGATCTGAATGATTTTTCGGGTGATTTCACGGGTTCCTCGTCGCTTTCTATCATGTTTTCGAGCATTTCATCTCGAGGATCCGTTTGGCGAGACGACAATAGTCCGGGCGATCGGGATGTCTGCAAAATTGCGATCAGAACAGATTTTATGAAAAATAAGCCTTATTCTGTTGCAAACTCACTGAAGCCGTGGGCGGAGTGACCGCTGACACCCTCTTCCTCGTCGTCGTCGTCGGCGTCCTACTCGTTTCGTAATCCTCTGCTTCGCCGTCCATTCTCCTCATAACACTGTTCATGAATACCATATTGTCGATCGATCGACTCGGCGTCGATCTTTTTGCCGATTCACCTGGGAATGCACAACTTTAGCAAGTGGAGACAAAAAGGAGAACGAACTGTGGGGGTTGGTTTCGAAATTATCGAAACTGTCGTCCATGTTATCGTCATCATCATCGCAATCAGCAAATATGTCCGGAGAAACATTTCGATCGTCTTTGTCATTTGCTCTTGATGTTGATGGTCTGACAATCTCTGTTAAGTACGTATGCATTTGATGTCTAAAATGACTTACGCGCAATCTAGTTGTTTTTTTGTAAAATACCGGCTGATATTGGCAGATGGGCCGGGAGGGACTCGCGGAACAGGTGCTGGAGCCGATGGCCCGGGATTCGAGTACGTACTCGTGGATGGAACCGAAGTGAGTGACTTGCGGGGCTCGACAGCCGTATTCGCTGTTTTGAAATTCTTTATTCCGAGCGTCCGTGCGTACTGATCGAGCGGACGGCGGCAGTTCAAAAGCGGAAGAACTTGACCGCCGAGCAGTTTGCAGTTGTTGTGTTTGAGGAGGAAAGTGCCGTTGCGGATGAGACAGGGCGGTTGAATGAGGATTTTGACGCCGGGTGCGCAGTGGAGGGACAGCTGCGGACACTTCCAGAACTCGATGGCTTTCAGCGATGATTCTCCGTCGGTCAGAGTCAGTTTCAGCAGGCGCGACGGCTTCTGCAACCTTTTCTCGACAGAATCTTATCAGAATAAGTGATTTTGTGACGAAATACGTACCGTATCGTAATCCTCTTCTTTTTCGTGAAAAATCTTCTCGAATCCGGTGTTGTCCTCTTTCACACTTCTATTCATACTACAAAACTGTGCATAGAGAGGACTTCCGGTATCGATGAAGCTGTTGACCTGCAAAAATAATGGAAAACTTGAGAATCATTATCATTTTTTAGGTACCTGGCAAACTATGGGTCCTTGCAGTTCCTGTTTCTTGACATCAGGACAGATTCCGTGATTCCCAAAGACGGGAAATGACGTGGATTCAAAGTTAGAGAACGTCCATTGCTCGAACACCAAATTCGCGAATTTTTCATCAGTCTAAAACATTTTTATTTTTTGATTTAACAATTTTCACTTACAAAACTGTTTGATTCGGGCACTCTGTTATGAAGAAAATCGACACACGTTTTGAGCCATTCGTTTTTTAGCAAAATGTAGCGGTCGCCAAAGTATTGCAGAAGATATTCGCATCTGGAATTCATGAAGAAGCCTGAACATTCGAAAACCCTCGATTTCCCGGTCAAAAATCTGCGTGTGGCACACTTGCGAAAACGCGCGCGGCACTTGCGTGTAGATTTACACAGGACTCCGCCCGTTTATTTTTATTTTTGCCTGACCTGGTTTTCACACATTTTGCGTTTTTCGCCTGTTACTTGTGTTAATTTATTTTTTCTTTCAGCCGGAATCCGAAGTAAAAAATGTCAGAGCAATGGTCAAAAAAAAAAAGAGGCGGAAGAACGCAAAATAGACCTCCGAAAATGGTGAGGCGACAAGTCTCGGAAGAACCTCAAGAGCCGATTTCTAAAGAAGAATATGAGCAAGAGTAAGCTTTAAAATTACATAATTTTAAAAATAATTAAATAAAGCATTACGGAAATATGTTTTTTTTTTTCAGAAAAGAACGAATTCTTCGCAAAGCTGTGCTCTGCGAAACTCAGTTTACCATTTTGCGCGAGCAGTTGAGAACAGAAAAGCTAAGAAGAGCGAAAGAATTCAAAGAGGCAGCAGCTGCAGGCAAATGCCCGGAATATCTGGCAGCGAAAGAAGCCGCCGAAGCGGACCGGCGAAGACAATCAAATGTGAGACAGAGATTCATACATTCAGTGCTTTTTAACGAATTGCTGCTTTTTTCAGGTGAATAAAACAAAATATGAGCTAAAAATGGCACAAATTTCGGATGAATTTGAAGCCGAGATGGCAATCAACCGGACGGCTTTCAATGATCAATACGAATACGCAAAGGGACGATTCATCGACTTCTTCCAACAGTTGATATCGGAAAAAAAGCGGCGGCGGCAGGAAACGTCGAAGATCATGGGTCTTCTGCTCAGTGAGGGAGACGCGAGGAGGATCCTTCTCTGATTTCTGATTCTTGTAGCCATTCCACCGATGCCCGATTCAATTTCTGCGGCTCCAGTGTTCGAAGAAGTGGCCTACGAAGGCAGAGAGACAAGAAGTCGAAGCAAATCGAAAAAAGAAGAAGAAGAGCGAAAAGAGGAGGAAAGGAGAAAGAAAGATGAAAAGAAGGAGAAAATCAAAAACAAACCCTGAATTTCTAAGAATATGTTACCTAATTGTTTTTTCATTTATTTCCACATGCATAACTTGTCTGTATATTTAAAAAGGGTGAATTTAGAAAAAGATCTCTTCTCCATAACCTCCCGTGACTGTGATACTGTACTGTCCTAAACGGTATCGCTCTTCTCAAGGATCCCTCTCGCCCCCGCCAGTCCGGTAGCGCTTTTTGCTCTTTTGCGAAGAAGGAAAATAGATTCAGGTGTCAGAAAAGGACATTCGCACGTTCCGACGCTTGTTTGTCAGCTGTGAGTCCTTTGTGTGTCGATGGCCCGAGAATGAATTTGCATTTGAAATCAACCGTTTTACTAATTTCTCGGTTCCAAGTTAGCATTCCCCACTTCAAACAACTCGAATGGCTTTATTCAGATCAGTTAGGAGATGAAGAAGGATTTAGGTCATTCAGACTAGAGAAAACGGAGAAAAAGACGAAGAGGAGTTGGCTGGGACACAAATTGAGAAGAATGGATATCTGAAAGTCTAGTGGAATGGTCTGCAGTCAAACTGTCCAACTCACCACAAGAACCGCCGCCGCTCCTCGTTTCGCAGGCCTCTCCGACCTATTTCTGCTCCTCTTCTCTGCCGAAACGTTTACCCCGCAATCCCTTCAGCGACATCATCGGCACACGCTTGTGGTACATCGGATCGCGTTTTCCGCGCAGACCCCGCAGTCCCGGGAACGCGTAGAGCTCGCCGTCGGCGCCCGACGAAACCGAACTGCGCTTGTACTGCGACGGCCAGTACACTTGTGCCTGCAAACCGGTAGTTCGTATCATGGGTTCGTGCAAATTTTAATCAATTTTGACGAAAAGTTCTGTCAGAAATTGTGCACAATTTCTGACGAACACTGCCGGGGGGACGAAAAGCATCGAGCTTTTTCATTTTTCTTCAAACTCGGCCCTAAGATCATCAATTCCATCGAAATCACACTCAATTTACAAAACGAGGCAGCCGATTCCAAAAACTGCGGCGGCGAAATTTTAATGAATTTAGTCTCCGGATCCCAGTGAATAATTTGTTAATGTCTAGGAGCTTTGGTGATTTACACACACATTTTTCGGCAGATTACTCGGAAAACATTGGAATTTCGCCCGATCGCTGGTCTAGCTAGACTTGAGCGATAGAGCGCGATTGCCCTTTTGCGAGAATAATTGCCAAAAGTCGTTTTCGCTTCATTCTCTGCGGACAACCACTTTTCAAACTTCCGCATTTCTCACTTTTTACCTTCCGCCAACCTTTTTGTTCGCACATCCATCAAACCCGTGTGCTCTGCTCGAATATTTCGATTCAACGCACTTGTGCAGTGTTCGTTCGTCGTTTCCCTATGAGCAAACAGGCGGTCCTTGGCTCATCTTCATTGATCATTTATCAATGCAATGCGCCAGGAAGTGAAAAGAGTGCCATGAATGGGTTAGTGTCCTTTCAATGACGACGTCTACAGACGGCCTAGAACTACTGCGGGCCGACAAGTGCAACGCGGGGAAACGTGATTCGATTCCATCTGGCTCGGGGGCTCAATGTATACTTTAGCCAGATGAACCGTGAAACCGTGAACCGAAAGGTTTCCGGTTCCGGTGCACTTTGTCTAATTTCAAAGGTCTCTGGGGAAGAAGGATCTCTCGGCGCGAGGAATTCGTAATCAGGGGCTTTCGTGGTTATTAGATACGCGCTTGTTTTGTCTGGAGATATGAATGAGCAAAGAGGCGAGATTCCGAGGAAGCGGGGCTTCCTCGTTGCTTTGCTTTCAGGTCAAAAGTAGGTCAGAAGGCCAAGCTTCAAAGATTTCGTAAAGTTGAGAAGTGCGCGCGCGCCTAGCTAGATTCGAAATAAATACGATCGCCACGTCACCTCCATGACGACACCGTCCCCAGCATAACCGAGCTCCCCGTGCGGGCTCTTTGATTAATGTTTTTCGATTGTCTATGTATTCGACGTCTCTTTCATCCCGTCCATTTCGCGAAAACAAGGTTTCGGTTACCGTAGACGAAGGTAAGGGTCAAAAAGACACGTGCCCAGAGGAACTGCCCATTTTCAGGTCCCAACTCACATCATCGAAGTGGTTATCCAGTTGAGCCGTAGTTAGCGCCAAGAGGAGGAGCAGAGCCATCACGGAACAGTTGGAGATCATGACGAACAGAGAGATTGTTGAAGACGACTTCCGAAACGAGCGAGAAGACGTCGACCAAAGTGAGCACCGAGAGCGCTTTTTCGTTCGCTCCGCCCAGTTGTCGGAGAAAATGGGCGGAGTCTGGAAGAAGAAGAAGAGGAAGAAGAAGGAGAAGAAGAAGAAGAAGAAGGTCTGAGGGAAGGAAGTCTCGGAGGCTCAGAGAAGGACTCGAAAGCGAAATTGGAACGTTTTTGAACGGATCAGTTCGGCCAGATGAAAATCTTATCATCACATTTGCGTATCTCAAGCGCTACCTCAGGGTGTCAAACTGGTTGACTTCGAGTCGCATTCATTCAACACTTTGAATTCAGGTTTCAAATGTGATTTCATTGAGTTCCGAACTCATTCAAAAGCTCCTGGATGATTTTTCGATCTCGTCCTGAATTTCGCTCGGATGATGTCTTGGTCGTTTGACATTCAGGTAAGGCACGCCTTCAGAAACCCTGACCTCCGAAAACCAAAAACCGCCGTTGCACTTTCTTCTATTTCCGCCGCCGTCTCCAGAAATGCAACTACATTCACATTTCCTGTCATCGCGTCACTTTTGAAGGATATGAGCCTTTTCGGGAACAACTTTCCTCGCGGATTATTGGAAATGCAATCAGTGAGCAGTCTGGAACAGTCGCTGACTATTGAAGGTTTTCGTTCGGATGCTAGGATGGGACTTCTGCAAAAATCGAAGAGAACGGAGCAAAAAAAGCATTCCCGAGTGTGCTGCTCTTATTTCATTTGATATGCTTTTTCAGAATTCGTTCACACGGACCAGGAAGGGGCTCCGCTAGACATTGAGCATTTGCTAATTCATATTGGGAACCGACTCATTTCACGTTGAAAATGCACATGAAATCTATTCAATTCTTCCTAAAATAGAAAAGCTATTGTTAGCCCAGAGCGCTGAAGACAACAACATTTGAACTTTGAGAACAACCATCACTTCCGATTGATAATAATCAGTACAAAGTATCATCAGACAAATGACTCATCAAAACACTTCGAAAACAACAACTGGTGCGCCGGTCAAACTCGATGATCTTTTGAGATTTCAATGGGCGGAGTTTCGAAATGAAAAAGAGAACAATAAAAAGGCGCTCACTTTGAGTGCATTTGAGCAGCCAATCAAATTCGATGTGATAAGAACTAATAATGACTGATAACGCTCGAGTTTTGTCGTCAACATTGCCCAAAAACGATGCTTTCGTTTCCCATTCTTCACCCTCTCGTACTGTTTTTTGTTGTTTCCCTCAATCGATTAGTTTCAGATGAACAAGTCGTTCATCCTGCTTGTCGCCCTTTTCGGGTTCTCCGTCGCGATGCGCGATCAGTCGATCGCCGTGAAAGGACGTCTTCTGTGTGGAAACGGTCCTGCCGCAAATGTTCGTATCAAGTTGTGGGAGGAGGATACCGGTGAGTTCATCTAGTACAAGTTTTATTGGAGAAGAAGTGTTTAGACTTCGAGCGTTCCGTTTCATTGCTCGCCGAACTATCAGTATCAATCAAACGAAACTTTCAGGACCAGACCCGGATGACCTACTCGACCAGGGCTACACGGATGTCAACGGAAACTTCCAACTGCAAGGCGGCACTGCCGAGCTGACCCCAATCGACCCGGTTTTCAAAGTGTACCACAAGTGTGACGACTCGAAACTCAAGGTGAGTGGGGGGGTTAATCGAGTGGAAGCGCACACGTGTGCCTCAAAACGAAACATGCCAGAGTGTCGATTGCAGCCAGGAGCGCGCAAAGTGAAATTCGCCCTGCCAAAGAGCTACATCACCAACGGAAAAGTCGCCAAGAAAACGTTTGACATCGGTGAGTCGTCCACGGATGAGTGCGCACGGGCTCCGCAAGCACAACGTGCGTCATTCCAGGAGTGCTCAACCTCGAGACGGTCTTCGCGAAAGAGGAGCGCGAGCTTCTCGTCTCCAGAAAACGGCGCGGGGGCTTCAACGCCGACTACATGGATCCGGAGAGTTCGGAGGAGAGCAAGAGCAGCGAGGAGGCCGAGAAGGCGACTGTTTAGCTGCTTCCGCCACGTCATCCTCATCGTCTCCTTCCAGTTTTTGGTTCTTAGTCATTTGCCTGAATTGTGGGGTTTCTGATTATATATGAACGATTTTTCTTTTTGTCTTACAAAACAATAACACGGAAATGAAAACATTTTCGGTACAGAGAGGGGTTACAGATGAGGGAATGGAGATCACTGTAGACTAGTTCCCCAATTACATCGGTTCTTGCGCATAACTTTTGAAGACATGGAATATCCGCCTAATTGCCAATCCATCCCACTCACTTTCGTCGCTCTCTTCAATTACCTACTCTTCTTTTCCTCCGGTCACTTTCTCCGTGTTCCCGATAATTAGCCGGTAGGTCCAGGAAGGATTCCAGTTTGTTTCCTTTCTTATAGGTCACCACCGATCTCTCCTTTCCCTTTGGCTTTTACTTCTTTCTCTACCTCATCCATCAGGCTGACTATGCGTCGCTTGCTCGTGTTCTTGATAGTTTCGAGGGCGGGTGAGTTGAACTTTAACATCTTTTGACCGTTACCCTATTCAGTAAATTCTGAAATCTCTTCCTCTTCCGACCTGAACTGCGATTTCACCTCCACGTGCCGTTGGAGAAACTCTTCGGATGTCGGCGGACACTTTGAAACCGCCTCGCTCTTGGAGACGGATGCTCAGAACAGAATCATGCCGCTGGACGAGAACAATCGTGAGTCAGTCGGGGGATTACCTCCCTCCCTCCCCGTCTAAAAAGCAATCTCACAACGGTCTTCTTTCATTATCTTGGTGTCTAGCACAAACACGCCGATTTGCAGCCAAACCATTCGCATTCACCGCCGGATTGATGGGCAGAATGATGGCGTTGTTGGTGTCTGAGGTATTCGGAAAACAAAACGGAAGGAAGCGGGACAGTTTTTCATTGATTCCAGGTGATAACGTGTCAGTTGGGAGGTGCCAGCATCAAGTACTGGTACTACAAGACAGGCCTCGATTCGCAGCTCGACGTGTGCATTCGTCAACCGCCCGGAAACAAGGACTTGAGTCAGATGAGGTGAATTTTGACCCGCAATATCATTAATCTTTCTGTTTTCATGTAGACCTGTATACTAATCTCATTGTTTGTTCTTACCAGTCTCGACTGATAGCTATTTGCTAAAGGGAAAGTCGAGGGATCTCATGACAGCTAATAATAGTTGGGGAGATTGAAATATAAGCCAACTTTGAACTTTTGATACTTTGCTCTTGTTCTTTTGTTGAAAAAAAATCAAATGTTCAGATGCTACGACGGTGTCTCCTCGACGTTCGGCAAGCAATGGATCTTCCGCGCAGTCGAACTGCCTCCGATCGCGCAGCCCTTCGAGATCGTCTTCAAAACCGTCTACTCGCCCCCGTCGTCCGTCATCGCCCTCGACAACATCGTCTTCGAAGCGACGCTCTGCGGTCAGTTCCCCACTCTTTTTGGTTCCCATTCTCGGCCCGCTCCTCTTCAGGATACGGTCGTAACCGACGCGAGATTCGGCGCATCGGATACCACGACTGGCAGTCTTATCGCTCGTCGAACTTATACAACGGAGAACTGATGTTGATTGTTGCTCAAGATGTTGCGGATAAGTTGAGCACTACTAGTACCACCACGGCGCCTTCTGTCGGGCTCGAAGCAAAGATTACTGTACTGAGTTCTACGACGGAGGTGCCAACTAGTACCACTACAACCACAAGTCCCCCGACAACAACAAGCGAGGTTTCAAGTACAACCACCTCAGCACCACCAACAACTTCTTCTTCTTCTTCTTCTTCTTCCTCTCAAGACCCTCCCACAAACAGCACTCCCAGCATATCCAATGAGCAACAGTTCGCCAACTTTGTGAACTTTCTCAAGCAAACCGCTCCCGTTCTTCCGTACATTCCGACTCTCGTCCGATCTCTGACAGCCCTCGATCCACGGGCGCCACCTCCTGAAGACATTTTGGCATTGGCTTCGGGGCAATCGTCTCAGGCTCCGATTGTTCCAGACGTCAGGAGAAGTCCAGTTACATCTTCGCACTTCTACAATACGAACCAACCGACCCTCATGCCAACGGATATCAACGATCAAAAATCGCTTGTGGACCTGGCCAAAAGGTTTGGGCTTTGGGAGGAGACTACTCCTACTCCTACTCCTACTCCCCAACAAATCTCAAGCTCTGTCAACTCATTCGGACTGCCCGATAAGATACCTGAAACAGCCATCTACCCACCGAATCTCTTGCTAAAGAAAAAGATTACGATGAACCCGATCAAGAAGATACCGAAAACCTCGGACGACATCGAAGAGTATCACAAGAGTCTGTTCAAGATCAGCACGACTACCGCTGCGCCTCCGATGCTCTCTTCCACGGAACTCATAATATTCAAGCAGCCCTCTGATGGGGAGGCCGAAGTGGCGGAGAAGCTCGCGGACATTGCGAAACTGCTGCCGTCGGGAGCTGTTCAGGACATGACCGCTCTCCGGAATATTCCTGATTTGGATGGTCTCACCAAGGGAATGGACCTGACGGACATCAGAAAGCCCGGAGGATTCGGAAGACTCAAGACGCAGTTCATGGAGAGGCTGATGCGAAGGACTTTGGGATTGCCGATGGACACGGACGACGTCAGGTTGTTGCCTCCGCCGATCGTTCCGATGAAAGTGACGAGGAAGATGATGGCGGAGATGATGAGGAGAAAAGCCGCCAGGAGACGGATGACCTAGAACTTTATGATCTTTACGCATTCTTGTACATGACTTCCATGCGAAACGGGTTGAATTAATGAACCATTCCTCCCACCTCATTCCTTCTTTTTGTCAATTTCGGGTTGATACCCTCCAGCATCTCTTCACTTTCCGACTTCACTTCCAGAATCCACAAACGGCGGAGCATCCGAAGGAGCCGGCGGAACATTCGATGACGTGGCAACTGGCGGACGGATGCCTGCCCAACTCGCCGATTTCGATGGAAATGACGTGACGATCGATCAGTTTGAGAGTGTTTCAGTGCCGATTCCAAGACGAGGCGTCCATTACGGAGCGCCAACGAGTCAGAAGATAAACAATGCGCTGAAAGATGAGAAAAGGAAGGGAAGTGATCTGGGAGGACCGAGAAGTGGGCCCATGTTCGCCCCGTTGTGCGCCAGTGTCGATTGCAACTTTGATGAAAACGTAAGAGCCCTGATACCAGTGAAAGAAATATTCAATGTGTTTTTTTCAGACCCTCTGCAATTATCTCACAAGCTCCACAAACACGACTGCCGACGACGGAAGTTCCCTCAAGAAGTGGCAACTTTCCAATCGAAGCGTCCTCAATTCGCTCACCGGAATCCCATCGGATCTTTCCAAAGGTTTTCATTGTCACCACCCTCCTCCTCCCTCAAACATCCATTTCAGGTGGTTATTTCCTCTTCGCCGGCGGTGCTACAGTAACTCCCGGAGACACTTTCATCCTATCCTCAGGCCGCCCGTTCACAGTTTCCGAGCCGGCAAGGGTCGATTTCTTTGTCTACCAAGCAGGAATCCGCGGTCATTTCCGAGTGTGTGTGGATGACGAAGATGAATGTCCGGTGATTTTGGAAGGAAAGTGAGGACTCCCTATGTTCAAGTGTCTGTTAGAGCTCTCTTGCTTGCAGAGACATCGACGTGAACTCTCAGAAATGGAAGAACTTCTATTTTGACCTCAGCGCCGGCCAACATGTGCTCCATTTCGTCGTCGAAGGGCTCCACGACAACTATGTGATTGGATTGGATAACATTCAACTGCTGAACAGATTCGGAACCAGTTCTTTGGCATGCTGATCTTTCTAGACATTATTTATTGAAGCAAAGAATGAAAGTCTGATAAACCAGCAAATGTTCACGTTTACATTGAAGTAAAATAGTATAGAAATCGGTAGTTTGTTGCATGTAGTTGTTTGTTGTTAGTTAAATGAATAGAAGTCGTCATGAGATGAATACGGTTCTTTTTACACTATACAAACGGGTCCGTCGTCAGTCACTGCTCAGAACTTCTTCTTGGCGCAAACGAGGAACATTCCGTTGACCTCGAAGAGCACACAGCTGCGTTCTTCCTCCACGAACAGTCCGGCTTTGGCCAACGCGTCCAGCATGACCTCTTTGGTGATATAAAGGCACGTGAACTTGCGACCGCCGAAGCTGCACCAGGTCTCTTCGAAGATTCCTCCGTAGATCAGATACCCGCCACTCTTCACGGCTCCCGCGATGTTCTTGATGGCCGCGTAGTATTCGGCGAGCGTGTTGCTACAGTACTCCACGCAGAATATGGTTACGACCGCCTGAAATTCTGGGTAAGTACAGTAATCCTGGCCTCGATTATTTACATCAAAGTTGCCGAACAAAGTCTTGGGGCAGTCAACAGACGGGTTTTGAAAGACGTCGCAGTGGTAAATGTCCATAACCTAGAAGAAGAGAGTGTACACAGATACTTTTTGTTGCTGTTGTTGTGCACTACCTTTTCTCTGGTCTCGGGCTCCACCGCCGGCAGCTTGTCCCAGCTCTTTCCTTCGCGCGTCAGAATCATTCGCAACGGAACTCTCCAGTCGAACTTGCTCTCGTTGTTGACCCATCTTTTCAACTCGTCGCGGTTCTGCGGCAGGTAGTCGGCCAGGTGGATCTGGAACATGTGACTCTCTCGCTTCCTGCTTGTAACCCAATATCCATCCGTCTCAAGAGATCTCTCGGATGCTCGTCTTACCTCGTTCGCAGTCTCACGGAAGCATGCTGCCACGTGGATCGTCGGTCCGGCGCCAAAATCGAGCATCTTTTCGACTTTTCCGATGCGTGCCACGATGCTCGGCAGGAAAGTGAGCACCATTTGCATCGCCGGATCGTCGACTTTGGTGTAGAAGTCCTCGAGGTAGGCATTCGTGGAGAACTCGGTGAAGAAAGTGGTCCGATCGAGCAGCTTCTCGCCGTTCAACTCGCGGACCACTTCGGTCGGAATGTTCTGGATTGGCGGCAAGTCGTCGGCATTCGTCTGCGGATTTAGTACTATTACACTGGGGAGAATGGGAAAGAGATCGAGAGAGAGCGAGTACCTGGACCTCGAAGTTGACCGTCATTGTTGAAGGAGGAGACTTTGAAAGTGTTTCTGAAAAAGAAGAAAATGAGGAAACGATATAGGACAAGAGAAGAAATAATTACGGTAGATGGAAACTATTTATGTACAGAGTGACTGACTATCCCCCCACATTATGAGTCCAGTATAGGTCAAATAAACAGGGGGAAAGTGAGGGGACTAGACCGCCTGCTCTCTCGCTCTCGCTCTCTCGGAAGGATCGAGAAAACTAATCGGCGGATGGGCGGTGAAGTCGCGGAGCCGAGGGATCAGGAGAGATAGAGACGAGAGATCCCAGCCGTTTTCGTTTTTGCAGCCCCCGATCGGCGCCACTTGTTGTTTGCGTCTCTCGCGGCCATCTCTCCGAAATCAACGACATCTTGTCGCAACGTCATTGAGAGAGCACAAAGGTCGCCGCAGAATGTTCTCGGTGGCTGTGTGCGCTGACAATGCAATGATCGCGTCGAATTGAGGGGTCATGTGCTGCAGTTGTGGGATCCGATGGGATCGGATGGCAACACGTCAACACGCACGAGCGGTATGTGGAGCAAGAGATCGCTGAGTGTTCCAGTGAGAACTCATTTCGCAACCCTCCAGTTTTTGTCGCCTTGACCTCTCGAATTCGCCCCTCTTCCCGATTGTTTGTCTGCCTGTTGGTTGGCGACGTCCGGGAGCCGGAGAGCCGCGAACTCGAGGAGAGCACAGCACTTTTGCGAGAGATAAGAGAAGAAACAAACATATCTTGTGCTCTTGATGTGATCTTAGAAACTAGGAGCGAAGGCTCGAATGACGCAGCGGATGGATGGGCGGAATGAGGTTGTGACGGGCGGTTGTGAAGGGAAAAAGAGCGAGTGATGGGACAGCTATGATATCTGCGAGCAGGGCTGCGCAAAAGACCGGCCCAAGATTTTCGAAGATCTGCCGAGGCCTGAACGGCTGACCCACTTGCAATAATTTAATCGGACCCAAACTTTGCAGGCTTCTTGGACTTGGCTCGTAGTTTCAGACCGATCGGATGGTCTGGTCCCAAGATATGCTGGTTTGAGATCAATAAGGTCGCCTTGCAGCCTTTTCGGCTTTCGATCTACACGAAATTTGGACCCGATGTACTTCGATCCAAGTCCAAGAAGTCTGCTAAGTTTGGGAACGATCGGATATCTGCAAACGAGTCAAAATTTCAGACCTCGGTAGGCCTACGAAAAGCCTGGGTCAGCCTTCTGCCCAGTTCTGTCTACGAGGGAAGGGCTCCGAGTTCCCGATTATTTAGGACTTCATTATAGTTTTAAGCGTGATAATCGCCCCGAAACCCCTCGAACGCCTTTCCGGTAGCCCCTCCACTGACCTTGCCTGACCGGGGACACTCTGGAATGTTCGCTCTCCGCCCGTCCACCCTTCCAAGCTCCAATCAGTTTCAGTTCCCTTCAAAACAGGAGTAGGGAAAGGTAAGAGCCGATTGAAAACCAAAAACACCATCCCTTCCTTCAGCTGTCACAAATGGCGACGGAAGTTGACACAACCAAGGGCATCCTCGTGCTCATTGCCATCCTTCTCGGAATCGCCATCCCGATCATCGCCTTCTGGGTGCTCATCATCTGGTGCTCTCGCCGCAAGAGAAAGCGTATGGCCGAGTTTAACGCCACTCCGGCCGCCTCGACTCCAGTGGCCGAGGACGTGGAAGCTGCCGCTCCGGCTCCGGCTCCAGCTGCTCCAGAAGCTCCAGACGGTCCGAAGGAGGAAGCCGCCGCCGCAAAATCGAGCAAGTCTGCGGCGAAATCGGCGAAATCGGACAAATCTGGAAAATCGAAGGACGAGGAGGAGGGAGGGAAGACCGGCGACGGAGCAAAGACCGGAGATGGAAAGACTGGCGAGTGAAGCGGTACGGTAGATGCGCCCACACACACACACACACACGTTCAGCTCAATTACTTGTTTTGTTTCGATGCTAATAAAGTGGTTCACGTAAGATCTCTGATTATCAGTTTCATTTCCCATTTTCTACAAGTTTCTAAAGATCTGCAGGTGAGCGGCTTTGATTGACACAACTCCAGAAGATCCTCATCAGGTCATGTCGTCGTCGATTGTCGTCTCGAACACTTCGAGCACAGCTTCTATCCTCCAAACCACTGTCACTTTTCTTCAGTCTACCATACTTCCGAACGTCTCCACCTCATCTCCTCCTCCACTCACGTCCTCAACAGTTGCTCCTGCCCCTGCTCCGTTTCCTGAACCGTACATGTACCCCGAATTCGAACGGAGCACCAAGTCCTCGATAGACATCGAGTCGCACGTCTCCGCCTTCGTCACCGCCTTGTACATCGTCGTCGGCATCTTCGTCTTCGTCTGCATCGTCCCGTCGCTCATCTTCTGTTGCTGCTGCTGCTACAGAAGATATCAGGCGAATCAGCGCTTCGACGAATTCATGAACTCGCCGCGGACGGAAGAGAGAGGAGATCGTGCTCCGAGCGGCTCGATTTCTTGAACTTGATTATTTTTATTGATTGGCTGCGATGAATTTCTTGCTGTATATTCGGCGTTTCTTTTCACGTGTGGATCTGACTGACAATACCCGGCATAGCCTGAAAAAGTTCAGTAGAGCGAGTTCGTGGGCGAATGACCCTAGAGGACCATGGTTATTCTCACAGAAAGGGCACAAAGGTATGAAAATAATCCTCTTAAATTTTCAACGATTTGTTCAGATGGATATCGGTGAGGCTCTTCCGCCGGCATTCAAGTTGATTGCTTCTCTTGCACGGACCTCCATTCCACTTCCACCGCCTCCACCGACTCCTCCAACAAAGATCCATTCTCTCTCGACTCCTTCTTCCACCTCCCGCCTACCCACGACCTCTTCATTCGTGCCCACCGAACCCTATATCAGGACCGTCTACGCTCTCCTAATCATCCTAGTCTTCGTCATTCTCATCGTCTTCGGCCTCGTCGTCGCCGCAGTTTGCTACGGAAAAAGTGCGGAACGAAAGCGTCGTTCCTATCTGAGCAGAACGAATTTGGCACCCAAATATGTAATCTCCATCACGAAGATCGAGCTGGAAACGGAAAAGGAGGAGACGGAAGAGTCGGCCGAAAGCTCGAGAAGAGCATGATTGTACTTGTTTTTTGATAAACTCATCCTCGTTTCCAAAGTTCAATCAATAAACGTTTGACTTTGTCAGTGGGGCACAATCATTTCCGTTCCCAATCGGTTCTCTGGATGCTCTATACAGTAATGTGTTTTACAGAAGATTCTAACGTTCATATTAATCCCTCCAGACCTTCAAATCATCCTCGGGTTCGGAAACGTCCAAGAGACACGAATTGATAGCCATCAGTATTGTCATCGTTTTCTTCGCTCTAATTCTTCTTTCTCTCCTCTCCCTTTTCGTCGTCAGATGCTATTGTCAATGGTTGAATCAGAGAAAGTTGGATCGTTTTCTGGATCCGAGCAACAAAGTCCGTTTGGAGGCGTCAGTCTCGGAACTTGATTCTTTTTGAACTTCGACTTGAGTCATAATAAATGTACCAGACTGAAAAGCAAACGTTTTAGTTTGATTTGAGACCCAATCACCTTAAGCGGCAGATTTTTTGCCCCCAACGCTTCACTTTTTCCGTGGTACTCACCACACTTTCCTAATCCCATACCCTCTTTTTTCATTTCCCACACGTTTCAGTGATTGAACTCTTCCTAATTTGTCTTGGAAGTGTAAGTTTTGATTTCTCTTCTTCTCTCGCAAAAAAGTGAATTTCGGTTTTCTCTTCAGAAATATAATAAACTCGCAACACTGAAAATGTTCGGCGAACTTGTCATGATATCCACTCTCTGCATGCTACTCGGAATCGGATGCGGCAAAAAGGTTTGTGAAGTAAACTCCGATTTCTATTGGAAAATTTGCAGAAAAGCGAGGCTGCCAAGCTGAAACCGCGCGATCTGGACGCGAAAGGAAAGCCGGTGGCTCCCGCGACGCCAGGAGTCAACAAGTCGACGCCGTCGGCCGCAAAGTCCCCAGGTGGGTTACTGTAGGTCATATCGATACTGTCGAACAACTCGGCTGTTCAGCGATGACTCCTCGTGAGCCGGACGACAACGAAACGATAAACGACGCGAAGTCGGACTGGGGAGTGATTCCGCCGTAGAGCGCGCCGACTCGTGGCACAAAATGGAAACTGTCAACTTTGAAACGCACGCGATCTCCCGAGACCCCAACTTACCAATAAAGACTTTGTTTTATTCTACCTTGTTCTCTTTTCTGTCAACTAATTCTCGTCTGAAATTGTGAGACACCTACTATGGAGTATTCGGAGCCTATTATGGAAAAAGACACGCTGGATCCGGACCTGCCACTAATTGATTGATTGTTTGTCTGAACTATTCTGTACACAAAGATTTTCATTTGTTCTCTTCTCCACGTGGCGCTCTAACAGTTCTTTGCCAGTTCACTAGTTGTTCCGGATACCCTAGAAGCTTGCGGTTGCTCAAGTCACTCTTCTTTCTGGAAACGTCTTCAAAATCAGTACAATTCTACAGTGAGACAATAAACTAAAACGCTCTTATTCTTTAGAAACTTCCAGAAAATGCCCGCTTTCCGACTCAACGCCACCACTTTTCCGACGACCGAATCCGCCCAATCGGAGCTCATCTACATGATAGTCATTCCGATCTCCGTCATTCTTCTCCTCTTCCTTCTCATCACACTGTTCTTTTGTTATATTCGAAGAAGATAAACTTTGCACTTTTTAAAGTCTACTGCCCTGGCATGATTCTGGAAGTTCACAAGAATTTATTCATTTGCAGACTCTTTCATCATGACGACAACTTCTGCAACGTCTACAGATTCTACAGCTAGCTCTCAAACTGTTCTCAACTCGACGTTAGCTCCTCAACTCGATTCCTTTCTATTTCAGCTGAAACAGTTTCAGGTTAACCTCCCTCGCCACTTCTCCCAGTTCCGTCCTTCCCAACTCGACCTTCTCCTCTTCCACCTGGATCACTTCCAGCCCCTCCCCGACTCCTCCGATCCCGCTCGACACCACCACCACTACCATGCAGCCAATCCCAAAGCTCGATTACACCGAAAACGACTCGACGATCACTCTGATTATCTTCGTCAACCTCGCCGTCACGTGCTGCCTTCTGCTCTACGTCGCCTACAATCGGGAGGTTTTCTGTTTTGCACGTCCGACCCGGAAGGCGAGAAAGGCGAAGCGAGGACCGCCGGCGCAGGAAGAAGACGAAGAAGATGAGGATGGACCAGATGTTTGAACTAATGAAATGTTTATTGTGGTTGTGTGGTATTCAGAAGATTTGACAAAGAGTGGTTCTAGAGACAGTTCAGCACAAAATATGTGGGATAGAAGTAGAAGTAGAGGAAGCGGGAATGACTGAGGAGGGGGAGCGAGATCACATGTAAAGTTGGATCAATATTTAGTGGTTATTGCCAACTGCGATGTCGTACAAGATTTCGTCGATTTTCATGCGCGCGTAGGAAAAGTCATTCTTATCCATTTCTAGAAGATTCTTGACGATGTGACGGCAGTACAACATCTGAAACTTTTATTTTTCCCGAATATCAGTTCAATTCTGACTATTACCTGTCCGTCTTCCTGTTCTCGAAGCGATTCCATGGCGTCTGTTTTGTGCGTTTTGGCAGACTTTGGTGACGTGGCACAATGAAGGGCGGGGACTTCCTCCTGAAGAATCTGAGTGGGAATCTGCTTTCTCTTGCGGGAAGTCTTTGATTGAGTGGCGCACCACTCGGCAGTGGAAGAAGCCGCCGAGGGAATGTTGGCTGGCTGAAAGGTAGGGCATTTGGAATGAGAATAAGAATGAGATTGACTTATTACTCACCGGCTCAATCAGCTTCAGCAGCATTTTGCTCTCCTCGTCGAGCACAACTTCGATCGGCGACTCGGTCATTCGTCTCTGCCGGTTTCCAGAAGAACCACTCGACGAGGTGTGCGGGGAGATGCTGCCCGGCCCCTCGATGTCCGCCTTTAGAATCTCCTCGATCGAAATCTCCTCCAGAATCGGATCGTCTTCGAATATTTCCGATGGCGACAGCTCTGCTCCTCCCCCTTTGATGTAGTCCTTCTGTCGTTTGCGATTGCGATGCTCGACGAACGGATCCAAGAATGACATTCGAGTGTAGTAGTTGTACCTGTCAATAATCATTGAAAGAACATCCCTGGCCGACCAATGCACTCACCACTTATTAGTCTCCTTAATCGGCGCCTTCTGCTTATCCTGCTTCCGCAGCCGCACATACTTGTCCCGCATGTGCTTCCACTTTCTCTCCAGCTCCACTGACTGTCCCTCGTAGCCAATCTCATCGGCAATGTCTCTCCAGACTTTGTGCTTGAAGTCGCTCACTTTGTGCATTGGATCGTAGCGGTTGTAGACGCACTTGTTGCGCTCAACGGCATCGATGAGAGTGATCACAGAGTCGTCCTCTAGCGGGTCATGATTCGGCGAAGTTTCATGGATCATTCTGAAGCCGATGAGAATGTTTTGAACAGAAGTGTAACCTGTAGAAGACAAGCTGTGACTGGAAGGAGTGAAAATGTAAAAATGGAGAGAATGATGGGTGAGAGGGCACGGGACAACCACACACACACAAGAAGTAGTATATCAAGGTCGGGTCTTCCTGTCCGTCGCCTACGTACACGACGACGCAACGACAAAAACGGCAGCATCAGCGATAGAGGCAGGGCAAAAACAGCCGAAATTGTAAACTGGTGTGCAGTCTTACGCTGCGCGCCGTCGTCGTCTTCGTCGACCCCCCGACGCTGCCGCCGTCTTTGTTTACGACGAAGTCTTTGCGAACGAACGATGAAAAATGCTGTGAAGCAAGAAGAGGGGTAAAGTTGTAATAAGCGGCAGAGAGAGAGAGAGAGAAGTTGTGATTACGGTAATGAAGTGGTGGGATGATCTCGCAGTCGAGCTTAGAGGAGAAGCGATTAGTGGGAGGGCGGATTATGGCAAACGCAGAGGAGAAAGAAGGGATCACAGATTACTGTAGGACGAATATTTGCGTATGAAGTGACGGGTTTGAGCTAGAAGAAACGAATCGTCATTTGGAAAGTGGTAAAGCTGAAGCTGAAGATCGTCCCTTCACAACTAGGTGATTTTGTCTCCAAAAGTTAAAGAGAGAAGAAGCAAGAAGCGTGCGCCGTCCGTCGGAAGTGAACATACGAACATTCGAACAGCTTTTGCGGGAGGCAATATGGGGGCGGAGAGGAAGCGAGCGGGAGAGAGACGAAGGAGAGGTGGGTTGCGACTGAAAAAAAAAGGAAAAATTGTGTCTGTGTGCGTGCGACGACGCGAGACACACACGAGACGACAGAGATATTGCGGCGGGGCACACTTCTCACACGCATCTACATTCTGCGGAGCGAAACGATGTCCCGCCCGGGCAGTACGAGATGTGTTGATCGGACGCGGGCACCACGACTGTGTGTGTGGCGCGTCCACTTATTTTCATGTGTGGCACGACGACGCAATATTATTGCTCTCGCGGCAACGGCGACGGGCGCTCCTTCTCCTCAATGTCTTCGTTGTCGATTTGCCATTCTTGCCACGCTTTTTTTTTTGGAGACGAAAAGCCCGCCTCCATAAAGCGAGCAATTGGGAAATGAAAGGGGGACATTGCCCGAGAATGATGGTGTTTTACAGTACATGCACATGTTATTCACACTACTACACTTTTAGAAAGGTGGCGAAGAACGCAGTCGTTACACTGTTTCAAACTAGAGCACGGCGTGCTGAAGCGTATGTACGTAAATAAATTTTGAATTTCGCAGGAAACATTGCTCGTTTTGTGTTGGCTGGCACAGTTCCAGTGTACAAGCGTCAATGCGATTCACTGGAGCCCACTTGCAGCAAATACGCTTCGAGTCGCCGAGTAGAGCAGCGAGTCAGATAAGCGCTGTCCGCCAGATATGAGTAGTGTCGTGCTGCTGCTGCGCACTCATGATCAGATATGCATTGGCAGTGCGACTCAACGCAAACCAAAACACTTTTGCGAGTAGTAATCATATCACACTCACACACCCGTGTGTGCTCATACTTCGGTGCGTTGAATCACGATGTTTATCCAAAAAAGTGAGCCTGGCTACCAACTCTTCTGAAGGCTTTCCTCGGCTCGGGGAGCTCGGAGACCTGCCTGTCGCTTCGAATTTCCCGTCTCCTGCTCAGAAACCCAACTGATTTGGCGCCGTCCCGCTCACAAACATGCATTCGAGCTGCCTGCGCGCACCCACACGCCCAACATGTTTTTGTGTGTGTGTGTGTGCGGGACGCAGAGCCAAATGACATCGTCGCGGTGCGCGCGCGCGCGCGCGGGGCTCCGACGCATGAATGAGCCGATGAGGTGTACGTTTTCGTTTTTCGCGCTCGTGCGCTCACCCCCACGCCCTCCCGCTCACAGCTGAACGAACGAGCAGCAAAAAATATTGGGACGGAAGGAACGCGGAGGGACGGACGGTAGCTGTGAGAGGAGTACAGTGGGGACGGCGGAATAAAGAAAACATGTTTACCAAACTGATAATACTTGATGATAAGAGACTGAACTTCTTATTATCATGAGTGAATGGCGCCGAGACCAAGAAATCACCACTATGACTCCAACTAATCACGTTTTCTGCGCTTTATCATTCAGCCCGAAATCCCCCAATTGGCTCATTAGCCCTCAGATGCTCGAATCTCAAATAACAAGTATGAGAGGCGTAAAAGGAAAAGAAAATAATTTATTATTGAGAATGGAAAAGTAATCTAGAATCTAACACTACAATATTGAAACGTTGCATACATTATTGCGTCTGGAGTGGAGCTGGAAAGGGAATGAATGAGATCACAAGGGTGAAACTATTCGGGGCGGCGGCGGCGAGAAAGTGAAAAGAAGCATCGGAAAGAGTGTCAAATAAATTACTAAAGTGCGCGAGACTAATAATTGATTATAGCTCAATATCCATAGTTTTTCATGTCGATTTGTATGATCGGCATCTTGTGGCTGTCCGGCTCATCGTCGGAGCTCGAGTCGTCGCGCCGGTTGGCACCGCCCATCTCTGCTTCGTTGAAGTCGATTCGGTAACTTAAGAAAAACACGTATGTGGGGGGAGTTGTACCGGAAGTGGAATTACCCTTGCTGAGCGTCAGCCGTCTGTGTGGCTGGATTGAAAGTCGGCTGATGGAGTTCTGGAACTGGCGCGGCGGCTGCCTCCGGGTTTACCGACGGGTCCGCCATATCCAGATCGAGATCTGCGCATTGAACATAGTCGATTTCAACCTGAACACGCAAATCAAATTGAATATTGTCGACCCCCACGTGCTCACCTTGTACTGATACTTGGCCACGTATCTGACAAACTTCTCGACTCGATCGCTGTCCTCGTGCTGCTCGACGGACACCGATCGGACTACCGTATTCGAGACGGTCGCCAACGGCATCGTGAAATCCACGTCGCATCTGGGAAGGAACTCTTCTGGCATCAAGTCGAATGAGGACAACTCGAAGCGACATTTCAGTAAATGCGACTTGTACGCGGCGTGATGTTTCTCCGGGAGTCTGGGAATTCGCCAGACGAGCGAGCGGTAGACGTGCTCGTACTTGGCCTCTCCGATCGCGCACTCAATGAGATTCGGCTCGCTCGCTTGGACCGCTCCGAGTAGTCGGTCCTTCAGATTCTTGACCTTTCCGGGTCGGAGCTTCTTCGAATGAATAGAGCCGACTCCCCAGTGGCGTTCTTCGCGGAACAAGTAGATCCACGCCTCGGGAATCGGGAATCGGATGGCGATGTCCTCGCACGGAATGCTTCTCCGTTCGTCGGATCCTCGTGTCCGTTGGATCTGAGCTGCTGCCATAGCCTCGATACGGATCTCCACTTTCGAACCGGCGATCTTCATGATCGCCTTGACGCTCATCGCCTTCTCACGATTGCGTGGAGGTCGCACTCGGAAGCGCATGATCTGAAAAGTTCAATTATCACGAGATGTGCAATTATCACTGGGCAAAACGACTAACCTCGAAAAAGCAGCCATCCGGAGGACTGAAGGCTATCACTTGATTGTTCTCGAACTCGGGTTTGTTGACAATCGAATGGAATTCCAACGCTTCGAAGCGGATCCATCTCTCGGTGTACATTGGAAGAATGTCCTTCCTCCTCACTATCTCCTTTCCCTGTCTTCTCCGATCGTTGAGTCCCACCTCGAGAAGAGGTGATCCCGTGAGAAACGCCAGACAAAACAGACGGACCCTCGCCCTCTGATCCGAGAGAACGCCTTCTTTGTCCACAAACGCCGAGTACTCGTCGTAGCAGTGAATCTGCACTTCGTCCTGTTTGTAGACCGGCTTCGCAGTTCTGCTGATCTTGCACTTGAACAGCAGATCTTCCACAGTTGTCACGAAGGTTTGGAGATGGGCGGCGTTCAGCGATCCGAACTTGAGAAGCACAGTGCATTGGGCGGAATGTTCCAGCGGCAGGCCGTACTTGGTGATGTGCCCGTCGACCAATCGGCTGATCTGTCCCGGCCGAATGCCCACTTTTCCTTATAGACCACATATTGCAGCTTGACAGTGTGGATCTTTCCGTACACGTCGTACGCTTGCAAAGTGGTGTCGGAAAGGGAGTAGGTGGCCTGAAGCAGAAGTTCCTGGATCGGTTGCGAGTCCTTTTTGTCGTTGTAGACGTAGAGAGTGAGCCCGTGCAACGGGCGTAGCACGGCTTCCAGCACCTTTCCGCCATGAACGACTTCTTCTTGATCGGGTGCCGCACCATCAGATCCCAGCCTTCGCCGTCGAACTTCGGAAGGAACTCGGCGAGCGGTTGCGAGTCGTCCTCGTCGTACAACGGAGTCGGAGTATCGAGGCCGGTGAGCTCGGCGCACTTGAAGTCATCTTCGAATCCAGTTGGCCGTTGGCTGATGGGACTTCCGCCCTCGGGAGTCGGAGTGGAAAGAGTCGGCGACTGTCGGCCATTGTAGAAGTCGTCGTCGTGGTCCGCACTGGCGGCTGCCTGCTCCGCCTTCGCTTTCGCCATCGCAACGACTTCCTCGACCGCCACGACTGCGAACGGATCGTAGCTCTGAAAAATAAAAGAATCGATATTAGAACATTAGTAAATGAACGTACCTCATCAATCAAAGCTGCCTGTTGTGGGGCGAACGGATCGGCTGCGAAGCTGGCTCTCTTCTCTCCGATGGTCAGTGTGTTCGTCACAAACGGATCCACCGGCTCCGAATCTTTGGCCATATCGTTCGACGCGTCCTTATTAGAGAAGAATCCAGACTCGCTGGGCGGCAGCATCGGCTCAGAGCTCTCAAAGTCGGTCCAGGCGGGAGCAGACAGAATCGGGTCGTCCGGAGCCAGATCTCCTTTCGGATTCGGGGCCGTTGACTCCGTTGATTCATGATACTGGGCAGCCAGGTGTGGTGGCAGCTCCAGGGAGCCTCCGGAATCCTGTTGCACATCTTTGATCGAACTCTTCTTCCTCGGTGGAATTGCCGATGCGGAGTCCTTGCGCTCCACTTGCGGCACCTTCTTCTCCTTCACCGGAATCAGTTCCGGGGCCTTCCAGTCTCCGAGATCCGATCGCATGCTGGCCATCTTCATCGCCAGTTCCTGTGCCGCTCTGTCCATCGCATCCTCCTCATCTGGGTCGAATGTCGGTGACGCCGCCTTCTTTCCCTGTTGCTTCAACTTCTTCTTCTGCATCTTCTCCATCTTCTTCTCATCGGTCATCCGCTGAATCTCCTTTTGTGTGGATTCGTTCACAAATCCTTGCGAGCCTCCAATATTTGCCAAATAACTTTCGTCCTTGATATCATTGGCAGCCGAGGTCTCCTCCAAATTCTTCAAAGTGGTCTCGGAGGACTTGACAACATCATTGACCTGAAAATTTTCAAAAAAAGGCTCATGATTGCTTTTATCCTCAGTGACTGATAGGAACAGGTCTGTGCAACATCTTCATTGCCAGCGGGGTCGAACACGCGGGCTGTGCCCCGCCGTACGCGCATTCACCCCCTACGCCACGAAAGACGGCGCGGATAGAGACACAGAGTGGGTAGACATGCCTGCGCGCTCACTAACCTTCTCAGTCATCCGTTTGAACTGCGCCCACGCGTCTTCCTCCGGCTCTGGTTGCTTCGGCTCTTCCTTTTTAGCCGGAGAAGGTCGTGGAGGGGGTGGACGAGCTGCTGGTGGAGGTCGTGGAGGAGCTGGAGTGTCCACTTCTTCGGCCTTCTTCGGAGCATCAGGTCTAGCAGGTGGCGGCCTCGCCGGACTCGCTTTCGACGGAGTGGACGCTTCCGGAGTGGGCGACAGTTCCTGGACACTCTGTACTTGGGCAGGAGCAACTGGGTCCGCCGGAGCTTCATGGCCTTGAACATCCCATCCGAAGGGGTCGGATGGCGGTGGCGCCTGTTTGAAGAGAGGCTCCATCGGAACAATTGGAGCTGGAGCTGCCGGCTCTTGTGGCTCTGTCGGATACTGCGAATAGTCGTACTGTTGTTCATCGTAGTATGCTCCATTCTGATCGTATCCCTGATAGGCGTCTCCGTATCCTGCATACACATTCTCTCCATTCGTCTCTTCAACCGCCCCGACTCCCTCTTGTTGCTGATAACTGTCGCCTTGCTGATCGTATCCGTACCCTTGAGCGTAGGCGGCATTCGGGTCGTACTGCTCTTGCGGAGCCTGTCCGTTCGCCTCATCGTACGCTTTGCACGCGGCCAAATACCCTTCGTATCCTCCATATGCCGAATAGTCGTATTCCTGTGATGGCTGCTCGGCATAGTCCTGGTATCCCTGACCCTGTTCCGCATATGCGTGTGCCGGATAACTGGTATCCTGGTAGGCCTGATCGTATCCAGCCTGCTCTGCCTGATAGGCTGCCGCTGCGTTCGCATCGTACTCGGCGTACGCGGCAGCTTGAGCTTCGTATCCACTCTGGTCTTCCGCCGGTGCCACGTAGTTCGGATCATACTCCCATTCCTGAGTTTCGTAGTTCCAAATGTAGCCTAAACGAGAGAAAAATTGAAAAGAAACGCAACACTTGAACTGATAGCTCACCTGGATAAGCGTTCGGATCGTACGCGGCTTCCTCTTGCTGATAATAGCCGGCGGCTTCTGGATTCTGAGCATCTTCGAAGACCACTCCTTCCTTTTTCTCAACTTCACCGTTTTCTTCTTCTCCTTCTTCCGCTCCATTGTGCTCCATCTCCTTCTGAATCTGCTGCCGCGCCTCGGTCATGTCCTCAGAGAAAGTGGGCAGATCGTCGTCCTCCTCCTCCTCCACCACTTTCGGCTCTTTCGGCGCGTTGTCGTGGAAGGCCTGCACAAAAAAAACAAGAGGAGATGAAGGCGTGAAAGGGTGGTAATCCGAGCGGATCGGATTTCGTCGTCACGCGGAAACTGCAAAACTCACCCCTTGATGCGGCGCGTCTGGCGATGTTATTTCGACTGTCGGCGGCTGAAATTGCGAGGGTTTCCGACTGATTTTGGCAATGGAATTGTGTTTAGGACCAATTTATTTTTTTTTACGTGTTTGGGAATGAAAATTGATTTTGCGGATTGCGGAATGCGGATTTTTTTTTGAAAGAACTTCTTTTGTGAAATGCGGGACGTGATGCGGAATGTCTGATTGGAACCTTGTGAAAAATGATAGATTTTGCAGATTTTTCACTGGGAAAATTGCTTATTTTCATTGAAACTAGCTATGAAAAAAAACCGCGGGCTCCCCGACCAGTCTGGAACCTAAAAGTTCGAAGAACTACCCCTAGACTTCGAGTAAGTGTTCACCAACTGAATCTGGCAAAAGTGCACCTCACTAATGAGAATCTCAGTAAACAAAACAATGGTTGGTAACGTCACTCATAAAAATACGCCCTGCTCACCTTCGCATGGAACGCCAACTTCTTCTTTGCCTTTTCCGCTTCTCTCTCCTTCGCAACGACGTCGACGTCTTCTACTGCGGCGACGGCGTCCTCTACCTCTTTCTTCTCCTCGCTCTTCGCTTTCTGTTCGGCTTGCTCCATTTTTTCTGCAACGAAGAACAATCAATTTAAGCGAGAAGATGGCGAATAGTACGATTGGAAAAGCTCGAGAATATCTTTCTAATGGGCGGCTTCAGTGAGAAGAGGAAGTCGTGAATTATGTGCGAGTCGGGCGGTGCACTTGATGCACAAATTACGGCCACGCTCCCGTCACCAGGCTACCACGATGACGTCACATTGGGAGTGAAAAGGGAGTTGGTGCCTCAATGAGCATGATCATTACTACTACTTTGCTCGCGCGCATGGGAAAATAGGAAAGAATCTAGAAGAAATCTGAGTAAAGTTGGAACGTGGCAAAAGGGAAAAAGTACTAGTCCTGGCAAAGGCCACCCCAAGCTGTTTCAATTCACGGCAGAGCTCCCAAGCGCCCAACCGCAGGCTTCCCCCCTTTTTCCCTCCCCTTTTCCGCACATCTTCCGCCGCAGACAGTGCATAAAGCAGAGAGGAATATGGAAACACGAAAGAAGAAGAAGAAGAAGAAGAAGAAGAAGAAGTAGGAGGAGAAGTGAAGAGTTCCCCGCTTTTTCTCTCTCTCTCTCACTCTCTTGAAAGACACTGAATGCGTATGATCAATTCAGTTTTTACACGCGCGTGAGGCGGGTGAGAGAGCAGAAACGGCGGCAACGGCGACGACGAAGAGGACGGATTAGAGCATCGGGCCCCCGAGTGTTTTCGAGGCGAACAGAAGAAGCGGGGAGCAAAGAGGGAGAAAGAGAAAGAGCAAGAGCAGGAGGAGGAGTCGGATTTGGCGAGGGGAGTGGCTGATTGAGGGGAAGCGTGCGATGGATTTCCGGACGGAAACGACCTGCTCGGGACTAGCTCACTGTCGTTTCTAGCAAGTTAGAAATTCAAGTGCGGTAGAGCGCGCGGTCCGACAGACACTCGGCAAACCTTTGTGTGCTCAGACATGCCTAAAGTTAGCTCAAAAGTTGCAGAGGTTTGCCGGCTAGCGCAATTCATTTCCATTTGCATTCCGTCACGTCACTTTCCCACTCTCATTTCCGATTCCTTGCCCACCACGTCACTCTCCAATATCCGCTTGCTCCTCCATTCATTCCGGCTCATTTTCACCATAGTGATGGCCCATTCGATTTTATGCGTTTTTAGAAGAAGAAGAAGAGGAAAGCTCACCTTCCATGTCGGCAAAGTTTTCCCATTCGATGCTGGACCGTCTGTGCACGACGGGAGCCGGAGGTGCCTGCAATCAATCATCCGATCTGCGAACAACTCAATTCTGTGCCCACCTTATCCTTGTACTGTGGATTCTCATCCAAAATGTCCCCCTCGTAGTCGTGAAGCGGCGTCGTCCGGCCCGAACAGCTCATGCGGCGGCCTCCACCGCCCGGAATCTGCCGTTCCATAGTCTCGTAAAAGTCCGTGTAGGACATGTTCTCAGTTTTCCGTCGCCTGCTCGGAATCGACACTTTGATCTTCTCCGAATCCGAGCCCTCGCTGGCTCCGTCAACGCTGCCCGCGAAGAACGCGATTCCATCGAGAACACACGCCGATGTGGGAGTCGTCGGCCTTTTCCGGATCTTCTGATCGTACGCATGTCTCAGTTCCTCCGCAGTCTCCGCAAAGTTCAGACTCTTCGGAGGTGTGACCACGGCTTCCGGAGCCGCGGCGAACACTTGCTCCACCTCCGCGTCCTCCTCCTCGTCCCTGATCAGACTCTTGTGCAACTCTTGCTCTTGCTCCGAATGTCCCGGTCCCGGCACGGCCATCTTATACTTCTGCGTCTCGCCCAACTGCGGATCCACCCGCTCCGGCTTCACCTCGATAATCGTGTCGTTCGTGTCCGACGTCTTCATACTCACTCCCTCGATCATATCGATGTCCAGAGAGGCGGGCAGCTCGGGCGGTCCGTCGTCCTCGATGGACTGCGTGAACGAGCGCATTGCTCGCATCGAGGCCGCCCGTTCCGACGAGGACTGCTTCGAATCGTCGGTGAGACGGAAGGCATTGCGGCCGCCGTGAGGGTCGAAGTCGCCCTCGCGCCACGACATTCAAGCTGAAAATAGAATGAGCATTTTTGGTTTTACGTGAAAACGAAACAAAACGCGTACACACGGGTGCTGCCAAGAATTGGTAACATGTCAACCGACGGTAACCCGATACATATGGGAGGGTGCCCCAATGGATTAGAGAAACAAAAAAGCGGACTCGTTTTCCATTATAAATCTACCCATCAATCTGGTCCTTTCCGCTATTACCCCGCTTTTCTCAGCCAATGCATATAAAGTGAAGGGGAGTCACGATTATGGGCGAAGAAGGCTTCGAAATGGAATGGAGATTGAGAAAAGAAGGAGGAGGAGAAGAAGAAGAAGACGTGGTCTTTTGCTCCACTTCTTCTTCATCTTTTTTGGCTCAAGTGGAAGATTGGAAATACGCGTTTTGACGAAATGATTCTCGTCCGAATCTGTACACCGCAATTCGTCTCTCTCTCTCTCTCTCTCTTCCGATTCGTGCTCAACTGGTAGTCCCCCTTCTTTCGGCCGGCCATTCAATTATGTACACGACGACGACAACAAAACGGGCGGGGAGATGTAGAGAAAGGAAAGGAATAAACGAAATCTCTCTCTCTCTCTCTGTTTTTGACGTGAAATGTAACTATGTAGCTCCGGAAGGTCAGGGTCAGTGGAGCCAATTTTAAAGATTTTCGATTGTTGAAAAATGAAAAGAAAGATCGAGAGGGGAAAGAAATCAGAGATCAGATTATGATTTATGCTTTATAACTTTGTAGTTGGCCATGTGTTAAGAAAATGTTTGCGTGTCGAGTTATTTCCGTCCAAAAGTGTACATAATTCGGCGAAACTTTGAAAAAAAAACACGAGGACTAGTCTAAACTGTATCGAATCCAATTGAAAAATTCAAGAGAATGTCAATTGCAGATGACATCAAAAACAGATATCCGCAATTAGATTGGTTGAATATTGTCGAAAACTAAACTTTTGCTCAGATTGGAGACGAAAAATGACCCGGTCAAGTGAAAAAAGTGCTGGAAAAGTAGCCGTTGGACATTATTGATGAAGGGTGAGAAAGATTTGAATACGCGCATTCTCAGGGAGGTCAAAATGTTCTGTCCGCTCCCCATGAAATGCAAATTATAAGAGGGACGAAGATGAAGTTCAGCAGAGGGCGAGTAACAAGAGAGAGAGAAAGTAAGCAAAAGTGTGCATGTGCATGCTCGCGCGCTCCCAGAAGACGTTTGTCTTCTTCTTCTTCTCCAGAGCAGTGCAGGGAGAAGCGGCCGGATCAATAAACGGAGGCGAAGGCCGGGGGAAAGCGGGGAGGAAGGCGGGAAGACGTACAGCAGGGTCCCTCCGCTGCACTTCTTCCGCTTCGTCGAAATCGGAACAAAAGTTTTGAAAATGACGAAGAACTTCGCAAAAAAAAAACGATTTGTTTTTTCTTACTTTGCGAACACAGGGGAACAACAGAATGGATGAATGAGGGACGACAAATGTGGGACAACATAGCAATAATCAGGGGACAAATGAGGATCAGTTAAAAATCGGATGGGATTGAAAAGAGGATCTTCTACGGAAAGGGTAAAACTTAAGGCGAGGTGGGGGTAGTGAGAAAAATGGGAATATGATAATAAAAATGGTAGTCATGTTCAATGTTCAGTTATTGCTTTCGTCGTTCCGTTTTTGCACAGCGGCAGATGCTTTCTGGAGAGATTCGCTTCGATCCATGAACAAATCGGTGCACCGTTGGACGTCTTGCACCTGAAAATATCAGCATGAGGAGACACTGAGAGTTTCGAGCCTACGTTTATGATTTCTCTTCCAGCGCATTGAGCACATAAACGAGCCGGAGCAATCAACTGCAGAGCGTATCTTAAAGATTTCTTCGATCCGACGCTGCTCAGATAATCGAATGCCTGGTCTTCGAACTGAACATTTTCAGCTTCAGCGCGATGAACAAGAATCTTTCTGACGTCGTTCTCGTTGTACTTTGCGGTCGGAATGATCATGAGTCGGTCGAGCATCTCCGGCGGAATTCCATGTGCCGCTTTGGCGCCGAGACCGCGGACAGTCGTGTTTCCACGGTTGGTCGCGAAAACGACGACGGGGGCCATTGGCGACTCGAGAGCGCGGTAGAGGTAGGTGAAGCACTCGATGTCGAGCATGTGCACCTCGTCGATGAAGAGCACACCCGGCATGAGCTCTGCGACTCCACTCTCGATGTACTCATTCACCACCTTGTTGATTTCCGAACGGAGACGATCTGTGAAAGGGAAATGTTTGGGTGGATCAACTGGGAAACGGGGAGCATTCTAACCTGTGACTTCAGTCTTTTTGGGTGCCATCAGCTGCGAAACAATGTTGGTCACATCTCCTTGGCGTCCTTGTGGTCTCGCGTTGGCCAGATCCAAATCGTGAAGCGAGACATTCTGCACAATATCCTTCGATTTTCGCACATCTCCCTTCGGCATCGGCACAAACTCGTCGGCTTCCAAATCAAACTCCGAAGCGTAGACATCGCACCGTCCGACGCGCTTCACGACTCCCGAGTTGGCTTCGATGTAGATGACGTCGCCAACCTCCACACGTTGCTTCAGAATTGAATCGTAAATGCTCGGATCGAGTTTCAGCTGCTTGCTTCCCTTCGCCGTTTTCAGTGAAAGAACCAGATGGGAAATGGTCTTGCCGAGGCCGGAAGTGTCCGAACACTCGACCGGAGTCAACTCGGTGACTTCTCCCTCGTACACATCCTTCGTCTCTTTCACACGCAGACCGATGGCCCTTCTGAAGCTTCTCATGAGCACTTCGGTCTTCTTGACCTCACTCGAGAATACTTCACTGGCAACGAGAGGCACGAACGGCACTCCGTCTCCCAGTTCCTGCGCCATGGCAAGAGCGATCGCAGTTTTTCCGGTGGCTGGAGGTCCGGCGATGAGAACGGCGCGTCCGGCCATGGACTTCATGCGGATCATGTCGACGATCACGGAAGCCGCAGTTCTCGCCAGCTTTTGCCCGACAAATCCGGCGCCCTAAAATAGTATAACGTAAACCTCTGAATTTGAGCCGAATTTCCTAACCTCTTCGAGAGCCTCCTGGGTTTCTGGATCAATTCCGAGCCCTTTGACGTGACTGTGAGCGGCAATTCGCTTTACTTGTTTTGGTGTGGGTTTTACCTGCAAAAAATTCATTAGTTTGACTGAAAATTGAAGAAACAGAAAAAAATGTGTGACAAACCTCTTCGATTGGTGCCAGGCGGGAAGAAGAAGTTCCTGTGAGCTGATCATCAACTTCCATATCCATTTTTCGCTAAAATTCTGAGTTTTTAGGTGAGAGCGGAAAGAAAATAAATTCGAAATGCCGGCTGTGCAATTGACGCAATTGACGCGCAATTGCGGACATTGAAAACGCGGCGATTGCGAAAATGACAAAAAACAAGAACATTTCAGAAAAACATTCACAAATTTAAGCAAAAATAATCGGATTGACCAAAAAATTATGAAACTTTCCAAAGTTTCGTAATTTTCGTGGCGAACAGACTTTAAAAAAGTATCCATGCAAGACACAGGCCAGAAAAGTCTCTATGCGCCTTTAAAATACTGTAATTTAACCTCGCTCTTCAAACTTTTCTCACTCCCACTTGCTCTCCCGATACTCGCCTTTTCTGAGCAAAATGGAACAAACTCTACGGCTTGCAGAGGCTGATTTCTACAGTGTAAGTGTCATTTTCTATTAGAAAGCACGAAAGTGTTCTGTTTTTACAGGATAGCGAGCACGAAGAGGATTTTTCGCAGTTTTTCACTGACGACGAGGAAGCGCACATTCCGCTCGAGAAATCGCCCATTGTAGAGCTTCCCGAAGATTATGGTGAGCTAAAAATCTGGCGAAATCTCACATATTAGAATTTATTTAGATGCTCCGGTAGAGACTGCCGAGGAGAGACGAGACATCGACGATTCTCTTTTTGATTCGCTACTGGGCGAGGCTTTGTCGGGAGAAGAAGTAAATCCACCAATCGACGGATTGTTCGACGATTTGGATGAAGACGACGAGCCGGAGGAAATCGACCGGAGTCAGCTGGAAGACATCGATAGTGGCATCGGTCCGAGCCCATCGGCTTCTGAAGAGTCTGCTGGCTCCCCAAGTACAATAGACATGAGCTCGATCGCTAATTATTTGGAATATATGAAAGAGGAGGAGCACGCCGTGCTTGTTGACGAAATCCCCGATTTTGCGTCAAAGAAGTGGGTGGAAAGTTTGAAAACTCTTAACTACGATATTTTTTCCAGAAACGTCTACGGCACCAGCTTCAGTGTTCGCACTGGAGCGATCCATCGTCCGCCTCGTTTCGAATTCGCCCGACGAGACACCCAATGGATTGATTCTTGCAAGGATCTGACCTACGAGAAAAAGAAACCAGTTGACAAGCTACTCACCCTCGGGAAGGTTGTCTCGAGCATCAAGCTCGGCACGAAGATTGACGTTTGCGATCGTCAGTACACCGACGTTTACTGCCGAACTGCGGAGGAAATGGCTGCGATGGAGACCCATCACATCCAGCAGATCATCCGCGACGCCTTCAATTCCCGCCGTCTCGCCGTTCTCCTTCTGGGAGTAGACAAAAAGGGAAAAGTCACTGGGTGCCGTCTGAATGCCGGAAAGCAGGACAATCTGCGACTCGCTCTCGACACCGCCATCCAAACCGAATTCTCGCCGCCAATCGAGAACGTTCTCGACGCCATCGACATTAAATTCGCTCCGGTCGAAGACGTCGCCGACACATTCTTCATCGTCATTCGTATCAAGCAGCTTCGCAATCAGACATACCGTCTCGAGTCGGCGGTTTAATCAGATTTTGTACCAAATTTGTATTGTTCCTTTGTCTGTGTGACTCTGTTTTTTTCTGGTAAAACCCATCGGGTTTTCTACTGAAATTTTGTGACCGGTTTTATGAAACACTTTGTTCGTTCTTCGCTCTGCCGGATCACGGTTCTCGATTCAGTTAGTATGCTTCCTTTACCTTCTAAAGAAACGTGAAAGTTAGCGTGATTAACAACAGCTTCTAATTATTTCTATTGTCTCCCAATAGCAAAAATGAATAGAATGAGCAGGTCTTGTTACTACAAAATCAAATGAATCTGTAAGTTGCAGCAGATGTCGACGCGACAGTGCACTCTCCGATACGGCACCTCATTAATGCCCTTTTTCGCGAAACAAATCTCCGCGGTGCCTCCAACGGAATCCGATTTCGCCACGTCGACGCTCTTCCCCGATCGGAGAATCGCCGAATCGCCGGAGCTCTCGGTGCTTCGCCGTCCGTCACTTTCGGCCGTTTTGTCGGCGATCAGCGATCAAAAAGCACTTTATCTGTGGCAGAAAGCGCAAATTGACGAGATGGGCATCTCCGCTTTCAAGGCGAGCATGAATGGTTCGGAAAAAGAAGACAATTTTGCTGAAAACCTGTGAATGTTGTAGATCGAATGGTTCTGGGCACGAAAGTTCACACAAAATGCGAAGAAATGCTGAAATTGCGGGCGGCCGATGCGAATGAGCAGGATCTTGTCAAACTTGTATGATCTTGGGAAACTCTTGACGATTCAGAACATACCCGATTCAGATCGACGTGGAGAAAAATGCGGCAGTTCGAAATTTCATGAAGAGCGCTCTGCCGGTGATTCTAGAAATTCAGAAGCCGAAAACGGCGATTTGTGAGCAGAAAGTGAGGCATCCGAAGCTCGCCTATCAGGGAAGATTCGATGCGGTCGTGCAGTACAAGTAGGCCACAATTGAGGCGATTCCTCGCCATTATATCAGTGTTTCAGGGAAAACTGGAGCATTTTAGACTGGAAAACCGCGCCAGCTCGATCGTCATTCAGTACACAAGGCGAGCACAGGTACTCCGCATTCTCCCGAGAGAAAACCTGATCCATTGCGCGTATTCCAGTCTCTCCTACGTCAGCTACGTCCGACAACTTGCCGCCTACGCATCTGCCTACAATTATGACGTCAGATTTCAAGAATTTCCGATTGTAAGCCCCAAAACCCCAGATTCTTCTAAATTATAAAATGTTTTCAGGCGAAGACTGGTGTTCTGGCCAGCCTGAAAGAGGACGGATCGCCCGCAGACGTGTATGAGATTCCCGAAGCGGACATGAAGCAGACGATGGAAGAAGTTAAGGGGAAATTAAAAGAATTCTGGAATCGAGTGATGACGGCGGAAGGAATCAACGTTGATTTTGCCTATAAACCTGCCAATTAGATGATTTTTCTAGACACGTACTAACTGTAAATGAATTGATTTTTTCGGTTTTTCACAAAGACTCGTTCTTCGCTCTATCTCTCTTTCGAATGAGATAGTTCTCACAATCAGTTCTTTCCTTCACAACTTGTTAACTTCATTTCAATAGAATGGATCCATGTTAACTGTTATTCAAAAACGAGTTGTTGATCGTCGGTGTGTTCGATCGTGTGTTCGATAGAGAACGTTTTTCACGAATAGATCCTAAGCGTGGTGATCAATCTCGAGCCATTGAGAGGTTGGCAGAGGCCCAACAAGGAACAGGAACATTTCGGCGACCAAGTAGATTGTCGCTTTTGCTCCGTCATTTCTCTCGATATCGAACCCGTCGCAACAAATCACTCTGCACGGTGGCATCATATTCTCTTTCCTAAAAGAATGAACAGATCGCAAGAAACGTTTGATAACTTACACTAAATAAGGTCGGCGGACTGTACTATCCATTTGGACGAATTGAACACCGTCCACTATGTCCAGATCGTTAAGCAACACGTTTTCTGGTAAGTTTCTATATATAAGCAAGGCCTCCAAACGGGGATTTGCTCCAGCTATCCAGTGCTTGACAAACTGGTTGAGATCTTGTTGCGTGAATTCTGAGCCATACAGTTGAATGAGTGCACAGTCCAGCGAAATGAGATTGTCAATGGTTAACCAATGCGAATGAATACACCCGAAACCGCTTGAGCTCAGTTTGATATCATGCTGGAAAGTTCGAGGAAACTCGAAATTAAGTAGAATGTGATGAGTGGCTCTGCAGTTATCCAGAATGAAGCGGGCATCTTCTTCATTCAGACATACACCGGTGACTATAAACAGATCAAGTGCCGGTTTCTGACGATTGACATGACTAATAATGTCCCGAATTCCTTCTTGGAACATACTGTAGCTGATTTCAATGCCTTTCAAAGGAGTTCTCAGGGATTCTTTGAGGTGCTCTACTTCTTCTAACAGCTCCGACTGCCGTCGTTTCCAATAAGAACGAGGTCGCCTCGCAATCACTTTTGGATCATCGAAATCTTCGGGTTTTCCAAGACATAACGAATGACTATCGGCCATCATCAATCCGAACCCAACATTTATTATGCATGGATCTCGTAAATAGGCCACCAAGAGTATTGTTTCCTTTTTCAATAACATGAGTATTTGCTTTGCGGTTTTTGAGCACTTTGAGAAATGACATCTGCAAATGGAAAGACATTAGTTTCAAGTAAATAAAAGTTTACTACTTACCGCTCAATAACACCGAACATTCCGAGACATTTCAACAGAGGCACGGAAGGAAGATCCAAAAGACGGAAGGCTGCTTTTCTACGTCGTTTTCTTATTATAGGCAATTTTGAGAGCACGCTTTTGAACAGGTCACGTAGACGAGGCATTGCGCAGTGAATGAGGAACGAGCAAGATGAACGGTGCACAAGACGACACATGTTACGTGGATCGATAATACCCGATGCCAGAAGGGTGCTGGCTAGATAGTATTAGAAAACCTCAGGCCCTCTATAGCTTTTCGTGTATTAGCTGAGAGTATAGGAACCGACAGACTCACAAACTTCAACGATCGAAGAGTTTTCACAGTGGCAATGCTTCACTCAATTTAATCAGTTTAAGAATACTGTACATCAAGAAGTGAGTTGTCAGCAAAGAGATTAACGAGCGCTGTCCATCTCCAGCCTTTCGGAATTTGCATGAGGCCAAACAATCAAATTAACACATGAATTTTCAAAGCGAATTCATCAGTGCACTGAATCGTCGCTCTTCTCCCATCATTGCTCACAATCTTCATCGTCCACGTCATCTGTCTCCCTCTTTCCTCATTTTTCTTCGAATAAACTCATTTGTATATTTATCACATTTATTAAAATGTTGGAAAGTGAAAACAAAGCAGAAAATATGGATTCAAAGTAAATAAAACGGATTTAGCACTTTCCGGACAGCGTCTTGGCCTCGGCGAGCAGCTCCTTCTCGTTATCGTTTTTCGGGGCGACCGAAAGTGCCTTCTCGAAGAACGGCTTCGCGGCGGACTTGTCGCCCTTCTGGTACAGTGCCTTTCCGAGGTAGACTGTGTTCTCGATCCACTCCGGGTTGATGTCGTAGGCGGCCTGGAAGTCGGCGATCGCCTCCTCGACGGTGGCGGTTGGTGGTTCTGAGTAGAGAATCGCGGCGGCCTTTCGCTCGAGCCACGAGAGATTGGCGACAGAAAGGGCCCAGCGGCCGCGGAGATGAAGAAGAGCGTCCTCCTTTGGCTGAATCGAGATGGCACGGTCGAGATACTCCTGAAAGAAAAGCTCTCAATGCATTTGTGTCTAGCTGACTATCCATACCTTGCAGTGCTTTCCCTCCTCGATCTTGTCCTTGGTCCCCAGGTACTCGGTGACTTTTCCCGACATGAGCGCCGCCCATCTCGCTGCCAGAAAGTTGTTCGAGTCGGTGTTCCACGCCTCGACGGCGTACTTCTTTCCCTCCGTGATGATCTCCTTTCTCTTGTCCTTCTCCACTCGGTTGCCAATCTCGTTGCAGAACTTGGCCAGCCTCCAGAGGACATCGATCGAGTGCTCTCCGGCGTCATATCGCTGAAAATCGATTGTAATTTCATAACTTTTCCTCAAATTTTTAAAATTGTCTCACCTTTTTTAGCTCGTCATATCCTTCTTGAACGCGATCCGTTCCGAAGAGAGCGTCGAGATTATCGAACGACATATCGTTTTGTTGAACAAAAGTGTGAGCGACGGACTGAAATGCACAAATACACGTTGCTTATCATTACACAAACACACACACACACACACAGAAAAATCGTATCGAAAACGGGAGAGAAAACGGAGAACACAAGTGATGTTTTCTGCTACGTCGCCGAGTGATTCACGGCCGGCAACGCGGAGAGACAGAGTGACGAGTCGGATACACACAGACGGAGAGAGAGAGAGAGAGAAAGATGCGTTCGTGTAGGCTACACAAACAAACGGACCAGGGAGAGGCCGGGGCACATTCATGAATCGATGCCAAATGGGTCTTGCCACGAAGAAGAAAATGTGCTCTAGAATGAGCAGTTAAAATTCCACTAGTCATTTGACACAAAACATCGAGTGCTATCTTTCTAGAAGCAAGCAATCAAGCACCAATGCATAAAGTACAGGACGAATGAGACGTGTCTAAAACTGACCTGCTGTGATGTGGAACTGTCGACCGGTTTGGCGTCTCCGAATGCGCGATCGTCGGTGTACCTGCAACACACTTTTTGCCTTTTTCTGTCGCCCGAACGCGTCGATTTGAATCTCGAACCTGGCTTTTACTCCTATGAGAATTGTCGAAAGAATAACTAGAACCTTCATGGCTTTGTCGATTTCGTGAAATTGGAGCTTACCCCGAAAGTCAGGAGATCAAAAAACTATCAATTAGAGCCGTTGGAAATGAAAGAAAGAATGGAGAAGAAGAAGAGAATGAATGACAGAGAGTGGGGGAGTCTTGAGCTCACCAGACGGGTCACATTACGTCATTTATCTTATCTTTTCTTATATTTATATTTAGATCTGTCATAAATGATTTTTGTTATCATTAGGAAATGCTAAAAATTACGGTCGTCTTGGGCCCACAAATATGAAAATTATCCTAACGGCGCTTACCAGTCTTCTTCGGCGTCTCCGTATTCCGAATCCGAAGTGATCGACTGCCAACTTCTCGTGCGCGACATCGGCCTGCCGGATCCGCTACGACTCGTGCTCGCTTCTGAGGCCAATTTGAAAGAAACACTCTTCAGAGCGCCTCCACTATTCGACGTTTTCAGCGCCTTCTGATTCTTCACTTCCTCGTTGATACTCTTCAGAATGGATTCCAAGTCCTCCATCTTCACGCCCAATACTTCGACCATCATCTGAAGTCGTTCGATTTCGACGATATTCCTGTCGTCGCGACGGGAAAAGTGGAGAAAAAGACCGAATGCGGCACTTGTCGCCGCCGTGATTCCGACGTACTTCCAGACGTTTTCAGTGGGCTGAGAGGACATCTGAAGGTTCTGAAATTGGAAAGAAATGACAGGGGATTAAGTAGAAATAGTTTGTTAGGTGGGAATTCAGCGACCATTCGAGCACCACGTGACGGAGGGAAACGGGGAGGGCGCAGAGAAGAGAGGGAAATAACGTGACACGGGGGCAAGTTTATTGAAGACGAAAAGATCAAAAAGTAAAAAAGAGGGAATAGAATAATCAAAAATGAAAAATGAAGAACAACAATCGATTGAATTATTCGTCGAACTTGGCCTTCTTCGCCGGTGATTCTGACCCAATTTCCAGAGACTTTCGGGCCATCTCCAGAGCGCCCTCACGTGAGAGATTTCCGCCAATGAATCCAGAAATGTGCACAAACACTCCGCCGTCGATGCCGCTCACCTTGCTCAGATCAGCGTCACGAAGTCCGCGCCAAGCGGCCGGAAGAGGCAGACGATTCTCGAAAGCGGTGTTCTTGTCGAGCGGAATCGCCAGCACGCGCCAAGAGCTGCTCGTCGAATCTGCAAGATATGCAACTAGAAAAGAAGGAAGATTTAGGGGTCGTACCTTGGAACAGAATGTAGGTGATCCAATCATCGGCGATGTTCTTCTCGGCCTCGATGTCGAAGAAGTGCTCGGCCCACGGACACGCTCCGTTTTCGATAAGGATAATCCTTCCAGACGGATCGTTTTCGAATCGTCTCTCCACGGAATTCTCGATAATTTCTCGCGCCGGCCACCACACATTCGCCATGTATTTGACGGTCCGCACGAATTCTTCTCCGATGAACTGCATCGCCTTCTGGAATCTCTCGTCGGCGTTGTTTTCCGGCTCATTCCAGTGAGCATTAAACTGTCCCGTGCGCGACGAAAGATTTCCGGGCGAGTGATAGCGAGGAGCGCCGTCGTACTGCGAGATTCCATTGTCGATGGCGTCGATCGACTCGACAAATTTCTCATAGAGGCGATGGTAGAAGAGATCGAGAAGGGACGAGGAGACGCCGCCGCCGAGGATCTGATCGATCACTTCCTTCCCGTAGTGGGCGTAGACGAGACCGGCCGAGGACAGCTTCGTGTCAAAGTTGAGCTTTTCGAGTGTTCGCATCGTTTCGGTGAATCCTCGTTGGTGATGATCGTATCGTTGAGCGGAGTGGTCGAACACTCCTCCGACATCCACAACAATGTCACATTGTTCGAGTTTTGCGGGATCACGCGTCCTAAAACAAACAAGACCGTCTAAAAGAATCAATCAGAAGGCAGCTAAACCTGACGATGTCGTGGTCCTTGAACTTGGGTAGCTGCTTGAGCATGAAGCACGCGAACGCCTCATCGCAATGAAACTTTCCATTGTGCGTTCCGATCAGAGAAGAAGACATTCGGAGATTGAGCCGAGCAAAGAGACGTGAGAAAGAGATCACCTGACAGAAAAAGTAGGAGAAATAGGAAGAAGTTGCAGAGAAATCAGATATGAAAATTGGTTTGAAAACATTTGAGTTCCTCATCAAAAATACTATTTTAATATTTTATTTGGAATGTGGACGCAGTATATTTACATCAATAAAAACATACAAATCTAAAGAAAATAGTACAATTATACAAATGGCATTCCCGGATACGCGTCACTTGGCTGAATAACCGCTTCGATTCGTTGCCGTCCCTTGACTGTCGGATCATCGTGTCGAATATATTTCTTGTACGCTTTGTACATCTCTTTCGCCTTTTCACAAGACAAATGGGCATACAAAACGGGGACGGGCAACGAGATGGGCTTGCGAACACGGGCGGAGAGGAACGCCAGCTCGTACGTCATTTTCTGAAAACGGGAAACAGTGAGCGAAAGAACACCTTCGGACTTACGTAAACTTCGTCCTTGGTTATTCCACTGTTGTCGTACATGACTGTGTAGTATCCAGGCCTGGACGTTCCGAGTGCTCCGTGATGCGAGGCCAGGAAAAAGTCGAACTTGTACTTGCTCACAACCGTTTTATCGACCGTCGTTCCAGAGTGCGGATTCAAAATTCGCGTCCCGGCGCTCTCCTTCTCTTCATTATCCCATCGCTTCGCCGCCTCTTCGTCCGCTGGTCTTTTATCACTCATCTTCCTCATGAAACGTGTTCTGTGACGCTTCTGAACGACGATGAATGTGTACATCGGCTCCGGTTCTCCTGCTCCTCTCTGCGCGAGGAAAAGGGTCACTTCGTTTCTCAGCGAACGCAGCTCGTCGTGGCTCACGCGCAGCATTTCAGAATCGCTGACACCATCTCGATAGACCACGATGTGAGCCGGAATCCGGTTATCGTTGTTCTCAAAGTAGTGTTTATGTTTGTAAAGCAGAGATCGTGATATTACCTGCGCGAACGTCTGCAGCAGCCCAATGAACTTTCCCTCGAGGATGTCCGTCCGTTCCCGTCCGTGAGCCACTGGCCGTTCTCCAGGACGGCATTCTTCTTGGACGACTACCCGATTGCGGAACCTCGTGCCGCCCCAATCGATAGAAGCGACGATGGATGCGATGGAGAAATCGATGCCGCTTCCGTTCGTCGGATGAGTCACATCGATTCCGACGAACATCTTCAAGGGCATCTTCTTTCGCTCTTCCTTCTGTTCCGGACTCAATTCCGCCATTTCAGAGTAGTCCAGTTCTTGATTGACTCCGTTCAATTTTGCATTGATTTTGAGAGCAATCTGATTGCCGATTCTATGCGATCCCTTTTCAATCATAGAATCTTGTAGGGTCCGTAGGACAACTTCGTGAGTGATATGCTGGCTGGCCACTCCGAGTTCCACGTCACAGAACCACTTGAAGTAGCCGTATCCGTCAAGACTCCTCTTCGAAATGATGATGAAGAGAAGGGTCTTCTGACTTTTATCCGGAAGACGGTCATAAAGTCCTTTAGCATGCTGTGCTGCTTTTTTGAAGTTAGTACTGTCCGCACTGCCTTCTGTGATTGCGCAATTCGCGTAGTACTGAAAATTTTGAATTCGAAGTTTTAGTTTAAAAATAACTGACCGCAAATGTCTTCTGGCCATCTTCTTCGAGAGAAAGTATAGAACGAGCCATTTTATTGGCGTTCGGCTCTATTTTCAATCCTCGGAACTCACACCGGTCGATAAGCTCACTGTAGAAGGCACTGAAAACATCAAAGTTTTCATCTACCTCACGAAGCAAACTTACTATGACTGATTTTCAGTAATACAAGGCTCCGGATCCCTGGGATCGTTGACAATGAAAAGGGCGCAGCACAGCGTCTTCTCGGGGACCACATTCAGCTCAATTTCCTGGAATCCACGTACCACCGGAGTCATCTTGATCTTGTCGTTCTTTTTGTTCACTAGATTCGGCTCTTTCAGCACTTTTCCGGTGCACGTCAACATTTTGAGCTCCGGAGACAGTCCGAACTTCTGCACAAAGTCCAACTCCTCGGACTTGAAATCTAAATCCTGGAGCATCCGGATCGTTTCCTCCTTGTAGACGTGGGGCTTCCGTGTCGCTTTCTTCACAATCGCGAACTTCATCGCCATATCGATCCAGTTCTTGTACCTTTGCGGCTTTTCGTGCACTGCAAGAAACTCCATCGGCGCCAGCAGCTCATTGGCACCAGTTTTAACCACAACCAGTGGAAGGTTGGGGAATTCGATGATCTTGCGATTGTCTCTGTACACTTGAGAGAGTGGAACCTGTAGTATCGGAGCATTTCTGCCTCTTCCAGCCGTAACCGAGACCTGGTGCTCATACGCATTCTCATCGTGCAATCGGAGGTATGTCGGATGCCGTTCCACCATTCTTCTCTTCTCCGGATCCCACACTTCTGAGCATTTCAATTTCAGATTCGCGAGGTATCCGTCGATCTTTCTTCGAACTCTTTGGTTCACTGTCAAGACGCCATCTCGCAACTGCTGCTTCCGGCTGTTCCTCACTTCGTCTTGATACGTTTCCGGGTCCACGAGTAGGAGCAGATAATCGAGCAGCGACATACTCGGAGCATTGAAGAACAGTTTGTCGACGACTGAAATGTCGGAAGTTTCAAAGAAGGATATTTCGATGCTCACTGGCGAAATTGAGCACGGGCTCTCCGGTGTAGAGCTCTTTGACCGCAATGTAAATACCGAACCACAATTCGATTCTCGGAGCAATTTGCAGAGAATGCTCAAAACTATCCGGGTCGTAGAACGACTCGGGAACTCTGTGAATGATGTTCGAGTCGTAGAGGTATTTTTTCGAAAATTCACTGAAAATCCTCGTTGTTTCTATGACTCATTGGTGTTCTTTTTGACATACAGAGCAACCTCGTTCGTTTCTTTCGGCGAATAACGCACTTTTTGGGTCATCACCGCCTAATAACATAAATTTAAAAGATTATCATTTTTTGAACGTACCTTGAGAAACTTGTAACTGCGGTCTGCTTGTTCATCATTCAAAGGATTTTCTCGACTGAAATTCAACCGAAATGACTGGCGAGGCTTTAAACTGAGCACATAAGTGACGAATTGATTATCAGGCGATAGCATTTTGCTTTCAATTCCCGTTTCCACTCTGTTCACACTGTACACCGTATCCCTGTTATCGAAGACGAACTCTTCAATGCGCGCACGATCGTGGCGTAAATGCTGCCAGAAGAGTTTCGGGCGATCGAGACTGAAGTTAAAAGATAAACTCCGGAAAATCGGTCGACAATTGGATTACATGGCAATGTTGACTTCTTTCTCCTGTAGGCGGCCGCTCTTGTCTTTGAATTTCTTGACTTTGTACATTTCCACACTGTACTCGTAGTACTGCAAGTTTTTTTTTGATAATCACTGAAAATTCGAGAGAAAAACCTCTCGATCATAAATGTTGGAGGCAAATTTGAACCAATTCACGAGAAGCTCAACCTTTTCCGTGTAATAGTCTTTCTTGCATGGTTCCGTAGGCCTTGGAAACCATTTCATGCTCTGAAATTGGTAGTCACTTTTAAGAAGAGAACGAAATAGGGATGTTTACTTACTGGATCGAGGGTGTGACGATAAAACTTTTGCAAAGATTCTGCCATGCTTGCCTGAAAGTAAAACTGTTAGAAATGAAAGGAGAGCGAAGGGAAAAGGAGCGAGTGAGCATTGCTCACTTTAAAATGACGTCAGTCAGAACGCATTTTAATAATTTTGAATGCATTTGAGATTTTATTGAATAATGGAGTCGAGTGAAGGTAATCGACAAATTAAACCGATTACTCTCGTTATTAGGAAAGATTGCAAAATCAAGTTATTAGGAAAGAGTGCGAAAGTTTGCAAAATGCAATTGCGGCGGAAATGTCGTCAGCCTAAATGCCTTGTCCGCAATTTCACAACGCAGTGTTCGCACGCTTCAGAAAAGCCGAATTTCATTTTTTTTCCAATCAAAACCATGGCCTTTCCATTCGATATTCTACATTCTGAAATTATCCGAACAGCTTTGGAAGGCGAACAGGAACGATGTGAAGCGAAGGAAAAGTTCGGATCGGTAGGAACTCACTGAAATCCAAATTTAAAACTGCTACTCGTATTTCAGATTATTGAAAACCTCACGGGACCGGCAGACATTGAAAAGTATGACAGCTTGGTGCAAAAAGCGTTTCTTCATGTCTGTTTGCAAAATTGTTTCGTAATTCATTCAGTTTTTGCAGTCGAATGCAGAAACAAAACTGGAAGCGATTGGATTTCGAGTCGGAAGGCAGCTGGTGGAGAAAGTGTCGAAAGAGACGGCAAAACTTGTCACGGAACTTGAAGTAAGTTTTATACGAAAAAGGTTTAGTACGGGTTTACCCGCCGGTAAAAGTATCTACGAGTAACGTAGAATGAGGGCAAAGGAATAGAATTCAAGATCGATAACATTCTAGAGCAAAAACACGTAAATGTTAGCTGATCTAATAAGGAGATAAAGACTAGGAGAGGCGTGTGGAGAAGTCAGATAGAAAATTACGAAAAAAAAATCATATCGAAAACTATTGGTTTTCTGCACTGCTCAGTGTCGGTCGATCGAGAAAAAATTACACAAGAAACGAGAAAAGCAATCGAAGAGGCCGCATGTTTCGCGCTGCGCGCGTAGATCAAGAACGGGTCTCGCAGCGATTCGACAGAATGAGTGTACGCAGTGCGGCCTTTTGGGATGGCAGGCAGGGCAGGGAAAAAAGAGAAGATCGTTCGGCAGAGAAATCTCTCCCGATGCTGATGGAGCCAGACGGCGGTGCGGCTCTCGCGAGAGCATGTATGACCGGGTCAGTGACCGTTCACCCTATCGGATCGTCGGATCCTGAGATATGTGGATCATTGGCCGATTTTTTCTAAAGACCCCGGGCTTCCGGCCAATTTCGGCCAATGATCCACATATCTCGGGACCAGATGATCCGATCGGGCTGAAACTTGGTCCCAGTATGCTTCAACCCATGTCCAAGAAGCCTGCAAAGTTTGGGTCCGATCGGAATATTGCAAGTGGTTCAAAGGTCCAGGTCAAGGACCGGCCAACGAAAAGCCCGTGCCGGCCAATTGCCCAGCCCTGGAAACACGTATTCGTAGTTTGGTATCGCGTTCTGCGGTCCTCTCCAGTCTGACGGACCATTTGGCCAGGACGACGCTTTTTGTCTTTCAGATTGTGAAATTCATCTGCAAAGATTTCTGGTCGACTGTCTTCGGAAAACAAGTCGATAATCTGCGAACGAATCACCAGGTAACCTCAGTTAACATCAATTTTCACTGAACAAACAACTTTCTCAGGGTGTCTACGTTGTACAGGATGGCCGATTTTCAACTCTTCGCAGCTTTCCGGAAGGAGATCAGTACGTCAAAGAGAGCGCATACTTTCTCGCTTTCCCCTGCGGTCTTCTTCGTGGAGCACTTGCCGGACTCAACATCAGAGCAGTTGTGACGCCGACGATAGAGAGTGTGCCTTCAGTCAAATTCCACATTCAAATACAGGGAAAATAGAAAATAGAAACAAATTATGGCGTAATTTTTGTGTGAAAAGATGTACCTTTACATAATTTATTGTCTGTTTAAAAGAGAAACCAAACCGGTAGAAATGTGATAATGACACGTCTAAAGCATTAGAAAAACACCAGCATTGCCGCTCATTTGCGTAAGAGCTCGTTGATTTGGGCAGAAGTTTTTCCTTTCGTCTCCGGAAGGAACCTGAACAAGGAAGGTGAATTATAGACTAGACTGGGTATCATTCTTACATGTAAAAGTAGGCAGCAGTAATTGTGAGCGGGACAATGAAGAGTAAGAAGGCGAATCCACTAATTGATTCAATCAGGGACATGTATAAAACCGGGCAGATGAACGAGCCAATGAACCTGCCAAACGAACTCTTTCTCCAGTTTTTCTCCTCTTTTCAACATACTGAACGGCAGTACTGTAGCTTTGCATCTTAGAAATAGTACCGGGAGGAGCCAGTTCTGCTCCGATGAACACCGCGGCCGGTCCGATTCCGATGCTGAAGACAAAAGTGAAAAGGACGAAAAGAGCGAGGAACGGCCACGCGAGAAGAGGGTCTTTGGTGAAATTGTAGAGGAAGACAAGGCACATCATGAGGATATTGATGATTGCGAGAATGAGAAGAGAGGAGATGAGGAGCAGACGGCGGCCGATCTGGAAATGTTGAGTAAGAAAGAACGATCACGGTGAGTTCTCTTTGGGGTCACGCGGAGGTTTCTGTCCGCCGCCCGCACGCTCCTTGGCTGTTCTGAGACTTCAGATGTGTGCCGTCGAATGAATACCGATTAATTTCACTTGATTTTTTGGGAACGTGTTCATTATGATGTAAACTAACAAAGAGACACAAAAAGCACGCACGAGCAGTCATATTTTGCAAAAAGCTGTTATGGCAGTCACCCCTAAACATTTCTGCGAGTTTCTCGTTGCTGCTTGCGAGTTTCAATCATAATGAACTCATTTCCAAAAAATTAGGAAAAATGAATCAGTATTCTTCGGAAAACACGCATCACAAGTTTTGGCGCGCGGATAAAGGCTTGGGGAGCGTGCCGCCGGCCGGCGAAATAAGCAGCCGACGGTTCACGGGACGAGGGCCGAACTTTCTTCCTCTCTCCACTGCGCCCTCAGAAAAAATCACCGTGACGAGGTCTTCTGAAGTACCCGATCGATGGCTACGGTGGCCAGAAGTGCAGAGATTATGGATACTGAACTGCAGACGGCATTCGCCGCGGAAGAGCCTTCCGCAGTGAATCCGATGGTTTGAAGGAGGAAAGTTCCGAAGAAGGAGAATGCGACGACTCCACTGGAAAAAAGGTATAAGTATAACGGGCCAGAAATCAAGGGGAGAACGTACCTGAAAGCGACTGAGAAATTGACGGCGACCGAGAGGGACAACGCCTGCACACAGCTCTTGTCCTTGAGAATCTCCCGCAAACTCTTCTCCTCAACTCCCTGATCGTTGCTCCGTAAGTCTTCTAGAATCCGTTTCACATGACATTCCGCACCGTAGAACGTTTTCAGCGACGCCTCCGCCTCGACGCTTTTCCCCGTTGACAGCAGGTACTTGGGACTCTCGTGGAAGTAGACAATATTTACGATTATGTGAACGACGCAGGGAATGATTTCCAGAAAAAATATGTACTGCCAGAGGGAATCAGTGCCCAGAAGATACGGAGTGCCAAGCGAGGCGGCCAGGAAGAAGCCGGTGTTTCCGACGAGACCGCTCAGAGAATTGGTCACTCCGCGGTACTTGGTCGGGCTGATTTCCGTGATGTACACGGCTTGGGCGGATATTCCGACGGCGAATCCGAGACCCGAAAGAACCCGGGAAATCGGCAGGAGTTCTGGCAGACTAAGAGCGTAGGCGAGTCCGAAAAGTGGGGTGGAGCAGAGGAGAATGACGGAAGCGAGGAGAAGGGTCCGTCGGGGACCGAGGGACGGAAGGAGGTGGACCGAGAGGTAGGAGCCGAACATGGCGCCGACAAAGAGACATCCGGCCAGGCAGGAGGAGATCAGAGATAGTTTGGATGGGGAGAGCTCCACGGAGTAACGTCTGAAATTGGCAAGTTTAGGAGGACTTTTGTCGATGAATCAGAAAAAGAATCAGAATGATACAAATGGCGTAAGCGTACATTCGCATGTTTTCGACGATAAACTGCTGAAGAATGTGTGCGAGCGGATTGACCGCCGAAATCAAGAATCCAAAGTGGAAGCCGCCGGCGAACGTGGCCACGACCGAAGTGGCGAGAAGACGTCTGGTGAGCCGAGGAGGTGTTTCGAAGGATCGGAGGCCGTCCTCCGCGAGAATCGTACACACCTTCATGTCTACAAAGTATATAGGTTTCCAACTAGAACAAAGTAGTAAAGGAGGAAAAATAAGAAGAAGAAGAAGAAGAAAGAGAAGAAGCCATGCCCAAAAGTGCGTTTGAACGTGGGTGAAAAGGCGTCGAAGGAGTGTTGTGTAGTGAGAAGGGGGAACAAGAACTTGTTCTGCTAGTTGTCTCACTCAACCAAACCGCTGCAGTGATAATGAGAAGACAGATGATCGGTAGCCACGGCGCGGAAGGGAACAAGGTTTCGGCCGTTTCAGAAGGGGAGCACCGACGTGACTCTCTCATTTATTTCTTCACTCGATTATCCACGTTTCAGTTTCGCCATTCTTCACTTCAATTCAACTCGATTCACAAATTTCTATCTATCAACAACACAGCGTCCGAATGGAAAAGGCTCTCGATGCGACCAACTTGCCACCTGGCACTTTTGTGAACACTTTCAGCCCGAACCCGATTATCTTTTTCATGTTTCCAGGTGTACAAATGGACGGTGGAGCGGAAACTCGCTCAAGGAGACTTTAGTTTCATCTACGCGTGCAACGGGTCCAGCAACATGTCCGCTCAGAAGCAGTTTGCGTTGAAGTGCGAGAGTGCGGAGAGTCCGTTGCAGATGCTCAAGGTGGAGGCGTACGTGCTGCAAAAGATCTCGAAACGCAACTCGCGCCACTTTTGCGACATCGAAGACATTGGCAAATTCCAAGGGATCCACTATATCGTGATGCACATGGTCGGCCGCGCACTCGTCGACTACGTGAAGACGTCGCTCAGCGGCATGCTCACCGTCAACTGTGCTCTGAGCGTCGGCGTTCAGATCGTGGAGGCGTTGGAGGATCTGCACAACTGCGGATTCATCCATCGGGATCTGAAGCCCTCGAATATTTGTCTCGGCAGAAAGGATCGCGGCGAGTCGGGCAAGGTCTACTTGCTCAGTTTCGGCATCTCTAGAAAGTATCTGGACTCCAAGGTTCAATCGGAAACACCGCTATTGACAATCTGTATTTGACCTTCAGAAACAAATTCGAAAGGCTCGGGAGCAAGTGGAGTTCCGCGGGACCGTCCGTTACGCCTCTCTAGCGTGCCACCAGCTCCAGGAGCTCAGCAGAAAGGACGATTTGGAGTCGGCGCTCTACGTGCTCGCCGAGTGTCTCACTGGCCAACTGCCCTGGAAGGGCCTGCCCGACGGCGCCGCGGTGGCAAAAGTCAAGCAGCAGAGCCGTCAGCCGCCGGCCGTCTTCCAGTTGTTCCGCGGAGCTTGCCCCATCGACGAACTCCGTGAGCTCATGGTCCTCATCGATTCGTACGATTACAACGCGACGCCGGACTACGCCAACATGTATACGGTGGGTTGGGACGTGCGTCAGAGCAGCGCTTTTTGTCGTTCGATTTGCGTCAATCGTTCTGACTTTGTGCGCATTCGTATCTTTCTGATTTCCTGTTTTTATTTTCAGATTCTTCGCCGTGCAATCCGTCGCAACGCGCAGCCGGAGCATCCGTACGATTGGGAGCAAGGCGGCACGAACCCACTGTGCGACTTGTAACCGAACCGAATAAAGAGATGTTGTTCTTTCCCTTCTCGCTCTGACTTCTGCTACATTTTTCTCGGCTTGTTCGGGAGCTACTGCTCCGGAGAGCTCTCCTTGGCAACCGAAGAAAGTGGGCGGAGCCTATCGGATTCTTGTTTCGGGATCTCATTCGATACACTCTCTCGCTCTCTAGGCACACACCCACCTTTTCTGCCACCACCGCCCCGTTTTCCCATTATCCTTCTCCTCCTCCTCCTCCGCCGCCTTCGTTTTCTTTCTCTGCTTCAGAAGCCGGCGCATTCAATTCTGATTGCTCTTTTTGATTAGGTTCCGGGGCAAAGAATAGGTCATTTATAGGAGTATCCTGAAAGTTCTTTCATCTGTGATCGTCCCTGTTAGATTCCCGATTCGAACTCACTCCGGAGGACTGGAATAACAATAATAATAAGCGAGAGTCGGCTGAAAATTTGCTGTTCTCCCATTTTCATCGTTGTCGTTGCGTCGCGAAAAGGACGGATTTTCGAAATGAGAACTTCACTTCTTCCCGGTTCTTTCGGTGTGAGAACCTTCCTGAGAGCCAACGTCAATCCGTTGTCAGTTGAGTACATTCGCATGATTTACTGAACTTTTTGTATTCTCGTTATTATTATGGTGATTGCCTTCGGAATCCGAATAACTTTTCCTCAGTGACGTGTAGACATTTTCATGACTAATTGGTTTGCGTGCTTCCACCTGCACGCCCCCGTGATATTCATTTGCTGATCCTGGTTTGCAGGAGGAGAAAGTTCAACGACATGAACGGCAACTTCGGGCAGTACATCAACAACTGCGACAACTTGGACGAGCAAATCAGCGTCACCGACTTCATCAAGACCCTCAAGAAGGTGGGCCCAACCGCTACCGTACTCTCAATCGGTGGCACACTTCCAGGTGGAGTCTTGCGACACTCTCAACGGCCGTGAGAGCAGCTCGTCGAGCTCGTCCATCGACAAACTGACCAAGCTGCCGGAGGACGGGCGCAAAGTCGACAAGAAGGCCAGCGCAAACGACTTGCTGCAGAACATGCGCAAGCGTTTCGTGCACCGAGCCACCGAGCCCATCTTCCACGCCTTGCCAGAGGCGCAGGTAAGCAGGTGTGTTCTCCCCCCATCTCCCCGCATGGCTTTGATGTCGTTCGCAGCAGTGGTGACTACTGAAAGTGTTCGATACAACAAAGCTCTTCCCCGAAAGTGTGGTCGCGATAGAGCCGAGCATTTCAGGAACGGAGAGTCGTCAGCGGGCGGGACGGCGTCTCCACTGACGTCTCACTCGGCGTCGGGCAGTCGCAAATCGTCGAAGGAGGACGGTGCGGCGGCGGCGGCGGCGCCAGCGACGACTTTATGAAGATGCCGAGCTTCGACACTTCTCTCGACCGCAAAACAGATTCTGAACCGACCCTGTCCAAAACTCGTAACAAGTACCACGTCCCGTGATTTTCCCAACTTTTTTTTACATGAAAAACGTTTTATTTGCATAATATCTTTACGGGGCTACGCCGAACCAGAACCAATTAGCACTGAAAATAGTTCTGATTCGGGACAGTTCTGGTTCGGCGTACCCTCATATTTACCACTGCTGCCGCAGAATTATGTAAGTCGCGCTCTACCGTGAATTCAGTGCTAAATTGGAAGATGTCGCTGCCGTGGCCGGGTTTTCACGTGGGATTGCGGTAAAGCGACATTGCCAATCAATATTACTGTTGCCGCAGTTTTCTTGTCATGTGAGATCTGATTTTCTGAATAATTTTCTAGCTGTTTGTTCCTTCCGGCTGAAAAACACGCCTTCAATATTTCCACATCCATCTCATGCGATTTTCGTCTTTACTAATGCATAAACCCGTAAATATCTGAAAGATTTCTTCTCTTTTTTCTCTTTTTCTGTCTTTTCTGACATACAAATAAATTTATTTTGGATTTCGCGTTCTTTCCTCTCTCGCATTCGGTTTTTGCAGTGGTCGTTGCTGTTTGGAGAAGGGGGAGAGAGAGAACGAGAGAATTGTGGCCCGGCGCACTGAAGAACTGGTTTCCGCGGCTAGGGCGCTCTTCGGACACTTCTTCTGCCACAATCTGATGCGCCACTTCTGCAGAAATCGCCGTCGGAATCTGCAAGGAAACGTCTTCTTCCGAGTCCGCCACGCTGCAACCCATTTTTCGCGTGGCCGAGTTATGCGGCAACCTAGTCCCCCGCTTGGCGGACTCCTCTCGGACAACCCAAAACAACGATTTTTTTCGTTGCAACTCTTTTTTTCTGCGAATCAAGCGTTGGTTCATCGGGGGTTTCCTGCTCCATTCTTTTCAAATCTCGTCTATATCTCTCCCCCGTTTCCCGTTGCAGCCGACCGCCAATAAACATTTGACACCAGCCGGCCGGCCAGTCGCGTTTTGAGTCGCGTTTTGAACTTTCTCTCTTCTGGTGTCACTCACTAAACCTTGATAATTTTTCATTTGTCCTAGACATGTTAACAAGACAACATGCTCTATCAAAGTGCATCTATAACGCCGCTTCGCTTCTATTTTAGTGATTCCAACTCTGCGAGCAGTATTTCACAACTCTGGAGGTGCTGAAAAACATGTTTTAAACACCATTTTATCGCTGAACATTCTGCTCGCTTATCAGTCCGAAGACGATGATTCCAAGCGTGATTCGCTTCGCCTCGCTAACAGTACAGTTCTTTCGAAGGCCAAAGGACTTTACGTTTTGAATTGGGCCCTCTTGTGTTTTTTTTCGAACCAAGAACTGTTGTTTAATTCGAATGTTGGCCTCGATCACTGTGACTTTGAAGTGTGTCTGTGTCCACGAAGACCACGACTAATTCACGTGCCAGTCCATTTGGCTAGAAGGCGAAAAAGATTGAAACGTCACATGAAACACCGTCATCTACAACCTATACAACGCCTCCGTCGGCCTGTTATCACCATCAGCAGCAGCAGTCTGTGTCTGTCATTTTCAGGTGAATCCCCCACTCGTTCGACCTGCCTTTGCCCCTTTTTGTTTGCTCTTTTCTCGTCACTTCGTTTCATTTCGCAGTGCTGCTGCTATTTATTTGACGAACCGTTTTTTAGAGACTTCCCTCCGCGAACTCAGTTGGCTCCGTCATATCACCATCGTTGTCGATTGTGAAATGTGAAAAAGTTGGACTCCGCCCCTCAACCGTTCCTCAGAGCAGTTTCACTTCATTCCCCTTTTTTCACTTTTCCAATCGATAATCTGTGATTCTACGACGTCGGGTCCACTCAATTTATTCACATCAACGTCATCATGTTACTCCTCTGCTCCCTTTTCCTCTCGTTGTTCTCTGCCGTCACAGCGAAAACGCAATATTGGTGTCATGGAGACGGCATTCTTTCCAATGTGAGTTCTTGTTGTTGCGGCCGGTGTTAAGGGCATTTGACCCTTGTTTTTTTTTGTTATGAGCGATGACAGGTGGCAATTTTTACACTTTGCTTGACCGGCAGAGTCAGAGACCCAGAGAAGCGGGAGGATTTTTGATTGTCTGTGAGAGATCATTTCCGCATAGTTACGAGCGGTTCTTAAATTCTGAGCAGGAGCTCACAGATAGATCAGTGAGCTGCCGGAAACTTGAATTTCTTCATTTCAGCAGCAGACATGCCGGTTCTTCACGATAGTCATCGACGCGGGTTCAACTGGCACTCGGTTACACCTCTACAAGTTCATCCACGATCCAGTCACAGCTTCCCACGGAATGCCCTTCAAAGTTGAGCAGGAAATCTTCCAAGAGGTTTTTTTTTCTTTCATTTCTTCGTTCGAAAACTTTCCGGAAACTTCTCTTTGCAGGTGAAACCGGGGCTCTCCTCGTTCGCCAAATCTCCAGAAGGCGCCGCCGATTCCCTGGAACCACTTCTCGAGCGAGCACGTCATGAAGTCCCCCATTTCATGTGGGAAAGGACGCCGATCACACTGAAAGCGACCGCCGGTCTCCGTCTTCTCCCGGGCGATATGGCCGACGACATTCTGGAGAAAGTCGAGGAGCGCATCTTCAACAGCGGCTTCTTCGCCGCCTTTCCAGACGCCGTCACGGTGATGCCGGGCAGCGATGAGGGTGTGTTCAGCTGGTTCACTCTCAATATTCTTCTCGAAACACTCTTCACTGGTATGTTTGTTCTAAGGCACCACACTTGTATGTATTAGTGGCGAATTTGAAATAGAAAAGCGGCACGTAACACGTGTGCACAAAAGAAGAGCAAAGAACAGTGAGGTGGACGGCTTAGAGACACAATCATATGGTGTTCTTGTTTATGATGCAAATGTTTGACCGTTGATCAGTAAAAAGGGTTTAGTAGGGCGAAAGTGACCGATTAAGATGCCTCAGCAGCTTTTTCCAGATGAACCGACGGTCGGGCACAAGCCAGCGGCCCACCGCTCCGTCGCCGCTTTTGATTTGGGCGGCGGATCTACTCAACTGACCTACTGGCCGAACAACGAAGCCGTCTTCTCGGAGCACCCCGGCTTCGAACGGGACATCGACTTCTTCGGCCATCACATCCGTCTCTTCACCCACAGTTTCCTCGGAAATGGCCTGATCGCCGCGCGGTTGAACATTCTGCAAAGCGAGACGGAAGATCATGTGGAGGCGGAGCATCAACTGGTGACGAGCTGCATGCCGGCAGGGTATCAGCTGAGCGAATGGGAGTACGCACTCAAATTCTGGAACATCAAGTCGGTGAAAGCTCTGAATACGTTTGAAGATAATTGTGTTTTCAGCGGCACCTCTGACCACTCATTCGCCAACTGTTACGACGTCACCAAGCGATTCGTGGAGTCGAGTAGAATAATGCATTTGAGCGAGCTGAAAGGCTCGTCGATTTACCTTTTCTCCTACTTTTTCGATCGTGCACTGAACAGCGGTCTCGTGAAGGGAAACGACGGCGGACAGATCGAATTGCGACAGTTCCGAAAGGCCGCCGAAGTGGCATGTCGCAGAGGAAAAGCCGAGATCATGGAGGACGCGAGCCACTGGATGCCGTGGCAATGCCTCGATTTGACCTACATCTACTCCTTGCTTCGTGACGGCTATCAGTTCGAAGACAGCCAGAAGATTGTGGTAATTGATTTAGAAGACGTGGTCATAGCTGAAAATGTTCTGTTTTTTTTATTTCAGTTGGCCAAGAAGATCAAAGGAATGGAAGTTTCCTGGGGTCAGGGACTCGCTTTCGCGACCGCCAACGAGTTCCAGATGGTCGAAGGATCCATGAAGGCCGCATCCGATGCTCACAACGCTACAGTAGTCGATCAGATCTTCGATCTGTTCTACTCGGGCACCAACCAAGTGCTCTCCTTCTTTAATTTCATCTCTGCATAGTTTCCCCCATTCCTTATCTAATTCCTCGGGTTCTTTTCTTCCACATCTTGAAATTACCACGATTTTAAATCAGACTACGAGTTCCCCGCACCCTTTGTCACTTTTTACTTGCTCCTTTTCAGATTTACCCATGTTCTATGATTCATCTCTGCCCATTTCCTGATACATTCCACAGAATTAACGTAATAATGAGACGGCTTTATTGAGAAACACTCGGAACTTCCGACAAACTTTGGCACATCAACCGATAATGTAAAGTGAATTGGACTCGACGGGGAAGGTCGTGTTCTCATGATGGCGCGGGAAACGGTGCATTTCAATCCGTCTGGGAGGGACGGCGTCTGAAAGGTCGCATTAGTACATGAGAATTGAACGAATTTCCCCACCAAATCCTTACAGCCATGGCTGAAAGTCGTCATACACTTCTTCAAAGTATTCGAAAATATCGGATGACGTGGCAAATTTCCTTCAAGCGTCTGGAAGACGGACGACTTTTTAAGGCTGAAAATAGAAGGCGTGAAAAGGATGAAAAGCGGCTCGTAATTGTTTACCGATTCCAATGGGTCTCAATGGCGTCCAACAGGCCGTCGCTAAGCAACGGGAAGTTTCTGAGAATGGCCGACGGCATTGCTCGGTGTAGTTTTCTGGCTCCCGCTTGTTTCAAACGAATGACGCCATTTGAGACTCGTTTTGTTATTCTGAGCAAATGGAAAAAGAGATGTGGTCCAAAAGTCCATACGAGTTCAAATGTTCACCTCAAATTCATTCTCGTATTCGCATTCGCTGAATATCTGGAGCCGGTGGAGTTGAACATGTCCGTTCGAACAACAAGTCTCCCAAGATTTCTGCCCATTTTAATTTCTCCGTCCCGAATAAGATTATCGAAACTGTAGCCATTCCAAGAGGCAGCTGACAAGTACTCTCAAATAGTTTCAAATCAGAACTTGTTGAAAACTTACGAATCTTCGTCTTCATTCGGTACTCGGGATAATATAGACTGCTGATGAGTCGATGTCCTCCGAACTCTCTCAGATATTCTTCGAAATAAGAGTCTGCTCCGGACGGAATCAGAATCTCGTTGAACTCCACGAATGCCACGTAGCGGGCTCGATCTTTGTACTGCAGAAGGCAATCGGTGAACGCGGCTCCGTCGGTGGCCCTCGAATGGTGCAGCCACGGCTGGACACTGATGAACTCGCGTTTTTCGTATTCTTGGAGCAACTCGAAAAACGGCTCAATCACCCTCGAAAGGTACATGTGAACGTGCGCTCCGAAGTGACGGGCAATATGGATTTGAGCAACAAAGTGCTGCCAGTTCTCCGAGATTACCTGAGGAGCGACGCAGAAAACAACCGGATGGCGGGGCCGACTCGAGTCGATTGAACGGAACGGAACCTGAAAGTTGGCGGCATTCCAACTGGAAATGGTATGCGCTCACCTCGAACACATCATCGTTCACTTCCATTTTCAGCTTCTTCAAGTGATTCACTTTCAGATTTGCTTGTATGAGAGCAGTCACAAAGTGCTGGTCCTTCACGTCGGACTCCAAGGAGACTGTTGCTCGGGATGACGTCTTTTTTCCCTCTTCATCAATCCCAATCAGTCTGATTTCATGGTTTCGGAGCCGCTGATCAACTGTCAGCACGATAGCCACTGCATTCTGTCCCAGTCTAAAAAACTCGCACTTTTTCGTGTATATTGTGAACTCACGATTTCGAGTTGTTGAAGAAGTAGGAAGAATGAATGGAACTCTCGATTTTCTCCTCTTCCTCCTGACTTCCGACGTACCACAGCACCAGCAGAATTGCGATAATTATGAATGCCAATCTGTGCTTCTGAAAGATTCGAAGCAATTTATCGCAGCTTCTGATAAAATGTACAAAATTTGTCAATGATTTGTCAATGTATTAGTTAGCATTATTTAAATTGAAGTTTCATGATCGATTTCAATATACGTTTTGGAGAACAAAATGCAGAACAGATTTGAGATCGCTTTGTTCCAGAATAAAAAACCGACTCAAGTCTACATACAAAAGTAAAGAACTCACTCGAAAAAAGCGGCAGAACATCCTCTCCATGTCTGTTTCAGGACGTCTCAATAATCAGGTGCGTCCAAACGTCGCTTTTTTTGTTCCCTCTCCGATTCAGGATAGAGATGCGATCTTCGGTAGACCGTTACAAGGCGAAAGCCCCGTGAATATGTGGCCAATCTTTGCAAATTTCTGTGTAATATCTGTTGAGTGGATCTTCCCCGTTTTGTGGTGTTTGCCATTCGAATGAGGGGTTGCCGAAAGTAATGTTTCTCATCTTCATTAATGAGCTTCATGGAAGACTGACGACGAAAAAAGTTGTGTTTGGCAGCGGCGTTCGGTTCAGAATAACAGAGATCTCTGCTTATTTTCTCAGTGCTTCATTTTTTCTCAGGGAATCTAATAATCTTGGCGACTCCATTTACTTCTCACATCTAGCTCGGCTCCAGTGCTCTTGTGTTCTCTGTCCGTAATCGGCATCTGTCCCGCCTCTTTTCGTCTTTCGACATGCAATATCCGTCGTCTCGCTCTCCCGCTTCTTGTTCCGACTGCTTCGAATTCTCTGTTTTTTGCTTCCTCCATTGACTCATTCCGCCACCTCTAATTACCGCCACTTCTGCCTAATAACATGGCTTCCGTTCAAATTCGTGTGATAAACGGAACTCAAAATAAATTTCTCGCTCTTATTTCCGTTCAGAAATGCCCTACTACTTCCAACTGATTCCGGTCCTCCAGTCCTACACGGTCATCATTTGTCTCATCGGCCTTTTTGGCAATTTCAGTTTGATCATTGCAACGTGCCGCCACAGATCGCTCCGAACGAAAATGGGTGAGCCATTCGAGAGATCACAAGTTTTCTTGCTACAAAGTGATTAGTTCGACTGAAGTCTGATCGTTGACACTTTTGGGGACAAGTACCTATGAATCTGCGGATGATCCGCCGCTCAGTCTCTCTCAGTCACCCCCTCACTTTCAGGATGTCTGCTCATGATTTCGACAGTATCCCACACAGTGTGCCTGATTTCCGAGCTCATTTCAGTTGTACTGAAGCTCCGGTGAGTCATTGAACCTGGACCTGAATGAAACATCAACTGGTCCCGTAGGTTCACACAGCTGCACCGTGACGAATGCTTCCGTTTCGTCGCTGTTTACATGTTCGCCTTGCTCTTTCAGTCCACACTGTTTCTCATGATGGCTGTAGACTTGTTCCTGGCAGTTATTATGCCCATCAGGTAAGCCGGCATTTTTAGGCGAAACTACAATATCCGGATCTAGACACAAGTTCTGGCAGCGAGGCCCGTACCTCTTTGCACTGTGCGTTCCTCCAGTGGCCTTCTCGGCGTTTGCAGTGGCAATTGAGAAGCTGTACGTCAACCACGATTACTTACTTTTTTGTACAGTATCACTCGGTAACATGAGAACTTGTATCAATTTCTACTTCATTTCTTTCAGCTGTTCCCACGACAGTCCGTTTCTGGGGCACTCTGATCACCTTCTCCACCGTACTTCTCGCTGTCATCCTCATCCTCATCACTGCTCTCAAAGTCCATCTGAACGAGAAAACAGCTTCTCCGTTTCTCCGCCATCAAAGCAACATGACTATCAAACCAAAGTGCTCGGAAGTACGACTTCTCAAATCGCTCTCAACATTAATCTTCGTGTTCATCTGCTCGTGGAGCTTATCCCTTGTTATTTTCCACGTCTCTTTGTATTTTGACTCGAAAGTCACCTATCAAGTGCACAAGTATACGGTACGTTCGGAAAGACACGATACAATTGGACTGGATCGCCTCCACTTTCAGTTCCTCCTCCAACTTCCCACTTTTTGTCAGAACTTTTTTGTTACCGCTCTCCGTTCGCCCAGATATCGGAGAGCCTACGTGGAGCAAATGAAATTTCTGTCTTGCGTCGATTCGACGAATTCGAGATGTCGGTATAGCACGTCAGTCAAAGTAATTAGGAAAAGTTAAACATGTGCAGTTTTCAGTGAGATCAATATAAAAAAGCTGAATCCAATCGTGGAAGTCCGACGGTTCAACTCACTTCCTCCGGGTTTTCTGTGATCTTTTTGCTGGTGCAATTCAAGCCGTCAGAAATGTCCGCAGTTCCAGAAGTAGCTAGAATCGGGACGAAGAATCCAATCGGGAACTCTTTATTTAAAAGTTCAAATGAGTACAGTGACCGTTGGAATCTTCGTTCTTGTTTCTTCTCTCGGCGTTCTTGTTTCTTCTCTCGGCGTTGTTCCAAGTCTACAACAACTGTTAGCGAACTCTAAATATAATTCTATGCTATTCTGCTCTTGTATAAATTCCAGCACACAAACCGATGATCGCATTCCGATAGGCTTTAATGATGATCATACTTGGCAACGGGTCGATAGCCGGAAAGAGAGCGATGCTGACTGTGAGAACCTGTCCGAAGAACTCCTCGGTTTTCGCGAAAAACGTGGTCAACAACACTAAACTGCACGGAATATGCATGAGAACCATTGGAATAGAAGCCTGGAACACCAACGCGAAAAATAGCTGCGCTTGGAGTGATTTTGCTTTCGACGATTTTATGGTCTCATCGGTTAGCTCTTTGATTGCCAAATAGCATTTCGTAGCGAAATAGAACATTGCAGTTGAGGAGATTGCCTGAATTGACTCTCTTCATTCACACCGTTCCTTTTCCGACCTTACGATAAATAGAGAAAGCAGGAGAGTTCCGACGGCACTGTTCCAATTTATAACTTCTTCAGTATCCGATATCTTTTCGTAGAAACTGAAACCGACGTATACAACTTCCTCGATTGGAACTCCTTTCAGACTTGACATTTCAGTTCTGAAAATATCAGGCACTGCAGACACTGTGCATGCTATGAGAACCTTATAAACTCGTCCATTTCGTCAGTGCGCGGTTCGAATATATGCACAGAAAGTGTCCAAAGAAATCCGTAAATTGCGGAAGAGCTCATCAAAATCCAGAATCTGAAACCGCTTGAAGACGTCCACTTTTGCTCCCCAATAACTGCGAGGTAGCGGAAAATGAAGTGAACAGCGAAGTTTGCCAAAAAAATTCCGAAAGAGCCGCACCAGGCCACTGAAAAAGAAACTAGTGGTGTTCAATTTTAACGTCTCCGTACAAAGACTTATGTAGAGAACTGGATATGGAAGAAATGTTAGGTTAGCGTCAAGAGTCACTAGCCAATGGGTTCCTTTAGTGGCCACTTCCTGTGGAGAGCATGATCTCAATCCGTTCATTTTCGACTAACTTACAGGTCTCAATGAGAGGTCGAAGAACGCGTAACCAATTTCGAAAACAGAAATATAAATCATGAGATAGCGATAGGCGCCGAGGGCTTTCGGAGATTTGTGAACGATTAAGCATATGAGAAGGCAGTTCATGAGGACTGCTGAAACGGCAGTCCCTCGCTGGACTAGGTTTCGCACGGTCGCCCAGCTTTCCATTTGAATAAAGAATGAAAGTATGAACAGTGGCTAGAAGATTGTGTTTTTGTGTCAGTTGCAGGAAATTAACACATTCTGTTAATCCGCCGAACACAGTAGTTCCGGTTGTTCGAGTGAGTTGCCGAATGCTGAGCTCTGTGCGATGGATGGAGCAAATGTCCGTGATGTTTATGGTTGTTACAAAATGAACCATTCAATTGTTCTACAGAATCTTTAGTCTCTCCTCGCCCACTGTGAACATTTCGGTTTGACTGGCTGCACAAACACGAACATTGCTTCGTCCTCATTTCTAGTCAGGTCATTTCACCACAAAATGCTGCTTTCTGTTATTCTGTCTCTTTTGATTGCATCTTCCGAGGCTTTGATCAATGAAGCCGATTTGAATTGTACGGAATTACAGGGTCAGGAGGTTTAGTTTGAGTTCAACGCTTTGTTTCTTTGCAACAACCACCATTTCAGTGGGTGTACACTCCGTCGGCAGTTTTCTGCTCTAACATTTTATCCGATGTATCATGCGAGTACATTTTCCCGCTCCCCGAGGGAAAATCAGTGTTCCCAGAAGCTGGAGCGTCCACCGAAAGACCTGCAAACTGTTACAGTACATTCAACACGATAACTCCGACGATCCACAAACGAGCGAAAGGAATCGCCCTCGCTTTCTGCCCAAAAACTTGCGGATTTTGTTGCCAAACTGATGCTTTTAGGTTGAATGTGGATCTTGTTTATTTGCTAGGATATCGATAAACTTCTTATTGGTCTTAGAATGTTGTTTTCGGTCTTCTCCAATATGTAACATTTACCCCCAGCCATGGATGTTTTGTCATCGTTCTCCTGCAATATATACGCAAAACAAATCATGCAGGGGGCTAGAGTCTAGCCAGAAGTAGTACAAATAGACCAGCTGCTTGTGTTATCGACTCATTTCTCCTGATCATTCTCTGTCTTGTGACCAATCAATGTCGCTCTCTGGTCAGATTGCCCTAGTCACTGGAGCGTCCAGAGGAATCGGTAAGATCATACTGCGGGTTTCTATAAAACCTATGAATCTAAGGTCGTGGAATAGCGCTTCAACTTGGTGAGGCTGGAGCGACAGTCTACATAACCGGGAGAAGACCTCAGGAGAGTGATACTGGAAAAGCGGGACTGAGCGGCCTGGAAGAAACGGCACAAGGTATGGAATAGTATTCAAACTCTCCTAAAATGTAATTTCAGAGATCACAAACCGCGGCGGAAAAGGGATTGCAGTTTATGTTGACCACAGAGACATGAAAGAGGTCGAGCAGTTGTTTGACCGAATTGACAACGAGAATCACGGACAGTTGGACATTCTGGTGAACAACGCTTATCAAGCAGTTCAGGTATCTCTCGAATATTAACCTTTTTCAACAATAATTATCAATTTAGGCGATTTCCGAATCAATCGGCCAACGATTCTACAACACAGATCCGTACATTTGGGATACCATCAACAACGTCGGCCTTCGCAATCACTACTTTTGCTCGGTCTTCGCTTCGCGACTCATGGTGGCCAGGAAACAAGGCTTGATTGTAAATATTGGCTCTGCCGGAGGACTACAATATCTGTTCAATGTGGCGTATGGAGTTGGAAAGCAGGCGGTCGACAGATTGACAGCGGACACGGCCGTGGAGCTGAGGGACCAGAACGTGACTGTCGTGTCCCTGTGGCCGGGCGCCGTGAAAACGGAACTGCTGGTTGGCTACTTTGCCGATAAGAACAGCTTTCTGAGCAAAAATGCCACGAATGCAGAGTTTTTCGCGACGGGAGAGACGACCGAATACGCGGGAAAGGCTGTAGTGGCTGTAGCTGCAGACAGGAAAAAACTGGAGAAATCGGGAAGGATTTTGATTGCTGCCGACCTCGGCACAGAGTATGGATTCGTGGATATTGACGGTAAATATTGATACATTCGAAATATGTGCTACTCGTTTGCTTTTGCAGGAGTCACTCCTCCAAACATGCGTTCGGCCAACTACATTCTCAAGCATTTAGGATGGAACAAGACGGCCAGCTACATTCCTGATTTCGTCAAACTTCCCGGATGGCTGTTGTGGGCGAGCACGAATCGTTTTTGATAGCTTGATTTATTACGAGTTGGTCAGACAGGAATAAAAAAAGACAATCAGCTAAAGTACATGCTAGATACAAGTGAATACATTCATCGTCATCACCCGTCACATCCCCGCGTCTTTCTTGTCATTAACAAATCTTGCAAGTGGATGCACAGTACGACTTTCTCTGAGCCTCTGTATAGAAGGTGTTGGTGCAGAAGCCGTTGGAAGCCCATTCAGCACAGGTGGTGCTTGAGTCGGCAACGTAGCTGGAGCAGGATCCGCTGCCGGTGACTCCGCCAGAAGAGCCGGTGGTTGATCCGTATCTTCCGCACGTTCTCTGACAATTCTCGTTCACAAAGTCCTGCATTCCGACAGTCTGGCAGATGGAGATGTCGTTGGCACACTCGACAACAGCGTCCACGCACCCTCCCTGGTTACAGAATCCGCACGCGGAGGGGCAGTCTGTGGCGATGATTGTGCGCCACGTGGCAGATTGACATTGAGCATTGGTGATGGTATCACAGTTGAGACGCGGATCTGAATACAGTACATGAGCAGAAATGTGTAAAATTAGGAGTTCGATTAGCTCACAAGCAACATTAGGACAGTTGTAATCATCGGTCTGACAACAGAGTCCGCAAGTCTTTGCACAGTTCGTGAGTGCCGCCTTCTTCATGTCCGTGTCCACTGGAGCCGGAGTCTCAGCGGCGGTGGTCCAGCACGCCAACGGTCTTCCCGCGTCATTCCCGGCAGCTGGATAACCGACGGTTTCGTCTTGCGCCGGATAAAGAGCTTGACAGGAAGCATCCGAGACGGCGTTGGAGCAGGCGACGGCCGAAGGAGTGTAGACGAACTGGAAACGAACGGTTGAGCAGGAGGGATGGATGGTAAACTTACGTTGGTCCCGTTGTACTGAGTGCAGTTGAGGTCTGCTCCAATATCAGCAAAAGATGCTCTGGGAGCCGAGAAAGCCAGAAACAGTGGGACAAGGAGACCAAACATGTCGTTGAGGCTGTGGCTGATGCTCCGCCGAAGTGATGAGTCAGAAGAAGACGGCTCCTTTTATAAGAGAACTCTTTGCACATCTGGTTAACTGATCATGCCATCAATGTTTCAAACCGAGCCTTATTCATCGTTTGTAGAAGGAAATAGCACGGTTCGAAAGAGAAATGTGATGTTTCCGATGATCATTATGATTTTTAGAAATCATGTTTGCCCAGCTTCACGATCATTCTATATAATATGCTCCACATTTGGGAAAATCATTTATTTCAAGTTGGTCAGACTCAAAACAGTTCTAACTCGATGATTTTCCATTCGATGGGGCCAATGCTCTACGACTGATTTGTACCTAGTGAATTGTCGAATGTGTCGGAGGAAACCCGTGGTCAAGTCTCGTCAGGTTTGTGAAAAGAAATGCGCAGAAATGAAGTTGCTCTCCTCGTCTAGCAGAGTTTGCAAGTGGAGGCACAATAGGCCTTGCGTTGGGTTGTCGTGTAGAAGGTGTTGGTACAGAAACCGTTGGCGGCCCAGGAAGTACAAGCGGTGCTCGAGTCGGCGATGTAGGAGGTGCACGAGGAGGAGGAGCCGCTGGAAGCAGCAACGGTCGTCGACGGACATCTTCCGCAGGTTCTCTGGCAGTAGGTGTTCACAAAGTCCTGCATGCCGACGCTGTTGCAGACGGACAGATCATTGGCACAGTCGACGACACCGTCCACACATCCTCCCTGGTTGCAGAATCCACACGCGGATGGGCAGTCCGTGGCGATGATTGTGCGCCACGTGGAAGACATACACTGAGCGTTGGTGATGGTGGCACAATTGAGACGGGGGTCTGAATAGAATATGGGTACATGAACAAAAGTAAGGAGTTAGAGTTGCTTACAGGCAACATTAGCACAATCGTAGGCATCAGTCTTGCAGCACAATCCGCAGGTCTTGGCGCAGTTCTTGAGAGCGGCGGCCCTCATGTCTGGGACCACAGCGGCTGGGGTGGCTGTGGCCGTCGTATAGCAGGCATAGGCTCTCTCGGCATCGTTTCCAGGGGCTGGGTAAAGAGTGTCTGGAGCCGGGTAGAGAACGGCACACGAAGAATCGGAAATGGCGTTGGAGCAGGCGGTGGCGGACGGGGTGTACACAAACTGAAGAAGCAAACGTCATTTTGAGAATGTTGGTGTCCAACTATTCTTCAATCTCACCGCAGTTCCGTTGTAGGTGGTGCAGTTGAGCTCTCCGCTGATGACAGCGTTCGCTTGCGGAGCCATGAAAGCTAGGATGACCGAGAAGAAAGCAATCATTTCTGAGTTAGGTTGACCAGAGAGAGAGCCGAGCCGAAAAGTGAGGAGCCATGGGGCCCGATGGCTCTTTTATACTCTAGTCACTTTCGAAAAACGAATTGGTTGCGGGGACGGACACACATTTGAACAGGTGCATCAAGTTGCGAAGAGCACCGATACAAAAACGAAACCATATCGGAAACGAGGCGAAGTGACTGCGAAAACTGAAGAGTTTCAGAGATATTGTACCCTGTTATGTTGGATTAGCTTTTTTGGTTTAGGGCCAATGTTTGAAAGGATGGATGTTTGGTTCCGAATACCGTAGGCAAACGATCTTTCGGAGCAGTTGTGTCAATTCGAAAACTTGGCACTCGATCAGGAACAATCATTCAATGAACCAGCGTACTTCCTAGAACCGACAATGAATAAAGCTTAACAAATATCCAATCTATCCAAATACTGAGAAGGACACTGCCACGTGTTTTAGTTGTCAGACGACAATCACTCGTTCAAACGAAAGCAGCGAAAGCAGCGAAAACACAAAGAAGGCCTGAAAACACGTAGACTTCCCAGTCAGAAAACCCCCTTATTCATTTTGACATTATGTCAGACTGGCACGCGTATCAGCGGTTTGTGCAACACATTTCCGCCATTTTCTCGTTCTTCAACAACTGCTTCTTCATCTTTCTGATTCTCAAAAAGTCGCCATCTCACCTGGGCGCCTATAAATTTTTGATGATATCAATTTCAATTTACGAGATCTCTTACTCTATCATTGACGTTCTCTTGCTGCCAATATTCCAATCAATCGATTCAGTCTGCATTATATTCGTGGTCACTAAAAACCACTTTTTATCCGCCAAAGTGTTAAGAACACTGCAATCCGTGTACGTCGGCTGCTTCGGCTACTCCGTCGCCATATTCGCTTTGCATTTCATCTATCGCTACCTGATTATGAGCTGTAATACACTTGTGAAGACGTTCGACACGTGGAAGTTCTGGTTGTGGCTCGCCGGTCCTTTGTTTGTGGCGCTTGTTTCTACAATAGATGCGTACTTTCTGATAGGTCCGAGCCAGGAGAAGACCGCCAGAATACAGTTTGTTGACTTGAACTTTCAGAAGCTCATGTTTCCTTTTTCCAGAAAAGACGCAAAAGTGCTTCTAGGTTTGGATCCACCAGAATACACCTATGTTGTGTCCTTCTTTTACACGGTTCCAGTAGACGGAAAGTCCGAATTGGATCTTGTGGAAGTTGGAAAATTGTCCATTCTATTTCTGCCAACAGTACTTGATAAATAATTCAATTGATCACGTACATCTATTTCCAGATGATTTCCCTGCTCCTTGTCACAGTTTTCAGTATCAAATGCTATGTTTGCGTGAGCGATCTCGTTCGGATATCATCTAATTCATCCGAACACCATGCGATGCAACTGCAACTGTTCTACGCTTTGGCTGCTCAGACACTCATTCCCATTGTGCTCATGAACGTTCCCGGCGCCTTTCTCTACGTACTTCAATTCTTGAATGTCAATTTGGGACGATTCAGTGATATCCTTTCAATCACAATATCCCTTTATCCGGCTGTCGATCTTTTACCGACTATTTTTATAGTGAAAAGTTACCGAGAGGCTTTGTTTAGTGAGTTTTCCATACCTTTAAAGACAATCCTAACTTTTTTAGGATATATCCGAGAGGGAACAATGATAATGTTGTGTCGAAAGCGTTCGGGAAGAAGTTACAAGATGAGCATCACAAAAGTTCACTCTCATTCTATGAACCATTACATATCGACGTCAAGATGAAAAGGAAATGATGAATGTGACACACACGTCAACATCTTTGCTTTTTGGACAGAGATCAGCGAGAATGAATGTTTTTTGCTCAATTTTGCACATTTTTTATGTATTCGAAGACTCAATTCATACTGTTTTTCAATAACCCGACATTTAGAAGCTATGATGTGCTTCCGATGCGCGCATTTTCAATGTCGTACATGTTACAGAACGTGTCTCCGAAGCCTCCTGATGATCCCAACGAGTATACTGCCAGAGCTCCACCGCCGAGACCGAGGTCCAGAATGTACTCGACAAATTTCATCTTTTCGGTCGGCGAATTCAGAAGTAAAGTCATTCGCTGATAGTGAGAGAACTCAAAAACTTATAATGGTTTAATGGTGCGTGAAAATACTTTATTGGGTCAAGATGGTCAGGCAAGAAACAATACAATAGATCCACTGGATAATGTTTTTTTTTTGTCGTCGTCAAGGCGGAGAATGTGTGTCGTCCTGGTCAGAAGAACGTCAAAGAGTGTCTGGTGGCAGCAGTAATGATGAACGAAAGAAAGGTCTAGCAGAGTTTGCAAGTGGTGGCACAGTAGGCCTTGCGTTGAGTCGTAGTGTAGAAGGTGTTGGTGCAGAAGCCGTTGGCGGCCCAGGATTTACAGGCGGTGCTCGAGTCGGCAATGTAGGAGGAGCACGAGGAGGAGGACGACGAGACGGTCGTGGAGGAAGCGCAACGGCTGCACGTTCTCTGGCAGTACGTGTTCACAAAGTCCTGGAGTCCGACGGTGCGGCAGATGGTCACGTCGTTGGCGCAATCGGTGACGGCGTCAACGCATCCTCCCATGTTGCAGAATCCGCAGGCCGATGGACAGTCGACGGCGATAATGGAACGCCAGGCGGACGAGGCGCACTGAGCGGAGGTGATGGTGTTGCAGTTGAGACGTGGATCTGAAGTCTCAAAGTTCAAGTCTCCGAAGGCTTTGAAGCAGTACTTACAGGCAACATTAGGGCAGTTGTATCCGTTAGTCTGGCAGCACAATCCGCAAGTTCTGGCGCAGTTGTTAAGGGCGGCGGCCTTCATGTCCATCACGATTCCGGCCGGAGTGGCAGTTTGGGTGGTGTAGCAGGCGAGAGGTCTCTGCTGATCTCTTCCGGCGGACGGGTATCCGTCGGCAGTGACTGGAGCTGGGTAGAGAACGGCACACGAGGAGTCGGCAATGTTGTTGGAGCAAGCGACGGCCGATGGAGCCCACACGAACTGGAAATTCAGTTGATTCTAATTGATGGTCTGAATTCGTGCAACTCACGGCGGATCCATTGTACGTGGTACAGTTGAGATCTCCGCTGATGACAGCGCTAGCTTGTGGAGCCAAGAAGGCGAAAACGACGGAAAGAATCGCAATCATTACTGCTGGTTGAGCTGCTTCGTTTGACCGGGACGAACGCCGAAAAGTGAAGATTCCGTCGTGGGGGTCCCATTTTATACTGGCCTGTCGCAACTTTGCACAACTGTTTTCAAACGGTTCCTGTTTCCAATTCGTGCTCAAAATGCACCCTCCGTGTTTGTACAGATGATCTAAAGAAACTTTGGTCAAAAAATGAACTACACAAAGTGTCGAAAGCAACGCAAATTGGAATTCAAATTTGGGTCGACTCAATGAAATTGAATTTGCGTTTACAATATTAAAATCGATCTCGATTTCAGTGTTTTCCAGAAGAATTGACTCAACTATGAGTACTCTAAAAAGACTGTAGTTTGCTTCCACCCACACTCTCCTACAGTATTCTCCGCTCGCATGTTTATTCAGATGTTCTCGAGCAACATGTACGACATGCGACTGTCTGCACTAAAAAACTGCAAATAGTTTCGCATTTGATTTGTTGAACAATATGCTCCCTCGAACATTCTTTTGTCATCTCTGCCTTGACATCAGTTAAGAATGTGCATAGATCTGAATATCATGGAATACTCAAGAGGACTTCAAAAGCCCTTCAGTTGTATTACCGCTTCTTCTAGACGATGTACCTCAGTTTCCTGTAGAGATATCAAAAAGTGACCAATTGACAAAATATACATCATGTTCCAATGAGCAATCTGTTTTCTGACAACCTTTTGATATCTCCCTCGGCAGCTGAGATATATCGTTTTGAATAAACTGTATTCAGGAACATTGCTATAACATTCAAAACGATCAAAACACATCAAAGTCAAGCTACATTCTCCGCGCAATCTTTGGCCGACGTAACACGTAAAACTGGATATCCGTGTCGGAATATTTCGTATTCAGAATCGTTTATTTCTACCGGTATCGAGGTTTGATGGCTTTCAACAAATGTGTCAATCAAAAACTTTGCATAATTTCTTTGGCGATTTTCTCGAAAACTGGCTCGCACAGCTTCATCCCGTGGGCGGTGATTTCGACTCCGTTGTCGGCGTAGGCGAGGAGCTGTTCCTGATCGAATGTCAAATATTTGTTCTGCTCAATGAAGACGTGGCTGAGGTCGAAAAACTGAAATGGACAATATAAAGAAGAGAATCTTGAGAGCTAGAAGAGTACGTACCCGACACTTTTGACACTTCACCAGACTGAATCTCTTTCTTCCGTTCTTCATCCTCTGCTCCGTTTCGTATTTGTCAAGGTGTAACGACTCGAGTTCGTCGGGTTTCCTGGTCGCATACTGCATGAATTTGTTGAGGAAATTGACTTGATAGTGGGGCAAATGGTCCAATATGTACACCTTTTTCACAAATCTAAAATGAAATGTAGTTTTATGGAAAGTTTGAATAAGGTTCGAACTGTTCATAAAACGCAATGTTCTCATTCATTTGACGGAGATATGCATCGTGTTCAGTTATCCGACTTTGGATGGATGCAGAGTACCTGAGAAAGAAAATATCTTTCATTTCGAAGGTAGCATACCTAGAAACAATCAAAAGAACGTCCGGTCTGTGCTCCTCCACTGCCCACCGTTGAATCCTCAACGCTTCCGCGGACTTGTTCCCGTCCGAGTACAATCCGTAGCCCTCGTCCGCGGAAATGTATCGGTAGTCCGAGTAGTTGTAGTTGAAGTGAGCACGGATGTGCTCGCCCATGTTGAGCACACATCGGTTGCCAATCATCATGATCGAGAAGGTTCCGTTTCCTTTCTGAAAAACCCACAGGTTGCCGGTATGATAAACCGAATCCTACCGGATATCTACAGTATGCTTGCACTCGTTCTCGATCCTTCAAGTCTGGAATCGTTCTCTCCTCGCACGGATCCTTTCGCGGTTCCCGGTCCCAGAGGCTCGGCAGGAACTCTTTGTTCCTCTCGACAATCGATTCGAGGTGCGCGGGAAGGGTATGTCTCCAGAAGTGATGTCTCCGAACGCTCTGATGTAAATATCCGTTTGTGAAGAAGAGAATGGCAATCAGAAGAACGGCGGGCTTCACATCCAGCTTCTCGTATCGTTTCTCGAAGAAATGGTGGAGAAACATGGACAAGAGGATGGAAGAGACGATGCAAAACGCATAGCTCTTGACTGTCGTCCCAATGAACACGGCAATGATCGGCCAGTGAACGAGGTACACGGCGTATGAAAGGTTTCCGAGGTAGACCAAACTGGGAAGTTGTAAGAACTGAATTAAGATATAGATATTCTAGAAAAACTGAGTGAACCTTGTTGCTTTTCGATTCGGCCGAAATGATAAGCGCCGTGGCCAAAGTGATAAACGGACGGAGGGTCGGAACATTCAGTTTGGCGGGAAGAAGACAGAGAGAAATGAGGAGGAGGGCGGCGGTGACCAGATCTTCGCGGGTGAAAACGAGAGCAGCCGGCAGTTGAGAGCCCCTCTTCCTCGAATCGTCTGTTCCGGTGTTAATGTTAACTCGGTTCCAAAACAAGGCCACAAATCCGGCGGAGAACTGCCAGAAGCGGAGGAGCATAAAGTTGAAAGCGATTAGAGAATCGAAGAGAAGGAAACTGATGAGTCCGATGAAAGTGATCACGGAGACGGTAATCAGTCTCAGAAGGTCGTTATTGAAGAACTGGAGGGCGAAGAAGACGAACGGGACCAGAATGTAGAATTGCATTTCAACGGAAAGGGACCATAAGTGGGCGAACGCATTCATGGACGAACGGTCTTCCACGAACTGAAACTGAAAGAAACTTCAGAATCATCTAGAAAACGCGGGTACCTTTGTGAAGTAATCAGCTTGGTTATGGATGGCAAACTGGTTGGTCGCCAGGAAAAGCGAGGCGAGTCCGTAGTCGTTGTTCACTTCCCACCAGTGTTCGCCCAGATAAAAGTGAACAAGGATCAGAGAAATGAAAAGGACAACAAAATGAAGTGGGAGTACTCTTTTGAATCTGATAATATTCGGGTTGTATTGTAGCTGGATCATATTCAACCTGTGATAGTAGAAGTGAAAAAGTCCCGAACACTGCAGATCTTTGAGCGTGTCAAGTGGTTAGCCATAAGATATCCAGTGATTACAAAGAAGCTGAAAGAGCTTAATATCATCCAGTTCACAAAAAGAGCGTACATATCAACTCCAAGGAATCCATTGACAAAAAGTGTTGGGAACAGATGATAGAGGAACACAAAGACGAGCGCAATACCTCGCAGACTTTGGATGTCTTCCCGCATCTGGAAAGGTTTGTGATGAATGAATGGATCAATGCCACTTTGTCATCCCTTTTTCCGATTTAAACACAACAATCTCAAAAACGTGATCTTTTCCTCTCTTCCGCCCAAGAGATCAAAATGAGGAAACTCGTCTTTTGTGGTGGCGGATATCAAGGTACATCCACAATCCCACGAATTGCTTATCATTGTGGACCTCCTATGCATAAAGTTCGAACTTTATTCTCATATGTACAACATGAGTCTCATGGAGACTATAATTGGAAGTATTTCGCACCGGATCATGAGGAGAAGTTTGGAATAACATTTGATACAATCAACTGGACTCCATAATTTCCTTGACCACACTTTCAAGTACGGGTTCGCACAGTTTCATTCCGGGCGCAGTGATGTGGATTCCGTTGTCTACGTAGGAGAGCAGCGCGTCGCGGTCGAACGTCAGGTACTTTCCGTTCTCGGCGAACACGTGGCTGAGGTCGAAGAACTGAAAAACGAGATGGATCGCTGAATCAGTAACAAAAACGGTACCCGACACTTGTGGCACTTGATCAGATTAAATCTCTTTTTCACATTCCGCATCTCCTCGTCCGCCACACTTTTGTCCAAATGCAGCGATTCCAGTTCGTCCGGCTTCTGGGTGGCGTAGTGGAGGAAGAAGTTGAGGAAGTTGAGGTTGTAGAGAGGGTGCGAGCCCAGAATGTAGATCTTCTTTACGAATCTGCGGGAATTTAGATATGATAATCGAATTCAGAGCTTAACAAACCTTTCATAAAACGCAATGTTCTCGTGCATCTGCCTCAGGTATTCGTCTTCCTCTTGCACGCGGTCTCTGATAGATGGTGAATATCTGGAAGTGTTTTCAGTTGAACTAGAAGAAAGTCCGTCTTCTTTCGAACCTTGACACAATCATCAGAACGTCTGGACGATGTGTTTCAACTTGTCTTCTCGATAATTCCAAAGCAACTCTGGAGAACGGACTGTCCGCGTAGAATCCATAGTTTTCTGAATTGAATATTCATTCGCTCGTTTCCAAAGTGTACGAATATCTAACCGCCAATCGAAATATATCTATAGTCCGAGTAATTGTAGTTGAAATGTGCACGGATATGCTCTCCGAAGTTCATCACATAACTGTTTCCTATCATCATCACTGACAAATTCCCGTGTCCCTTCTGAAAATCATTCGTACACTCTTCTCTAGTAGCACAAAACAATACAAACCGGGTAACGACAATATCCGAACACCTTCTCACTGTCCACATCTTCCAATCTGCTTTCAATGCACTCGTCCTTCCGGGGCTCGTTTTCCCAAAGATTCGGAAGGAACATCTTGTTCCGATCGACAATCATTTGAAGATCATCAGGGAATGTCGAGTTCCAGAATTTGTGCTCTCTTACACTGTTTTGCAAGTAGGCGTTGGCCAAGACAAGCACGAAAATCAGGGGAACAATTGCTTTGATATCGAACTTCGTGTACTGTTTTTCCAGAAGATGATGGAGAAGAACAGAGGCGATGAAAGTGACGACTGAAATGAAATCTAACTGATTTCCGCCGACAAATGAACAACTCACGAATGCAGAAGACGTGGCATTTGACCGTGTTTCCGTTGAAAATTGCAATAATCGGCCAGTGAACGAGATAAACGACATAGGAAATGTCGCCAAGGTAGACGAGGTTCGGACTTTTCAAAAACTGAATTAGGATACCATTTGTTCAAGACGATATATCTCATGCGCGTGTGGATGTATCAAAATGTTGTCAACTGACAAATTGCTCTTTGAAACATTGTGCACATTTTATCGGTTGACCACTTTTTGATATCTCTACAGGCAAGACACGATACATCGTTTTGAGCTCACCTGACTCTCTTGGGATTCCCACGCGATCACAAATGCAGCAGCCAGAGTCACCAACGGCCGGAGCACAGTCACTTCGATCTTGGTCGGTATCAAACAGAGAAAGAGAACGGAAACGGCGACAGTGACGAGATCTTCTTTGTGAATCGGAAGAATCATTTCGACTTTGGCCGGCTTCAACTTCTCCGAGTACTCATAAAAACAGATTTTGCTCCAGAACAGGGCCACGAATCCGGCGGAGAATTGCCAGAGACGGAGCAACATAAAGTTGAAGGCGAACTGCGAATTGATGAGGGCAAAGCATAGGAATCCGACAATAGTCACAATAGAAACGGCTATCAACCGCAGCAGGTCGTTTTTCAGGAATTGGAGGGCGAAGAATATGAATGGCACGAGCAGGTAAAATTGCATTTCAACGCCTAGGGACCACAAATGAATGAAAGCGTTCATGGAGGAACAGTCGGCGAGGAACTGAAAAGAATCGAACGGAAATAGGATTGAAATTGTCTATGAATATGAATGTGAACTTCTCTGAAATAATCGGCACTGTCATGAATGATCAATTGATTTGTGACGAGAAACAGCGAGGCGAGTGAGTATCTTCTGTTGGTGCTCCACCAAAAATCTCCCAGATACAAATGAACGAGGATGAGTGAGACGAATATGATCAGGTAGTAGAGGGGAAGAATTCGTTTGAATCTTCTGTAGTAGAACTTTAGAATATCGAACACATTCTCAATTTTTGACTTTGTCAAGTTCTTGGCCATTAGGAATCCTGATATCACAAAGAATCTGAACAGAATTTGCGTGAAGTGCACTGTTATGTTATTTGGGGTCCACTCACATATCAACTCCCAGGAAACCGTTCACAAAAAAGGAGGGATGCAAGTGATAACTGACCACAAAAGTGATGGCAACACCCCTCAAACACTGAATATCTTGCCTCATTTCGTTGAGTGTCGGTGACGTAAACCTCACTTTAGTTTCATTTTATACTCAATCGGATCGGGGTCACATGCAAATTGACACATTCGGCAATCGTCGGCTTCGTTGGTTTTGTGGGTTAATTGCACCTTTCTCGTGTGATTTTGAACCTTGGGACCGAAAATGTGATCATCGGGACTGGTGATCAAATGATCAGTGACAACTTTATTTACAGGTCTGGCACAGGATTGATTGCACGAGTCGAATCGTTTGAAAAAAGTAAGAGATCTATCAGATATGGCTAGAGAGAACACGGATAGAGATCATTGAAGGCAAGAATCATACTTGAACGGAAAACCTAATCGACTTCTGACTTCCGTTCTTCGGCTTCTGTCCGTCGCTTCCGTGCCGATGAAGGTGCTGATTGGCCGAGTTTGTCGTGCTTCCCGGCTTGCTCGCGTCGGCCCCTTTCATCGTTCGGTCCCGGAAAATGTACGGAAACGCGAGTCCGCATGAAACCCAATACATTTGCTCCTGGAATGCTTTTCGGAAGCGTGGAGAACGCAAGTAGGTAACATAATAGGCTTGGCAGAAGTTGGGCATCAACAGAATCGTCTGAAATGAATGGAATGACGGAGGAATCAGAAGTCAAAGGTACCACGTATGGCATGTAGAGAAAAACGTCGTTGACGTCGTCAAACAATTCGACTAATATTCTGGAGATGATAACCGCCAGCCACCAGGAGACGATGTAGACGAGCAGCAGGAAGAACGTCGATCGGAACACTTTGTGCTTTTCTTCGCGGAGACTGTTCGTCCGGGATCCGCTCGAATGCCGACTTCCTCTCATATCCTCAGCTGAAAATTAGACTTGCGTCGTTCAAAATACTCTCTTCACATGATCCCACATTTTCTGACGGCGCTGAGCACAGAGAAGACGATAATAAGGAGGGTGAGAGTGTTGAGAACGATGACGGTTGTGGAGATGAGTTGGAATATACGCGGATCCGTCGCTGAACGTGTTAATGAGAAACATGTGTGCGTGCAGGAGGAAACGTACTCAATATGAAGATGCAATACGGCGTCTCCTCGTCCGGAATGAAAATGAAGCCGAGAATGGTGGTGGCGACGGCGTAGAAGAGCGGAAAAAGGCACATGATGCCGACGTAACGCGCTTTTTTCCAAATCATGTGTCTGGAAATGCCTGTGAAGGAAATTGAAGAAACAATGGAGTGCTTACCTTATGGGCACAGCTATGCTGAAGCAGAGATCCAGCCCAATGGAGAAGTAAAGGGCGGATTGGAACATTACGGCGAACGAATAGACTACGTTGTACTCGAAACACGTTTTCCGAGTCACTGTTCGGTACCTGAAACGAATTTCTGTTCTTGCAAACAAACTAGGTCGAGGGATGGGTCCTTCGTTCCCTAACTTTTCAAGATTTTCAGTTTTGTTTGGAGTATCCGCCTTGAAAGTATCCGTATGATGAACTCACCGAAAGTTGAAGATGAGGCCGATGACTTCGGATATATTGCAGGTCAAGTGAGTGATTGCCAGCACCAGTACGAACATGGCTGGAATATGATCGGATTCGTTCCCGTTCCCCCCAGTACAATCTGTTCATACCTCCTTTCGTGCGCAGTATCTTTTTTCTGCAAATCGCCACGATCACATTAACATTTCCAAAGATTCCGAGACCCATTCCGACCGCCACAATCGCCGTGAGGATGTTTTGGTGCATGGCAATGCTGAAACCGAACAAAATTATATACTGGAAAACAGAGCCGCCCACCGCAACTCGTCTGGCGGTCGAAGATGAAAATGGGAGGGCCAAATGAGCAATATTTATAGAAGAAGAAGAAGGATTCACACTTCACAACATATTATTTTTGTTTAAGAGAAAGAGAGAGAGAGAGAAGAAGACACCTTCTTCTTCTTCTTCTTTTGAATAAAATTTCAATATCTTCTGAATAGACGAGTAATTTGTTTTGAATTTCTGCTGGAAAAGGCGAAAACGACGAAAAAGAGGAAATCGATTGGGACGGAGAGTAATTCGCATTAGGTCACCGTTTGAGATCATCAGAAACCAAGCAAAAAGGCAAATGAATAATTTTGTGTATTCTCAAATGAAAAGGTGTTTGCTCACGTGCCAAATGATCTAAAATTCGAGAGAGAGAGAGAGAGAAAGAAAGCATTGAGAGGCGGTCGAGCGGAACCGAATCAAGCGAATCCGAATCTGATCATGATTCTTCGGACTCGCGGTCTCAAAAATTGATGAAATGAAACGGGGATCACTGAAAATAGGATAAAGTTTCCGGGGGAAAATGAATACACATGAAGGGACCATCGAGAAATTTGAGTGGAGAACGGAAAACGGAGAATCCACAAATGGAGAAGGGAACAAATGAGAGATTTTATCGAATCAAGAAGCAAGCGTAGGCTAGAATGCAACGAATTAGAGCGGAAATGAACGAGAAAAGTCTGACTTGTGCGCAAACGAAGAACGTCGAAAAAGCAAAGTCTCAAGAAAACCGAAAAAAAGGGAAAGAGGGAAGACGTCTGGCTCAGTGTTTACGGATTCTTATATAATGGAGCATAAACAAACACTCCCCTAAATATGCACTCATTTTACCGCCAATTTGTGTGGTCCAAGTTGTGTAGTTGGCCGCCAAATAAGTTGCAATCAGACGGGCGGGAACAAGTTCTGTCTAGCGGATCCTGTTTTGAATTCCGTGTACTCTGTGTTTTCGCAATCCCACTACAAACGGACCTTTTTTGGGCCCAGTTCCTAATATCAGTGATCCGGTGTGGTTCTATTAAGATCGTTTGATTAGGAAAGTATCTAAACTACATGATTCAATCCGTTGTACTTCACGAGATTTTCAAAACCGAGGTCTTCCGAGTTTACACTCAGAAGCGGCTCGATTGCTTGTTTCAAAGTCTACTTGTTCACTCATTATTTTCTCCGTCACAACTTACAAACAAACAAATGTGCAGAATTTTTATTAAATAAGAATGATACCAAAAATCGTGAGTAAACTAAATCCGAGCTCCTAAGCCTTGCGCCTGGCACATGTTCTTTGAGTTTTGAAAGAATATTATTAAGAACCGCCCGAATAGGTAAAATTGAATGAATGAATCAGCGAAGCCGTAATCCAATGAGCGGCGAGAAGAAGAGGAAGAAGTTCTGGCGAGTTCTGGCCGGAAGATGACCGCTAAAAGTTTGTGTGTATTGAGGCGTTGGCGGCAGTGATGGCCCTCGGGAAATTGAGAAAAGCGTTGTTCAGCCGACAAGACGTTTTAATCAAGAAGACCCCCCCCCCGTCTGCTTCATTGCTCTCTCTCTCTCTCTCTCTCTCTCTTTCTGATGACGTCCCCTTCCTTCTCCTCCAGTGACGAGACAAAAGGATTTGAATAATAAAGTTGGAGGCTCATGAGTCAACCTGTACAGTCAACACTTTGACTCATCCCTTTCACTCTTTCCCTCTCTCTCGCTCTCCGGTCAGATTTCTGATTGAGAGTGAATCTGGCGATTATCTCTTTTCGACAGTTTGTCAATCAATCGAATACAAATACCCACAAACACACTCAAAAAAGTGGTAGTGCTGATCATTGCGCCTCGCCAGCCAATTCGTGATCTTCATAGAACGACTACGATGAAGAAGAAAACAACCGTGAAGATGTGTGACCCGCCAAACAATACAGGTTATGAGGCATTGGGGCTGATCGAAATGACGACGGCGACACAATCGGAAGATGAAACGGTGCGGATGTTTCGGAAGTTCCAGTCAATTAGTCAGAAGTTCGCAAACCATCCTGATCTTTGGGAACCATTTCGGTCTTTGATCGAACGTTGGATTAGGACAGACATGCGACACAAGCTGATCTTTGTATCGTTCATCCATTTTTAGTATAGAGCAAATGTTTTTTTTCTTTCGGGTTTTGACTTATGGTCTATATTCAAGCCGATCAAAGGGACTCAGCTTTCCGTAAAACCTGTAGCAGAGCGAAACTCCAAAACTGTCCATTATCTCAACTTTCGGCAGAGATATCAATAAGTGGTAAACTGATAAAATGTACAAGACGTTTCAACGAACAATTTGTTAGTTGACAACTTCTTGATACCTTTACAGGTAGATGAGATGTATTGTCTTGAAAAAATGGTATTCCTGGTAAGTTACTTCACACTAGAAAGTAAAGCGAGTTAATAAACGACCCAAACAACCAAGTTTCCAGAAACATGTGCACTAATAACATGTGTTCACAGGTGCAATTTCGCTCGCTTCTCCGAACGAGACCGAACCGAAACAATCTTTCTCGTATGTTGTAGTCGATCAACAACACTAAATGATCTGGTTGAATTGAGAAGAAGATCTCCGTCCGTCGTCTTCTGACATCACTTCACATCTCTTCTTCCACCCCCGCACCGATTTTCAAAGGTGCAAAGACATTGCAGATCATGCAAAACGCCTTCAAAACACTGAATTCGAGCATGAATATTTATTGATAACCATGACACATCAACGAAACGAACGAGTCATTCACCCAAATGGGCATAGTATTTAGGAGGTGTGAGGGCGGCAGAAATCACAAAAACGCAGTCGGCGAATGTAGGCGTGCGGGCGGCGGAACTGTTTAAAAGAGACGGGTGGGTGTGCAATCCAATCCGCTTCCCAAGTTCGAAAGACGAGATCAACGGTGTTTATGTGGGAGTTACTCGAAGAACTTGCCGAAACACTTGTCATGTTTGATTTCTGACCATAGAAAAAGCGGCTCCATAAAGTTGTGCCCGCCGAACATTTTGCTTTCGGTTGCTTAGTGATGCCACACGTTTCTCGCTCCGTTTTTCCGTCCAACGCCCTTGCTGTTTCCCTTTACACAAAAATTTGCTCGAGAGCAAAGCAATGACATGTTTGCCAATTGGGTTAGTTCTCTGAAAAATAAGTGTGTGTGTGTGTGTGTGTGTGTCTGTCAGCGTTTTAACATACATCTCCTCTACTTTTCTTCCTCTGTGCGCTTTGAACTTGTCCTTTGCGGGCAAAAACTAAACCCGCCAGCCGATGAGTAACAAGTCCGTCGACGCCGCCCTCCGTTCCCTTCCCTTCCGTCATTGTTCCATTCTGTTATTGTGCCGACAAGTATTTATTAATCGGAAACGGAAACGAAAAGTGTTTCAGAGCGAGAATGGGTGTTGCCCCGAAAGACTTTGAAATGCTCGAACGGAAGCCGACTATCAAAAGTGAGTTGATAATAGATAAACTGAAATGTGCAATGCTCTCATTCAAGGGGATAGTCTGGTTGTTCCGGATAATGAGGACACGACAAACTGGCGCCTGATCGTTGTGGCTGGAATCGTTTCCGCGTTGAATGCCGTCGAGAATTCCGTCACCGCCATCGGAGAGTGGCCGTACATGAAAGAAGTGAGTCATCCATCCGGATAATTGGAGGTGCATAATTGAGTTTGTGTTCAGATTGACAGCGAGGCGACGGCACAGTTTTTCGGATTCGCAACATCAGCATCCAAGTGCGCACATGCCCTGTTTGCGCTCGTTTTCTCCGTCTGGAGTTACAGAACACAATCAGTCAAGTTGGTTGAGAAGTATGGAAGAGAAGACGTGAAAGAACGGTGTTCAGAATTCCACTGATGGCCAGCAGACTCATTGCAGTGGCGGCGTGCTGTGTCTACCTGAGCATTGAATACGTTCCCGACGGCAAACGATACGTGCTGATGCTTGTGTACATTTTACTCGGAGTTGCAAACAGTTCGTGGATTTCCAAAGATTCCGCTGACCGCAGTTCATTTTCAGGCGCATGCACGGTCCTTCGTGGCTACATCGCAATGTGTTCTTCGGTCCAGGACCGTCCGCGTGCCTTCGCAGTCATCGGTCTCTCGATTGTGGTCTCGCTGGTCATCGGACCCACTCTCCAACTCATCTTCAGCAGCATTTCCTACCCTGGATACGAGATCATGCCCGGAATCAGATTCCACATCTACTCGGCTCCCATCTGGTTCTCCTTCTTTCTTTCCATTTTCACCGCCGTCCTCATCGGACTCTACATGCAAGACATTCGCAGAGAGACGAACGACGAGATGCTCGGAGAGGAGAACTGTCGACCGCTGTTCTCGTTGGAACAATTGAAGGAGGCGTTTGCGAAACTGAAGAGGAGCAACATGGACTGGCCTTTAATCGTAATCTGTCTCTTTGTGAAGATCGCCGCCACGTTCTCCCATGCCACCATGCAATCGTAACACTTTACAGTTTTTCGTGGTTTTCACCCGCTTCTTTCAGAATCATGTCTATCCTCTTCATGGTTCAGTACGGATGGACGGGAACGGAGACCGTCCGGATGGGATCCGTTCTGATGGTCAGCTTCGGAGTCCTCTCATTCTCCGTCCTCCTCCTCTACATCTTCTGCCATCTCGGAAAAGTGTAAGTGTGCTGATATCAACCAAACAAAGAGCTCGCTCTGCTTTTCAGTCTTCCCCAGGAGAAAGTCTACCTCGTCTGTACAATCCTCTCCGGTCTCGTCTTCGTCATTACCTATCCGTTCGAATTCAGCAGCGAACCGGTCGTTTTGTACAATGAAACCACGCACGCAGGCTGCAGTTTGGACGAATACTCGTGGTGTGACACTGCGAGAGCCGTCAATCCGTACTTCTTCATGGCCGTCATCATCATCGTCTCCGCTCCTTCGATTCCGATGATGCACACCGCTCTCGACACTGTCTACTCGAGAGTTCTCGGCAAAGTGGATCAGAGCATTGCGCAAGGAGCCATGACTGTCGTCGACGACATTGTCTTCATGATCACCCCCGTCTTCACGACGTAATCAATCACACTTCCTCCCTTTCTAAAATCTCTTTTTGCAGGACAATGTTCACACTGCTCGGAGTCGGTCCTCTCTGGATCATCAAGGCTTGCGTCTTCTTCGCAATCGCATTCGTCTGGTTTTTGAATCTGAAGAAAATTGCCGTTCACATGTATTAACGAGTTCATCCGAATTTCAATTCATTTATTCGCTTTACTATAACAACGGGTCCCACTGCGTTTTACTTGTGTGTAAAGTGTATGAAACTCATCAAAAGAGAGAAGAAAGCTCTGATAAAACGTTGACTTTCAAATGCATCTTTTTGAGGGCAACAAGAGTGTACGATAAAAGTAAGCATACAAGTAAGAGTTCTGTCACAACAGTTTCCTCTTAAGAACTCCAATACCGTTTACTCAAGACGATATATCTCGTCTGTCTGTAGGGATATTAAAAAGTGTTCAACTTTGTACACCGATTTGTCAATCGAACTTCCGATCAAACGAACTCGCACACGATCAACCACAAAACAACAAAAATCACGACTTCGCGGGATAAACAGTCTCTATCTCTGCGTCTCCCTCTCTCTCTCTCTCTCTCTCTCTCCATATTTCTGTCTTTCTCGGGTATATAATCGACCCGATGTGAACAGTCCGTTTCGCCCTTCTCACCCGCAATGGATTTCCCCAGTGATATTGAGATGATTGAAAAACAAAAAACGGTGCATGCAGGTAAGTCTTAATACGAATTATATGAGTTATGAAAACGAATAAGTTCTGCAGCAGAAATGGAAATCAATTCGGAGTCACAATCAAGTGAGAATGAGGCGAAAACGAATTGGAGACTGATAATAGTGACTGGAATCGTTTCGGGTTTGAACGCCGTCGAGAATTCGGTGATTGGAATGGGAGAATGGCCGTACATGAAAGAAGTGAGTCACTTCTTTCAAGTATGAGCTCAACTTGAAACCATTCAGATTGATAATGATGCGACTGCTCAGTTCTTTGGTTTTTCTCAGTCTGCCGCCAAATGCGGACACGCGATTTTCGCCTTGCTCTTCTCTATTTGGAGTTATAAATCAAGATCTGTCAAGTGAGAGAATATGAGAATAGTTTAAAAAAGAACAAATAAACTCAGGATCCCAATGCTGGCAAGTCGTTTGATCGCGATTGTCGCGTGTTGCATCTACCTGAGCATCGAGTTCTTTCCTTCCGGAAAACGGTACACTCTCATGACCGTCTACATCCTTTTGAGTGTTGCCAATAGTCAGTAGTTCGTACTGCTCTCCAATTCTCAACATTTCCGTGCTTCAGGTGCTTCCACGGTCCTTCGCGGCTACATTGTCATGATATCTTCCAGTCAGGACAGAGCGAAGGCGTTTGCGATCATTGGTCTTTCAGCTATCACTTCAATTGTCATCGGTCCAGGTAGGATACTTCATATTTCACTTATTTCAAATATTGTCAATTTTCAGCCCTGCAACTCTTGTTCAGCGGTATCGTGTATCCAGGCTACGAAGTCGTTCCGGGCATCCGGTTCCACATTTTCTCGGTTCCCATTTGGTGTTCTCTCATTCTCACCGTCATCACCGCCGTCATCATCTGTGTGTATATGGACGACGTGCATCGCCGTGTTTCAACCGAAAACCAATGTGACAGTGGCAGCAAAAAACAGTTGATCTCGATCGAAATAATCAAAGAAACGGTAGAAAATCTGAGGAACAGTGGCCTAAACTGGAGACTCATCGGAGTTTGTCTGTTCGTCAAGATCGCAGTCACCTTCTTGAGCGCTCTTTTGGGATCGTAAGTGTTGAAATGGGGTTTTTGTCTGAAGATGAACGAACATATTTAGAATCATGTCAATCATCTTCATGGTTCTGTACGGATGGACCGGCTCGGAAACGGTCCGTCTTGGCTCCACTTTGATGATCGCTTTCGGAGTGATCTCCTGCACTGTCCTCTTCCTCTACATCTTCTGTCGATTGGGAGAAATGTACTGAAGTGTCTTTACTTCTCAACTGAGTTAGTCTTCCCATTTTCAGTCTTCGCCAAGAGAAGGTGTTCGTCGCGTGCGTTTTTGCAGTCGGCACGTTTTTCGTCGTCACGTACCCGTTCGACTTCAACAGTCAACCAGTGGCTCCGTACAATGCGACAACGCGCGCGGGCTGTAATCCGGCAGAATACGCGTGGTGCGAGGGTTCGCTGGCCGTCAAGCCCAACTACTTCATGTACGCGACAGTGCTCTTCTTCGCTCCCTGCTTGCCAATGATGCACACGGCTCTCGATACTGTCTATTCACAGATTCTCGGCAACATTGATCAAAACGTGGCTCACGGCGCTATGACGGTCGTTGACGACGTCGTCTTCATGATCACTCCAATCTTTACAACGTAAACAGGAGAAATGCTCATTCTATGCACAGAGTTTCTTCAGAACGATATTTACTCTTCTCGGAATTGGACCTTTGTGGATCATGAAGGCGGCAATGTTCTTCTTCATTGCAACCGTATGGCTCTTCCATATCAAACAAATCGGTGAAGCTTTATGAAAGTATGATCTCTCGCTGCCCGTTGACATGTGAAAATTCCGTGGTTAGTTGTCTGTTTTGCCCCTAATCAGCACCAATAAACGATCTCATCACCGCCGTATCGTCTTCATCGAATTACCGTCTCTAAAAAGAGGAGTTTCTGTCCAGCAACACTGTGTGTTCCGTAGTTTCACTTATTTCAGAGTATCACCTGCCCTTCTCCATTTCTCCTTTTCAACTGACCATCAGACACAAATCACATTCGGGCTAATTTGTTCGAAACGGGGCGTGCACGGCTATTGTCCTCCCGCTCCGAAACGCCATTCTTTTTGTCTTTCCGACAATGGACATTGCCACGGACTCTTCATTGCTTCCTCCCGAAATTCCCGAAGAGCAAGTGCTCAGCGAGAAGCAGCAAGAAGACGTTCAAACGAACTGGCGACTGATCGTTGTGGCTGGAATCGTTTCCGCGTTGAATGCCGTCGAGAATTCAGTCATCGGCATCGGAGAGTGGCCGTACATGAAAGAAGTGAGTCATCCATCCGCATAATTCCGTTCATAATTGACTTCAGATTGACAGCGAAGCGACGGCACAGTTTTTCGGATTCGCAACATCAGCATCCAAGTGCGGTCATGCCCTGTTCGCCCTTGTTTTCTCCGTCTGGAGCTATAAGTCTCAGTCTGTCAGGTACAAGGAAACAGGCTCGAATAAACATTTACACAATTGATGTTATAGGTGGCCACTCTTTGCGAGCCGGTTAATTGCACTTGTTGCGTGCATCATCTACCTATGCATCGAATATGTGGCCGATGGAAAGCGATACGTCCTGATGTTCGTCTACGTACTTCTCGGCATTGCAAACAGTTGGAAGTTATCTGATTAGCCGACTTACAAAATCATTTTCAGGCGGTGGAACTGTTCTCCGTGGCTACATCGCTACCTGTTCATCGAATCAAGACAGACCGCGAGCGTTTGCAGTCATCGGATTGTCAGTGATCTTTTCGATTATCGTCGGACCAAGTACACCCTAATCTGTGGCTTTTTCGAAACCAAAACCTTTTCTATTTCAGCGCTCCAATTGATCTTCAGTGCAATTCCGTACCCCGGATATGAGATTGCCCCTGGAATTCGCTTCCATCTCTATTCCGCCCCCCTCTGGTTCTCTTTCGTGCTCACCATGTTCACTGCCGTCATTGTTCTGACGTGCATGGTGGATATTCGGCGAGAAAAGGAAAATAGCACGAAACTTCGAGCCGATGACTCTCAAACAAGCTTCTCAATGGAAAGAATGCGCCCGGTTTACAGGAAGCTCAAGACAAGTGGTATAGATTGGAAGCTCATCGGAGTGTGCTTCTTCGTCAAAATCGCAGTCACTTTTTCTCATGTAACCATGGGAAGGTACGTTTTTCTGATGAATACGATGGTAAAGATGAACAATTCAGCATTTCCTCTATTCTGTTCATGGTGCAATACGGCTGGGACGGCAGAGAAACCGTTCAGATGGGAGCGACTATGATGGTCGCATTCGGAACGATATCCTCTGTTGTCCTTCTTCTTTACATTTTCTGTCATCTGGGGAAGCTGTGAGTGTCTTCTAATTTTCAAAAAACTCGTTGAATCCTCAAATTAAGAATTCCACAACACAAAGTCTTTCTTATTTGCACAGTTTCTTACGGAATGGTGTACGTCATCACTTATCCATTTAAGGCAACAAGCAATCCGGTGGCACCCTACAATGGTATTACAATGAAAGCTCAAAAGATCATCATTCAATAATGTATTTCAGCTACAACCCGAGCAGGGTGCAATCCGACCGAGTACTCATGGTGTCCGACTGCTCTCGCCGTAAACCCTTACTTCTACATCGCGACATCTCTGATAGTGTCCGGACCGGCCATTCCGATGATGCACACCGCTCTCGACACCGTCTACTCGAGAATTCTCGGCAAGATCGATCAGAGTGTGGCTCACGGAGCCATGACTGTCGTCGACGATATCGTGTACATGGTCACTCCCATCTTCACAACGTAAGTTTTCACGAAGACATCTTCTTCTCAAATACTATGTGTTTCAGAACAGTGTTCACGTTGCTCGGAGTGGCTCCTCTCTGGATCATCAAAACGTGCGTCTTCTTCGCCATCGCCGCCGTCTGGCTTTCGAATCTCAAAAGTATTAGTGATCACATGTACTGACCGTCGGGTTCTATCAAAAATAAAGCATGATGAAAAGCATGAGACACATTATTAGCACCGTCCCAAAGGGATAGTCTTGTCCGGCTCATTCCTTCTTTGCTCACGTACTCGTCTGTCATCTGATTCCCTTTTCATTATTGAATCTGCGTGACTCGCGCTGGCTCGCTGCCAATTTCTAAACGAATTTTTCACCGCCTTTTTTTAGAAGTGATCTTTGCAGTTTCAGGAAGTTTCAGATGTTCTCCAGCACTCCAATCGAGCTCATCCCAGCCGGTGTCCTTCTTGCCATCATTGCACTCGGTGGCATTATTGGCAACACTATCATGATCATAGTGTTCTTCAAAAACAAGTAATCAGTTCATAATGAATCCTAAAACGATTGGAGGCATTACAGAAAGCTCCGTTCTCCGTGCCACTACCTGATCACGATGAATTGTGTGGGAGACCTTCTACACAATTACGGACAATTCATCTACGTCGTCCATCTGTTCGGAGAGTTCCAATCGTTCCAGTCCACCTGCTTTTTCCTCACCATTCCCACCCTTTTCGGAGTTATCAGTGGAGCGTGCTGGATCCTCGGGCTCGGAATCGACCGTCTCATTGCCTGCAAGTGGCCTATCAAGTGAGCCCCTTCCAGTTCCACTCTCACGGTCCCCCGTTGGAGGTACCGTTCTCTGTCCGGCTGCTCCGTCGTCTACTTGCTCGCCCAATGTGCACTCCCCCTTGTTTACACCTCATTTTTCTTTTTTCTGGCGTTTTCCGAGATGAATAACACGTGAGTGTTGCCGCAAAATAGAGAAAGTGTGATTTGTTCTTTGTCAGACTTGTGACATGTTCGGTTCCATTGGCGATGGGCTCAAAAACATTTATAGCGTGGTCAGTGGCTAACCTGGGTCTCAATGCAGTGACTGTGTTGATTTACACAATTACCTATTGCCTGTTACTCAAACAAGAGACAGATAGTGGTAGTTCGTAACATTTGAAGAGTGAAAAGATGACCGGAATATTCAGGAAATGGCTTCAAAAGTGTCTTCAAGTCTATCTTCATCACAGTCGCCTTTATCGTTGTCGGATGGGCGGTCACCTGCATCGCCAACACCTTCCTTGTCCTGCTCATTCCAACAAGTTTCGGGAAGCAAGTGCTCAATATGTACTCTGGAATCCCTGTGAACATTGCATGCGCCGCCAACGTCTTCATATTCTACACCGTCAATCTCGACTACCGTAGCTGCATCCGACGATTGTTAGTGTTGCGAAGTTCGAGATTATCAGCCGCTCACTCCGACTCCAAGCCGACCAATGTTCCCATTCCATCTGTTAAGCGTTGAATGAAGCGTTCGCGTGTCTACTCTACTCAGTCTCCGCCACTTCCCCGTGAGAATAACACCGTTTGAGCAACACGAGTGTGCCCAGTCCAAAATAGCATCAACAGCATCATTAGGCTACAAAATATAAAGCCAGCTCGCGGAACGCATTGATTTCATTTAGTAATGATTAATCAAAAGAGCAAAGGATCAGAAAGCGAAGGAGAATTTTCGTCAAGGACCAGAGAACTGGAACACACAGGCATCAAAGTAACAAAATACGGGTTTAAACTTGTTTCTCTCTGTTTTCACATTCACTCGTTCAAAAACTGATAGTTTGAGCCGCTTATATAAAAACACGTATTCGGCCTGATAACAGGTGTTTTCATTCACTCAAATGATTGTTCCTCTTCTGATTCTTCTCGTCGTGCTCTTCCTAGTCCATCAGTACCTTTGGAGAAGACGCGGATATCCACCTGGCCCGACGCCGATCCCCATTTTCGGAAATCTTTTTCAATTGTCCGGATCCAAAGCTCCCGGCATCTCTATTTTCGAGAAATGGAGGGATCAGTACGGACCAATGTTCACTTTTTACATGGGTACCAACATAAAGTGCAGAATTGCTAAGCATACATTTAAACAGGCCCTGTTCCATTCGTCGTGCTGACAGACTATCAGGACCTCAAAGAAACGTTTATCAAAGACGGGGAGACGTACGCGGACAAGTACCTGTCTCCGGAGTTCAACAAGTACTTTCGAGGCGGCGAGTACGGTATCATGGACATCAGCGGAGATCGTTGGAGGGAGCATCGCAAGTTCGCAGTGCTCCAGCTGAGGGAACTGGGCGTCGGGAAAACACGGATGGAATCGAAGATTCTGATCGAGGCGGAAGAGCTGATAAGGAAATTGAGGAAGCAGGAACAGGACGATGACGAGTTCGTACTTCAGGTAAATGGAAATGAGTAACGAGGCCATTTCCCTTTTTTCAGTCAGATGTAGACATTGCGGTGGGGAGTGTGATAAATCAGTTCCTCTTTGGCTATCGCTTCGATGATTCACGTCTTCATGAATTTGTGAAAATCAAAACATTGGTGAACAACTTTATGGAGGAAGTGGGAAAACCATTGGGAGTGCTCGCATTTACCTGCCACGGAATTCCGGAGCTCATGATCCGGTGGATGGTGAACGGGTAAGTACTACTAGCAGCGTTGCTTTTCATGAAAATCCATTTCCTTTTCAGAATTGAGGAGCAGAAACGGGAGCTATTCGGATTTCTGCGGTGTCAAATTCAAGAGGCCAAGATGAAAATCGACTACGACGGCGATCATAGCGACGATTTTGTGGAGGCGTACCTGAGAAAACAGCATCAAAGAGAGGAGAAACAGGACTATGACAGTTATTGGTTTGTCGCCTCACATCTTCTTCGGATTTCAACCATTTTTCAGTGATCCTCAATTGGAAAACGTTTGCTTCGATATCTGGGCGGCCGGATTTGATACTCTCACGAACACGATCGGCTTCCTCATCGCCTACGCAATTAATCATCCGGAAATGCAGGTAGCCTTTCGGTCCTCGATTTGTCCAAAACTTCCGTATTTTCAGAGGCAAATCCATCAGGAAATCGACGAGTACCTGGGCCATCACCGCCGTCTGCTCACCATGTCCGACAAGAACTCACTGGTCTACTTTAATGCCTTCGCCAACGTACGCTGGGCTCACACATTTGATTCGATCTGATCCTTGTATTATTCCAGGAAACGCAACGAGTCGCCAATATACTTCCTCTCAATCTGCCGCATGCGTTGACCCGCGACGTCGAGTTGAACGGATACAAGTTGAGGAAAGGAACCGGCATCATTCACCAGATCGCGAATGTGATGACTGATGAAGCTGTGAGATGAGTGCCGTCCGACCAAACAACAATCACTTTCAGACGTTTGCAAACAGCGACGAGTTCAATCCGCATCGGTTCATTGATGAGAACGGAAAACTGAAAAAGATTGAGGAGTGGTGTCCGTTCTCAATGGGAAAAAGACAATGTCTCGGGGAAGGTCTCGCCCGGATGGAGATATTTTTGCTCGCCGCCAACCTATTCAACTATTTCGAAGTGAGCCAGACACTTTTACTCGGGTCATTCGGTCTCTTTCAGTTTCTCCCGGCTTCCGATGGTTTACCTTCACTCTTCAAGGATTTCAGTCTAGTCTCGCATGTCATTCCGTATAAATGTCGAGTCAAATCAAGGAATCATGAAGCAGTAGCATAGAGTGTTGTCTACTATGTAGTCAGACCTTTGCCGCTTTCGCCTAATGTGTATGCACTCTGATTGCTCCCTCCGTCTAATATGCTCTCTTTGATATGCTCTGTTAATCTGACACCATTCGCGTGTGTTCATTGGTCGGATATTACTTGCGCGGCGGCTCCTTATTCCACTACATCTGATCTTCTGATCTCGCCGCTCCTAATCCTTCAGATTTCGCTTTCCCTAAACATCTCCACCACTTCTGATAAGATCTTCGAAAGTCGACCATCGGAAGAGGGTGCGCGCAGTCGTTATAAGACTGTGTCTCATTGGAGTCTCCTCCCCATGATTTTCTGATTTGTACGATTCTCCCTCTCTCTCTCTCTCTCTATCGTTGTTTCTCCTCCATTTTTGTGATTATTTAATCAATCAGTTGGTCCAAATCATAGGTCACGAAACAGATGCGATATCACCTCAGAATTCACAAATCAGAGAAACTGTGTCGCTTCTGACCACAACAAGTCGTCGCGTCGCCTCCTGAAATGCAATCTGCGACGGCTCCCCAATTGGCTCCTCCCACAACGCATATATAGACTGATTCTGTTCTAGTTCTCTTTCCAACCTCTCATTCTGAATGTTTTTGTGTAGTATGCTCTCCATGTGAGCCCCCGCCCGCTCATTTTAATCTCGCAGACGCTCCGGAGCCCGTAGCTTGCTCCGAAACTGGCTCTGCTCATGACACATCTAGCACAACCCGTGTTCCCCCCGCTCTGCACCTCCCCCGACGACGTCTTCTGCCTTTCTCTTCTGTCTTCGCAATTGTTTGTGGTTTATGCGACAGATGCGAGATACGGTTCTCTCGCTCTTCACTCTCTAGCCTCGTTGTCCGCAAGACGTCGTCGTCCCATTGGAACTGATCTTTCTGTCGTTTCCTTGCGAGACAACGACGAAGAAGAAAAAGAAGGATAAATAGAAGGAGAAGAAAGAGAAGTCATTCTTGACACATTCCAGATATGATGGAGATTGTACCCGTTCCGCACACGCAGTTTCCCTCCTCTTCCGAGTGCAAAGTGTGCGGACTGCCGGCGCACGGAGTCCATTTCGGAGTGACTGCGTGCAGAGCATGTGCCGCCTTTTTCAGGTATGTGTCACACTTTATAATCTTTCGATCTCGCTCCGGGATAAACACGCATTTATTTCTTTCAGGAGATTTGTAGTGCTCGGATTGGAGTACGAGTGTTTGCAGGATAAGAATAAGTGCAGTCTCGACAAACTCCGCAGGTTTTCCGGCGAAATCCCGGCCACACTTATCACTTTCTCACTTTCTTCAGAAGTTCCTGCCGTCATTGCCGCTTCCAGAAATGTCTCAAAATGGGCATGACTGCCGACAGTAAGTATCCGGGAGCATCACGAACGAATCGTCTTTTTTTTCAGATGTTCAATGGAATCGAGATGTTTATTCGGCAGACGTTCGCTCTCGTAAATTCAAGTGTCAAGAGATTAATAAAAATGACGAGAATGATGCGTATTTAAGCGAGCCGAGCACCAGTCTATATTCGGTGATCAAAATAGAGGTGATCACGGTGAATGCGATGATATCAGTCAATGAAAGTACGGATTACAGAATGAGTTGTACACCCAGGCGATTCTGAGCGAAGTGAACTACGATAATATTGAAAAGGAAATGCACAAACTGTTCTTGTCGGACAGTCCTTCTTTGGAACAAGGATACTTCTGCTCACTGAGCCCACTTCAAAAGGTCGTGCAAGGAATTCGGACGATCCGAGGAACGCAAAGAGCCGCCGAGAGCATAAAATTCGACAACAAACTCTCGTTGGCCACGTTGGTGCCTCACTGGCGGGCTCAGGCGAACAACATGGCGGTGCTTTCGATGCACGCTTTAGCGTTCCGCAGAATTCCGTTAAATGAGAAGACGCGCATATTCAAATCTCTTTGGCAGAACGTTTATCGGTTCGAACGAATCCAAATGTCCACCGAGATATTCGGAGAGGAATGCGTCAACCAAAAGGTTATCCGTTTGTTTTTCAGAATCGCTGCTCCTAATTGTTGTTTTCCAGAAGTTGGCAATCTCTTGTGAGAAAGCCATTCAACTCGACGCGCTCTTCTTTGATATCGAAGGAGTGGCAAGCGATAAGCTGAAGATAACACTACAGTAATCGTCCTCCAATCAGAATGCGTTATTAAATCAGAATTTGACTTGCAGGGACTACAAAATGTTTGCCGAGCGATGTGTCGAGGAAGTGGCCAAACCGATGAGTCAGTTGAAGATGTCGATCGAAGAAGTCGGCTGGCTTATCGTCAATTTTGTAATGCACAATGGTATCAAACTGTAACCGCTTCCTTCTGTTCACTAAAAGCATTCAGAAGAGAGTATACTGGGTGACACTCTGGACGTCTGCGATGAGTTTCGAGACCAGATTGCCAATGAACTTCACGAGCACTATCGGAAGAACAATGTGATCAACTACGCGCCGCGTATCGCTAAAATGATGAGCATTATCGTGGCGATGAAGAGGATACACTACGACGATCTCGGCGGAACATTCACTTTCAACTCTAAAATGTTGATAGAGAATAAAACTAAGCAATTATGAACTAAACACGTTTATTTTCGCACTAAAAGCGCCGGCGGCATCTGGTATTCGGGGGAGGCGTCGTTGACATCCGGAAGGCACGTGGGGAGCTTGAAACACGGAGTCAGACGGCACTGTACCTTTATCATCACGCACTTCTCCCCGGGATCGCATTGTTTTGTGGCGCAAGAGGGAACTGAACAAGTATCCGGTGCGTCAAAGAGATCGATCTGATTCCGAATACCTTTCATGCAAAGCGGCTCGTAGTACCACTCGGAATTTCCTTCCTTTGCTCTCAGAATGGCTTGGCATTCCGTATGCGGATGGCACGGATAGTTTTTGCACACACTTTCCTTGGTCTTCTCGTCGAATTGGCAACGAACAGCCAAAATGAAAGTGAGACACAACAGTCTGATTTTCTGAAATTGACTCTATTTGTGTGAAAATGTTCGCGATAAGCTAACCATGTTTGACTGAAATCGAATTGAAATGAAAATAACATCCTTGAACACACTGAAGACTGCAAAAAATGGAATGGCTTCGATACGTCACGCCGGATTAACCCGGTCTTTCCGGCGTTTCCCATCGACAGAATTCATCATAATTTTCAGCATTCTGCCTGCGTGCCATATCAAAACGTTTGCCCGAATGATCCTGGTTCCCTGAATCATCGGGTTGTGCTCGACAGCTGAAAGCAGAGTTTGATGTATTCGAAGAACACGCAGATTAACAGAGATCACGTGTTGTCTGTGCCCTGCTCCCCAGGATGTCTGTCCAAACGGAAATATGAGTTATAGAGGAGCTCTTCAGAAGAGCATAAATATTTGTGACAGCCTCCAAAAACACTCTAATTATGTGGATTCGCCGAAACCGCAGCCAGTCATTCATTGTCCGTCGATCGAACACTAATAGTACAAGAGTTTGTGACTTCCACTTCGTTTGCAGACTACAAAGCACAAAGCGTCGAGGAGCACGGATGAATAGAAACAGCAGAGTTCGTTCTTTCCAAAGTCAGAACTATTTTCTTTTTTCAGTCCAACTGCGTTCCAGGGATGTTTCTAGGTTCGCAGTCAATTTGGAGAGCAAGTTTGGAATCCTCAAGGCAATATTAATACTCGAATAATTTGCTCCGTCTTTTTCTTACTAGGGATGATCCGTAGTTAAGTTGGCTTTTCTGAACGGGGCCTTTGAGACTTCGCTCTCAAAAGCCTGTATAAATGAAAGTTTCTCGTTATGCAAAAAAAAGGAAAAACCTTTAAAATCTCTCGTACCAAATATAGACAGCTCCCTAGTTAGTTAGTCGTAGTCCCTGGAAGACTTGATAACGGAAAACGTAGGGCCACAGGAGTGATGCCTCAAAGTGGAAACGTCAGGATTATAGTTACTCGCATTCCTTCCAGAAAATGTTAGCATTTCAAGTCTGAGTCAAACTGCTCCCTTGTACTCATATCTGTGATGTTTTGATTCGTGTCAGGTCGTAGAAGCTTTGTTTACACTATGCCGAGTTTGCGATACAAATTTGTTCATCGAAGCGTTAGTGGGCCCAGGTTTCAAAGGTCGTGTTACAATATAAATGTCAAATGAAAAGAGCAAAGGGACCTTTTCACCCCGATCCCACAACCTTTGGCTCTTCAAAAAGTTTGTTAGCATTCACATAAATTCTTTTTAGAAACCCTCACAAAGATTAAGAATGTGTTCCTGGAAAACGATTGAATGCAATGAAATCATCCTGACCTTAAAAATAAATGAGAGGCCCGTGTGCTCTTCTCTGTTTCTATTTTGAATCCAGAATTCGTTCAGGGAAAGCGCGAGATTAGCCGGAATGATATCATAATTGAACCACTGAAATCAGATTATCCATTTTAGAGAAGAACACCGGAAGTTGCCACTTGAGACGTACACCACACGGGTTATTCCGATGAACGGATGCATTCGGAAAACTGGAATTCCCAGAAGTTCGCGTGCCTGACTACAGTGTGGGAATCCGTTGTTTATCCTTCCACAAAAGTCGACTGACTCACAGGCAGACATTTTCATCCGATGATCGCCGAAAGTCATAGTTCACAAGCTTTTATTAGAAAAAGAGAGAGAAGGAGCAAAGTTGTTCTTTTTATGACAAGAGCGAGTTCAGGGTTTCACTGAAGAGATACTGGGGGAAGACGGAACAAGAAAAGAGTTGGCATTACAAAGAAAATATTTCAAGCGGGCGGTGATTGATAGCCGGACACTCTTCCGGAGCCACGCACACTCCGCTGTATCGGAGGTATCCGGGAACGCATCGGCACGTGTTGCGAACGCATCGTTTGTACAGGCACGGCGCCGTCGGATTCGGCTCCTCGCAGGTCGGCTGGCACACGGATCCGCACTCGGTGAACTCTTCGAACTCGGGGCATCGGCTCGTCTCGGCGGTGCATTCCAGACGACGAACACACTCGTTTAGAGTGTTCCGCACAAAGCCGTCCTTGCAGACGCACACATTCGGGCGGCACTCGAAACTGCAAATGTTCTGAAAGGAGAGTAATTGTTGGGAAAGTGTGCTGGATCGGGTGCTGACCGGACTGAATCCGCACTGCGGTTCACAGTCATAGCCGCAAGCGACGCGTTTCTCGTTCTTCTGGCATTCGGGAAGCGAAGTGACTGACTGGATCCACGTGGCAAGACAGCCGACAACGAAGAACGTGCCAAAGAAGAGGATTGACGTCTGGAAGAAGAGCGCGATGAACGTGAGAAACATACTAAACTTGCCATTGTCCCCGCTGGATTAGTTGTCGTGACTGGCAACCAAAAAAGAAAGAGCAGAAACCTGGAAAAAAAGACTATTTATGGCTAGAAACGAGCGAGGAGTGGGCCAGATTTGGGCGGTCTCAAGAAGTCACACGAAGGCGGATTCGGATTGGCAGTGCTGTACAATTACGAGAGAAAGGAAGAGAGATAATCGTGAGGTTCATTCGAAAAGGGAAAGTGTGAGCATTTTAAGTTTGTTTAATTATTGGTTTGGTTCGGACATTCATCCTTTCTCACACACAATCCTCGTCCGAACCGAACAAAACCATCGGAGCAGTGGCAACTCCAGGTGTATCTCGAATCATTACGTAGGAGGACAGCCGGTGAACAAGAGTTTTTGCAGTGTTTCTGGGAATTATGAATATTAACAGATGAAATGTGAAAAGGGCACCAACTTTAAGCATATGGTCAAAGCAAGTCATTCGACATTCATCGGCGCATTCTTGCCACTGTTCGTTCAAGCCACACGCGTTGTTCTCTATTTCGAATCGCACAATAACATAGATGAACGTCGCAATGAGAATGACAGAGGGAATGAGTACAGTGAATATCATTGGTTTTAGGATTCTCTTCGTCGGCTTGCGAAACATTCGTGCGTTCCGGAAAAGCATTGCATGCATTTCTGATCTGAAACATTGTCTGAAAATGAAAAGACGTGTTTGTTTAGTCATGTCACTGAAACGTCTTGCCGTTTGGAAATGTATCAGGTCGATGATAATAACTGTATTTATTGCGGCGGTTCATATAAAACGGAACATAATTACTTCGGGCAGTCCTCCTTCTTGATGCATCCGAGACCGAAACGAACGAACGGAGCCGTGCACTGGCACACATTCACGAGACACTGCTTCGTGCAGAACTGCGGTTTCGGGTTCTCGCAGGTCGGTTCGCAAGCGGTTCCGCACTCCCGCAACTGTTCGTTTTGAGGACAAGTGGTGGTGGCGGCGGTGCAGAGGATCGGGTCCACGCAGGCGCCCTGGTTGTTGCGCACGAATCCGTCCTTGCAGTCACAGTAATCCATCAGACATTGCTCGGTGCACGCTTTCTGGAAACACGGTGGATTTCGGTGGATGTCAGAGGAATGTGACTGACCGGGGTGTATCCGCATTGTGGTTCGCAGGTGTTATGGCACGCAACAAGCTCCTCGTTTTCATTGCATGTTTCTGAAAATTAGAATGAACTCGACGTTATCGCTATAATGATGAGCTCAAAAAACTTACTAACGGCGGCGCTGAGAGCGACGCAGCACAGGACGAGAACGAGAATGAACTTCTGAAATCAAAATGTTTGTTATAGCGAAAAACAGAAAGATCAACTCACCATGATCAGAAAGACACTGCCAACTGACGTGATCGGCCCGATCACCCCGGCTTTTATCGTCTCGGAACACAGCGAAGCCACAGTTGCTGCCGACGAAACCGCCCGTTTTTTGAAGAGAAACACGTGAGAATGTAGACTAAAATAAAAGAGGAAAAGAAGAAGAAGAAGAACCAACAAATGTGTGCCGCGACAAGCATTTTATTGTTGAGGGAGAAGAGAAGTATTTATTTCAGTCAGAATGTACAGTCTGAGCCGCACAGACTTCCGTGGTCGGACATGGTTCTCCTCGTTCACAGTTCAGCTCCACAACTTCGCATTTCTCATTCGCATCACACGTCAACGAACATTTGTGGCAGCTGGACTTCTCGACGCACTTGCCGGAATCCGCGTCCCGAATCAAACCCTTTTTGCATTGACAAACATTTGTGAGGCACACGGCAGCACACACCTAAACAACATTCGGGGTTCAGTGAAACGTTCCTTTTCCGCTTACCGGATTCGCATTCTCGCACGTTGGCTCACACGCCGAACCACACTCTTTGAGCTCCTCATTCTCGCCGCATTTCGGGGTTGCAACAGCTAAACATTTCGCTTTTTATTCCCCTCAGAAGCTCTTTAGAACTGACGGATAGGAACGCATTTTGGAGCGAACGAACATCCGTCCTCATCACCACATTCATTGTCAGAAGTTGGCATTTCGCATCTGAAGTGTCATTTCGGAACCTGATACTTGTGAATAGCGCACCTCTGGTCATCTGGACATTTCTGTTCTCCGCACACGAATCCTTCGTGAGAAACTGGCCAATCTTCTCGGTTTTCTGAAAACAAGGAAGATTTGAAGTTTATTTTCAGTCGGAACCCACTCAAAACACCGCCGTTGACCACAACAAACAAAAGGAATAATGCGATGAACTTCTGAACAACCATCTTAACTTCTAAATGCTCGAAAGGTCGGTGGGCAAGAAGAAGAGAGGCAGAGAGTCTCGAGGGGAAATAAAAAAGAAAAGAAAACATGCGAAAGGGCGGTGAGTCAGAAGATTAATTGGCCGGCCGGACGACGGGAGAGATTCTATGGAATTGGCTGCCAAAACGTGTTTAGGTCGGGAAGTAATCACCGTTGATTTGATTGTCACTCGAGCAAAATACACATATTCATTGGGTTCATTGGGAAATAAAATAAAATACTTTATATCAAAAACATGCAAGCTTCGAATAATCAAGAGGAAGAAGAAGTGAGATTGAACTTCCTCTGCTGATAATCTTCCACATCTCTGTCCGAACAAATGGGCATCAGAGAGTCGCAGGTCGAGTTGGCCACGCATTCGATCTTCGCTACTTTGCAAATGGTCTCTCCGTAGCACTCCACCGACGGTCCGTTCAGACACAGCCGATCGTAGTCCTTGAGGTGTTCGGAAGTCCTCAGAATGGTGTATGGTCGGTTCTCTCGAGCCATTCTCGGCTTGTCCTCTGCACACGTCAAGTTTACCCTTTACTCGAACTGATTCTGTTACCGTTAGCGAATGAATTCAGATAAATAATAACAATTGCCATGAGTGAGATACTATAAGATACGTGATTTAAAGTGATGAGATGGGTAAGACTTACGCAACGTATATCGCTCGAAAAGGTGAAGCCATGGTTGATGAGAAAGACAGAGAAGGGACCCATATGAAGAGAAGAACCCATTATTTTAACGAGGCGCCACCGATTATGTTGTGGAGACGAGCTGAGGGGAATCATCGCAGAAGGGCAGGTAGTTGACGCAGTTCGGATCGTCAATACACGCCACCCGCACGATTATGCAATTGTTGAGGCCGTAGCAACTGAATCCCTGACACAGAACATCTTTGTCATTGGACTGCATGTAGTTGGGATCGGTTAGGAGGGCTGAAAAGAAGAGAATACGTTAGATGTTTATGTAGAAACGATTTCTATTACTTTCGAGGTTTTGATTGGTCAGCAGGTCTTTCGCGTAATCCTCGATGGATTTGTCCGAACATTTCGCCAATACATCATAACATCCGATGGTGCCGTTGGCGCACGGAAGACTGACTTCATGGCAAACGGACTGTCCGTAACATGTCACAGTTTTACATACACTATCACATATCACTCCTAAAAATCAGAGTGAAATGAGAAAAAAAGAGCAGATTTACCTTGGAGAATCAGCGCGAGAGGAAGGAGGAATACGACCGGCGCGCGCATAAATAACTGCTCGGCAAACTGAGAGCTCGCGTGCTCAACTCAGAAGGTGGAGAGAAGTAATTGAGTTTCCCGCATTGTTCGGATATTTCTCACGATTGGGTGGAAATACACAGAGAAACCGATTATGGGATTAAGGGCGATTTGGAGGGGAGCGAACAAGGTTACTTTCAAATGTTCAGCAAGTTAGAACTATGATATCAATTCGTTCCGTCTTTCTATTTCTGCTTTTTCTGACGGCACTTGGTCTGGCAGGTTGGTTTGAGCACAAATTCTTTACCAGCTGCTCCCACTCCTACGTACATTTGTGCTGCAGAACAACTCGGAACAATTCTCGGCGTCGCTTCGACCGATTCAAGATGCGAGAACATCAAATGTTACGGACAGAACGAGTGTGAAATGGTGGAGACATTGTGCTTGAATCCGCCGTGCGAACTGCAGCCGTTGTGCAAGACAGTCATCTTCTAACTTCGGAAATGAATGAACAAAGTGGCATATGTACATTTATTCAAAGTGTTTTGTTTTTGCTAAACAAGAGATTAAAATATAAGAAATAAAATGCCAAGAATTCTTAAGGATGAGGGATAGACCGGTATAAAAGTATTTCGGGTCACTCAATTGCTATCGGTTTACAATATTCAATGGAAAAACGGTTTGCTGATCAAGGCGACTCAGAAGTGAGAAACTGTACGGAACAAGGGTAGATGAAACAGAACATTGTGGAGAAGTAAAGCTTTTGACAGGCGAGCCTAGCTCATTGTTTGGTCTTTCCGGGCGGAAGCGGAATGTCGAAAATGATCGGGTCGTAGGCGCTTCGCAGCTTGTGATCGCACAGCGCCGCGTTGATGAACGTCGTCTCTCCGTTCGTCGTCACACCGTGCTTCTGTAACAAAATAACGTCGACTGGTTTTCTTCAGATGCATAGCGTTCAATGATGCCGAAGAAGTCTGTCAATCGCGCCCCATAGTGGAAGAGCGTAATTGGCCGAATTTCGAAGCTCTACTATTTCCTACCTGATGCACATGCCCGAACACGTGGTACTTGGGCTTCACACGCTGTTCGACAGTGTTGAGCAGCTCGGCACATCCGCACAGAATACCGTCCATCTTGTCCCACGCGTTGAAGTCTCCGTGGCCGAGCGGCGGAGTGTGAGTCATCAGAACGTCGATTTTGGCGGGAATCTGATTCCATTTGTGGAGAATCTTCTGTCCTCTCGGGCGGTAGAACGAGTATCCGGGCATCGAGTGCCACGGTGCTCCGTAGATTTTGAGGCCGTACGCTTCGTAGGATTTGTCGCAGAGATATGTGCAATTGGAGAGCAATTCGTAGGCCTTGTTGATTCCGAGCATGTTCAGTCCCGCCAGTTGACGTTCGCTCATCTCCTCGCCGTCCTCGAAGCCCAACTCGTGATTTCCGGCGATGACGATCTTGTGTTTGTGTGGCAGACTTCCTGAATTTGACGCTCCATTACTACTGTTCTCTCACTTTCACTCGACTCACCAATTTCCGCGTTAAACTTGATCACTTCTCCAATGTCGCCGCAATTTGTAAAGTCGCCAGAATGAATGAGAACGTCGCCATCGGGAATGTATGGAAGCACCTGCAAACTAGTTGTTTTCCGTCGCGAATCGAGGCAAGAAGACACGCACCTCGTGCAGTTTTTCGTGTGTATCCGAGATGCATACAAAACGAACTTTGTTCTCGAATATCGGAGTGTCCAGTCTGCGAATAATTTACCTGAAGATATCGCCACAAAAGGGCACTTGCTCACCTCATCGGCTTCAAAGGCTCACAAACTCTTCCCTGCTTCACATACTTCTTCCAACAATCAATCGGTTTGGCGGACAACGGATCCACGAGGACGTAGTTGTCCGACATACTGAAATGAAAATGAAATAAACTGAATGAATCTTGAAGGGACTCGAGAGGGATGCAAGTGTGGGGTGAAGTGGCAGAATAAACAGTTACAAAACCGCTAACTAATACGGGAGGAAAGTGTGTCCATTGTAGGGGTGTAGGGGAGACACAATTGTACGATCGCAGTGTGATAGTGGTGGTGAGACGGAGAGAAATCCGAGGAGATATCCGTTCGCCAAAGCGCCCAGTTCATGAAAACAATAATCAATTGCGATCGGAAGCACTTTTCAGTCGCCCGCTCTCTTATATTTCTTCATCGTTCACACTATTTGACGGCGGTAACAACACGACAGAAAAGTGAATCGTCGATGGTGTTTGGGGGTGAATAGAATAGCGTCATATATAATTATAGACGTTTGCGCGAGACGGACGGATGCATCAGCTGTTTCACGTGAAACGAAACGACGGGAACGAAAACAAACATGGAATGTGGGCGAAGATTGCGGTGGCAAAGGGCACTCTCGCATCCAGTCGTCGCCATCCTGATCAGAAAACAGAGGAGGAAAGAAGAAGAAGGGAGAGGGACAGTTCGAATGATCCTCAGGAACCCCCCAAGGTACGGGAATCGGAGGGGGCGATTAGCGGCGAGGACGAGGCGTCATTCTGCCGTCGCCGCCATCGGCAACCACTTCCTCCGTGATCTGCCATGAGATGTTTTGTTTGGAACTGGTTCGGCCGGGGAGGCAGACGGCCCCCCGGTTACTGGTAGACGAATGGACGTCCCTGCCAAACCGTAGTACCTACTGGCTGGAAAGTGATGAACGGAGGAGGGAGGGGGTGAACACGGCCGGCTGGATGGATGAGGGGAAAAGAGAAACGATTTGATCTCTCAGAGAAAGGGAGAATTCGAAGATCCGATAGGAGGTTCGGAGTCGCTCTCCAAGCATAAAACCGATGGGTTATCTTTCTAGGACACTTGTAGCACGGTACCAGGCCGCTAGAATGAACGATGGAAGACGCGCGGATGGCAAGATCAAACAGCAGTTTGCAAAGGCAAACAGCGCCGCGTTCTCGCCACATCATCTTATCAGAAAACGAGAGAAAGAGGGGAGAGAATGTAACCTCTAACCATCCAAAAATACATATCATCTGATGCGGAAAACAGAGAAAAAAGTAACACCACCTTATTTCACTTCGCCGAATTTTGATCTACACCGAGTCTGTGAGAGAAAGAGAGAGAGAGAGAGAGAGAGAGAGGGACTGGTTCTCAAGAATAAGTTCCGAAAGTAATAATTATGCTGAGTGAGAAGCGCGGAGAGAATCAGGTGATGTCCCGTGGTATCTGAGATCGATGACGAATCTAGAAGCCGTGGAGATGACTATCTGGAGAGCCTTGAAGCGGTTGTAAAAATCGAATTGTTCAGCGAAAACGGTTAATCGAGTGGCCCCCAACGAGAGGCACAAACCTCAATTGTCAAGTCAAGAAGAGAGAAGAGAAGACGATGATGATTTTCGGGACGCACTCGTATTTGTAACCCTCATAACTAAACAAAAACACACAAAAATTGGAGTCAATTTGAGAAACATCATCATCAACATTCGATTGTCCTCTACCACCTCCATGAAAAAAAACAAAAGATCGAAGGCGTGACTTCATTAATTTCAGCTACTTGACAGAGAACACACTAATTATGGATGAGAGATGAGATGATGATTGGCAAGCAGTTTGTCAAGTATAGTAGTTATGTAGGTTGAGTGGCCAATAACTATGCGAGGCAAGAAAAAACGGAGAGGAATGAGGGGAAGGGGAGGAAGCGATGGTTAATCACACCGTCGGATCTTCACAGAAACGGACGACGACGCCGAGGATGTCGGCCGAAAGCGAGGCTATCGAAAACGAAATTTTTGGAGGAGGTGGAAAGGGGAGAGAGACTGGCCCTCTGCTGCTTTTTTTGGTTTTCTTCCGCAAGTTCATCGTGATAGCGTAAGTGAATTCGCAATTGACGCAAAAGCGAAAAAAACCGTTCTTTTCAAGGTCAATGAGAGCAGTTTTTTGAGTGGCGAAGCGGGACGTAACATTCAAATGACGCTATTGAATTGTAAATGAAGATGTGATCCAATCCAGGGAGATTGCACAAACAACCAAACCGGCTCTACCTCCTACAGAGTTATTACCGACACGAAAACACTTGAGACTCCTCCTTCTCATCCTCATCCGCAATGACTTTCAGAACGATTGACCGACAGAACAACGGATCGCGCGGACGGAAAAAAAAGAGACACAGACATCGATGATAACGGATTTATCATCTGACAAGGCGAGAACGCACAGAAAATGGCTGCAGCGGACGGGGGGACAAGCGGATCCATGCGAAGCGGCGCATCTGATTCGAAACGCTTTGCTGTGGTGGCATTGCCTTCGTCGTCGTCGTCGTCGCCGCCGCCAACAGGTTTCCGAGTGCGGATAATGATCACCCATATTCTGGCGACGATTCTGAACAAGACGACGACGCGGATGGAGCAGAAGAGGGTGTTTGCCGACGAGAGAAGGCTCCTCTTGAATTGGGCTGGCGGCCTTGCGAATCGCAGGTTACGACTACAAAAAGTGACCCCCCTCCGACCGCTATTCTATTCAATTGAATACACATAAACAAACAATCGGGAAGCGAAGGGAATGTGTTCAATGAGTTCTTGTTATTCTGATTCGATCCAGCGGAGGAGGGTGTAATCACTGTTCTTTAGGTGGGAAACATCACGCGCCCAATCACCAACCACTGATCCAACTTTTACACACTCCACAAAGTGTTTGTCCCTTCCGTTTTGTGTGGCGTTGAAGTCTTACAATCGGATATGCAGCGACACAGGGTCATAAATCTCAATTTTTTGCGAATCAAAGCAATTCGTCTCTGTTTGAACATGTGGAATAGGCAATGAGAAGGCACTCCGTACAAAAGGAGGCGCTGCGGATGAATGAGCACTTTCCTGCTCTCCTCAGGCAACCATGCGAGCCATCCTCTTCCTCGTTCTTCTCGTCGCCATCTCGTGGACTCTTCTCGACGTCGTCGACTCGAAGGGCGTTCCGGCGAAGCGCGTCAAGAGACAGTACTACGGTGGATACGGTGGATACGGATACGGAGGCGGCTGCAACTGCCCCACCTATGCTCCATGCCCGCACGGTGAGCATAGGATCAGATGTTCCGCCGGCTAAACTTGAACTTACAGGCGGATACTACGGTGGATACGGTGGCGGATATGGCGGATACGGTGGCTACGGCTACAAGAAATAAGGATCGAAATCTGATCAACTTCTCCGAATTCATTGTAGTTTTAGAAATAAATGCTTCATTTCGCAGAATATTGAGAGTACGGACACGTAGTGGAAAGTGAGATTTGATCTCGATTTGATTGATTGCAGCAGAAGGATCATCGATTGCTGCCCAGGAATATCAGTGCTGAAAAGACGAGTGATCCATCTGGGGATACCTCTGGCTCTTACTGTTCTTCGTGAAATTTCCAGTCGCCACGACACAAACGCTGAATCCGCAGCCTACAAAAACCCGAACTTTTCACTCGAATCCGCCCCTGGCTCTCACCTGAATCGCAGCACTTTTGTACATTGGTAAACACGCAATCACCGTCGGATTTGCACGCTTTCATGACTTTTCTCGCCTTCGACGACTGACAGAAATACGCCAATTGTTGTTGAGACGGACAAGTCTTGAACCTGTAACCTTCCGAATTTTATCTCCAGTTCGCGATCTTCTCCGATTACTCTTCGGTCTTTCGTTCCGTCGTCGGCGCGTGGTTCGTCTCCATACAGCATCTCAGTTTGCTTTTGTTCTCGCAACTGTAACCCGAAGCACATGCGACGTCCCTTCGGCATTGCTGGAAAGGTATGTAGTTTGTGTGATTCTGGGAGATTCTAATCTACTTCAAGTTTCTCTCTCTCCCTCTCTCTCTCTTTCTTAGGTGGAAACAAGAAACATGCCATTCGACCGAATGGGATGGATAAACGGAAGGCGACAAACCTTGTAGCCGTCATCGAGTGTCGTCGAGCAGATCGGAAGGATCGGCTTCTTGAACTTCTTCGCCAATTGCAACTTTTCATTGCGTTTCTCTATGTTGGCAATGATTTTTGCCAATGGCGATAGTGTAGTTGAATTGGAGCCTAGGAAAGTGTCAGAGCTAGAAAATATTATTGTTATGCACTCACTATCTGTAGTAGAGTTGCCAAGGTGATTTGATCGCATTCGGCAGTGGTTCGCTTGATCGCCTTCAGATACAAGCACAATTTCAGAGTTCTCGGAGACGAAGACAGCTGGGAGAAGGGAAGAAAGAGCAGAAGAAGGAAAAGTGTCGAGCATTGCATCTTCTCGCGCTTTGCACTCGAACCTCTCGCTGCTGGATCGACGACGCAATGTGTGCATATGTCTGTGCTCAATTAGCTGCGCCGCGGCGCAAACAACACGAATCGTCGTCACCGTTTGACCGGAGAGAGAGAGAGAGAGAGAGAGAGAGAGGAGGGCACAAACAATGACACTTATTCTTGCCTTTTTTGAGTGACAAAGTGTTGTTCGATTTGAACAGGCATGTTTATTATGGGCAGGAACAAAGTTCAAATCTCATACTTGAGAAGGGGTCCCTCCTCTTCCGGCAGCTCTTCGTTCTCATCTTTTTCTTCTTCCTCGTCTCTCGTCTCGTTTTCATCGACTTCTTCTTTATTGGAACTCGACGGCGGAATGAATGTGTCGAGAAGTATCTTGTCAAGTCTGAAAAGAGGTACAGTACTCGAGATGTGATCAGTGACAACCTTATGAATGGAATTTCCACAATGAGACTAAGGAAAAGGGCGACGAAGTAAGAGTAGGCAACGATTGGAAATGAAAAGTGGAAAGTCTGAAAACCAAGAAATCGTTTCAAGACTACATCCAATTCGAATCGAATGCTCACGTTCCGCCAGAAGCTGACGTATCTCGGCGCCTGCTCCTCCATGTTGAACACGTGGTACATTGCCATGTGATGGACGATGAACGCACAGAAAGAGAGTTTTCCGAACGGGCGCCAGAACGGATGCTCCAGGAAATGAGTGAGCGGCCCTGCCCACTTCAGATGAGAAGACACAATGATCCACGCGAGACAGAGCGACCAAACCGTTCTCACGAGCACGTTCGTCGTGGCTCTCTCCGCCTGACTGAAATCGAAATATCTCTATGATCTTTTTTTTGCTTCTTTAGAACCTACCTAGTCCCCAAATTGCCGAAAAAGACAGAGAGCAATGCGAGAATGATCACAATGACCCAGATGATTGCAGTGGCGATCGGATGAAGGACCTTCTTGCTGCCTGCCGAAATGGCCAGAATGTACCCGACAATCATTCCCATCATGTAGGGCTCCATCTGATTCCAAGGCTTTGACAGAACAATCTCAATCAAACTATCATCCAATCTGAATTTTCATAATTTCAATGTTCTTGACTTTTCTAGACACTAACATGTGATCTCCCGTGAATGCAGCATGCAGGTGTTCGTTTTGAATGAAGAAAAGGTAAGTGAGTCCAATGCTGACAAGAACAGCAATCACGGAGAGAACGGTCCCTGGGAAGTGAGACGATAAAGTTCAGGTTCGGATTCGGCTGAAATTTGCTACCTACCGAGCATAGAAGACACGTAGAAGCCGATCATAAAGATGGGAGCGACGAGAGTGAACTGGAAATCAACGGCCAAATGCCACGCGGGCAAGTAGCACATCTCGTCGACGGGCACAAAGTTGCTGATGTGAATGATGTCCTTCCAGTACGTGCACCGATCCGTCTGGGTCACCATCGAATCTGAACGTCTCTTACTGATCGCAACTCTCCCGATTCTCTCACATCCCGTCAATGAATCATACGGTCCTTGAATGTATTTTCCGTACGCGTCGAAGAATCCGATGAAAACCATGAGGGCAGAAGTCAGTCTGAAAGTGACAACTGGTTCCGTATGCCTCAACAACTTGTACCTTATCCACCGATGAAAGTAAAACACAATCCATGTGATGGGTCTTTTCAAAATGGCGGTCGCCGGTTTTGCCTGGAAATGTTTTTGTTATGATGCGCGTTACGAATGAGATCAAGTGTACTCTAATGAATCGATACGTCACAGTGAGGCCGGACATGAAGAGATACGTGTAGATGGGGATGAGGCTGGAAAGTGCCGAGTCGACGAACGAGGTCCGCGAGGGGTCCACTCGCAGTTCGCTGTCTGCAGAAGCCAAAAGACGAATTTGCCCAGCCCTGCTTCAAGTTACCATAAAATGCGAGATGTCCCACCACATTCTGTCCAACTACCCAAGCGAAAGTGAGTGTTCGGATGCAGTCCAAACTGCGAATGTAGCCGGGACGATTGTCTTTGAACAGACAGACAATGTTCGACCAGAGGGACCACGACAGAATGGCTCTCTGGCCGAACACTTCCTCCGACTCCGAACTCAATCGATATCTGGTCTCTCTAATATAATCGTACAGAGAAGAGAAGAACACGGTACCGGCTAGCAAAATGACAAAGCTTCTGAAAGTGAGAAAAAAAGTTGCCTTCTCAGAAATAAGAATCCCTCACGTGAAAACATAATACATGCTCAACTTGGGAATGCCCCTCTTCGAACAGAACACTGCGCACACTGGCTGGTCAATCATAAACGAGAACGGTCTCTTCAGATTCCCGAAAATCGACGCCATATCTTTTCCGTGACAGTTCTCGGGCGCACAAATGGCAAACGCAGTTCGATTTGGCTTGTAGAGAACCGAATAATAGTCCTTTCGACAGTTTTTGTTCTTCCCATCGCTGTGTATCAAATAGCAATGTTTCCGTCGGAATCCCTTCTTTCCGTTCAATCCCACACATTTCCGAAAGGATCCCTCGTAAATGTTGGGCGTGCCGACAGACGGATATCTCGCGAAGGCGTCCAACTCTGAAATTATCATGTTCCCTGACTCGCTCCTATTTTTCTTCATAAATCTTTCATTTGCAGCTGACTTTCCTGCGAGAAATAACAGAAAAACATAATTTGCGAATGATGAATAATTGAGTTCGCGGCGAGCCGCCGCCGATTTGCAGAGCCGGCACCAACTCACGGGTCAGCGAGTCCGAGCACTCTTCGCTCGCATTGCACTTTCCGTCCCGCAACATTTTCAGATCATTGAACCATTTCTTTATCTCCGTTTTACAAGCGTCCGGCGTCGGCAGCTCATTCGGATCGGCAGTCTTCTTCCGAAAAACGAGTCGATCCTCAGAATACGACACGTTTGTGAGCAGTTCCTGAAAGGCTCATGTGAGCAGTCTCCTTGAAGACCCGAACAATTCACCTGAATCTTCTGACTGTTAACCGCTTCCGTCTCACTTTGCAATAGAATCCAAATAACAACGAGATAAAAGTAAAATCGCATTTCATACTTTGCAATGCATTGGCTTTTTCCCTCAAATATTCGTGCAACTGTTCAACGATCCTGTCTGGTTCACGCACGTAAAGTGAAAAAAAAAGAAGTTTTGTTTAAAAAATCGCTTGCCCTCACTACCTACCCCCGCGAGGTTTGTTTTCGCTGAAGAGAGGCGAGTCGTGTAAATACATACTTAGATACTACAGTAACCTGTTTTTGCAGTGACAACAATCTGCTGGCGACCACTTGAAACATCCGGGAAGTGCTAGAAGGCAATGCTGCACTTTTGCTGGAAGTCGCACACACTTGAAACACAACATTGAATCATTTATTCGTTTGTTTTATATCTGACAGTTCAGTTCCAGTCCTTCAGAAAAGTACAGGAGGGGGAGGAGAATGGAGGGAGGAAGAATCCCGTCGCGAGGACTCGTATACAGACACCCGTGGATTGAATGAGAGATTGTGGTTGCAAGTGCGGAGGATGGATCCTCCTATGACTAGACACAGTGAGCAGGGGGCGGGTCAGACGGTTGGACCCTGGTTGCGAGATTGAGATTCGGGCGTTCGGTACGGCTTCATGTTTGCGACTCAACGGCACTCGGCGGCCACCGAGAACTCGTCCTCCTCCAGAATGGTCGGCATTGGCTCGATGTGCGAGAACTGCGAGTTAATCGACGACCTGAAATTAAATAAAATAAATTGAAAAATAAGCGCCACACATCATCATCATCTTTTTGTTGTTTACTGGACCCACGCAAAGAATTCGATTGTTTTGTGAGTGTAGTAAAATTGGCTTTGTCAGGTCGGCGGTTAGTACGGCGCCGTTCAAAACACGTACATTGACGGGGTGTTTTGAATGGTTTGCCTGCTAAACCAACTCATGAAATTGCTCGTTTCTAAGAGCTCGCTAATCCGCGCTGCAAAACAGAACGGAAGCAAACATTCGGTCATTAGGAGATGCTTTCCCGCACGTTTCATCCACTTTTGCCACCTACCTCTGTCTCTGCTTCTTTCGTTGCTCATAGATTTGCGCAAGACACGACTTGGAGGATTGGACTTGATCTGAAAGTGAAACGGTTTTGATGATGATCGGCACAGGTCTTCGAGTACTCCACTTTATAGCCCATCGCCCGAATTCCTTTCTTTCTCTGCGTCTTCCCCCCTTTTCTCTCACTTTTCACAATTAGTACGTGGAAGAAGGAAAGAAGAAGAAGGGGGAAGCTTCAAAACAACAAACCATCTCGCTCGGAGACTGTTTGACCACTTCTCAGTCATGCGCCAACGCTCAGGATCAGTGAGCCAAAACTAAAGGTCAGGAGGCAGCAGGAGGCACGTGCGGTTTTGAATCGTAAAGACAAAAAACCCGAGCGCAAACACATCAAATTTTGGTCGGATGGAAAGGAAAAAGGTGCAGATGGGGGGCTACTTTTTGAACTGGGACTCACTTCCTCTTCCGACGAACTTGAGCAGCTTCATCAGAAAGCTCTTCTTTTTGTTGGCGACGAGCATGGCTGGAGATGTAAACGGATTGGTTGCGATGCGCTGAAATTGAATTGGCTCTCCAAAAGGTTTGGATTGGTACGTCACGACGAAAAGATAAATGGATCTTTGCGAGAGCAAATGAAAGAGAAGACAATGGAAGAGGTTTCGAGTTGAGTGAGCAGCCGGAAATGACGGGGTACTCGGACAATGAACCGGAAGCGGCTTGTCAATGGCCGTTGGCTCGGGAAGAAGTGAAAAAACAAAAAAGTTGAGGCTCGGACCGTCGGAACAGCCCCAATATTCGGTATGTATCCCTTATGAACACGGGGGGCCCGGGCGTCGCCCATCAAAAGAGGCGGAGCTTATGGCGGCCGAAGCTCCGCCCCCATCGAGAGGAGCGTCGTTGGCAAAGCGCCAGCAAGAGGCAAGTAGGGGCAGAACATATGTTCTAGTGATCTACTGATATATCTGAAGGCGAAACAGAGGACAATAGGATGATTCGTCAAATGGTTCGTAGGGAAAATATAGTCTCCGTGACCGATTCGGATAGAAATAGACACGAATGCGTGGGAAATGGCAGGATCGGATTAGTTAGGCAAGTTGCTAAATTAAGAAAAAGATGTGAAAAGATTGGAGAAAGAGCTTAAGAGGATAATCTGGGGAGAATGTTATCCGAATGATGCGATTGAAAGAGCCAGCAAAAGAGGGGAAAGGAGGAAGCCGTGCAACGGACGGGAGAACCGATTGATGGGGCCACTTCAGAAGGAGAAGAAGAAGAAGAAGAAGAAAGGAGAGCACGAAGAGCAAGTATGACTCACGGGGGAATGAGTCAAGTTCCCCTCGGAAGGGTAGCAGGAGACCGATACTATTTGTTTCCTTTTTTATTGTTTTCCTCTCGCGGGAGGTGTCTGATTCAACTAAGACATCAAATCAGAGGAAAACAAGTCGTTAAAACAAGGGTTTCAACGTTCTGTTTATCAGCCTGTCCCATCCGTTGCTGAGTTCTGCAGCGTCTTCTAATCGGAATACTCTTCTTGGGAATCTGAAGCAGACGTGCGGTAAAAACTCGTCAAAACACGGGCCACTTCCCGGTTTTGCTCGAAAAGAAGTGAGTAATGGAGTTCAATAAGAATAAGCCGTTCATGCGAACGTCTTCTTTAGAATCCTCCCTCCTTCCTTGTTTTTATTTCGCTCAATGCGTCTGCCATAGATCAAAACGGCAAGAGCTCCGCTCCAAGAACCGCTTTGATTCGTACGTACATTTTTGATGAATCGGAGCGCGCCAAAAAGTGACGAGGGCCCGCGGTTTCGAGTGAGAAATGACCAGTTAAATTTGGATCATGAATAATGGATGTGTATGGAAATTGTCAATTTCGACACATACGCGCACCCAAGAATCGAGGCAAAGGACAGAAAGAAAACGAAGAGAGATGGTGACTAACGATCGAATGAAAATGAGTGAGGAGGAACCTCGTGTAGTTGATGTAGTGTTTCCATAAAGGTGTAAGTCTCCATGACATCATTCTCTATGTGATCCGTCCAGATACCTCCCGACTGACAAATCTTGCAGACGGTAAACCCTTTCTGTTATTATCGCTCTCGGCACGTGATCGGTTCCCATTGCTTAGGGACCGCTCGGAAATGATATCATCAGCTGATAATTATGTACACACCCTCTTCTGTTTGTTTGCCTTTCGTCTCCGAGCAGTAGTTTTTCCAAACACTATATGAAAGTTTCTTGTCAACTTTCATGCCTCCTACTATTGTTATTTCCGCAAAGCCAACAAACACACGAAACAGGATGGCTCTGAATATAGCATCAGTCGTTTATGTTTGCCCACCGACAGCCGCTTTTCTTCGTCTGTTTTCGGCGCCCCAGTCGTACGTGCATATTTACCAAAAAAGGACACGCACATGGAGGCGATGCACTCGGAGCGAAAGAACCAAAAGAGTCTTTATCATTCATTGGGAGGAGCGTGTGCTCAAATCTGACGCAACAATCCAACGAGACGCTGTCCATCTAATTAAGAGTTTTAGCAGAAAGAGTGATTGATAAGACTACAATCTGCACCGGGAACTGGCAATCGGAAGTTTGTCGAACCCTTGGATGAACCCGGGGGTCGTCAAGGACCGGAATCGATCAAACAGCGACGGTGTGTACGAAGAATGACCAAAACATTTTATCACATGACTCATCAAACCGGCGATTCCACGTGTTTCTAGAGTGTTCTCGAGGATTCAAAGAAAAAGGAGAAGAAGGAACCATCTTGAGAGAACTTCTTGATCATCTGACTCCCTGATTGCTCCCACGCCATAGAGCTCTAACTGATCGGGCTCAAACAATGTTGGAATGTTTACCGGTGGTCGAATCGAATCACCTGATACTCTCGGTTTGAGCTCTAAAGAAGGCACGTGGGGGCTCGATAAGAGTAAAGACCAGCTGTCTCATGAACCGCGGGCGAAACGGAATCGCTTGTGATAAGAAAGAATCATAGACAATTGCGTAGTGAGCATTGAAAAAGAGCACTCTTGGTTGCTTTCGGAGGGAAAAGAGGAATCCGATGAAAAGCTAGGGAAGTGTAGTGTTTTTCTTGTGAGCGGATAATGAGGAGAAGAGGCCAATTTACAGACTGCGAGTGACACATTGAAGGAAGAAGCGGAAGTTTGCGAGTCACGGGGCCAAGAATACAAAGATGACCCGCAAAGCGATTAATCCAGGGCCATTTTCAATGACTCTTTGGTGCCGGGCACGGAAAAGAAGCGAGAATCGTTTAATTTCCCTTTTGTTGATACTTTCTCCCGCGCTCATTACTCAATTTCTCACGCCGTCGCCTCCTCCTCCTCCTCATCATAAAAAGCCGCTAAAAATAGAGGGGCGCACACCTTTTTCGGTCATGACAATTACGAAATGGTTTAAAAATGAATGCGGCTGGTGGCACTGTCCGGAAACAAACAAAGGAGTGAGTCATCCGTGTGGAGTGACCAAACAATTATGAGTAAAACGGGTAGTTCGACCCCAATTGAAGGACGACGACTGCTTCTTGTGACGAAGAAGCAGAAGCTGAAATTGAAGTGAATTGCAAGAGGCGCCAGGAATTCGACTAATCGGGGACGAATTCCACATTCTTCCAGATCAGCGATGGGCGACCGATTCGGCCAATTTTGGATGGGTCTGTCTGCTGTCTGCTGCCACGAATGCAAATGAGAAGGGGCAAAATACGAAGAGTTTGGGGAAGAGAACACCTTTGATTTCTGCGAGCTTCAGAATGATCGTGATCGAAATGAGAAGAAGGGGGAGGAGAAGGTGTTCGTCAAAAAGTAGCGGTTGCGCGACGGGTCGACCGGCAGAATAAGAAAAAGAAGAAGAGGAAGACAAAAGATGAGAGCGAAACCGCCGTTATTCTTCTGTTTGCGGTTTGCCTTGTAGCCTCGAATAATGGGACGAATTGTGGGGTCAGAGAAGGACGATCAAAGAAGCATGAAGAAGCCAGTTACAGCGGCGGAAGCGAAGGAAGCGAGTGACCGGCGCTAAGTTCAGACAAACTGTACTGTACTGGAAATGTGAAGGATAGCTTGTTGACCAGATGAAGCCAGATGAAGCTGTTTCTTGAGCGTCGGAGGGGAAAAAAAGAAGAAAACAAGCGTCAAAAATGAGTGGTGTTTGGACAGAGACATCATTCGAAAGATCTATGACAGCTCAACTCAACTCCGGGCGGTCCCGCTCTATTTTGGTGGTCGGTCGTCAACTTCTGCGGACCACCACTTCCTCCTCATTCATCAAACTCCCACCCGCCAACTCGTGAACCTTATTCGCACGTTTATGCAATATGCAGACGTGCTGCCGTGAAACTCGAGCGCTTTTCAATTATTCCAATTGCAAAATGGGCTCGTTTCATGGGAAATGTCACGAGAATGCACCGAAAACAATGGAGAGGCAAAAAAAGCGTTCAATGATTGATGCGCCCTCTTCTTCTTCTTCTTTCTCGTCGGCTGTCCTCGTCAACAGTCAGATCTTCTCTCAACATGTAAAACATCTTCGAATTGATAACAGAATTGGTGATAACGTCTCTTAAATCGTTTGCCGCCCGCCGCCCCCCAACAACAAGGAACTAATTCGAGAAAGTACGGAGAAACTTGTGTTGGGACCGTGAAATAGAGGAAAATTGTGAAGAAGTGAAATGGGCGAAAAGCGTCTCGCGTTGCCCGACCGACCGGCCGGGGGTGTCTAACAAAGGGTGTAACAAGCCGCCTTTCGGGTATCGATCACAGATCAACGACTGTCCGACGACACTCTTCAGACGACTTCTTCCCTCGCGGATTTCGAGCACTTTCGGAAACATTCTCTCGCACTTTTTCGAGTTCAAAACACAATCAGTTCGTCTCTTTTCATCCGTGCCGATAAGAAAACGCGAGTGTTAACGATTTGTAAGAAAAAAGAAAAAGAAGAAGAAGAAGAAGGGACGGAGTGATCGAAGATGAGACACCCGCATCTTTCCCTCTTTTCAGGGGCTTTTGTACTCACTCCAGTTGAAAAAATGGAAATGCGGTTATTGTTTTCTCGGCCGCATCCGTATCGCCAGATAAACCGAAATATTTACTGAAATGATTTCATACCAAGATCAATAAACATGCAAAAGTGGGAATTAGACAGTATCCCTTTGCCCTCTCGTGGTCTTTAAACAATCCACCAACGACCAGACGGATACCAAAACAGATTGTCTGTGTCTGGGTCGGACGATCCTCGATCGCAAACAGAAAGTACAGTTGTCTGCGAATCCCGGATTACGATGGCGTTTTGGGCTCGCCGAATTGTTTTCATAAACTTCGATCTTTGTTTTCGCCCGCCATCCTGTCTGTTTTAATCAAGAGATTGCGCGAATCAAAGGTTGGGGTCGATTGGATAATGAATTCTAATTATCCATTTTCAACTAAGACCATCTGACTGTGTTGAGAACTTGTCCTCGAGACTCTGGTTTCATTTTGTGTGACTTGGACTCACTTTCTGTGTCCGACCACGAGGAAGTGTCCAGAAGTGTTCATCTTCATTCTCACGAGGGATCCTTCCTAATCAAGTTCTCATCATAGCCTGCATTCCATTCGATTCCATCGTCGACTTTCGCCTTCTGATGACGCAACAGCTTCACAAAAAACGATCTCCAGCCGATCCTTCGGAGGGATAACGTGCCCCGTCGCAGTGTCTGTCTTTCCCCATTTTCATCTCCGCGGGTCGACGATAACAAAAACGAGTATTCCCCCCGCCGGCCTTAATCCCTTTTCTTACTTATCATTAACGAGGCGGAATAGTTTGTGATGTTCAGAGAAGAACACGAGAGATCACGGGGGATCTGATATCATATAGCCACCTCGAACGAAGAATCGGAACGGAACTCGAACCTCGTCGTCACTCTTCAATGGCCCTGACTTTTACCGTAATCCTATTAGTCCGCCAACACATCAACAAGTTAGCAAAGTCTCAAAAACCTCACATTCCGGAAGGGATTCCCCCTTTGTCACATTTCAGTTTTCTGCAAAGAATTCAAGTGCACGAGAACCGGATTATCATATCTCTTTCTCTCTCTCTCTCGCTCACCTTTTCAGAAATCAGGAGACAGTAACCGACTGTCAACTGGCCATTGACCAGCCAATCCTTACATTTATGAGATCGTAAAAACAGGAAAGGCAGCAGTGATCAGTCCTCAAATCAACACACGGAGGACAATCCAACGGCGACGGGAAGGGGGGCAAAATATGTACCCGGGGGGAAGAAAATCTAGCGAGGAAAACAGAGCAATGCCTAGAAAATGGGCGGTATTTGGAGGAAAATTCAAATTTTGAAGTGATTTCTTGTGATTTTTGTAAAAATAGGTGAAAATTTGTGACAAACAATGCACGCTTTGAGCCCGGACACGCTCCGCACACGTGCTAGAAAGCACTGGAAAATGAGAGACGGAGAAAAATCGTTCGATTTGAAATTTTGGATTGGAAAGTCTGTGCTCGAACACTCTATTGAGTTCCATGGAAGCGCCGTTCAGATTGCCCGTAATGCAACTTTTCGGCGCCCGTCAACGAAGGACAACAAAAAGCGCATTTGAAAAGAAACAACAGATTTTTAGAAATTCCGATTCATTTAGCGGGAAACCGCCAACAATTTACAAAAGATAATGAGCAGATTTATTTAGAAGACTTATTCTCGACGGCTTGCTGAATGGGAATGGATCTTCCCTGAATGCTCTCCGCCTTCTTCCCTTCAATCGAAAGGTTTCCGTCCTTGGTGAGATTCGAGACAACGCTCGCCAAGTCGACGTCTTCGGGCATCAGAATGATTCTGGAGAAGGACTTCTTCGAGTATCCGTGCTCCGTTTCCTCCTCCTGCTCCCCTTCGATCGTCAGCTTTCTTCCGTCCAAATTGATCTTCAACTCTTCCGGTTTGAACTGCGAAACGGACAGATTGACGGCGAACTTTTCCGAATTGTTGACAATCTGAAAAACATTTGATGAGTTATTGTGGAAAAGAAAAAGAAAGTTGAGTTTAGGACAGTTGGAATTTAAAAAATTAAGTTTCACGTCGAATTTCCTGATTTTTCCGGGCCGGGCGTATGAAAATTATCATTTCAGTCCGGTCCGGCCTGTTGCAAGTCTGAAAAGAAGAGCTCACCTCCGAGCCAGCAGAAAATTGATCGATTCGGTCGACGAACGGGTCCATTCTGGCCATATCTCTCATCATTTCACCCACGAGAGTGTGGGGTCTCGGACGGAAGAACGGGTTGAGCGACATTGCAGGTTTCGAAAGTGCGCAGTTGAAATGAGCGGTGCGAAGAGTTCGATTGGCCCGCTATTTATAGTCGTGTTGTTTACTTGTTTACACTTTTCGGTTTGTTTACTTGTTTGTTGTTTTTCTAGAACTTTCCAATTGTTTCATTGCTCGCAGGCGGCGGCGATAGAGCGTGCAAATTGGAGAGACGCAGAGTCTGTTGTGTCTGCGTCTCTCGTGTCTGATGTTCACTCGATGCTTCTCGAACACTCTGGCATTCGCCCAAAACAGGTATATAAGCGAGTGCATTTCAGAAAAGGGCATCGTCGCACTTTGCTCAAGTGACTTCAATTGACAATGCTTCTGCTCCGTGGTCCCTCCGACTCTTGCTCTTTCGATCGGCTCTTCGATGAGCTCTCTCGCGGATCCGTCCAGCTGCCCTACTGGAGAGACGCCGATCACAGCTCGTTCAACTTCTCCAACACTGTCGGAGAGGTAGGATACTGAATTTTTTCATTTTTTCAAATTTTATTCTTTTCCAGATCGTCAACAACGACTCCAAGTTCGCTCTGCAACTCGACGTCTCCCACTTCAAGCCCGAGGAGATGAAGATTGAATTGAACGGGCGTCAACTCAAGATCGAGGGAGAACAGGAGACGAAATCGGAGCACGGCTACTCGAAGAGATCCTTCTCGAAGACGATTCTGCTTCCGGAGGACGCCGATCTGGCAGCGCTCAAGTCGGCCATCTCCAACGACGGCAAACTTCAGATCGAGGCTCCGAAGAAGGCGAACGGCGCTTCCAGATCTATCCCAATCAACTTTGTCCACAAGCACTGATCATTCCGATAATTTATTGTTCACATGTGAATGTTTTCGTTCTTTCCCAAATAAATGATGATCCTTGTAAGAATTGCGTACTTCAAGTTTTGCCGGAGATGGGAAAAGGGCCATTCTTCGCTTCCAATCAAGAGAATAAGCCCAATCCCTCTAAAAATCTTCAAATTTGAATGTTAGGTCATTTTTTTCAACGCGTTTTCCTAGAACTTCGAAGCCAGCCAGTTTTCTCAAGTCAGTGGAGTCAGTGATGAGAAGAAAGAATCATGACGACTTGATTACCGAAGGGCAGTTTCACCTGAATTAGAAACTCACCACTTGGTGAAGTGTTCTCCAACTCTTACAAGTTTATCCAGTACTTTTCAGGGCCGCGCGCACGCAGCCCCGATACGCAAAAATTAAACTGTTGGCGAATCTCAACTCGAGACTGCCACACGGGTCAGCCCGTCCAAAAGTGCAATGGACAGGCCTCGCCATGGGGATTCCGTCTTGATGATCACGAAATACCCCCAGCCAGGTAAGTTTATGAGACGCCGGCCGGAGGGAGTAGTTGTGCCGCATGGACGGACGTCTCGCGGGTTCCGCCGCTCGCTATGCATTGCACGCGGGGTGGGCGGAGCCTGTTCCGTCAGCCGGCCGGCAGAAGGGAGAGCGCTCGGGAAACGGCGAAATTGAAGTGGAAAAGATGGAAAAGAGGAATGATCGCGTTTTTCAGACTTTCCTAAACAATTTTCTGACGATTGTCCGAACACATTTGCTTAGTTTCTAATGAGCAACATGTGAGCTCGGCTGGTTTTTACGTGTTCTGTAAGCAAAATCATGAAAACAAAAAAATAAAATTGTGTTCAGTCAACTTTGTCATTCATTTCAATCTTTTCTTCTCATGAGCACGACTTTCTTCCTTGGATTTGTTTTTGAGTCTGTGCACCTCCCCGTACCAATTGATTCCACCGTTGTCCCGATTCCCGTTGGGAGTTTAGAAGAGCCCGTGAACTGATATTCGGAGGTTTTATTAAAGTTAAAGCGATACATAAAAAATTGTAATTATTTACGTGCAAAAAATGAAATGAAGCTAAGAAAATGAAATGATTATCATTATGAATTTGGCAAAGAAACCCATTTGATGGACGAGTGAGAGAGGGAGAGAGACGGGGAAGGAAAAGTGAAAATGTGCGTAGAAGATGGATAGAGTCATGAAAAAGAGAAGGATATTAGCCCATCTGGACTTCCGGATCGGCAGCGAACAGACGGAAAGCGTCGAACCAGTCGCCAAGGACGACGTGGAAGAGGTGGGGGTACGAGTTGACGGCCAGCGTGAGAAGGGTCTGGTCGTCGTCCACGTGATTTTGGTAGATGAGTTGGATGAATTTGCGATGGATGATTGAGTGCAATTGACCGATGGAACTGAAAATTGAGGATGGAGACGAGGAGGAGGAGAAGAAGAGAAACTGACTGTTTGTCGCCGGCAATGAATCCGCCGCTCAACAGCGCCACGTTCTTGCGGTACAGCCGTTTCAAGTCGTAATCGGAGACCGTGTCAAAGTACGGCGTCACTTTGATCAGCGAAATCTTGCCGTCCGGAAGTGCCGGACGCCAGTGATAGCTGTACGGGAAGTGGTTCTCGTTGGCGTGCCCGTAGCCGGCGTCAAGCCAGACAAAGTGCTCCGAATCGAACGGATTCTCCATTGTGACGTTGTGCAAGAAGTGCGTCTTCGAGTTGACAACAATGTTGTATTCGGCACTGATCGACTCGGGGTGCGTGCGCATGTCCAGATCCGCTACAGTTCTGAAATCGCATAATTGAAGCAGCAGCACCGAATCGAACACAATAATGTACCTGTAGAACGTTTCATTCTTCAGTTCATCGTCAATAATCTTTTTTGCCTCGTTAATGTACCCGTACAACGGCAAGTCATTCAATGTGATCTTGTACACCTTTGTCCTGTCCATCAGCTTCAGTTTTGTCCGTGTCTTGATCACGAAGTCGTAGCTGGACTCGTCGGTGAACACGACAAAGTTGTTCTGGAGTGTGAGAAGAGTCTCCATGAACTGGTGGTACGTCTCCAGCGGACGTCGGTAAATGTCCCACTCGCCGCGTCCAATGTCCAGGAATCCGGTCACAAGAGTCACCTCACGCCTGTAAAAGAATGGTGGAAATGAGGGAAAAATGAATAAGAATGAACTCACTCGACTCTCTTGACGGGAGCTTGAGTCGGCTCCGGCTGCCGATGGCGTGGCCGTTCCGGTCTGTCGGGAAGACGACGAGGAGTGACCTCTTCTTCTGCTCGAGTTGTCGTTGAAGTGGAAGCCGTAGTAGTTGTCGTGGTAGACGACGTGGAAGAGCTCTCCTCGTCGACCGACACATCCTCAACGGATTCCACGAATCCCCAACGATCCAGTTCCGACTGTCTCGTTGTAGTAGTCGTTGGTTTCACTGTGGTAGAAGAAGAAGAAGAAGATGAATGATGATGATGGTGGTGGTGATGTCCGTGATGATGGTGACGGCCAGAAGTCGTGCTCTCCTCAGCGGCTTCTGTCGTCGGAGCCGCGGTGGTTGTAGTTGTTGTTGTGGAGGAGGAGCTGCTTGAAGTGGTACTCGGGAAAAGAGAATCTGGCAGACCCGGACCCGGATACGGGAAATGAGGATACGGTAGATGATGACTATGATGAGAATGAATGTTGATGTGCGTCCGATTGTGATGATGGCGATGGTGCTGATGGCGACTCGTCGTTGTCGTCGAGGCCAATTGAGGGGTACGGTAGGTAGAAGAAGTCACCTCAATCTTCTTGATATACGGATTACGGTAGCTCGAATGAGCAGGAATAGTGATCCGATTATAGATGGTAGAAGAGCTGATCGACGTGGACGAAGGCTGATATCTGGGCGTCGTGATCCGGATCCTCGTGGTTGTCTCCATAGTTGTGGTGATCGGAGATGTGGTGGTGGTAGTAGCAGTAGTAGTGGTAGTAAAAGTAGTAGTAGGTTCAGGTGTTGTTGAAGTCGAGGACGTTTCATGATGATGATGATGATGATGATTGTAATGATGGTGCAATCTGTCCTGTCCGTAACGATGTCTCTCAGGCACGTACACGGGAGGAACGCTGCAAATTTCAAGGAACTGATAAGTCTTTACAAAAAAAAATACAATACCTGGTGGGCAGTGTCCATGGGTAAATTCTTGTGGTAGTGGAAGATGAAGTAGTTGTGGAGGGAGTAGGAGAGGGAGTAGAAGTGATAGAGGACGTGGTTGGAGTGGTAGTCGTCGAGGGAGTTCTCGTAGTGATCTCTTCCGTGGTTGGAACTCCCTTCGTCGCTAAAGGTGCCCATTCAGTTGGGTCTTCCTCTGGAGTAGTTGTTGTAGTTGGGAACAGCTTCAGTGGAATGGTGTCATTCTCCAGTTGCTGTCCTTTTTGCCATTCTGAACATTTCCAGTTGACATCCTCAATTCACAATCTCTACCTTTCACTCTCTCCTCCTCCTGATCGACGTGCTTCTGAAGGAACTGAAGCACATAGCCGGCGAAGAAGAGGAGGATGACGATGAGGAAGCAACAGACTACCGGGCACAGGTATCGTCTCCTCATCAGGCCATCTGAAAAGAGTGCAAGTTACCACTACTACTACTACTGTTGATCATGATGATGATCATGATCATGATGAAACGAAACGTATTTGTTCATGCAATTCACGCCGCCTATAATACCGAGCAAACAGAGATGAACGGCTCAGCAGCGAAAGAGAGAGAGCGAGAGAGGGACTGTTTGTCGTGTGTGAATGTCGAGAAGCAATGTTCTCATCATCAGGAAGCTTCTTCTTCTTCTATCGATAGCGACACGCATGAGAAGAGGCGGATGGAAAAGTGCACGAAGAGCACTGTTTGGGCAGTGGAACGAACGAAATTGTGACGGGATGAGGCGGGTGGGGGAAAAGGAAACAAAAAACGATGGATTGGGAGGGGTAAGAGCTGACGGGGAGGGGGAGTATTTGATCGAGGAAGTTCGATGAAAAAGTACAAATGGCTGAGGAGAGCGCGCGAAAGTAGATACTGCCACGTCACGTCGAGAGAAAGTGGAACCCCCAGTGGAATTAGAGTTCTGTCACTTCCCAAAGATCCAGAACCCCCCACAGATTCCACGTCACCCGTACACTTTTTCTGAGTCCGAACTGTTTACACTCTCTTGAATACAGCAGCTGATGGGGAAAGTTATCACACAGGCACTTGTTGAAGTGCGAAAGAAGCCACGTCACACACTGACGGATTACTACAAAAGTGTAGAGAAGGTGGCCGACTGAACGTGTATCAATGTCTGTCTTTTCAATAAATACAACATGGGGAACGGACTGTGAGGAATGCGCCGCCGCCGCCGCCGAAGAAGCCGCCGCCGCCGCCCGCGCGCGGATGAACCAATCTCTTGTTTTTTTGTGTGCGCAGAGGGCAAAAGGGGGCAGAAGAGGAGGAGGAGAAGAAGAAGAAGAAGAAGAAGCTGCGCTCGCGGGATAGATGGATGGATGGTCAGCGAGCTCTTAGGGAACGAGCCAGTGTTCCCCGTCGGGTAATGGCGCCGATCAGTCGATCTTGGAGTTCTCGGAAATGTTGCAGACTCGACAACCTTCTCAAAACAACAAAACACACGGAAGGAAAGGACTATCGCACCAGCACCATAGAGCAGAGCACTTTCCGTCGGTTTATATACGGATAAATGTGGGTGGGAACTCGTTATCAACGTGCAGCAATGGATGCAATTCAACTCATGCCATTCAAATGAATTGAGGTCGTTGGTTTAAATGGATCGGCACCTGGCACAGTACGCAGGTTCGAAAGTGACAAAGACTGTGCAAATAGAGAGCGAAAGTGCAAAATTACTGCAGAGAAGTAAGGGATCAGCAACCAAAGTGTGCGGAAGAGCTGCGGCGCTTCTACTTTTCTCAAGCCAAAAAAGTTATACGGGGGCCCGGCAGCCAGATGGATGGAGAGACGAAAGCTCGGAAGAGTTTCATCAGCTGGGATGTGATCATCGCCCCTCCCTCTCCTCATTTTTCTGTTTGCATTTTGTTGTCTTTCTCGCGCGCGCGAGCACTGCTCTGCCTTTTCATTATGCCGCCCGTCGCCAGTCTCCTCGGGAGCCGCGATGAATATGCAAATAAGCGAACGGCCGATCACGAACTCGCACGGTGGCTCTGGTGAGGAAAGAATGAGCCCGCACCGAACGAGATGTCTGATGTGCCAGAAAAAGGTTTCTCACGGGGTCTCACTGCTGAACTTTTGTGCCGCGCATTTGAATATTACGGAAAACGTCTCAAAACTGTTCTATTTTCGAGTGCACAGTAGTACATTTTAAGAAATGATGCTCTTGGCGAGAGAATTCGGCAAAATGAAAAGATTGGGCGGCGCGGCTTGCAGCCCGACAGGCTCCCGCCTGCATTCCAGCCCGCTTTCCAGAAGGAATGCCCGTTATTCCTGCTTGCTCCCACTCGCTCCCAAAAAAAAACCGCAAAGAAATCGGAGAGGAAATGTGAAAATGTGCGGAATTTTCCTCCTGTACCGCACAAAAAGACCCGCCTATTCAGTGCGACAAAACTACAGAATACAGCTGTCGTTCAGGAAAAAGTTTTCGTTTTGCGATCATGAAAAGGAGTGTGAAAATTGTACATTGTACACGCCGAAGAGGACCAATTTGAGGGGGAGAGGCGGGTGTCCCCTGAACAAATTTGGCGGATCGTATTTCAAAAGAGCACACTCTTGTGCGCAAACATTGAGGAATCAGGGGACCACTGGAAGATGGGAATGCCGTGAATCTTTTAAAAGAGCATCTAGCAGCATTCAGCACTCAAGGATTGGGTTTCGATGAGATTTATGGATGGGAAAGAAGGAGAAATCGTACTTTTAGGAATCAAAGAAAACTAGCGGCGCCGCCAGAGTGTCTCTTTCATCGAAAACATCACTTTAACGCTGATTAGTAACAGGAAGGCGTTCGCGAGGCGATCTCACATGAGAAGGATCTCGAAGTCGGCAGTTGCATGCCTTCTTCTTTCAATTAATCAACTGGCAATCATCATCTTCTCTCTCTCTCTCTCTCTCTTCCTTTCTTTCTCTTTTTGCACGCCTTTTGGGTGTGCCCTCTCCTCAATGTGTTCAGATGATGAAGTGGAAATGATGAAGAAGAAGAAGAAGAATGAAGAAGAATGAAGAAGTATTAGTACACATAACTATGACAATTGAGTAGGCGGGGGACGTCATCGCATCGCTCCCAAGAATCTTGACATGACCAAAAAGTGCAAACGCATGCGGCATGCCAGAGAGCGAATGAACGAAAAGAATACATGTAATCGGATACAAACTTCTTTTTGCTGGTCTCTGTTTTCCAGATCAACATCTGCCCAGCTGTTCTTCTTCTTCTTCTTCTTCTTCTTCTTCTTCTTCTCTCGGCGAGCGAGGTAAAAGTAAAAAGTGAGGGGAGTGGTGGTGGTGGTGGTAACTTGATGACTAACGGCCTATAAAACGACCACGACTGATATGGATGGAAATCAGAAAAAAGAAAGCAGTCACATGCCTCCCGTTCCATTTTCTGTGAACCGTTTCAATTACGCTCGGCGCCTGTATAGAAATGGATTTATTACAGCTGGAAGCGACAAGGCTAAATGCGGAGGGAACGGAAAGCAATTAGTAGACTCTTCGATAGGTGGCCGTGTACGTTTCCGTGTCGTAGGCGGTCTCGGCGCGGATCTGAAACGAATGGATGGAGAGAATCTTCTAGAAGAGCAGTAGTACCTTCATGATCATCGTGTTGTAGTCGGGCAACTCGAGCTGTCTCTCAAACTCTCGAATCTCCAGATTGTTGTTGTTGCCTACGTCGAAACTTCTTCTCATGAACTGCTTCAGATGGAACGTCATCTTGCCCTCTTTCACTTGCCCCTGCTCCATCATCGACCATCCCTGGCTCGAAGTGGTCAGGTAGGCGACGTGCACGCGTGGATCCCTTCTCGTCGCGTTCTTCACCGGCATGAATCCGTAGTCGTGACGGACGACGCTATTCCGTTCGAAGTACGTGTGACTGAAATTGATTATTCGGAAGGTGTGCAAAAAGATCCGAGCCTTACGTGATATTGACAGCTCTGGCTCCGAACTTTGGAATTGGATTGATGGCATAATCGATCTGCGACGGCGGCGGAAGGTCCCTCTGACGACCCGACGACGTCTGAAATCCCTCGCATTGTTCCCTTTCCCATTAGAACAAAGAGAGTGTTTTATCGTCGAAAGTACTGATTGGATGCGAATAAGAAGACGGAGAGAAACAGAGAGGGAAGTTGAAGAACCGATTCCGAATCTCACCTCCAAAGACCACAATCCGATGAATCGATCGATGGGTCTTAGATCCCACGGCATTTTGGAACGATCGTATTCTGAATAAATTGACGGAGGGGTAGGAGAAGACGGGAGAATTTACTGACTGTCCTCATATCTGGCAATCACAAAAGTGAGGAATATCACCGAGCAGAGTAATCGAGACGTTTGGAGCATCTGAAACTGCTGGGGGAATATCAGCTGAAAGGTTCAGTGGGAAGTTGCGAAGCGCGCGAAAAAGTGATGGGCGACAGGGGGTGGCCTCCTCAGATAGGCTTGCCATCGGGCACTCTGCCCAAACTGGTTCTCCTCCCTTTCTTCGTCTTCCGCCGTGTTTATCAACGGCTTCTCACGAAGGGAGACGAGGAGGAAGGGGGATGATGACGTTCCGAACTGATTATGCGTACTTCCCAATGTCTTCTGCATCTGAATTGAGTTTAGGCCATGCTGGAAGACGGCGAGGGCGCTCAGAGAGGTATGATTTGATAACAAGAACCTTTTGATCTTGTGAAAATCCTGAAAATAAATCCCTTATTTTGGAGAGCTCAGTCTGAATCCTTTCAAGACTCGATTTGATATGCTCAGTTTTCTGTGCAACATTTTTGTTTGCCTTAATTATCCGTTCGAAGCCAGATTCTGTATTTTTCGCTGAATTTGCTTTGAAATTGTCTGTAACCGCTTTTTTGCCAAGTTCGTTTTGAATTTAAACTCAAAAATGTACTGACTGTGTACTATGACGTGACGGTGAACAACGACACGGCCACGCAATAATGCACACTCAGTTCAGCCATTTTCGTCCCAATTTTTCGTAATTTATTCGCTGCATCAAACTTCAAAGGCGTTTGAAAGTTTATTCATACTAATACGCTCTCTCGTTTTCAGTGGAGCCATCTTAAATGGAAGAAACGACGTCTGACGATGAGCCGATCTCATCGAAAGGAGAGCCGATTGAAGTGGAGTTCGTAATCAAGACACCAGAGTATTGTGTCGATAAAGTTAGTTTATTACCGAGTAAAAGTGAGTCTCTAGTTGGAACGTTCAGGAAATCCGCATGATAATCCCGATTCCGCTTCCTAAATTCACCTACCTCGACGATTGGATGAGGAGATTGGTCTCAAAGCCATCTGGGAAATTCCTACCGTACGACGGTCCGGTTCCTCTTCAAAATAAAAATAAAAACGATTCATGTTTTCAGAATCGAAGAAGATTCTTCAGACGTTTATATATAAAAAGACTGACGAGTACCAACGTCAACGTATGAAATTACGACTTGAAAATGCTTTGAAAAGGAGCAAGGAGACAGGAACTCCGCTGGTAGGAAATCTTGTTTTTTTCTCAAAAATGTTTAACTTTTTCAGTTCTTTTTTTCAGTATCAAGTTCCTAAAAGGTCAGCGCCTCGTCCGGTAAGAGGGTCGCGTTTCGAAGAAAAGTTCCAGTTCGTGGTCGAAAAGGGTTCAAGCGAGAACTTGCTCACTTTGATGCGGATGGAAGTGTTCATGAAGAAGCAGATGAGTGACATGATCCGAGCGAGAAACTGGGAAGTTGATCAGTTATCAAAGCAGTGCGAGAAGCTCGTCGCAGAGACCAGAAACGCCGACATGCATCCGCACAAGATCAGCATGCTCAACGAAAAACTGCGGCAAGTTCACACTACCTACTCTTTCCAAATCACGGATTTGTGCGAATCGCAAAGATTCAAGTACCGCAAGGCGGTCGAATCGCTGTACGCGAGAGGAAGCATCCCGGCCGAGCTCATCGATGAAGTCGTGCTCGAAGAGCAGCCGATCCCTCGGGCACTAGCAGCAATCACGGGCGGACTGGCAGACGGGGTTAATGAGAGCTTCACGATTTATATCGGTGGGTTTTCCCTTTCTCTTTTTCACACATGCCCCCGCCATGAAACTGATCATGAACCGAGAGGGAGGGAGCGGGCGGAAGCGCTGCAGCAGCTGCTCCTCGTAACCTGAGTGAGAGGAGAGGGAGAGGGAGCGAGACAAAGATTCCGAGTGGAAGCCGCCTTTTTATCGTCTCGGAACTATGCGCTCGTGTGTATTTTTGCAATGGCACTCACTCATCGCCAGCTGCGAGAAAAAAGTTAGCCTGTTATTGTAAACAACGCAAAACAGCTTGGTGTTGTTTCGGGTTTCGTTTCGCAATGATCCATTTATTCACGACATCAATCTTCGCAAAGCTATAGGATCGCAGCTGAAGACGATGCACAACGTCTGCCTCATGACGGTCGACCGCTTAACCGATGTGTGCCAGACCGCAGAAGGCGACTGGACGACGTGGAGCCGACTCGAGATGGCCACCAAGTTGTACGGAAGAAATCTGAGCGCGACGACGCTGCTGGTTCCACGCGACCCCCTTCATCACATCAAAGCCTCATCGGATTTCGCAAACATTTGCGAGCAGTCCACGGAGTTGCACTTTAACAATTTCAGCGATCAGCTCAATCAAATATCGAAAGACGTAAGGCATTCTCAGACCAATCTTCCGTAAATAAAAAGGTTTACAGAGACGAGAGAGCAACACTCAACTCGCTGACCAGCTCGAACAAGAGATGGCGGAGCTGAAATTGGAAGGAAAACCGCCGTCGGAACAGCCGATTCCTCCGAGCGCTCTCCGTCACGATTCTTCGTTCCATGTTGGCGAAGTGTACGTGACAAAGCATTCGAACCTGCACAAAGTGCAAATCGTCTATCACCTCGTCGTCGACGACATTCTCCAATCCGCCGAAATCAACAGCCGTCACCCGTGTTTGGAAGGCATTCGCTCCATTTTCCGAACGTCGGCCGGCTTCAGCACGTACACCATTCATATTCCGCTCCTTTTGATTGATAGACCGGATGAGGTGAGTCAGAGACGAAAGAGAGACGCAGATGAAAATCAATCATTTCCTTTCTTCCAGAGCACAACAATTGCGTGGTGTCTGAAGCGAGCCGAGATGCTGTTCAAATGTGTCAAAGGATACCTGATGGAGGTGAGTTTGACGTCAGCCACCTCCGTTTTACATTTCAGCAACATTTCAGGTGTGCAGTGGAATCGACACGGCCGCTCTGCCCCACTACAACGTGCATTTTGTGCTGCCCACCGGCCTCTCTCGCACAATCTATACGGCGATATCCAACATGTTCCCGGGAATCTTCCAATTGGTGCCGGGAGTATCCTCATGACTCCTGTTTGTACAGAGAGAAAGAGGGCATGCTCTGTTTGCTCCCTCTTCCAAGCATTTACCCTTCTTTTACTTCTTGTCGTGCCATTGTCACTGTGATTCCGTTTTATCATTACTCATGCCATAATTCAAAATGCCTCACCGCATCATAATATATTCATTTTTCATTCTCTTCTTTTCGCTCCACTCAACGGTTTCATTCAACCGATTGTCTGCTATCTATCTATTTGCTTGGCACGTTTCAAATCCCTCTCTAATCTCTTTTCATTCATATTCAGTTTCCGTTCCAAAGTGCACACTAATCTCTTCAAAAAAGAGCTGCAAAATGCGGGGGAGAAGGGTGGTGTAACAGCCCCTCCCCTCGTTCTGTCCGTCTGCTCTCCTGATGACTCTTCTCCCTTCCATCTTCCTTCCCACTTCCTCATGCGTTGTTCTCATTAGTCATGACGGCGTTGTCATTCGCAAAAATTTGAATTTATCCGATTTTACAGCAATTCTCGATTGCTTCTTCCTCCATTTTATTTCCCAGTTCTCATCACCCACTTCTCGATTCAAATCGTCTCTTCATTTTCTGTACTTGATTCTCTCGGCGTGCGACCTTGAGCTGTGGCAGTTTTCCACTTTGTCGTTATCATAAGTTCTCATCGTTTCTCTTCTCTCTCCGTACTTTTCGACTCTTTCTGCAAAAGACTGTAGGTTATCATGTCTTGTCTGGTTAAAAGAAGAAATCATTTTCAATTAATTGAACCCCGTCGGCGGTTCCCGTCTAATCGATGAAACCGAAAAACTCTCCTAGGTAAGGCATGATGACCCCCAGTTTCCATTTTTTCCACCTCCTCCAACTCACTCAATTTTGTTTTCCAGAGAAATCTACAATCCATTCACAAACAGGTTCAGTTTGCCTTCACTGGAAGCCAAGAGAAATCGACATTTGCTGTGTAAACGGCTGAAATTGCGACCCGACAACTTCCTGGACGAGTACTGTGCTGATTTGGAAGTGATCGATATAATGGCTCCGATTAGACCGGCCGAAGAGCGAGCTGAGTCGCCTCCTCCCGATGATCAGCTAGAAGGCGTCGACTACCTGGCACGCAGCAAGAAGTTGCGAGCTGGCGACTACATGTTTTTCTCCGCGGACGCCCTCCCTCACATTGCTCCAGAAGCCAAAAAATCGGAAAAGTACACGTGGCTCGGCGAGCGTCTCCGTCTCACATTCAAAATGGTGCGCAGTGACTCTCGTCTCATCCGAACCATGTGCCACAGCCACGGACTGATGCAGTGCTCCAACAAGAATCCGTCGGTCAACTTCATTTGGATGGGAGCGCCCGTGAAGAGTGTGAAGATGCGCGAGCTGATGCCCTGGCAGCGACTCAACCAGTTCCCGAGCTCCACGGAACTCACGAGAAAAGACAGGCTGTACGAGAACATTGAGAGATCCAAGTCGATTCACGGAGACGCTTTCGATTTTGTAAGTTTAACTTATTCGTTTATTCATCGCGAAAGACCGGTAAGAGAAGGGAACACCAGAAGGAAATATGACTGTAAGATGAATAGGAAAGGAAGGGAACCAACCCCGCAAGAGGAGGGCGCCTTTGGTAGCGGGTACAGAATACATAGTGTGCCTGTTAAGAACTTATACAGAAGTAGTAGCTGAGATTTGAGAGAAGTTCAGCAGAGTAGGACTGCAATTGACAAGAATTCAATCTTTCAGATTCCCGAATTTTATGTGACGCCGCGTGAGAACACGAAAATGGAAGCCGCGTTCAAGCGAGTTACCCGAGAGATCACTGCTTCCGGGGGCAAACTATGTTTTCCCGGAGAGTTCATTGTGAAGCCCACGAACTCTCGCCAAGGAAAGGGGATCTTCTTTGCGAACAGCGTTAGTTCTGAATCCACATCTTCCCCTCACATCCATTTCCTTTCAGTTGGCCGACATTCCAGCCGAAGGACCTCTTCTCGTCTCCCGGTACCTCAAGGATCCGTGTCTCGTCAACAATCACAAGTTCGATCTGCGCATCTACGTGGCGGTCACCTCATTCTACCCACTCGTCGCCTACGTTTATTCCGAAGGGCTCGCCCGTCTCGCCTCGATGCCCTACGACTCGTCGTCCTCGTCCGACAGCAACGAATTTGTGCATCTCACTAACTACAGTATTAACAAGAACTCGACGTCGTTCGTGCGCAACGAAAGCATGTCTTCCGAGGACTTGGGTCACAAGTGGACGCTGGGCGCTCTGTTGAGATACGTCGAAAACGAAGGAAAAGATGCGAGACGTAAGAATGATCCTGTTTGAGTTCAAACCCATGCCGTACCCGTTTTCAGTGCTCATGCTGCGAATCGAAGATCTGATTGTGAAGAGTCTTCTTTCCGTTCAGAACAAAGTGGCGACGACCAGCAGAACAAACCTCAAATTCGCGGGAACCAACTTTGAACTGTTCGGATTCGACGTCCTCGTCGATCAGAGTCTGAAGCCATGGCTTCTCGAAGTGAATCTCTCGCCGAGTCTCGCCTGCGACGCCCCTCTCGACTCACTTCTGAAGACACGACTCATCGCGGATCTTCTGAACCTCGCCTGCATTCCTCTTCTCGACAGAAAAATCATAGACAACATAACTCCCGCTTTGAAAAAGTCTATCAATTCAACAGAAGAGCAAGAATCTTCCGAATCAGATTTGGAGATGGATCCGAAGTGCGCAAAGACACTGAGACGCCGACCGGTCGGGCTGAAACGAAGTGTGCTGAGCCGAAGGATTTCGAGCGGATCAGCTTCTCTGATTCCGAACAGCGAGAAGAAGTTCGAGCAGATTGTGCGGAAAGTGCAGCTCGAATCTGACAGACAAGGAGATTTCATCAGAGTGTTCCCGAGAAACGGCACTTGGGGAATGTACAATCCGATAATGGAAGATCTCGGAAGAGATGATTTCGATGAGCGTCTCTTCGATGAGGTCGTCTTGAAGAAGAACACGGTAAGCCCTATCCCTATCGTGTAAAGTTATAATCTACTTGTGTTCAGAAGAACTCATCAAGACAAGTTTCACCATCCAGCAGTCAATCGACCGTTTCCGAAGACCCGGAGGATCTTTCCAACTTGTTCCACGTGGTCATGATCGAATGCGACAAATTTCCAACGATTGCCGACATACCTGCTCAAGTCAGAGAGATCATCTCTCCGTGGTACGACGAAGCGGCCGGTTACTCGAAGAAGATTACGCAGGAGGGCGAAACCTACGCCAGCAAGTTGCCGTCGATTCGATCGAGTGCCCGTCTCCGAACGAAAAGCTGCGCGGAATTCTACGAAGTTCGCAAAGCGCAGCTCGCCAAAAAGAAGGAGGAATCTGCTGCAAAGTGAGTCATTCGTGGCTGAGATCCGAGTGAAACAGCCGCCTTTTCAGTGAAAACGAACCACAAACGGTCGACGCCATACGTGTTTGAATCCCATCGCCTCCACACCGGATCCGAGCCACCATTCCGATTATCATTTTCTATATTGATTCACTATTTTCATTTATTGTTATGCTTGTTTTCGAGTACGTAAATTGTGTTCTCTTTGAATGAGAATTAGAAAGCGAGATCAAGATATTATTCAGAATTCAAACGGAGTAAGATCTCGGTTCAGGAAGCCCCCATTGTGCGAATTGTCGAGTTTGTTGAAAGCGACGGCCAGTTCGCTCGTCGCCTGTTCCACCGTGAAAGTGGCGTTAGGCCCTCCCAAATCCGTCTGGATCCATCCCGGAGCGAAGCTGACGACCAAAATGTGCATATCCTTCACATCGACGGAAAAAGTCCTCGAGAATTGGTTGATAGCCGACTTGCTCATTCTGTAGCCGAGTCCCTGGAACCATCCAGATCCGATGGTATTCGCGCCGATGCTTCCGAGTCCCGACGAAATGTTGACGATGGCAGCCCGGGAGACGGAAAGTGAGTCTCCGGACACTCGAGACGCCGCCTTCGTCAGAAGTGGAAGGAACTTCTGGCTCAGAATCACCACGCTCACAGTGTTCACACTCAGTTGCTCCGTGAGCAGAGCACGATTCGGCTCCTGAAATAAACGAGAACTCAAATGTTTCTTCTAAAATCAACCAACCAAAGGACTATTGTACTTGAGCAGAACGCCAGCGTTGTTAATCAGAAGATTCAGTCCCTCCGCACCCACAATTTTTCCCACTTCAACCACGAGATTATCGATGGATTCGTCAGAAGTGACTTCGAGGGGAAGCAGATGAATTCGCGGGTCTTTGATCGCCTTCAGCTCCTGCAACCGGAAATGCTTTTTTTTTTGAAAATGAGAAGCAACAACTCACGGTGGCCTTTTGGAGGTCTCTGGCAGTGGCGATGATGTGCTGGATGCTCTCATCTTTAACCAACTGCTGAACGAGTCCCAGTCCGATTCCTCGGTTGGCACCAGTGATAAGCACACTTCTTGGAGAAGACATTGAAATGGAAAGTTGAGAATTCGGAAAGAATCACTCCTTATATACGGAGGGACGCCGAACAAGTAAACACAACGAGAGACGCAGAGAATGGACAGATTTTAGACACAAAATTGCCGCCAGGTCACAACATTTTGGGTCTTTCAACGGGGAAAAATCGTGCTGGCACATCCATGCACTGGGCGGATGGGAACGGCGAAAACCTGAGCACAAACTCTAAAAGTGTGTCCAAATTGTGGCACAATTTGAAGATGACAAAAGTATTTCATTTCTTTCGTCAGTTTTTTCTCTTTTCTTGCATCCACCTAGACTTCTCTAGTTGACCATCGCATCTAACCCAATTAGGAATTAGGTCAATTAGGAGTGAATAATTCATAACGGAAACATGAAGTTTAACAAAGCAAAATTAGAACTCGATTGGGGCGAGGTCCCGTCGGAAGTATCCTCCGTTGTGAGAGTTTCCAAGTTTATCGAAGCTGGCCACCAGTTCGCTCGTCGACTGTTCCACCTGCAAATCTCTCTTTTCCCTCTTTCCGTTCAAACGTATTCCACTCACTGTCAGCTGAGCCTGCTGCCCTCCCATATCGGTTTGCACCCATCCTGGACAGAAGTTCACTGCCAGAATGTGCTCCTCTTTCAAGTCAATCGCAAATGTTCTGGCAAACTGATTGACTGCAGACTTGCTCAGTCTGTAGGCGAGACCGTCGAACCATCCGGAGCCGATGTCATTCAGAGTAATAGACCCGGCTCCAGAAGAGATTGTGACGACGGCAGCTCGAGAAACGGAAAGCTCATCGCCAGAGACCTTGGCAGCAGCCTTGGTCAGAAGCGGAATGAACTTTTGGCTGAGAAGCACTACGCTGACAGTGTTCACATCTAGTTGCTCGGTGAGCAGAGCACGGTTTGGCTTCTGAAACGACGAGAACGTATGGCGACATTAAATCAGTGATGAACGTACCGAATGACTGTTGTACTTGAGTGCTATTCCAGCATTGTTAACTAAAAGGTTCAGACCATTGTCGCCAACAATCTCACCGACTTTCGAAACTAAAGTGTCGATGGATTCGTCGCTCGTGACAGTCAACGGAAGGACGTGAACACGAGGATCATTGATCGCATTCAGCTCCTGAAAAACTATATATGTTTAGTGAATTGAGATGAACTCTCACAGTAGCCTTCTCCACTTCTCTGGCCGTGGCGATTATGTGTCGGATGTTCTTATCCTTGACGAACTGCTGAACGAGTCCCAGTCCGATTCCTCGGTTGGCTCCAGTTACGACAACACTTGCGGGCGACATATTCTGAAGGTACACAATATTAATGGAAAGAAAATCGAAAAGAAGTTGCGAGAAAGGAACGAAGGTTGCAACGATCATAAACAATCCAATGAGAGATAGAGGATGAGAAAGAGAGAAACAGACGGAGAACGGTCACAAAAAAGAGTGACTTACTGAATAGAAAACATTGACGTTTTCAGAAAATGATGCCTTATTTCCACTATTGCAAGGCAGAGAATGTCGGTTTAGAGAAAAAGGACACAAAGTGATGCGCCTGTCCCTTATCGATAATTCATTTTCACACGAAGTTCCGCTTCAAAACTTTATTACATCTTCACATCAGAGAATTTTGAGCAATGGTGTGGCACGTAGCGAGCAAGCTGCTGCACAAAAACAGCATGGATGCCGACTCCAGTGCAGCAGCTTGCTTGCTACGTGCCACACCCTTGCTCAAAATTCTCAGAGTACATTACGAAAATTAGAATTCGAATGGAGTCAGGTCCCTCTTGAAGTATCCTCCGTTGTGAGAGTTTCCAAGTTTATCGAAGCTGGCCACCAGTTCGCTCGTCGACTGTTCCACCTGCAAATCTCTCTTTTCCCTCTTTCCGTTCAAACGTATTCCACTCACTGTCAGCTGAGCCTGCTGCCCTCCCATATCGGTTTGCACCCATCCTGGACAGAAGTTGACTGCCAGAATGTGTTCCTCTTTCAAGTCAATCGCAAATGTTCTTGCAAACTGGTTGACTGCAGACTTGCTCAGTCTGTAGGCGAGACCGTCGAACCATCCGGAGCCGATGTCATTCAGAGTAATAGACCCGGCTCCAGAAGAGATTGTGACGACGGCAGCTCGAGAAACGGAAAGCTCATCGCCAGAGACCTTGGCAGCAGCCTTGGTCAGAAGCGGAATGAACTTTTGGCTGAGAAGCACTACGCTGACAGTGTTCACATCTAGTTGCTCGGTGAGCAGAGCACGGTTTGGCTTCTGAAACGACGAGAACGTATGGCGACATTAAATCAGTGATGAACGTACCGAATGACTGTTGTACTTGAGTGCTATTCCAGCATTGTTAACTAAAAGGTTCAGACCATTGTCGCCAACAATCTCACCGACTTTCGAAACTAAAGTGTCGATGGATTCGTCGCTCGTGACAGTCAACGGAAGGACGTGAACACGAGGATCATTGATCGCATTCAGCTCCTGAAAAACTATATATGTTTAGTGAATTGAGATGAACTCTCACAGTAGCCTTCTCCACTTCTCTGGCCGTGGCGATTATGTGTCGGATGTTCTTATCCTTGACGAACTGCTGAACGAGTCCCAGTCCGATTCCTCGGTTGGCTCCAGTTACGACAACACTTGCGGGCGACATATTCTGAAGGTACACAATATTAATGGAAAGAAAATCGAAAAGAAGTTGCGAGAAAGGAACGAAGATTGCAACGATCATAAACAATCCAATGAGAGATAGAGGATGAGAAAGAGAGAAACAGACGGAGAAACGGTCACAAAAAAGAGTGACTTACTGAATAGAAAACATTGACGTTTTGCAGAAAAATGATGCCTTATTTCCACTATTGCAAGGCAGAGAATGTCGGTTTAGAGAAAAAGGACACAAAGTGATGCGCCTGTCCCTTATCGATAATTCATTTTCACACGAAGTTCCGCTTCAAAACTTTATTACATCTTCACATCAGAGAATTTTGAGCAATGGTGTGGCACGTAGCGAGCAAGCTGCTGCACAAAAACAGCATGGATGCCGACTCCAGTGCAGCAGCTTGCTTGCTACGTGCCACACCCTTGCTCAAAATTCTCAGAGTACATTACGAAAATTAGAATTCGAATGGAGTCAGGTCCCTCTTGAAGTATCCTCCGTTGTGAGAGTTTCCAAGTTTATCGAAGCTGGCCACCAGTTCGCTCGTCGACTGTTCCACCTGCAAATCTCTCTTTTTTCCTCTTTCCGTTCAAACGTATTCCACTCACTGTCAGCTGAGCCTGCTGCCCTCCCATATCGGTTTGCACCCATCCTGGACAGAAGTTGACTGCCAGAATATGTTCCTCTTTCAAGTCAATCGCAAATGTTCTGGCAAACTGATTGACTGCAGATTTGCTCATTCTGTAGGCAAGGGACTGGAACCATCCGGATCCGGTGGTATTTTCTGTGATCGATCCGAGGCCGGAAGAGATTGTGACGACGGCAGCTCGAGAAACGGAGAGATCATCGCCAGAGACCTTGGCAGCAGCCTTGGTCAGAAGCGGAATGAACTTTTGGCTGAGAAGCACTACGCTGACAGTGTTCACGTCGAGTTGCTCGGTGAGCGCGGCACGGCTCGGCTCCTGGAATGATATATTCAAGAATTAGTAAAGTATGTTGCCGCAATGCCCACTAACCGTCTTGCTTCCGTACTTCACAGCAATTCCGGCGTTGTTCACAAGAAGGTTGAGTCCGTCCGAACCCACAATCTCGGTCACTTTCGATACAAACGTATCAATGGACTTATCGCAAGTAACCGCCAGCGGCAAAACATGCAGACGGGAGTCTTTGATCGCGTTCAATTCCTTAAACAGAGAGCATATTTGAAGAGTCTGAGCAGAAATGAAAAGGCTTACTGTAGCTTTGTCGACATCTCTAGCCGTGGCGATGATGTGTCGGATGTTCTTATCCTTCACAAACTGCTGAACGAGTCCCAGTCCGATTCCTCGGTTGGCTCCAGTAACGACGACACTTCCTGGCGACATTTGTGCTCTGAGAATCGGAGAAAAAGTTGAAGAATGGTCTAAAGCTTCGAAAAAATGAAGGATTTTATAGTGACAGAGAGGAGACGGCGGTCTTTGGCCGAATGATGACAATTGGAAGAGAAGGAGAGAAAGCGATAGATAGATAGAGAGAGCGTTGTTTGTGAAGGAGAGAAATGCAACCGATCGGAGGAGAAGGGAAGACGCAGAGAGCAGACGGTCTAGTGGGTTTGTGGTCACCGAATGATGAGACCCACAGAGATCCAGATGCTGACAAATGGAAAACCTCTAGAAAAATCGAACTGGTTCGACTGAAAACGAAATGAGATAAACGTATGGAATGACACATTATGGCCCTTTTCAGGGCTCTCTCAGACCTTACCAGATAAGATAATCTTTTGATGCCTAATCTTGTTCCTACTGATCAAATCAGGCATTTCTGATTTTAGACAAATAGTGCAAAAGTAATAGATTCGAGAAAAATCACTTTAATCACAAAACAAGTAAAAAACCACCGTAAACGTAAAATCCCAGCCCTGATCCCAAATCATTGGCATAACTCCATCAAATCACATCCGATTTTTCTACTTTTAGTTACTTTGTCTCCCCTAAAGGAGACTTTCCAAAATTAGAAAGCTGACGTTAAATTTCTTTAGGCCAGATTCAATCGGCGAGCCTGGGGTGCACCGGTGGCAAGAACCTTCGTCGAAGGACCACTACGTACATTGGGAGTGAATAGGGATAGGGGGCCATCATGAAGTTGCCCTGAGGGCGATCAACTGTTCCGGCAGGTCAAGCGCCGAGAAACACCTCAATCCAGAGGGATCCACCCGCTGCGCCACTGATTTGTGTGGCCGCATGACAGTGATCTGGAGATCGGCTATCTCAAAGCCAGCCCAACTTCCACCTCTCTCTCCTAACCCAGGGTTCCTCTTGACCAGCGCTGTCGGATAAAAAGATCTACTAGCAACTGGCCGAGTTACCCGCCTGGTGCCTCGCGGCCTTCCCGTCTGTCCTCGTCTGTAAACAGACTCCAGAATGGGGAACCTGTCTAGATTCAATGTTTAGATCTGAATTGTGACTTCTTCTCACTTTCATGCTTGATTTGGGGCATTCGAAATCGAACTCATCACAACCTTCACCAATGGGGACTCTCTGAACCTAGACAGTTTGGTTGGCGACTTGCCTTGGCGCCGGAGCGCCCGTACAGCTTTTGCGGACTAGTGGAGGCTGAAATCTCCGTCGTAAGTTCGCGTTCTTTTGCTCTTTAACCTATGGTATCCGGGGAGTCAAAGTCTCCATCATGGATCCATATCACTTCCAGATATTGCAGGTCTTCTTCCTTCTCTTGCTGCTTCTGTTTAGAAAAATCGTATTTTCTTTCGTTTTCCCGCTCAACGTGTCAAAATTGACAGAAATCCTTGATAATCTTTTGGATGAGGTTATTTGCAACAATATCATACTATTTAAGCTTGGTTTGGAGCATATAGTGGTGAACCGGGAATAAGGATGGTGAAACCGGGAAGCACGGACTGCCTCCAATCAACTGTCCGCTCGGTCTATGGGCGCCAGCTCGGAGATGTCCTAGAAAAGGCGAAAAACGTGGTATGGTTGGGAACGGAAAAGAGGGATCATGCCAGGCGAATGACACAGCACATGTACCAATACAAGTGCGTCAAATACGTCTACATCCCGGCCGCCGCGGAGGAAGGAGCCATTGAGAGATACGAGGAATTCGGCTGGACGGTCACGACGAGCAAAGCCATGAAAGACGTCGAAAAACGCATTCAAGCTCTGGAGGCTCGTCGTGACCGTCCAGCCGAATTCCTCGTATCTCTCAATGGCTCCTTCCTCCGCGGCGGCCGGGATGTAGACGTATTTGACGCACTTGTATTGGTACATGTACTGTGTCATCCGCTTGGCATGATCTTTCTTTTCAGTTCCCATCCATACTACGTTTTTCGCCCCCCCCCACCTGCGTCGCCGCTCTTCAACAGTGCGCGCAGCCGACACGTCCGAGGGACGGCGAGAACGAGGCCTCACCACTGCACACCACATTTAGTGCGGCTGCGAGTATTTCCCTTACGACGTCGTCATTGTTCGCGAAGATGTCATCGACATAGAGTGACGACGATTTCGCTTACGACCATATCACGTTGAATACACGCCATCCCGTCCGATCTGGCAAGTTAAGCAACGTTGAGTCCAGTTAGTACTTGGATCGGAGACGGCCTGGGAATCCTGGATGTTGTAAGCTTTTGCCTTTTTCATCTCAATTTATAAATAATATTGTTCTTTCTGTCGTTTTCCACATATTCAGGTGTTATCTTGGTCATTGAGGCCTTTATTCGTTCACTCAGGCCCTTATTTATCCATTTAGGGCCTTATTCGTTCACTCCGGCCCTTATTTATCCATTTAGGGCCTTATTCGTTCACTCCGGCCCTTATTTATCCATTTAGGGCCTTATCCGTTCACTCAGGCCCTTTTTTATCCATTTAGGGCCTTATTCGTTCACTCCGGCCCTTATTTATCCACTTTCTAATTTTGGAAAGTCTCCTTTAGGGGAGACAAAAAAAACTAATACCTAAAGAAATGGGATGCGTATTAATGCAGTTATGCTCAGCGCAAGAAATGATGACAATTCAGCAGTTAGCTGATTGTCATCATTTAGTCGTATTTGAGTCAAAACGGCCTCTATTAGAACGTAATATTTTGGCTCCCGCATTTAGGCCTCAATGGATAAATAAGGGCCTGAGTGAACGAATAAGGCCCTAAATGGATAAATAAGGGCCGGAGTGAACGAATAAGGCCCTAAATGGATAAAAAAGGGCCTGAGTGAACGAATAAGGCCCTAAATGGATAAATAAGGGCCGGAGTGAACGAATAAGGCCCTAAATGGATAAATAAGGGCCGGAGTGAACGAATAAGGCCCTAAATGGATAAATAAGGGCCGGAGTGAACGAATAAGGCCCTAAATGGATAAATAAGGGCCTGAGTGAACGAATAAGGCCCTAAATGGATAAATAAGGGCCGGAGTGAACGAATAAGGCCCTAAATGGATAAATAAGGGCCTGAGTGAACGAATAAGGCCCTAAATGGATAAAAAAGGGCCTGAGTGAACGGATAAGGCCCTAAATGGATAAATAAGGGCCGGAGTGAACGAATAAGGCCCTAAATGGATAAATAAGGGCCGGAGTGAACGAATAAGGCCCTAAATGGATAAATAAGGGCCTGAGTGAACGAATAAGGCCCTAAATGGATAAATAAGGGCCTGAGTGAACGAATAAGGCCCTAAATGGATAAATAAGGGCCTGAGTGAACGAATAAGGCCCTAAATGGATAAATAAAGGCCTGAGTGAACGAATAAGGCCCTAAATGGATAAATAAGGGCCGGAGTGAACGAATAAGGCCCTAAATGGATAAATAAGGGCCGGAGTGAACGAATAAGGCCCTAAATGGATAAATAAGGGCCTGAGTGAACGAATAAAGGCCTCAATGGATAAATAAGATCCGGAGTGAACGAATAAAGGCCCTAAATGGATAAATAAAGGCCTGAGTGAACGAATAAGGCCCTAAATGGATAAATAAGGGCCGGAGTGAACGAATAAGGCCCTAAATGGATAAATAAGGGCCGGAGTGAACGAATAAGGCCCTAAATGGATAAATAAGGGCCGGAGTGAACGAATAAGGCCCTAAATGGATAAATAAGGGCCTGCGTGAACGAATAAGGCCCTAAATGGATAAATAAAGGCCTGAGTGAACGAATAAGGCCCTAAATGGATAAATAAGGGCCGGAGTGAACGAATAAGGCCCTAAATGGATAAATAAGGGCCGGAGTGAACGAATAAGGCCCTAAATGGATAAATAAGGGCCGGAGTGAACGAATAAGGCCCTAAATGGATAAATAAGGGCCTGAGTGAACGAATAAAGGCCTCAATGGATAAATAAGATCCGGAGTGAACGAATAAAGGAGTTGCCAAAGGCATTCCCAACCCCAGTTTCTTTGTGAGTCGCGCGCAGAGGGTGCAAAGGCGCTCTACCGCACGCCACGTGTTTGAAAACACAGGCGTGACTGTTTGAGGTTTTAGAAGTTAGTTTTAAGTTAGACTCGGGTTAATCGTCAACCGATTGTACTTTTTATCTGTTTTCTGTATCTGATTTCTTTTCTGGCTCGCAGAGCAATAAATTGTCCGTTATCTGCTATTTCCGTGCATATTGTTGCTTGTTTTCTTGCTTGGACCCGACACCCCTTTTCATAAGTGGGCTACTTGGGGGCCGAACCGGTTTTTTTTTGATTGTTTGCTCGTGTTTTTTCGTGCCAACGAGCAATAGTTCGAAGAACATTGCTCAGGCGAAGAGATCAACGCGAAAAATCGACAACCTCGTGCGATCGAACGATCCGCGAGAGCAACAGGAGACGGGCCCGAAGAGATCAACGCGAAAAATCGACAACCTCGTGCGATCGAACGATCCGCGAGAGCAGCAGGAAAACGCAAACTTTTGAACGAAAGTTTGCAGAGGAAATGCCGAGCACGTACAACACGGAGCCGAGCGACCGGATGGAAGTGGAGGAGGTGAAGCCGAAGGATCCCGAGGAGGTGAAGCGAGTCGGCGAGGAAGAGAGCGAGAAGCGGTCAACGCCGACAGAGGAAGAGCTGCTGGGATGGCCGGAGGTTAGCTTCAAAGAGAGAAGAAGCAGAACGAGGGGGTTTGAGCGATTTGTGAGTACCGTGGATTCGGTAGAAGCGGAAATCAGGAAGAGACTGCGGGATATGACGGAGTGCACGGACCGACAGAGAGATGTCATCACGGCGCCAATAAACGCGTTTGCCAAAGAGCTTCGGGAGAGATTTGAAGAGATCGGGAAGAATAAGTGGCAGCGAGAAGTGATGAGAGTGATGGAGGCCGGCAAAATCGAAACCATAGAGCAGTTGAGAGAAGTGGTAGAGGACAGGAGTGACAGAGGGGGAAACGCTGAAAATGCCAGGGAGCTGGAGAAACAGAGGAAAAAGAATCGCGTTTTACAGGATGTGGCGTCAGCGGAGGCGGATCGATTGCGCAAAGCGATCGAAGTGCTGGAAGGCGAGAAGGAAGCCCTCGGGAAGAAGTTGGAGAGGAGCGAGAAGGCCTGGCGAGCAGAACATCGGATGGTGGAGCAGTGGAAGGGGCAATGGCAGGAAAGCCAGGGTAAACTCAACGAACTGCAGAACAGGAGTCATCAGAATGTTCAGGGGCGCTCACCGAAGCAAGGTCAACGATCCAGATGCTCCGCGAGCTCATCGACGTCCGGAAGCTGGAGAAGCCGACGAGGTACGGAGAGGAAGAGAGACAGAAGCGCGGACTGGCGCGAGAAGGTCGCGGGATGGGAGTTCGCAGACGGGAAGGAGTGTCGGAGAAGGAGATCGGGGTCCAGGGGTGAGGTGAGGGACATGGTGAACTGTATGAGTCGAGTGATGAAGTCGTCGGCGCTACCGGAACCGAAGCCGTACGATGGGTCCAGCGATCTGGGAGAGTTCAAGCGAGCCTTTCTCCTCAAATACCATCATGTGGTGGAGGATGACGAAGAGCTGATCACCATCTTGGAGGACAGATTCCTGAAGGGACCAGCGAAATCACTGTTCAAGACGCTGCAAGGACGATTCTGCCGACCGGTGAAAGAACTGTTCGAGGAGTTCGAGCGGAAGTTGAGGAAGCGGCGGGGGGACAGCAAGACGGAGGCACTCAACACGTTCGACGATCTGAAGAAAGTGACGGGCCAAAAGATGTGGGAGTTCTTGGTTGAGGTGGAAAGGTGGTCGAAGAGCGCATACCCAGAGGTGACCGAGGAGACGCTGTCACAGATGCGCACGACCAAGCTCATGAAGGCAGCCAGGGAAGATGAAACGCTACACAAGATGCTCATCATGCGACGACTGGAAGTGCCGCTGAAGGATCAATACGACCTGCTGAAGGATATTGTACTGCAGCAAGAGAACGAGGCGCACGGGGACGGCGGACAGAGGAAAAACGGAGGGAAGCCGAAGAAGGAGACGCCGTGGAAATCGAGAGGAGAGGCGAGACAGCGGAATCCGGGAGAAGGACAGTCGAGTCATCAAATCCCGGGAAAGGAAACGGCAAAGCCGAGCGAGGGCGAGGCGAGGCAGAGGACGGACCCGAGAGAAATGAAGTGTTTCCGGTGTGGCGGAGTAGGACACTTCAAAAGGGACTGTCTGACGAAACCTGTGCAGAACGTGGGGTTGGAGCGACACGGAGCGGTCGAGGAAGTAGTCGGGGAAGAGTCAGAAGAGACGATGACAGTTTTGGGACAGAAGCGACGCATTGTGATCGACAGCGGGGCGGTGGTCTCAGTCATAACTACGGGAGCGTGGGAAAGACTGAAGGGAGGTTGTGCCGACTGGGAGAAGAAGGTGAAGGTGTTGGCAAAACCGGTATTCGCAGTAGTTGACGCGTCGAAGAAGGAGATGCCTATCCGGAACCAAGTGAAGCTGGCGGTGCAGATTCGCGGAAGGACGGCGGAGGTGTTGTTCCAATTGGTGGAAGGAGACGCGGAGATGTTCCTGTTGGGCACGAATGCGTTCAAGGACATCGGGGTCGAACTGAAGTGGAAAGCGGAGAGAGCAGTTGCTAGAACGGTGAGGAAGCTGAGGATTCCGCCGCAGAGCTGTTCGCAGATCGGAGTCAGGGCTGATGCAGAGTTAGGGACGCAGGTGCTGCTCGAATCCAGTGAAGAGTGGTTGCCGACGAGCCTGTGCACGACGGACGAGGAAGGTGTGATGACCGCGATGGTGTCGAACTGGACGGACTCGCCGTTGCTCATCAAGAAAGACCAGGTGATTGGAGTCGTCACAAGAGACTGGCGAGAGTGTGGGACGGAGGAGAGAAAGGAGGTGAACATGATGGAGTTGGAGAGGACGCCGCCACTGACAGGAAAGCAGCGAAAAGAAGCAGTAACCCGGATTCTGAGTGAAAATGGGGCCATTTCGAACGCGAAACTGCAGCGAGTGGTGGAGGAGTTCTCGGACGTCTTCGCGATTGAAGAAAGCGAGTTGTCGCAGACGAAGATGGGAGAGTGCGTCATCGAACTGGAGAAGACGACGCCGGTCAGGCAAAAGTGTCGACCTGTTCCGTTGGCGTTGCACGACAGGGTCAGGGCGATGCTGAGAGACATGGAGAAGAGGGGAGTCATCAGGAAATGCACGTCGCCGTGGGCAAGTGCGGTGGTACTGGTGAAGAAAAAGGATGGCAGCATTCGGATGTGTGTGGACTATCGCAAACTGAACAGCATGATCCGGTTGGACGCTCATCCGTTGCCGCACATCGAGTCGACTCTCCAAGCATTGGGTGAAAATAAGATTTTCACAACGCTCGACTTGTTGGCGGGGTACTGGCAAATCCCGATGGAGGAGAAGTCGAAGGATAAGACCGCGTTCACAGTGTTGAACGAGCAGTACGAGTTCCAAGTGATGCCGTTCGGATTGGCGACCAGTCCGGCGATCTTCCAGGCAATGATGGAGAAGGTCTTGGGGCAATGGCTGGGAAAGTCGGTGTTTGTGTACATCGACGACATCCTCATTGCTAGCGGGACGGAGGAAGAGCACACGGAAGACTTGGCGAAGGTATTGAGGCGGCTGAGGGAGTGCGGACTGAAGCTGAAGGCACAGAAGTGCAAAATCGGGCAGAAATCCGTGGAATACCTCGGGCACATCGTCAATGAGTCGGGAATCAGCACGGATGGGAAGAAAGTGGAGAAGATGAAGAACTTTCCAGTGCCGACGGGGCGTGAGGAACTACACTCGTTCCTGGGATTGTGTGCATACTACCGAAATTTTGTACAGAACTTTTCGGCGATCGCATCACCATTGACCCCGCTCACGTCTCCAAAAGTGAGCTGGAGATGGGGAGACGAGCAGCAAGAAGCGTTCGACGAGTTGAAGAGGAGAATGACGAGTGCGCCGGTGCTAGCTCAACCAGACATCGAAGCGGCGAGAAGCTTCGAACGGCCGTTCTGCATTTTCACGGACGCGTCGGGGCGAGGAATCGGTGCTGTTCTCGCGCAAGCAGGAAAAGATGGGATGGTGCACCCTATTGCCTTCGCATCGAAAGCATTGACGCCGGCGGAGAAGAACTACCACGTCAGCGACAAGGAAGCGTTGGCGGTACTCTTCGCGACACGACGGTTCAAGCACTTCATCTTCGGATGTCCGACGACAGTGTACACCGATCATCAGCCGTTGACGAGTCTGTTCAAAGCGAAGAATCTGGCGGACAGATTGCTCCGGTGGTCAATGGAAATGCAAGATTTCGCGCTGAACATCGCCTATCTGAAAGGGAAGGCGAATGTGGTGGCGGACGCATTGTCGCGAGGAGGGGCGCCAGAGACGGAGGAGATGCGAGAAGTGCAAGAGCAGGCCAGGATGGAGATTGACCGGGTGATCAACGTCGTGAGGGTAATAAAGAAGGAAGAAAGAGAGCGGAACAGTTGGAGAGAAACCCTGGAGAGGGAGAAGGGATGGAAGGAAATCATCGAGAAGCTGGAAAATGGCGAGAGCGATGGGATAGTCGAGATTCCGGGAGACGGGAAAAGGGACATCAGGGAATTCATGATAGTCGGTGGAGAGCTGATGGCAACGACGAAATACGGAGCGTGTATGAGAGTAGTTCCGGAAGGGAAGCGGAAGGAGATATTCATGGAAGCGCACGCGGGACCGTTCGGGGGACACTGGGGTCCAGAGAGAGTGAACGCTCTTATGGGAAAGAAGTTCTGGTGGCCGAGGATGAGGGCGTGGATCGAGAAGTGGTCGAAGGAGTGTCAGCAGTGTTTGTGCGGGAACGCCAAACAAATTCTGACGTCGCCGTTGACACCAATTGAAGCGAGTGAGCCGTTGGAAGTGGTAGCGCTGGACTTGCTGGATCTGGGAAGAAGTGGACGTGGGAATCGGTATGCACTGACAATTATCGATCTGTTCAGTCGATATGCAGGCGCCATAGCCATACCGGACAAAACAGCAGAAACAGTGGCCAGAGCATTCGCGGACAATTGGATGCTTCGAGAGGGGAGGATCCCGAAGGCGGTGCTGACGGATCAGGGCCTCGAGTTCGCGAATGCGACGTTCGAAAAGCTCGCGAAACTGTCCAACGTCAAACTCATCAGAACGAAGGGCTACCACTCACGAATGAACGGGGCAGTGGAGAGGTTCAACAGAACAATCCAGACCATTCTGAAGAAGACGACAATAATCCCGACGGAGTGGGACGAGAAACTGCCGTACGCAGTGTTCGCGTACAACACATGCAAGCACGAAGCGACAGGAGAGAGCCCACATTATCTGATGTACGGAAGAGATGCGCGGATCCCCATGAAAGTGGACTTGGAGGAACGGATCGGGAAGTACCAGGTGGACGTGGACGACTACAAGCAGAGGCATGTGGAGCAGATGAACGAGACGCAGGAAGAGGCGAGGAAGCACGTCAAGAAGGAGCAGGAGCAGGCGAAGAGGTGGTTCGATGGGAAGCACAAGGTCGACAAGATCACATACCCAGCGGTCGGCGACAGGGTACTTGTGCAAGTACCAGCGGAGAAGACAAGGGCGAGACATCCGAAACTGACGAATGAATGGAGGGGACCGTATCGGGTGTTGAAAGCTACCGGAAATTCAGCAGAGGTCGCGCAGATTCTGGGTGGTGAAGACAAATTCTGGGTACCATGGGAACAAGTTCGGGCAGTGCCAAGAGAAATGTCTGACGAAGCAATCGTCACAAAGGCAAAGCGGGGCAAGCGAGCGGCGCGTCAAGTAGCAGTGAACGCTGTGCAAATGACTGAAAAGAACGAGGGTCATGATGAGGACAGATATTCTTACAGAGACTTGGCACTTAAAGGATGCAGATGTGACGGAGGACCGTGCGCGATCGTGGAAAACAATGTGTCGCACAAATCCTTGGCAACACTGGCTGCGGGGTTCATGCTGCGACAGTGGGAGATCTCAGCCGACGAAGTGTGCATGGCGGCGCAGTCGACACGGCTCCGAAGTCAACTGGGCAAGGACGAGAAGCAGGAGGCGCTGAGAAGATTCGCGAGGAAGTGTCCGGAGGTGGCGGCAGCCATTATGGAGGGCACAATGGGCGACGAGTGGAAGAAGGCGGCAGAAGAACTGAAGGAGGAAGTGGAACGACGGCTGCAACCGAAGAAGACGAGCATTCGGTCGACAGCGGTCATTCTGGGGCCACGGATAAACTTCAACAATTCGGTGTGCTACCAGCTGAAATCGAACGCGGACGCCGGGTGGGCAGGCAAGTATGATTGGAATATGGTGCAGAGCGTGGTGGCACTGGTCCCGTGGACGAACAATGAGGAAAATCGGAGACGGGCGGCAATGTTCGAAGCGATCGCCAAGGACGTTAGGGAGGTCATTCTCGTGCCGAGCCGACTCAGTTGCACGTATGGAGAAGTCGGAGCAGTGACCGAGTGGTGGACTACGAGGCTGAAGACTAGCGCGAACGTCACGTTCGTCGATCCGCTACTGCCAACGGGGCAGATGCAGATCCCGCTGGTGGCGGCGCTCCCCGAGAAGTTCGACTGTCCGGAGGCGTTAGCGGAATTCCTCGGAGGACTACTTCCGAACAACTTGGCAGTCAGCAAGCTGAGGGAGAATCGAAAGTCGGAGGTGGATCTGAAGAGGGCGAGACGGGCCTGAGAAGGCTGGACATGTGGATCATGTAACATTATAGTCGTGTACAATGTGTTTTACCCGAATTCTATTGTAGTTAATAGTAATGTTAGTTAAGACTTAGTAGGAATGTTGTGTTAGTTTTTGTAAAACAGTCAGTGTTTACACGCAGAGCTGTACCGCGTGTTCGTACTCACACACCGGCCCGGGGTCCGGTCTGTTTGTCGGGGGGGAAGTTGCCAAAGGCATTCCCAACCCCAGTTTCTTTGTGAGTCGCGCGCAGAGGGTGCAAAGGCGCTCTACCGCACGCCACGTGTTTGAAAACACAGGCGTGACTGTTTGAGGTTTTAGAAGTTAGTTTTAAGTTAGACTCGGGTTAATCGTCAACCGATTGTACTTTTTATCTGTTTTCTGTATCTGATTTCTTTTCTGGCTCGCAGAGCAATAAATTGTCCGTTATCTGCTATTTCCGTGCATATTGTTGCTTGTTTTCTTGCTTGGACCCGACACCCCTTTTCATAAGTGGGCTACTAAGGCCCTAAATGGATAAATAAAGGCCGGAGTGAACGAATAAGGCCCTAAACAGATAAATAAAGGCCTGAGTGAACGAATAAAGGCCTCAATGGATAAATAAGATCCGGAGTGAACGAATAAGGCCCTAAATGACCAAGATAACACCTGAATATGTGGAAAACGACAGAAATAACAATATTATTTATAAATTGAGATGAAAAAGGCAAAAGCTTACAACATCCAGGATTCCCAGGCCGTCTCCGATCCAAGTACTAACTGGACTCAACGCTGCTTAACTTGCCAGATCGGACGGGATGGCGTGTACACAGGCAAACCGCTACGACGAAATTTGGCCCAAACACGGGCGAAAAGGTGGCGAATTTGGAACAAAAAAAGATATGAGAGGTTGGCCCAAATTTGGTCCTCGTTTCATCCTCAGCGGGCAAAGAACCCCGCAGGGGCCCCGCTCGCTTGGGATTTCGGAATTCTAGCTCATATTCCACATACAGTAAACATTTCCACGTCAATTACTATTTATCTTTAAAAACTAACAGAAATATAGCATAAAACGTGCCAAAGTTCGAACAGATCACATATTATAAAAATTGGGCATGTAAGAGTCACGGTCGTCGTGGAAAAGTTGGATCTCGTCCTCAAAAGTCTCAATCCGGTTTTGGCGAAAATTTGGATTTCTGTAAAAGTAGGGTTACTCATTCAACTTCTGAGAAGTATAATAAGTTACCTTGTGAGCTCGTCCTTGAAATCCTTGGCAGATGAGGAACAACTATTTATGGTCTCATGGACCATTGTCCAGTTGGCACACATAGCAGTCGTGATCATATCTGTCACCTTTATGACGAGACCGCCGGGGAAAGCGACAGGAGAATCCACCGCTTTTGCCTGCTCCAAGTTGAATCCTTTTGCCGTGTTGATTTGAGTCACAGGAGCCGAAGTGTTCTTAACTTTCTTCTCGTTTCGCCCTTTTTCGAGCTGAAAAGAGAATAAAGAATATGGAAATCAATGTTTACTTTACCATGAGCAACGAAAACGCCGAAGTTAGATAGAAAGTTTGAGGGTCGACGACGACGTCAACCTGGCACGCATTTTCGACGAGTCCGTAGTAATCAATCTTTTTCCTCGTCTTGAGCAGGTTGTCGATGTTCCTCTGAAAGGAATTCTCGAAATTCTGGAAATATAATTGTCAAATAACTCACATCACAGTCTTCTCGTGAATAAGGAAGACCCGTAACCGGATCGATACACGCCCGACGCATAAATTCAGCCGGAATCCAAGCGTCAGAATGAGAAACTTTGACCGGCTTCTCATAAGATCCCGACCTCGCTTCTGGAGTAGATTTCGGTGCTGCCATCTTGACCAACGGAGCGTCTAAATTGGCAATAGTCCAGTCAGAATCCTGAGCAGTTTCAGCAGATTTCTGCTCTTTCGCTGGTTTGACAAGTTCGTTGAGCGTGCTTCTCGAAGTTACATAGTTCTGTAAGAACGAGGATCTGATTCACAAAAAAAAAGATGATTACCATCGAGAGTTGTGCGAAAACGCTTCTTCCGGCCGGCTCGTCCTGTCTTTCGGGTTTCACTGCCTTCATGACACTAATAATGACAGAAAGTGCGAGAGAATGCGCTGGATGATAGTGTGGGGGGAAGCCGGGGATGAAACGAGGACGACGCGGGGGGTGAAATGAGGATGAAATGAGGATGAAACGCGGACGTGGAGAGGCCGCCCCCACGTGGCTCGCTGCCCTCGTTTTGACCTTCGGCATGTCATCAGATGTGTCTTAAGCGTTTATAAAGGATCAAATAATGAGAATTGATATCGTCACTGCTTATTACTCGATTATCTTCTGGAAACTTGGAATGGGAAGGGAGGGGGGTGGAAGTAGTCGAAGTAGTTACGTCCAAATTACTCACTGTACAGAAGTTTGGCATTAGTAATTTTCTCTATTAGGTTTTTATGGTGATTAAATTTTAATTTACTTAATATTCCTAGATTATTTCTGTATGTAGATTTCTTTGGTCCGCTAGTCTTTCTTTTTATAATGATTTTTTTATCTTTTTTAGTTTTAAAATTGTTATTTAAAGAGCTTGTTTACAAATTTTTGGTGGATTACTTAGCTAAAAACAGAATTTATAAAATAAAAAATTTAAAATTTATAGATTTATTTCTAAACAATATTAATTCTAAGGGTTATACTATATTTTTAAGCGGCGGATTGTTTAAAAATTATTATATAAAAAGTTTAAATTTTAACAGAGTTGTAGTTTTAATTTTTTTATTCTTTATAATCTGTTAATTCTGGGGTTTTAGTTTATTCAAAAATATGTGTTTTGCATACACAAGATTGTAACTCTAAAAATAAATATAATTTATTGTTGTTTTTACTGCTTTTAGGATTAGTTTATTCTTTTTATTTGTAATCCAGTATTTGTACATGCGTAATTTTTACAAGGTGGTAGCCTTATTTTTTTTTTTTTCTGTGTTAATTCTGTTTAAACTATGGCTATATTCACATACATATATATATATATATATATATATATATAT